CACCAACCTTATCACCAATGTCATCAACCTCATCATCATCAACACTCACACCAGACCTTGGTGTCATCATAACCAAAGCATTGATATTGATCATGCCAAGCTACCCCTGAATGGAGTGTCCACAGAGGTCAGCCGAAACCTACGATAGTATATACAATGAATGCCACCTGCTGTCACTGTGCAACTTGATAGTCACCGATACCGAGACAATAGCTGTCGCACAGTTTGATAGTCACCGAGTATCTCGACAGACCGACCTGGGTTTCAGGCGCGAGACCCCTGACAAAGAGCATCTAGCATTACAAACACTCATGCTGCAATAGGAGAGTTGTGTCTGACATCACTCTCACCTCAACATGTTATGGATGTGCTGCATAGCCTCTGAATGTAGTGTTCAAGGTGATCAGCCGAAACCTACCAGAACTCATCTGTCTGGTTACTCTCACCCAAAACATAACAAATAAGGCTTACTCAGTTGATCTCACCAAAATCAACCAGAAGCACCCAATTTGGTTTCAGGCACGCAACCGCTTACAATATGGTGTAGAGTGGATGGAGCTCCACTCAACCACTATGATGAGGAGCAAGTTGTCATGGGCCTGGATGTGCAGGAAGCAGGAAGATCTGTCAATTCATATGAAGGGAGTGTCAGCGGTCGCACGCCTGAAACCTGAGATCGGTAGTAGTGTCAATACTATTACCGATTCTGTTGAGTTATGTGACAACACTAGTGGTATTTCGATTCTTGGTGAAACATGCAATAGAGCCGTCTCTATCACTTTTCCTGCTCGAATCTGTAGTTGTAGTATTGCTATTACAGGTTTCGACTAACTGCTGTGGACACTCCATCCAGAGGTAGCTTGGCATGATCAATATCAATACATGAGTATGGTAACACCAAGATCTGGTGTGAGTATCTTGTTGGTAATGTGATTGGTGGTGTCGACATGAGTGTCCAGTGTGTTGACTATCGCTTGAGGTGATCCCTGGACTGCAGTGGACTACTGCCTTCAGTTCTATCTTAATCTGGACTGCTGGTTTGCTATGAACCACCTTCGGACATCAGTGAGCAGTGATACAACACATGCACTACAAGGAGAGGCAACCTTGATAGATTGCAACTATGCTGACTGTAACTAATGAATATTTATATGCTGAAGTAGTACTAGTTATATGGTGTGTAGAGTGGATGGGGATCCACTTGACCATTTGTGATGAGAAGGTATGGTTATATACCTCTTCACAGCATTGCCAGTGATGCTGCTCCAGCTCTCTCTCCAGAGAGTACCCTCACTGCTGAATACTGTACAAGAGTCTCCACTGAGACTCCTCCTCCTCATCGAGCCTTGTTGCTCCTGTCCTTCCTGAGCTGTGTTGACCCCATCAACCCTGCTCCTCCTCCTCATGGCCTGTTCGCTGGTGCCTGTCACACAGCTCCTCTTCCTTCAACTGGTGATGGTTCTCTTGTCTGCTTATCTCCTGAGCCCCTGAGTGGTAACCATCTGCATGCTTCATGAGCTTGGTCCCTGTCTTGGCAGCACTCGATCCTCCTTGCTTGTGAGCATAGTCCCTCTCACATGTGAAACCAATGTATGAATGTCATTGTCACTGATCTCCATGAAATCTGCCATACTGTCATACTTACTGCAGATTCTGGTAGGATCTGTGAAATCGACTTCATTCAGGCATATCCCAATGAGATCTGTCATAGAACTGTGTCTACTACCAATCTCACTGAATTCTTCTGTAAATCCACCAATCTACCCGATCCCTCGATTCCTGCGCTACCTTCATATGAACTGTCAGGTCTTCCTGCTTCCTGCGCAGTCAGGCCCATGACAGGGAGCACAGGAATCGAGGGATCAGGCAGATCATGGGACTTACAGAAGAGTTCACCAAGATCTGTAGAAGAAATGGCTCTATGGCAGATCTCAGCTAGATTGGCATGAGCCAAGATGGTATCACAAATCCCACCAGGATCTGTAGTAACCAAGATCATATGACATGTTCTGCAGAGATGAGGGGCAAGGATGATTGTACAACAGATCCAGTATAGATTAAGTGACAAGGACATTCAGGGTTGCCACCAGATGAGGTATGGACCCTACACAATGATGAAATCGGCATAAAAAGATGGGTGCCAAAGTCAGGAGGAAGATGAAGAGGGGGGGCATGCACTGTCATTAGGATGAAGTGGGGTGACCCCTATCAATGATGAGATGATGCTGGCTCTCCTTGACTCAGGAGCAGGAGAAGCAGGGCTCAGCAATGGGGTGGTGCATTGGTAAAGACCTCTGCCACAGTACTTGATGAAGATGGTGCCTTCTGGAGAGAGAGGGCCAGAGCAGAGTTGCAGGCAACACTGCAAAGATAAATATAAACCATGCTGTCTCATCATAAGTGATTGAGTGGATCTCCATCCACTCTACACCATAAACTAGTTATCACTTCACATAAAGTATACATTAGTTTCAGTCAGCAAAGTAGCAATCAAGTAGGTTGCTTCCATTGTAGTGCATGTGTTGTATCACTGCTCCCTGATGTCCAAAGGCAGTTCAAAGCAAATCAGTGGTCCAGATAACGATAGAACTGAAGGCAGTCATCCACTGCAGTCTGGGGATCACCTCAAGCATTCAGTCAGCACACTGGACACTTGTGTTGGCAACAACAACAATCTCAATCACACCAGACCTTGGTGTTAGTACCAGTTCATATCAGTTATTGATCGTGCCAAGCTACCTCTGGATGGAGTGTCCACAGCAGTTAGTCAAAACCTGCAATAGCAAAACCATTACTGCATCTTCAAGTGAGAAAAGTGATAGAGATGTCTCTACTACATATCTCACCAAGAATCATAATACCACAAGCATTGTCACATATCTCAACAGGATTTGTAATAGATGCATTTCTATTACAGATATCAGGTTTCAGGCATGAGACTGCTGACAAGATCTTGCAATGGGACATATGGTGATGACATTGGGTCTGACACTCTGATGAAGGAGGGGCCCTACACAACGATGAACTCGATGCAAGAGGATGGGTGCTGTCACCAGGGGCAAGATGAAAGAGGGTGCGCTTCGCCACTTGGATGAAGTGGGAATGGCCCCTATCAATGATGAAGCAGCACAAGGTCTTCTCATCTGCAGGGAGCAGGGGAAGCAGTGCTAACGAGTAGCATCGTAAGGAAGACAAGACTGATAGGATGGACAAGAGGAGAAGGAGCAGTGTTGGAGGAGACCTCATAGAGCAAGAGCAGTGTTGGAGGAGACCTCATAGAGCAAGAGCAGTGTTGCAGGTGACACTGCGAGAATGTCTATATAAAACACACATGCTCCTTGCCATAGTGAGTGAGTGAGTGGATTCTCATCCACTCTACACATTACTAGCTATATCTTTACCATAATGTATACTTAGTAGTTCCATCAACAAGTTGCAATTGCAGAGCATTGCATCTATCTTAGTGCATGTGTTGTATCACTGCTACTTGATGCCTTCCAAAGGCAGTACTCTTCTGCATCCTGGATATCGATCAACACCAAAGGCAGTTTCAGTACTGCAGTCCAGCTCTCTCAATCTCATACCAAAGGCAGTTGTCCACTGTGGTCCAGGGATCAATCAATTCAATCAACCATTGACACTCTGGATGCTCATGTCGAGACAGACATATTCATATCACTCTTCAGTATTGTAAGGAGTCCACCTGGACATTGATTGTGCTGTGCTACCTCTGGATGGAGTGTCCACAGTGGTTAGTCAAAATCTGTGATAACCCTCAGTTACAATCTATTCAAGCAAGAAAGATCCTAGAAGGCTTCTATGGCAGATTCCAGCAAGAATAATAATAGAAGGCCCCTACAATAGATTTTGCCGAGGTTGAGTTTAATCGACCTTTACCATAGATTTCAGGTTTCAGGCGCTCGACTGCTGATAAGGCGGTGATACAACACACTTGCGGTGTAACTGCAATACCTGGATTGCAGTCGAAGACGATACTGTAATGACTGTATTACTGCGCTAAAGAGCCAGATAAGATATGTACAAAGATAAGAGTTATAAGATAAAGTATAGTTAAGAGTGATTGAGGATCCACTCTTCTGCTGCGGCGAATTGAAAGTATATATACAAGTATGGACAGTGTCGCTTGCAACACTGTCCCTCCTCCTCCTGAGCAGTGTGGAGACCTCCTCGACACTGCTCATGTTCCTCCTACTTCCCTTGGCCTTGTGTGAGAGCAAGTGCGGCTTCATCGTTGCAGAGGGGTATCTCCCACTTCATCCAAGTAGCAGGACCCTCCTCTGCATACCTATCCTTGTAGGTCTCTACTCGCTATCAGTGATGGTGACGAGCCTCCTACGACTGTCCCTTTAGTCCTATGAGGACGTATGAGTTTCAATGCATTGATGGCCTCCTTCCGCAATGCGACCTGCAATTTTGGTCGGATGGACTCCTTCTGACCGATTTCGCATTTCGTGCGCACTTCGCATCCACTGCGCATCTAATGCATGTCCAGGATCTTCTGTGCAGACCCTGTGACACGTCTCACCTCCAGACATTCAATACCACCACTCACCGCTTTCTCGCTCACTTGACCGGGGAGTCACCTCTTATAGAGGACTCAACACTGGCAGAGCGACATTTGCTAGCGGTTCGGTCCTAGCCTAAGGTTCTTTTTTTTGTTTCCTGTGTGTATTATTTCACTTTCCTCAGTTTTGCAATGATAGCAAGGCCAATTTCGGCCTGGTATAAAAAAAGATTAGCTTTTTTGAGGTCATATTTTTCGACACCATTTGACACTCACTCACTTCAACAACAGCATCCCAGACTTGTGGTGTCGGGTGCAGGAAAGGTTCCAGTCGACCACTTTTCTACACAACTCGACATACACAATTGCCAGTAGTTGAGCTGCAAAGTAGTTCAAATTCAAGTGCAGATCATTGAAAGTAACAAAGCCAGTCTCTTCCGACGAGCTTGTGTGAGCTGTGCACCGGCAAGGAAACCTACGACCAAGCACCAGCATCGCCCCAACCATCAGCACCAGCCCCAAACGCACCTTCTCCTAGAGCCGCGTTCGTTGGAGCAAATGGCAGACTGGATCTTGGCTTCTTCTTGCCCCTCTCTGCATCGCCTTCACCGGCTTTCCTCTTCTTGCCCTTCTGCTGTCCTTTACGCAGGTCAACAATGCCCGCAACACTCGTGTTGACTGGTGTTGTCTTCTCATTGTCATTCTCACCCTTCTTACCATTTCCTTGTTTTCCTTTCACCTTGGCAGTATTGTAAGCGACAGGGGTCGAATCGTCGTACGTATCCAACTCCATCCTAGCCTTGCTCTCCTTCTGTCTCGCTTTCGATAATGTAGCCGTAGCATCCTCTAACACGCCTTCTGCGACCTCTGTTCGACCAGAGGCGATCTTGGCACGCTTCTTGGACAGTTCGTAGATAGGTGCAAGCCGTGCCTTTTCAGCTACTGCATCAACTTCTTCGAAGAAACCAGTGGACTTTTCTCTGTTTTCCTTCTGTGGCAATTCTTTGGAGGTGTTAGCGTCGCTGGGATCGGACTTCTTGACCTTCTTGCCCGCGCGTGTGCCGCGCTTGTGTTTCGGTTTGGAGCCATCCTCTTCCGAGGGTCGCGCAGATTGCTGAGTTCTCTTTGAGCCAGCTTGAGGATTGCTGTCGGGTTTGCCCTTCTTATCTTTGGCAGTGGCTCTGTCGCTGTGCTTCAAGTCGTCCTTTTGCTGGGGCTTGTTGCTGTGCTTGGACTTCGGGGCGTCTCTCTTGCTTGAAGCTAGAGGTGCCTGACCACGACGAAGAGCGCGCATTTGAGCAGCCATTCGAGCAGCTTCGTCGTCGTCATCATCCTCCGGCTTTTCTTGACGGCTTTGCTCCTGCGCTGGAGCAGGCTTGCCGCGGCGCAGAGCACGCATCTCGGCAGCCATCTGCGCGGCATCATCGTCATCGTCGACCTCGCTATCATTCTCTTCTTCCGCGTCTCGCTGCATCTTTTGAGCACGCTGCTGCAGCTTACTGTCTTGTTTTCTCTTGCCTTTCTTGCTCTCCATCTTGGCCGTCTTCGATGCCTTCACTCCCTCCGCCTCCTCAGCTGTTGGCTTGACTCGAGGTTGCAGCCTTTCATTGTCCAGCACTCTGAGCGTCGGATGCACCTGAAGAATCCTTTCCTTGTATCCCTCTTTCTGCGCTACCCCATTCCCCTTCAGTAGCAACTGCGTCAGTCCTTTTCGTCTCAACCTTGGCTGCTGCTCTTTCTCGCTATCCGCCTCGACCAGCGTTGACAAAGACTCCCAGGTGCCAAGTCCGCAATCCTTCAGCTCCAACAGCTCCAGCCCTGGCGCCGTCTTTCCATCCGCACCTTTACCCCAATTCCTAACGTGGCTGGGTAAAGCTTTCAGCTCAGGATTGTCGTTCAACCTCACTTCTCGCAAAGCGAGACAAAGCGAAAAGTCTGGCAAGCTTTCACTGCCGCTCAGCTTGTTGTGACCCAACGAGAGTTTCTTCAGCGCTGGCAAAGAAGCGGGTAATGAAGCGGGGAGGGAGGTGAGCTCGTTGTGCGACAGAATCAATGAATTGAGCTCCGGTAGATGCGGGAAGGACTTAGGTAGACTCCTGATGGTGTTGTTGTTCAGCACTAGCGCCTTGAGGTTGCGCAGAGGGTTGATTGAGGGTGGAATGGAGGTTAGTGCGCAGTGCGAGAGCGTGAGTACGCACAGCTCTTCAAGTGCTTCGAGGCCGATACATGCTTCAGAGGTCAGGTTGGGGTTGGTGGAGAGGTTGAGCCACGTCAGGTTGTCACCGAAAGCTCGTGCTTTGCCTTTGGCATAGGCTTTGCTGCGAAAGACAGCCTTGGCGAGCCATGAGAGGCTGATGAGACCATCAGGGGATGCATCGGAAGGCTGAACAGAGGACAGGTCGAGTCGCTGTAAATAGCAGAATTGAGAGAGCGTGTCGACTAATGCAGCAAGCGGTGGTAGTTGATGTCCCGAAAGTGAGAGGTTAGTCTTCGAGTGAATGGCCTTGTCTTCCTCTCCTTCATCCTGGTCGTTGTCTTCGTCTTCGCCCTCGTCAGCATGGTCTGCTGAATTCCTGCCTTCTTCGCCGTTCTTGACGGCTTGCGGCTGAGGCGGTTTCTTGCACGAAGCTATACTCTGTCGCTCTGTCACCGCATGCTGTCCACTGTTGCGCCCTGCAGAGTGGCTTCTGTGGTAAGGCCTAGGCTCGCAACCGCTTCCGGAGGCGTTAGGGTTGTTGCCATAAATGCCCTTGCCCTGAGCACGTTTCTTGTGGAAGGCCGAGCTGTTCGATGATGCTGGACCGGCAGAGGAGGACCCACCAGCCGCTGCTGCTGCTCGATTACGTTCCGACTTGATTGGGCCATTTGGCCTTGACGAGGCGAGCGGCGCCATCTTCATTGAATGAGGTTGATGATGGAGAAGCTCTGGAAGACAGGGCGCTGTTGTGGAGTTTTTGGCGAAGCGCTTTTTTTCTGCAAAAATTGAACCCTTCTTTCGGAAATCGGAAGTCGGCCAAAGCCATTCAGCGAACATGCGTGCAGGTGCTGTACGACACATGCTTCATCTGGACAGAGGAGAGATCAACACATCAACACTTTGACTTACCCACACATACCCACACGCACGCACTCTTGGGCGGAACCAGAACCCTATCGGCTCTCTCTCTTCCACTCGACTCTCGCTACCTTACGGAGACATCGTCGGACGAAGCGCTTCGTGTCGGCCAAGGACAACGCATAACGTCGAGAAGAGACACTCTTCTCACACGTGTCATGTCGTCCGACCCGGTGGGCGCTGCCATCGCGCTTGCTGGGGTTCCAGACGAGCCGGCTTCCCTTCACTCCCATACACTGCGGCCGTCAATATATCTGGACTCTTCAAAAGGATCAAGGCCAAAAGCGAGCTCCGACAGCATACCTCTGCCGGAAGAGGACGAGGACGAGGACGACTTTGTAGTTTTCGAGGACAGGAGCACATTACCAGCACCAAAGCTTGCTGAAGCGGAATTAGATGATCTGGAAGAAACAACAGATGCAAAGAATGCCAACAGGAGCACGTTGAGTTCTATTGCAAGAGCAAGTGTCGAGAGCTTGTCATTCGGGTATCGCGATCATCTCCTGCCTCTCAGCTTGAGTGGAGACGGCGACGAGACCTTCGCTGGAGATTATGGCGACAGAGAGGGTTCTGTTTCAGCAACAAGGGCTTCGGCTTCTGCAGCAAGAAGTGGTACAAGGCGTCATGCAAGGGGATACTCTCAAGACCGGCTAGCAGAACGCCGAGTAACGCTGATAGACGGGATTGCGCTCACCATCGGCGTGCAGATCGGATCCGGTATTTTCTCCTCTCCCGGTGTGGTCACTCTGAATACAGGCAGCATCGGCGCATCCATAGTGATTTGGCTGCTATCTGGCCTGCTAGCGTGGACAGGCGCCTCATCTTTCGCTGAGCTCGGCGCATCTATTCCGCTCAACGGTGGATCCCAAGCCTATCTCAACTACTCATTTGGTCCGCTATCAGCATTCCTCTACACATGGTCTGCCCTGACAGCGCTCAAGCCTGGAGCAGGAGCCATCATCGCAACCATCTTTGGCGAGTATGTCGCTCGCATTCTTTTCCATGCGACGGGCAAAGCGACGGATCACCCACACGAAACAGGGCTCGATGGCATTCCAGGATGGTCAATCAAACTACTAGCTGTAGCGATTGCAGCGTTGATCGCAGCAGCGCACGCTTTCTCGAACAAGCTTGGAACACGGACGCAGATCGCAACGACGGTCGTCAAGCTCTTAGCTCTGACAGCAGTGCCTATCTTGGCGATCGTACAGGCAGCAAGAGGCAAAACAAGTCCTAGCTCGCAAAAAGCATTCTCAAATTTGGGCAATCTGTTTGAGGGCAGCTCAACTTCGCCTTCTTCGTACGCCCTTGCTCTGTACAGTGGTCTGTGGGCGTTCGACGGCTGGGACCAGTCCTGTTTTGTAGCTGGAGAGATGAAGCAGGTGGAGAAAGACCTTCCGCGAGTCATTCACATCAGTCTCGCGACGGTGATCCTGATCTTTCTCTCTGCAGTGGTGTCCTACTTTGTAGTATTGCCGGCAGAGTTGGTGAAGAGGACAAATACGGTAGCGCTCGACTTTGGCAGTGCGATCTTTGGCGCGGTCGGTGGCATTGTGTTTGCCTTTTTCGTCGCATTCTCTTGCTTCGGAGCGCTCAATGGTCAGATCTACACAACAGCAAGACTCATCATGGCTGCTTCGAAAGAAGGCTATCTACCCGAACGCCTTGGCGCAGTCAACAGAAGGACGGGTACACCTATTGCAGCATTGGTGTTGCAATTGGTTCTCATTTCAGCCTTCGTATTGTTCGGATCAGGCTTTGCATCGTTGGTCAACTTTTACGGAGTCTGCAGTTGGACTTTCTACTTCGCCTCCGTCCTAGGGTTATTGGTCTTGAGGATCAAGGAGCCGCACCTGAATCGGCCATATAAGACCATGTTGGCGACTCCGATTCTTTTTGCTGCTGTTGCACTGTTCTTGCTGCTGATGCCGATTGGTAGTGCGCCGCTGGAAGGGTTGGCTGCGTTGCTGTTCATCGCAGCTGGTGTACCGGTGTACTACCTGACGCAGAGCAAGGCTGGGTGGGTGTCCAACATTCCGTTCCTCGCTAGGATCAAGGGTCTCTTTGCGAACGGTGGAGCAGGAGCAAGTATCGATGATGGAAGGGGCCATCATGTGCCTTTGCAGACATCGGATCGAGCGGAACCTGAAGATGAAGACGAAGAGGCAATGGAGATGCTTCCTAAGGATTCAGAATCAAAAGGAAAGGAAAGGGCATAGAAAACCGTTGACACACACATTGTATTCTTATTCATTCTAGACTGGAGGGAGAAATCTCGAATGATGGAGTTGCTGTTTTCATGCAGACTGTGCAGATGCTAAGCAAAATTGCCATACGGTGTTGTGCTGAAACAACGTCGAATGTGAGAAGATGGCGACGATATTGTTCAAGAAGACTCAGCGTAGTGGCGTGAGGGGGTAGGCTTCACTTCTTGCTCTTCTTCCCACTCTTGACTTTCGCTGGGCTACCTGCCGAGGAGCCCTCAGCTTTCTTCTTCTTGTTCGCCTTCTGCACAGCAGCGTATCTATCGAGTGTCTGCCACTTGACATCTTCCCATTTCTCCTGCTGCTTGCCACCTTCCAAGTCCAGGCCCAACTTCTTCCACTCTTTCGACACCTGAGCCCTCAACGCATCAGCAATGTTTTTGCACTCTGCTGCCGGCTTGTTGCCGAACTCCTTCTCCGTTCCTAATCCTTCGGCGAGGTAGGCTTGGAACTCGTCCTCAAACACAGAGGGAGAATACTTGCGCATGCCAAGATCGGTCTCAATGACCTTCTTGTTGGCGGAAGAGAGCGAAGCGTATTGACGAGTGACAAAGCTGCGGTAAGGGGCGGAGAGGAAGTAAAGCGCATGGAGGAGCTCGTGCGGCAGCGTCGAGTGAGCTTGCGATGCGACGCACGAGATGACGTATTTAATGTTGCCGGTCTCGCTGTCCTCGCTGCGGGATGAAGCGCCTTCGTAAGGAGAAATTGCGCCGAGAGAGACAAGCACATCAAGCAATTGGTTCTCCTCATTCGAACAGTGCGGTGCCCACCACTTGGGCACATCCGTGTCATCACTAGCATCGTCCAGACTAGTAGCTTCGTACATGGCATCGAGCCATTCCTGCACACCCTGACGGACAGGGAAGTTGAAGCCTTGGTAGTTGCGGCAGATGCGTTCGTCGGCTGCCTGCTGCAGAGTGAGATAGCTTCTCGCTTTGGAGTCGGATTCGTAGAACGCTTCCATGCGTGCAAGAGCAGCATGCTGCAGTGCGGCAGTCGGGAAGAGTAGCGTCAGCACGGGCGGATCGATGATGTGACCGAAGAGCGGCTCTTCCTTTTCTGCAGCTGCGTCCTTGGGTGCGGTGAAGATAGGAGCTGAAATCGACGATGGGGTTGCAGGTGCAGGCGTGGAAGCAGCCGACGGTGTTTGGCTTGAGACGTTGAAGCCTGCAGCTGCAAGAGCGTCCGAGAGAGATGCGGAAGTAGATGAGCGCTGCTCCTGGGCGGAAGCCATGATAGCAGCCGGTAGAGTGGATGAAGACTGCAGTGACATGTTGGAAAGATCCTTTTCAACAGTAGCGACAGCAGCGTCCGTGGCTGGCTTGTCAGTGTTCGGCTGAACAGGCGGCGATACAACTAAAGGCTTGGAGAAGTCCGAAGCTGCGTCAGCACGTGTGGGGACGCCAAGTCCTAAACCTGCAAGTTCTTCAAGCAATGTATTACGTCTTCTTGCGAGTGCGAGCTCGGCTTCGAGCTTACGAACCCTCTCCTCCAGCTGCTCATAGGTAGGCTTGTTGGGGATGCTTGCAACGACAAGTGCGGTTGCCTGCTGTACAGAAGCAGCAGTTTGCGTAGACTGAGCAGGTTTGGCGGTAGCAATCGAGGGACATGGATTGGGGGAAGGTACATGCTCGGGGGAGGGACTGCAAACCATCTCGTTCGGCCTCAGCTTCTGCTGTCCATCTTTGACGCTGGTCCTTCCGCGGTCTGGTGTCGAGACTGAGTTAGCGGGACCCACTCCATTTGGACCACGAACGAGCTCGATTGGAGCATTCGCGATACGATTGTGAGACACGAGCAGTGAGGCAGGATCTGTGTGGTCAGAGGCACGAATGTCGTCCCAAATCTTCTTCTTGTCGAATGCCTTGAGACCTGCAGAAAAGTCGAACTCGTCTGAAAGCGCTGCATTGGGAATGGCAGGGCTGCTACCGCGCGAGATAGAGACTGCTGCTTGCTTCTTCTTGGCTGGCTTGGGCGTTTGAACAGCAGCAGCGGGTTTGGGTCGAGGTGAGCGAGAGCGAGAGGGAGTGGAGGATCGGGATCCGGCTGGATCAGAGCCTTGCAACGGTGCTAGAAGGTGGTTAGCAAAGTGATGCTCTGTCGAAGTAGCGGTAGCGTCATTTGAGCGGTTTAAAGACATGATAGCAGGATCAGAAGATGCAAGCGCTGCGACTGCAGGCTTGCTTGGAAACGAAGCATGTTCAGCGTCGTTGTGGTTCTTTGCTTTACCTAGCAACTTTGACGGTGTTGCGGTGTCATTTCGGGTAGGGTTGCCAGATGCCGGAGACGAGGAGGCTGACTTCGTCGTGGGCTCGACGGATTTGATCGCAGCAAGGCTAGCAATGTCGGTGCGCTTCAGCACAGCCTGGGAGCCGTCTTGCTTCTGTACTGTGAGAGTGTTGGAAGCCTGATCGATGGAGAGAATCTTGGAATGTAGCGATGAGCCTGGCCGAGAATGTAATGTGATCTTCACATTGAGCCCGATGAACGGTGACGACATGTCGAAGCCGTCTATTTCTCGAGCTGCAAGCCAGAGTGAGCGATATGAGGGTGAAGATGCGGTGAAGGAGGTGTTGGAAGAGTAAGAATGGAGAACGTCTACGCCTTCAACTAAGCGAATCCGATCATCACTGATGTTAGGCCGGCATGTTTCCTCGGCCACCTTTTTTTTTTTTTTTTTTTTTTTTTTTTTTTTTTGTCGTTCTGTGTGGAGAAACTGACGCACAGGACACAAACGGATGTCACTAATCTTCGAGCATGAGGTCATCATCCCCTTCCCTTGGCCTTCTTCTCGACCCTTCTCCTCACTATTCGGTCACTCAGAGAAAGTCCCTCAGCAACACATGCTTGTACGCTGCGCAGTGACACTTGCTCGAGTGCCATCATCGCAAATCTCTTTGCTCCGTTTCACGCGTCGACAGCTGTTCCCTGCCAACTCCTCAGTCCAGCACAACGCTCGAGCTTTTACTTCGGCTTTTACCTTGCAGGCAACGAAGACATTCGCCGCAACTGACTCCAAGATGTCATCACGAAGCGCCAAAGTCATTAAGACCGCCCCGCTCGATGACTCTGAGGCCAAGTGGGTTGGTCTGCGATCCATAGAATGGGTCGACCCAACAGGACGACAACGCAAGTGGGAGTCTGCCGACCGCAAGACTCGCAAAGGCGATGTCGATGCTGTTGCAATCATGACCATCATTCACCGGCCCTCATCGGAACCCCATATCTTGCTCATCTCGCAGTACCGGCCGCCAGTAGGCAAGAGCTGCATCGAGATGCCTGCCGGTCTCATCGACGCCGGCGAGGAGGGAGACGAAGGAACCAACAGAGCGGCATTGAGAGAACTCGAGGAAGAGACAGGCTATGGAACGGACAAGGAAGGTGGTAAAGTACAGATCGAGGAGACAACACCCACCATGTTCAACGATCCCGGCTTGACGGGCGCGAACATGAAGATGGTTGTGGTCAGCATCCAGTTGAAGGACGATTCAGCAGAGCCAGTAGCCAAGCCAGAGGAAGGAGAATGTATCGAGAAATATCTGGTTCCTGTCAAGGGGCTGTACAAGAGCCTTAAAGGTGAGTTGTTTCGCGCGGGCGTTGCCTTCACAGTATATTGCAGCATTCTAACGCCCAACTTTCCCTCGGCACATTTCTCACAGACTTCCAAGCAAAAGGTTTTGCCGTCGATGCACGTCTAGCACACCTTGCAATTGGTCTCGAAGTCGGTGCTGGCAAGATGGGCCGTTTGTAGAGAAGAAAGTTCGTCCATCAGATTTGTGTGTTGACGTGAAAGAGTCTAGCATGTGATTGCAGTGTTGTAGTGTTACAGGGTAGAGTAGCAGTGATGTTGTTGATGCATATCTCAATGCGATGCAGTCGATTACTGAGGCGCGCACTGCATTCCTGGTCCTTGTCCTCCTATATCGTCGTAGTCCTCCCATCCCTCGTCGTCCATGTGCCCTTGTCCGGACATACGGGCACGATTGCTGCCAAACTGTTCGATCTTTGCCGGTGTTGGTTCGACCTGGTCCTCGGTGGTTTCTGTCGTTGTTTCCAAGTCGGGCCTCGCTGGCGGAAGCGCAGATTGGAGCGCTTCTCGGATAGCAGGATCTGCTGCCAGCTGAGCGTCTGTTGGGAAGTCAACCTCCCATCGGATGTACAAGTCTCCCTTGGTCTGGTTGCGGTCGCGATATTGCGGCATTCCCTCACCTTTCACGACGTCGATGTCTCCGGGCCGTGTGATCTTTATCCTTTCGACCTTAATGTGTCTGCCATCCAGATGTGTCAACACAGTGCGTGAGAAACCTAAGAGCGCTTCCACCAGCGTTAACCTGACGGTCGTCATAAGATCAAGACCCTTGACTTCGTATGCTTCGTCTTTCTGCAGTTTCAGCTCGATGAGGATGTCACCTGCTTTGACACCTGGTTCTTGATCCGCCGCTTCCTTGAAGACGATACGCTGACCATCAATCATACCCTTTTCGATTTCGACATCGAGCTTTGCCTTGGCTTTGGTAGTCTTCTCGCCCTTGCATTTCTTGCAGCGATCCTTGTCACGCACCTTCTTTCCCTCGCCGTGGCAGTCGGCGCACTCGACGTAAGACTGAGCGATCATGCCATTGCCCATGCTGCGCTGTTGAAGAACGGATCCTTTACCTGAGCACTTGACGCACTCCTTCTCAGTGAGACCTGGTTTGGCTCCTGTTCCCTCGCAGTGTGTGCAGATGACGTTCTTGGTAAGGTTGAAGTGTGCGGTCTTACCCTTGTAAAGATCTGCGAGCGTGACTGAGTATTCGATGATTTCATCCTCACCCCTTGTACGACGAGGCCTTCGACCACGGGGCATACCGCCCATCCCACCCATGCCACCCATTCCTCCCATGCCGCCACCGAACATGCTCGCGAGAAAGTCGTCCATGTCTGGCGGCATCCCGCCAGTTCCACCCGGCCCACCGGGCTCGTCATCACCGTAGCGATCGTATGCAGCGCGAGAGTCGGGGTCTGAGAGCGTTTCGTACGCGTGGTTGATCTCTGCAAACTTTTCAGAGGCTACTGCGTGATCGATGTCTGGATTCTTGTCGGGGTGATTGACGAGCGACTGCTTGCGGTAGGCTTTCTTGATGTCAGCTGAAGAGGCGTCCGGCGCCACGCCGAGCACGTCGTAGAGATGTGTTGACTCCACCATTCTATGTCTGTCAAGCGGTAAAGCGAGTCGAAGGGAAGAAGCGAGGTTGTAGTTGAGAGGAAAGGGAGTGTGTGGTTCTGTATCGGAAGAATTGAGCACTCTACAGAATGGCGCAGCAGTCACAAAAATCTTTTTCGCCATTTCCCATCCTTGGACGGAACTGAGCGCAGCTGCCCAGCACACGACACAAGAAGTCGAGAAAGCGCTCTGAAGTGGAGGAAAATATGCTGTCCGACTTCCGAGCCGCTTCCTTTGCCTCTTCAAGTTCTATATACACAGAGAGGTGTCTACAAACCGCAGCCATAGTCGTCGTTGGCAGATATTAGATATCCAAGAGGCTCATGAGAAAGATCCCTTTGTTTTGCTAAGCTGACTGAGAACTATGAGTCTGGTGACGGGTACAGCACCGACCAGAGTTTACTGTTAGTGCCGAGCGAGTAACCAAGCGTCCGCTGCTTCATGTCGACCCCAAGCTTGAGCAGGTCTACAACATCGTCCAGCAAATGTGCTTGTCCAACCACCGCTCCAGGATGCGAAGTAAAGTTCGCTGCCAAGATATGCACATGCAAATGGTAGTAGCTCGGATGGTAATGCAAAAAGCAACGCACATTGCCCTCGGCCTGTCCCTCCTCCTTTCCCGCCAGGCCGTATTTGTCGAACGCTACCTTGCTGGCTTGAACGTGGATGTTCTCTAGCATTTCAACATGGTTTCTTGTCAGGTCTCGCAAGCTCTTCAACTCTCTGTTGTGAACAATAGCCTGGATGTAAAGACTTGACGTCGTCTTCTGATCCCACTTAAGGTCCGGCACAATGATAAAGCCTTTCGTTGGATCTGGATCTTCATACAAGATACTATCGGCCTCCTTCTTGTGTTCAAGGATATTGTACACCCATTGTATGCGGGAAGGCGGGAACGACTCGATCCAGGGCAGCACCTTGTGCTGATACATTTCCGGTGTCTCGTACACCATAGCTTTGCGCTGCGCCGAGTACTTGTCAATGTGCGTCTGCGTTGCCGGCCGAATAAGGGTGATCTTGGTGTCTGCGTCACTGTCTCTGCAAGTTGCGCTGAAGGAAGGTCGATAAGACCAAGCCAGCAGCCATGTATAAATGTCGTTTTGTCCGAGATCAGTGAGTCCTTGGAAGATGATTCGGCGGTCCAGGTGCATCGCATTTGAGATATCGTCATCCGTCACTTTCGGCCGCTTGGCACAGCTTTCCGCATCATCGGCGTAGCGAATCGGGCATTCCGAGGGCTCGCGAAGACGATCAAAGAATGTTTCCGAGAAGTGTGTCTTTTCGACAATCAGAATGGCTTGCTCGCCGCCTTGTTCGCCGGATGCAGAGGTGGTGGGAAATTCGCCAAGAAGGTTGGCCGACTTGAGCTTTGGATCCTGATCTAAGATCCTGATGAGCTTGAATCCGTCCAGCGCGCTGCTATCTGTGGGGCCCTCCATCCTTCCTTGTTGATCGCAAAGGTGGTTGCGAGGACGGACGAGTCAAGTTGTCTTTGAGCATCCTCATCTGTCGCAGGGTCCAACCGCAAGAAGAAAGCATCCATTTCTCAGCTCCGACTTCCGCTTTTTTTACCTTCTCGTCCTCCACTTTAGTCAGCTCATCATCTTCGAATCCAGCCTTATGTCCTGACCATCTTCGTGCACTTGCACTTCCAAAACGCCAAAGTATATCGAAGATGGGCTCGTCATCATCGAAGCCAGCGCGTAAGCTCGGGTCAGAATTGGCGTCTTCCGTCGCTCGCGCTGTTCCGTCCGCCGCCAAGCCTTCTGCCCACCCAAACCCAGCTCCTGCTGCTCCTTCGAACGCCGGCAAGGATCGTGTTACGCCCACAGAGTATGGCGCTTCTAAAGCGAAGCAGAGCTCGCAGTACGCACCGTATGCATCGACTCGCAGAGAACAAGAAACACAGCGACAGCAGCAGCAAGCCAGCGAAACAAAGTCTGCCGACATCATGCGTGATGCTTACGATCCACAGTTCATGCAGAACCTGTCGAGGTTAGGACAGGTGCAAGTCCCAAAGAATGCTACCAACTATCAGCCTGTAAGTAGCAAGACAAACCTATCTTACTACGCTTCCTTCTCGTTCAGATTGCTGACAACACCCTTACAATGGCCGTAATGTGATCTTGTGATCGTACTTAGAACGACCAAATGCTCCGTATTCTGGAAGCACGTGAGCGAGCCAACCTCGATAACATGCAGTCTGCAGCGGCCATTTCCTCGTCATCCTCCACTTCTCCCGCTAGTGCATCGGCAAAGTCGGCAGGGGTTCCCAGAATCTCAGCCAACACCATCACTCTTTTACTCGACGACCGAAAGCATTGCGAGACAAGAAAGGACCTCGAACGACTTGCCCTCGAGTACGATCTGCCCCTGGAAACCATCGAAACGCTGGCAAAGTACTACAACTCACCGACGCTGGGCGAAGAGATCAGCGACGATGCCGGAGAGCACACCAAACAGGGAGACCAGGCGAATATGCAGGAGGAAAGAGCTCCACCAAAGGTCAGAGGCGTCTGGGTGGAGCCAAAGCTTCAGAACCAGATCTCAGCATAAGACTTAACAGCCATTAGTAAGAATCGTCTATTGATGCATACGGGTGCGTCTATGAGAGTATTACGAGTCCCTTTGCGACCGTCTGTGGGTGGAGTATGCCTAGTGAAGTGACGACGAAATTTAAGTCTCGCGGCTCCAGCTGTCTAAGGTGATATGGGAGGACGAGATGATTCGGGAGGCAAAACTCAAAGAGTGTTGCTTCGCGCGTTGAAGTGCCCAACCAAGCTTTGGTCTCGGGCTTGCCGGCTGCCTGCAGCCATATATTGAAGTACGCCGAAGCTAAACTGGCTGAAGGAGATGTCCATGTCAGTGCCACTGGCAGTACCCTGCTTCCAATTGTTGCGGGGGATGCGCCCTCATGCGCGATGCTCGTAGCTAATCGTACTTCCAACGCTGATGGGGTTGTTGACTGCGAAACTGTTGCGCCTTTCGCACTTGAAGAAAGTTGTAGAGCTCCGATCCGCAGCTTAATCTGACTTGTCGTCAGAGGATGAACGGAGAAGCCCAAACTGAGTGCCATGATGGATCGATTTGCATCATCAAGAGATCGTCGAACTTTCAACTGCACCGAGAAGGCTCTCCAATTGTTTGACAGAGCTTCTTGTTCGACATCGCTGTGCTCAATGCTGAGCTGGCCTTCTTCCTTGCTTTCGCCAAGGTGCATCACATGTGGCTGCAGTGCGTCAAGAATGGCTGCCTCGCCTTGACACACGAGTGTGTACTTCCAATCATGTGCCTCACCAGAGGCAGCTTCCGGCAGCAGCATTACCGCTGAGCAGAGCGGTACTGTCATGCGATCTGTGACTTTACCCTGGTCGTCACAGGATGGTGACAGAAACATCGCGAAGGAGGCCGTTCCTTCCCAGACGCAGTGATGGTCATACCACCATGTTGCGTTTTCTACGCCATCGATTAGTTTCGCTGCTCCCTCCATCGTCTTCTGAAGATGATGCCACGCCAGGTAGAAAAGATCCGGTTTGGGCATGCAAACACCCATGTCTGTGAACCCTGCTTCTTCATCCTTCGAGCCCGCTGACCATTCGTGAACTAGCGTGCCCTGGTCGAACCACTTTGTGCCTGAGCCGAAGCTGAAATTGGTATAGAAGCCATGCCGACTGGCGCGTCGACGAAGACGATCCCGTTGGAGATTAGAGTGGTGGAAGTACCTCTGGACCGGCTTTGCTTCACTATCTGACAGAGGAATTCGATAGCTTGCCGGTGCTAGAGATGTAGGGACGCCGACCCAGAAAGCAATGTCGATGTGCCACCAATCAACCCAGCTTCTCTTTCGTTCTGCTTGTTCAGATGTGAGCGCAAGACCGGCTGACTCCTCTTCCCATGTCCATCCGGGAGCGAAGAGTGCGACACTCAGACCCAGCGACTCCTTTTCGTCATCTTGTCGATGCGGACCGATCATTTCAAGCGACTTCCAGCTCTTCAAGCCGCCCCAGCAATTGCGACCAAATACGTCGATTCCGACATACACCTCGTTGCGTGGTCGAGCCACGCTATCAGCCATGGCTGCTGAGAGCAGTAACTGCGGATGCAGCCCTCCATCTGCTTCTCCTGTCAGACCAAAACCACAACGTTGTAGGTTCTGCGGACTTTCGTCATCCGGGTCAATGAGCTCACCCGGAGGTAGTGGTTGAGGCGGCCTCGCCCAAGTATAGTTGGTGAAGAAGGTATGAGCCGACTGATAGAAAGGTACGTTGTGCTTGTTGAGAGCATCTTGCCAGGCAAGCTGGCCATGGGGATACACCACCGAGTCATACCACATAACCTGCCACTCGTCTGAATTCCTGCCAGCCTCGACGAAGCGCCTTGTCCCCTCCTCTCTCAGGTAATGCACCCAGCCGCGAAGACGTTCGGAATTGCGGTGCATCTCGCCGATTCTGGCCTGTTCTCCGACCCACGCAGGCCACGCTTCTCCAGAGCAGCTGAAGCCAAGATCCAGTGCGGTCTCAATGTTGACAAGGTAGCCGGAGAAGCCACGGTCCAATGCAAACTGGATCAACTCGATAGCATACTGAGGAGAGAAGGAGGGATCACCTCGCAGCGGCATCGCTTTGCGTTCAGGACCACGGAGAAGACGTGCCATGTCTGGAACACTCTCTGCCCACTCGAAGATGAGCGTGCCGAGGACCTTTGTGCCGGTCCGGGAGGCGGCTGTTAGCCAGCCGACAGGTGGGATGCTGACACGCTTGTGTGAGAAGTAGATGAATGTATCAACGAGATGCATATGCTCTAGTGTGTAGCCTTGTCGGTGTGGCGACTCGGTGTAGCCGCCTTGAAAGTCATGGCATACGACCAGCTTGGGTCGGCTACCAGCTGTTGCAGAAGAGCTGCTGTGGGATGGCGGATACTTGTGTTTGCTACATGATTCGAGATGATCTTGAAGTATATCTCCATATTGCATCTGGTACCAAAGATGCAGCTCGTCCAGCGTCTCGAAGAAGTCCGGCCTCGGTAGCGCTTCTGAATCGAGGTGCTGTCGAAGTGAGGACGACGGTGTTTGCAGGTCAAGCTCGGCTTCATCCCGCGTTTCCAGTATTGGTGGGGACGCCGCGGCATGTCTACGTGCTTGAAGATATGTCGCCGTCGGCATCTTGATGGATGCAGGTACGGAGCCCCGCAGATGAAGTGTCGGAGGACATGGGCGCTCGACGTTCGTAAGAAGAACTTGTTCAGGGTCGAGCATCATGCTGACTTGCTTCGCTGTGGAGGAGAACCGTGCCCAATTATCACTATGTTACACCGGTCAATTCCACATGCTTGTTCGAGTGGAGCATTTGCCGGAATCTGGGTCGAAAGTTGCGTGAAAACGCAACAGCCGACGCTATGTTTTATGCTGCCGAGGTAGCTAATTCACATGCCACCCCGCATTTAGGCGTGCGTCTTTGAGAGCAGCTCTTCGTTGCAGCAACTTTTTTTGGCAACAGCGAACTTTCCGCTCGACCTGGAGCAGGGAGTGGTAACCAATTGCTTTCAAATACTGCTTCTCTTCTGTCTTCTTCTGTTCACACGTCCACCATCAGCCGTCGATCGCAAGCTTTAATTCGCTATCGCAAGCTTTAATTCGCTATCGCAACCATGGCCGCCGCAGCATCAGACGAAATCGCCGCTAAGGCAGAGAGCATCATCTCTCACATGAACAATGACCACAAGGTATGCCATCCACCTCCTGCTTGTCTGCCTCACTGCATCGACTTGCTGACTTGACGTTCTCCGACACACAATGTATTGTTCGTGGCTTTTGTATTCTACAGGACTCGCTGGCCTACCTCGCAACCCACTATGGCGACCTCCTCCACCCTCTCAAGCCCAACCAGGTGCTCATGACAAAGATCGACAAGGAGCGCCTCGAAATCGTCTACACCACCGACAAGAGTTCTGTCCCCATTGCAGGCAAGCCTGGCTCCAAGACCGTCCATGTTCCCTTCTATCCACACCTTGCCGGCTACTCCGAAGTGCGACAGCGTCTCGTTGACGTTTCGGCGCTTTCAAAGAAGGTCGTCACCACTCGAAAGGTAAGCTGCCTACCGCGAAAGCTTGCATCTAGTGCTTCTAGTCTGGACGGACATTCATACTGCTGCCTTTTGCCCCACGCCACAGCCTGACATCGTGTACCGCACACCCAAGCTTGCGTTTCCTGCATTGGCCTTGTGCGTTTTCGCATACTTGGCTCTTCGCTCAGACGCACTCGCATCGCACGCCATTGTCCAGTCTCTCGTCCCAGATGACAAGTTGACCCAGTGGAACAACTTGCGCAACAACACCTTTGGCGGCCCTGCCAAGATCGATGCCTTCGTCAAGAGCATCGTTCGAGCTCACTTGCTGGAGGGTGCTCTGATGGCGCTCGTCTGCTACTGGAAAGGCGCAAGCAAGCTGGTGACCGTTCGATGGGCCTTTACTACTATGGCACTCGGTATTCCTTCATGGGTCATTTTCTTTACGCTCAACTCGCAAAAGAGGGCTCTCAAGAGGGCAGTCCAGTTCGACGCTGATAAGAGGAAGAAGAACAACTAGAAGTCAGTTGTTCGTGGTATCTGTCAGACTCGTGGAATGCCTTTAACGAACGTTCATCTCAACGAAACTTCTATACAGCATAGTATGTGCGTGTGGATGTGCAGAAGTTGGAAGACTCAGGGCTTGAACTCGTATCCGCCCACACGGTTGGCAACATTGATCTTGAGCTGTTCGAGTAGATTTCCCGTCTGATCTTCCAAACCGCAGAACATCGTGTCGCCGTCCTTGACCTCTCCAACGCCTTGTGGTGTACCTGTCAACAGCAGATCACCTTCTTCCAACGTCATGATGCTCGACACGTGCTCGATGAGCTCTGGAATATCAAAGATCATGTCGCTCGTGGGACCGTTCTGCTTGATCTGGTCGTTGACCTTGAGCCACAACTTGAGTTTTGAAGGGTCACGGACACGAGATTTGTCAACGAAACCTGATGTGGGTGTGAAAGTGTCGAAACCTTTTGCCGAAGACCAGGGAAGACCTTTGGACTTGACCTTGTCTTGGAGGTTACGCGCGGTCATGTCAATCGACAAGGTGTAGCCAGCGACGTGGATCATGGCATCAGCAGCTGAGACATTGCATACCTTAGCAGAGCCGATGACAACGCCGAGCTCGACTTCATAGTGAGCGACAATGCCATTCGGGATCTCTACGGTGCCATTGTTGGTGATGTAGGATGTGGTGGGCTTGAGGAAGAAGAAGGGCTCGGTGGGGACGGCATTGTTGAGCTCCTTAGCATGAGCGGCGTAGTTGCGGCCGATGCTGTGTTGGAGCATGCAAGGATAGGATCACGAATGTCAGCGCAGGGTTCCCGCATGTGAATGATGGAGACGAACCGGCGTCAGAACCAGCAGCCTCTCTGTGGTATGAAAACAGTTGACCTTGGCAGAATATACTCACGCCACGATCTTTTTGCCTCGTGTCAGAAATGATGCCATGTTGCTCCCGTGCTTGAGATATGATGGTGTTGGTGTTCTGACGAGAAAGTAGCTACCACTGACAGGACTTCGCTTCCCTTCATCAACGTGGGGCATGATCTTGTGACTCGCTAGACAAATGTGCAAAGCCGACAATTCCTCCGGAGTGAAGCATCTTCTTGTTTCGTGCATTTTCCATCGGGTGCCCGATTGATGAGATCTCGCACGCCCAACAACGTTCTGATGGTGTCATTCGAAGATAGATTGCCGAACCCGCACTGACCCACCGTACTACTTAGTTCCCTCTCGCCACCACCACGACACACTCTCCCCTTCGTTCGGAAGACTTAACGCGAAGATGGCGAACGCACACATCAACACTGCGCTGAACAACTTCTTCAACGCGAACAAGTTTGCTATTGTTGGCGCAAGTAAGGATGCCTCGAAATTCGGCAACAAGGTGCTCAAATGGTATCAGGCACACAAACTCGACGCTACACCCATTCACCCTAAAGAGCCTGAGATCGAAGGACTTGCTACTCAGCCTGACGTCGCTCACTTCCTCGATGCTGCAGGCACTAATGCAGATAATATTGCTATCTCCGTAGTCACGCCCCCTAAGATCAGCTTGGCCGTTGTACGGAAGGGTATTCAAGAGCAAGGTGTTTCTACGTTCTGGCTACAGGTATGTTCCTCTCCTTCACCAACCTAAATGCAGAGTATCCTGATCTCATCAATTTTCTACTTCTCTGTATCCCTCCCGAACAGCCTGGCGCTGAGGATGCTGATCTGATCAGCTGGGTCAAGTCGCAACCAGACTCGGTGCAGGACCGAGTGATCTACGGTGGTCCATGTATTCTTGTCTCTGGCCGACAACTTGCTGCAGACAAGGGCAAGCTCTGAAGTAAAGAGCATAGTAAATCGGAACCATGAAAGACAATTCTGGAGCCAAATTGTGCGGATGCTCATGTTGTGTCATCTGACGGGTCAAATCCTCTCGAGTTCGCGCACGTGGGGATCTGAACTACACGCTGCATAAGAGACAAACGGTTCACTGTGACTGACAAGCTTCTTTGATTGAGAGCGAATGTTGGCAAAGTCGTTATTACATGGCCTTGCCGTTTTCGTCAACAGTCGTGAAGGTATAAGTCGACTTCCAGTGGTACGGCCTATTGGGACCGTAGATCTGGTTCCTACCCCATTCTGGGTTGTTGATGCCATCAATGTAGTCCTCCATCTCGAGCACGACGCACTCGTCGTTCTCATACTGAACTTCGCCGATGTCGTTGCCGACCTTACCGCCGTGCACCTGCTTCCTCGGAATACCTTTGCCTGGCTTGTTGACGCCTGTGCAAGTGTACATCTGCACAGCCGCCTGGTTCGTAGCGACAGAGAGCTTGATACCCGACTTGGGGCTGTACATCTCAACGACAGGCTTGGCGGTATCATAGCCAGGAGGGTTCGACATGACAAAGCATGAGTCCCAGCCCTTGCATTCGTAGCCGCAGATGCCGAGAGTGTCGTTGAAGTTCTTCGCAAGCGGTGTGGCAGTCTGGAAGTCGTACGGTGTGTTTTCGACGGAAGGAGTGGGACCAGTGGGGATGAGAATAGTGTCTGTCTTGATATACTTATCTGCATACGGCATGTGGACGACGTAGTCCAGATTGGAGGCCGTCTCATTGAAGGCGTCCAAGTTCCAGTAGACATGCGAAGAGAGCAAGATCGGAGTCTCCTTGGTCGCTGTAGCGTTGAGCTCAATGTGCCATGTTGCATTCTTGGAGAGCGTGTAGCGAGTGTACGTCTTGACCTGACCAGGGAAACCCTGGAATCCATCGGAGTCGATGTGTTCGAGAATAAGCTCGTTGGCGCTCAACTTGGAGATTGTGTAGTTGCTACAGTCATAACCAATGTCTCCGCCATGAAGCGAGTCGAAACCATTCTCGTTCTTTGGAATGTTGTATGTCTGACCGTTGAGCTCAAAAGTGCCGTTCTTGATGCGGTTGGCGTATCGACCGACAATGGGGCCAAAGTTGGGATGGTTGGGGTCCGTGGCCCAGTTTGTGGTGTTGTCATAGCCAAGCACGATATCTCTCCATCCACCCCATCGATCCTTGACCCACAGCTCAGTAACGCCGGACCCGTACGGCTGGAAGGTGGCACGGATCGAGTCGTCCGGTGCGCGAAGCTCGATGCGGTTGTTTGGGTAGACAGCAGGCAAGGCTTGAGGACACTGTGTGCCGGGTACAGTGGAGCCGGAGCCTAGGATGAGCTGCGAGCCTTCGGTCTGCGAGTTGTACAAGCAAGGGTAGCTTCCGATAGTGCCGTTGTTGACAAAGCCAGGAGTCTCTTGCGGCGATGCTGCGGCAGCAACATTTGAAGTAGTGGTTGACGTGGCTCTGGCATCAGTGCCGTTGATGGAGTCGACAACAGCAGCCTTCCACAGCTCTGCCTTGGCAACCGGTGTGGGACTCGCCAGTGAAGCCGACGCAGCGAACAGCTGGAACGCCAGTGGCAGGAGTGCCGTTTTGAACATCATCCTTTTATGATGTTGTCGATGAGCTCGACACGACAAGGGAGGAAGAAGAACGAAGCTGATCCACGGAAGAGGTCTTGAAGTGGAGGGAAGTAAGTCAAAGGAGGACCATGCGCACAGGCAGGAAAGTGTTTGTGGGGGTGAGCGGAGTGCGAAAGGGAGAGAGGATCATCGGAGTTTTATACCAAACCAGAAGGGGGAACTTTGGGCCCTCTTCTCATGCAGGGGCACGCTCTTCCATTCGATTGCAATGATCCTCTGGCTAAGATCAGCGCAGCAACAACTTCAATTGAGAGGCCACAAGAAGGGTTTAAGGGCGGTCGATGAGCATGTGCGCAGTGCGGGATTGCCGGTCAGCCGTAACCTGTTGAGGCTGGATGATTTCCGAGTCTCAAAGTGGGTACGGTGTCACAAGACCTGTCTTGGAGTTCTATCGGAGAAGACGAAGAGGATGATGGACGATCATTTCCCAAGATTCCCGAAGAGGGGTTGCGAAGCGCGGACAACTTTGCCAGATGTTTCTGCGCCGAATGCTTTACTGTACTTGTACCCTAGTGTACAGAAAGCACCTCGAATGATCTGCGGAGAAGTCTTTGTAGAGACGTTCCTGTTCTCCACGCAGACAACGGGCACGTCCTCAGGCGAGACGAAGACGGAGGCGAGCTCGGTTAGACGCTGTGAGAGAACAAGAAGAGGTGGAACAGACGGATCAAACATCTGAGGCTCAATCACAAAGAAGCAAGCGGATGTTTCTTTCGACACACAGCCCGCCATCAAGATCAGGCAGCTGATCCGCAATGGCCTTGACCGGTCGATGGAGAGCTCGCAAAACAAAGGAATGCGGGGCCGCTGCTGCTCGTTCGGGATTCTGATCGATCTCGGAGATCTCTCCGCGCAAAGTCGCGGCACACTCATGGCATGGCAATTCAGCGAGCCGCCGGCAGATGAAACACTTAGCGTTCGCTTCCTGGTGCCCCGTACTTGCCCGTTGACACTCATCCTTGGCGACATGTGCGGAGGATGCTCTGAAGTTTTGCGACGTGCTGGGTACTTGTGACTGTGCTACCAATGCTGAATGAAACCACACCGTTAGCATGAGAGACGATTCAGGCCGTGAGCATGAGGTAGTCAAAGCACTAGTCGGTAGAGCAGCACTCCACCGCTTTCTCTTAAGCTCAGCATAAAGCACAGTAGGCCAGCCTTTGTGTGGCCAACAGCATCCTGGTCGCAGGTGTTGCATGAAGCACGTAAGAAAAAGTGACCGAAGCGTTGGACCCTGAAACCCGGTCCAGCAACTTGAGACGGAGAAGCTTCGAAGATGACAACTTGCCGCCTGACCAGCAGGATCTTCGCGGCACTATCGACCTTGGACGAACCCGCCTGCTGTTGAGATCAGCATGTTGCGGTCGACCAATACCCTGTTGCCATGGCCGCTGCTTTCGGTCTGGTGGCTGCTCACGTTCCACCTGGTGTCAACACTTGCTCGGCAAGCGTCTTTCTCTGCGCCCGTCACATCCAGCTTACCAAGCGCTGAAGCCGCAATACCAGACTGCTACCCTTTCTGCCCGGAGCAGGATGGCAGTTCCCGTTCCGTTTCGGCCGTGGAAGCGGCTAGATATCGCAATCGGCTAGGAACGCTGAAATGGGTCGATCCTCGCATCGGTACCAACGGCCCTGATCCATCTGAGTACGGTGGTATGGTTCCGTCGGTAGCATTGCCGTTTGCTGGCGTTCGCACCGTGCCGATGACTCGGGAGAATCTCGTCTCTGGATGCGCATACCACGACAACGACACCGTCAACATTGGCTTCATTGCAAGCCGTCAACCTGCGATCTGGATGGGCGACTATGGCTTTACAACCATCTTTGCTGGACAAGGAGACGTCAAGCTCGCCAAGCACGAACGAGGTCACAGCTTTGAGCGTTCGCAAGAATTCGTCTCTCCCTTCAAGTATGCTGTGCGCATGGGCAATTCCTCTACAAAAGGTCACGTTTTCGCCGAGCTTGCCGGCAAGAGTCGTGCTGCCATAGTGCAGTACACCTTTGACTCGCCGAGCAATGACACCACTCAAGAACACGAGACAAGTTCACGGTCTTCACATGTGGGCCTTTTGTCCACCCCGGACAGCAATATCTCGAGCAAGGCACCGTATGTTGGAATCCAAGCGTCCCGAGAACAGTGGCGAGGTGCTGTCCGCATCAACACAGAGAAAGGCGAAGTCTCAGGGTACAACACCGAAAGGATGGACTACCGTCTCGGTCCACACGAGGCTTCTGGATTTCGCGGCTACTTTGTCTATCGCTTCGAGTACCAGCGCTCGAGTACTATCCAGGATGAATGGATCAGCGGCTTCGCAAGCAGTGGCACTGCTCACACGAACGCCACTGGTATCGCGATGCATCCGGACGAGCGAGCTCGCTGGAACGAGCTGGGTGTCTATGCATTCGTCCGCTTCCCGCAAGACACAATCAAAGTGCGAGTTCGTCTTGGTATGAGCCTGATCTCAGAGGAGCAGGCTCGCTACAACCTCGACGTCGAAATGCACAACGGCACCTCTGTCGAGGTCGTGGTTGACGAGCTCATTGACGTTTGGAGAACCAAGACCGATCGCATCCAGGTGGAAGGTGGAAGCGAACAACAGAAGCGCATCTTGTATACAGGCATGTTTCACGCCTCACATTATCCAGCCGAACATGCCGAACCCATCCCACACAGCGATGACAATGTAGATGGCATCAAGACACCGCCAGCAACACCTCATCACGACAAAGAGGACAAGCACAAGTATCACTACTACTCGGGATACACTGACAGCGTCCACAAAGTCAAGGAAGGATTGCAGCGTTACCAGTCCTGGTCGATCTGGGACATCTATCGAGCTCAGTGGAACTTGCTTATCCTGTTCGAGCCTCGCCGGGTTGTCGACATGGTGCGGTCGCTACTTGACATCTATGACGAGTCTGGCTTCTTGCCCATGTGGTCGACGCTAGCAGAGACCAACATTATGATCTCGACGCATGCCGACTCGCTCATTGCCGAAGCTGCTGTCAAGGGTGTGCAGGGCTTTGACCTGCAGAAAGCGTGGAAGGCTGTGTACAAAGATGGAACAGTGCCTCCAGAGAGAGATGACGAACTGCGTTACGAGGATCGTGAAGAATATACACCGCTTGAGGTCAGGGCTGGTCTGACTTTCTACAATCACTCAGGGTATGTTCCTCTTGATGGCTGGTCCGAATCCACGAGTCGCACGCTCGACTATGCCTACGATGACCATGCGATAGCCATTCTCGCCGACCTGCTTGAGAAAGAAGAGGAAGCTGCCTATTTCCACAGCCGTAGCAAGAACTATCGACATGTGTTCGACCACGAACAAGGGCTAATGGCTGCTCGGCTCAAGAACGGAAGCTTCATCGTCCAGCCTCTGCCCGATCCACGTGGTCGCCAGCAAGGCTTCACAGAAGGCAACATGTTCGACTACAGCTTCGACGTGGTACAAGATATTTCCGGTCTAGCAGAGCTGGTAGGAGGCAGAAACAAGCTTGTAGCGCTGCTGGATCGACACTTCAGTGAAGGACACAATGATCAGTCCAACGAGCCATCACACCACATTCCTTACCTGTACTCTTTGCTTGGCGAGGCAAGCAAGACTCAGAAGCTGGTTCGTGACATCTCGTACGAGAGCTTCAGCGACCAGCCCGATGGATACGCTGGCAACGAGGACCGTGGCCAGCAGAGTGCCTGGTACATCTTTAGCTCTATGGGTTTCTACCCTGTCAATCCGGTATCAGGAGAGTATGTCGTATCGTCGCCTTTCTTCGAGGCCATCGACATCGATATCCCGCCGCGAATGAATCACGGTGGTGATGGTCAGGCCAGAGAAGGGAAGCCCACGCGACTGCGGATCGAGGCTCCGGGGGCAAATGATCAACATGTCTACGTTTCTAATCTCTTTGTGAACGGCCAAGCTATAGACCAGCCCAAGCTCAACTGGACCGACCTGCTCAGCGGTGGAACTTGGAAGTTTGACCTCTCAGACAGACCGCAAGTATGGGGAAATGATAAGTCCCTTCGGCCGCTTCGTGCATAGAAGGAAGTGCGCAATGTCAATCAAGGAACAGTGTCTGTTTACATCACTCAGTGTCTCGCCTTGTCTGATTTGTCTGCGCCTTTTGGATGACTGAATCAGCATGTCAAACATTGAAATCATTCGGAGCATAATTGAAGATTGAAGCTGCACGGCACCGCCTCGTAGAGCTACGTTCTAGCTCTTATCGCACAGGTGTATGATAACTGCAATGCTTAAGATTTCTATGAACTAGGGCTACAGGATTGCTCATATATATACCTTCGTTCCGTCCATGAGAAAGTCTGACTTCACCCTACTAACTGAATGTGTCGCGTGGTGCCTCGGCGTTATCTTCTTTTAGCCTCGGCGTTTTCTCCTAGGACGTTTCCTGATTGGTCGCCACACGTCGACCATGCATGCACTTCCTTCGGTCTATCGGCAATTCGGCTTTCTCGCATATCGGTTATTCTGGCGTAACTTCAACTAGCATCACTTGACAGACGACCTGTTTTCTGAGCAAATGTATTCTAACTATATCTCGTGAACAAGTCTATATATCTTCGGATTCAGAGGCTCGTTCGACGTGCTGTAATCTCGCTTGACCACGACACTGATACTCTCTCCAGCTAGATAGTATGCCACATAGGAACCATGAAGCCGCTAAAAGAAGCTCCATGATCGACAAAGCAATCAGCGCATGCTGTACTGCTTGGTGCTTGTCCCGCTTCGATGCTTTCGTGGCTACTTTCAAGATGACCTGCGACAACGCAGCGCCGCCGAGAAGCCCAACGATGCCCATCAGCTTGAGCCGATTTGAACCTGTCAAGTTGAGCATGAGCAGGTGCAGGTCAGATGAGACCGAAGTCAATGTAGCAGTGAAAACGACCGTGTTGGAAAACGGTGTTGCCAGGCTGGTAGAATAGGTCGACTGGCAGCCGAAGCTCGCCGCTAAGATGGAGATGACAAGCCAACCCAGCGACCCGCCGAGTCGAAAGGCAGGATATTGTGTGCCGACAAGGATGATTGTCAATGTGGCTAACGATCGATAGAGTGAAAGCAACACAATAGTGATGCGCTTTGTTCGTTCCGTTGCCAGGCGTGTCACCAAATTGGATGCGATCTGGCACCCAATCATGAAGCCAACGATCGCACTGACGTTCGACTCGAGCTTCCAGCGAACCTCTCCCTGGTTGTCACCTGCGTTGGAGTCGGAAGGAAGCAGCAGATCGAAAGAGTTGATCACCATCTGGACCATGTTTCCAGTCATAAACCCGACCCAGGTCTTGGTGAGCGTGAATATGCTTGCATCCCCCAGACCAGTGATCAAGCATTGAAGAAGTAATGGTGGGATATAGGCTGCTTGTAACGAGTTGCCAGAGTCGAAACCGGGTAACGGAGAGAATGCATGTGCTCGAATGAAGCCGCCGAAGCTCGAAAGGGCGAAAGTGGTCGTATCTTTTTGACGCCGTGCTTGATGAGGTAGGAACCGTGAACGTCCGCTCGACATACTGTGCAGAGGTGTCTGCGACAGCTGAAGCAAGATGCCACTCCGACCCACCGTGGCTGTCAAGCAGGACCCTAAGTCGCTCGATGCTGTGTGAATTCTTCTAAGCTGGAGTCAGGAAATGGAGTTTGAGCAGTGCCAGGTGAGAAGCATGGTTCGGAGTCAAGCAAAGCTGCTTTCTGTCACTTTCCTCGAGCTCAGTACATGTGGAGGAGTTTCATTTACGAGCAAGTAAGCAGGCCGAAGCAATGGTGGGTCTCGGCAAGGAGAAGTGTGAAGACTTCTTTCTTCTTAACAGGCCTCACCATGAATAGCAGTATATTGGATTAATATATGACCACACCTTTATTCCCAACATCTGCGGCCATAGAACCTTGAAAGCACCGCATCCCGTCCGATCTGCGAAGTTAAGCAAGGTATCGCCTAGTCAGTACTGCGGTGGGGGACCACGCGGGAATCCTAGGTGCTGCAGTTACTTTTTTGCTTTTTCGGACCTTATTTCTGACATTTTTTTCCGAACCGCTTTTCAATACCTTCTGGTCTTTTCTTCACAGTCACATCAATAAGCCCGTGAAAGTTGTGTTCCCTGTGATCATTGTAAGCCTCCAATCATATCAGACCCATATGTGGTTTTCAACCCAGCAATTGACGAGACAGTGACTGGAGGTGTGGTACCAGGGACGCTCCACTGAGGCAAGGAACAGGGTGGGGGTAGAGTTCGACCACGGTTCGCTCTTCCATAGGCGAGGTCAAGTTTGTACCAGGATGAGAGGTCCCGAACCATACGAGTGCATAGCCGCATCGCTGAGCTGCTGTGTCGGCGTATTCGGCGAGATCAAAAGATACCATCCGGTCAACGGTTTCCGTTTGCAGTCTCTATGCCGCAACAGCTGAGAAGAAAGTTCAAGACGCCGATGCTCGTTCTCGCGTATGGAGAGAGAAAAGCCCGATCAGATACGCGATGGTGTTCGGTGCGTCAGAAGACTCAGCCTCCTGCGTGACCTTAGCCAAAGGTACATTAAGGAATCCTTCCGTTCTCATCTCTATGTACCTCCATCTTACCATTGCGCCCACCTCCTGAAGACCATAACCATGTCAGGATCAACTCCCATTCCAGTCTGTATTGTGGGCTTCGGCAACTCGGCTCGCACCTTCCACATTCCCTTCGTACTCGCCCTGCCGCAGCTCTTCACCCTTCACTCGATCCAGCAGCGTCCGCGCAACCCAGCCAACGCCTCCTCATCTCCTGATGCTTCCAAGCTGTTCCCTAACGTTACTATCATTCCTGACTTTGACAGCGTTCTCACCACGCTCCCAAAGAACGGTCTCATCATCGTGACCACCACCAACGACACCCACTTCCCCTTCGCCAAGCGTGCCCTCGAGGCTGGATCCAACGTCCTCGTCGAGAAACCCGTCGCCACCAATCAAGCCGATGTTCAAACCCTCATCGACCTTCAAGAGAAGACTGGCAAGCTTTGCGCCGTCTACCAGAACCGTCGCTTCGATGGCGACTTCCTGACTATCCAAAGCTTGCTCTCTGACAAGGGAGCTGAGCCTTCTGCGCTTGGTGTGCCGACCTACTTCGAGTCGAGGTTCGACAGGTTCCGACCCTATGCCAAGGGTGGCTGGAGAGAAGAAGTTGACCCGGACACACAGGGCGGTGGTATGCTTTGGGATCTGGGAAGCCACTTGATCGATCAAGCCCTCTTCCTTTTCGGCCCTCCCCAGAGTGTCACTGGCTTTGTTCGCAACCAGCGCAACCAAGGACCTGCTGCTGTCGATGACGACTGGCTTGCAATCCTCAACTACCCCGAGTCGGCACCTCTGCCTCCTTCTTCGCCTGCTGCCGGGTCCAAGATCGGCGGTCTCCGAGTTTCGCTAGGAGCAACATGTCTTTCGTCTCACGTCGATGCTGAGCAGCCCAGGTTCAGGGTCGAAGGCACACACGGAAGCTACGAGAAGCGAGGCACTGATCCTCAAGAGAACCAGCTCAAGCTGGGTTTGACTCCCTCCAGCCACCCTGAGGAGTTTGGTGTGTACAACGAGACCAACGATCCCGACTCGATTCGATTCGGAAGATTGACGACCATGGCTAGGTCGAACAAGGACCTCTCCCTGCCTGCACCAGGTGCTGGTGCACCTAAGCAGCCTCAGTTGTCCGTCGCCAACATCCCTACGCTGCCAGGAAGGTACATCGACCTGTTTGCCAACGTTGCTGCCTCGATCAATGCTGCTAAGCAAGCCGAGGCGGAGGGGAAAAACGCAGCCGAGGCGATCCGGGCTGTCTCGCTGGTCGGTGTGGAGAGGACTCTCAATGCTGTCAAGCTCATCAAATTGATCCGGGAGAGCAGTGTTCAGGGCAAGACTTTGCAATGGTCTTAGTTTGGCCATCTGAATATCATGGTGATGTAGTCATTAGCTGGTCTGGAGTGAGTCGTAAAGTCTGAATGTCTGGGTATCATTTTGAGTGTCTGTCGGTCTATTTTGGATCCGAAGCGGTTTGGAGGGTAGGAGGCTACGACTCGCCCTTGAAGCGGCGCTTATAGTCTTCAGGGCTCTCGAACTTCTTTCCAAGGCTCCACATGCCGATCTTTTGTCGTCTGTACAGTTCAAGGTAAGCTCATTGTCAGCATGAGCATTCTCTCAATCAATGCAAAGAAGCGTGCTGTTGGTGTGTGAACTTACTTTGCTTTTGTTTCTGCTCGTTCTAACGCACTCAAGCCGGTTGTTGACTTCCTCCAGAACTTGGCCCACCACGTTGCATGTCCATAGTCAGCTCCAGCAGCTCGGTACACCGTCGCCCAGCCCTCCTTCACCATCGCTAGTGAGACGTTAGTCTTGCCGAACACATAAGGTGGCTCCCAAATATACGGTGTTGCAACCAACCTCTTGTACTGATCGATGTGCGATGGATATAGCCAGACCAGCTTTCCTGAGATTTCGTTCGCTGTCGCTGACCCACTTGCTGGTGTCGTTTTGTCTGGAGTCGGTGGATAGAAAGTGAATTTGCTTGAAGGGGTCGTCTTGTTTGGTGTAGAGAGAGACTGAACCATGGAAGTAAGGAATGCTTTCGCTTCCTTTGAGAATGGTTGTGCTGGTTTGCCGAAGTGACCACTTTCAGGGGCATCAACACCGGCAATGCGGACCGATATGGTCTCGCGTACTAGTCTGGATCGACCACCAGCACCACTGCCTTTGGTCTTCTTGATGGCCCGAGGCGGCCAAGGATAGAGCCAGTCACGTAGGTAGGGTGGACCCGGTGTGTGGTGGAAGCGGAAGCCATCGGCGTCTCCTACTGTGACAACGCGGCCGACCAAGGCCTTGCGATAGCGAAGAACGGCAGGTGTGATGAACTCGGCATTTGGGATTCGTCGGAAGTAGCGCCACCAGAGGACAGCACCGAGAGAGGTGGTAGTGATGCCGGCCACTGCAGCGCCGATAGGGTTGGAGAGGCTCGTGCCGATAGCTCCTGTTGATTGCTCCACCACTGACCATACTGTGATCCTTGATCTGTCTGTTGAAAGTGGTGAGGCCATTATCGTATCTGATGCTGAGCTTGGCCGTGAAATCGTTGTCTCTGCTATGTTGTTGGTTCGAGAAAGAGACGGGGATTGAGACGGAACCTGTGTTGACGCTGACAATTTCGATGATTCGGCTCTTCCACTGGAGGCATAAAGCATGGAAGCTTTTGTCTGCGGAGGCTGGATGGTGCTTCGGAAGCTTCTACAAGGTGGTTATGATCGTGATTGTGGTGTGTCAAAAACCAAGGGTGAGGTCAAGCTTGGACCTCGGCAAGGCTTCCCTAGGATGTGGTGCAGTTTGCCCACTCGAGCCCAAAATATCTCAGCTTCGAATTTCGCCGAAATCACAACACACGCTGCAGTTGTTCTCGAAACCAACACCTGCTCCATCACGCACGTGCCATTGCAAGTATATTTGGCTTACCGGAACCCCTCCGCTCCACAACGGAAGGTCGGCAAGCAAGCAACAGATGACAGCTAGAATCGAAAAGCAAGCTCTTTAGATAACTTAGCACCGTCGAAAACAGGGGTCCGCCCAAGAGCGAAGCCGTCTCTCTCGCCATCATCTTCTCAATTACAAGCAAGCACATGCAAGTTCACTGCTTGGCCAACTGTAAGCTAAGCTGACATAATCCCCCATGTCACCTCTTCGGCTTCGTCAAGGACGGTTTGCTTTCTTCCAACTCCGCGGAAGAATTAAAGAATCCAACTTTGAGCTGCATTAGTCGAGCTTCCTGCCTCGATTCTTGGCTGGACCATGAGTGCTGACAGTGAAAGGCTCGAAAGGAGGAGCAACACCGCTTGAACCAGAGCTCAGCCCGATCTTCTCTCCATCACGCTTCTTCTGCTCGGCCAAAGCCTTGTCCCCGTTCCAGTAGTACACCACCTGTGCCGCAATAACCGCATTGAACAGTGTCGCCAGTCCAAAGCCATACAGCAACAGCTTGTCGCTCGTCTCGGTCATTGTAGTGAAGACTCTGGCGATGGTTCCGAGAAGCTGCGCGAAGACGACAATACTGCTGAGTTGACCACGACTCTTGTCCTTGTATAGCTCGAGCATCTGTGGGACCTTAGACGCGAGCGAGATCGGGATTGTCAATGCCTGCAAGAAGGTCAAGGTGGAGTGGGTAATGACAGAAGGTGTAGCCGATGCGAGAGAGCCAATCGCCATGAGTGCAACTGCTACCGTGAGCTTGGTAGAGTGAGTCGATGGATCTACACGGCCCGACTTCGAGCTGGGAGTATAGGCGATGACCAGGAGCAAGATAATCATGTTTTGCAACGTCAAGCTCAAGTTTTCGCCGTATGTCGAGAATGGCAGTCGTGATCGAACAGCGTAGGCGAGCGAGATGGTGTAGGCCATCACTTCGAGTGTATACATCGAGAGCGAGATACCTCGTGCACTTCGATTGTTGACAATGTTGAGGATCTGAGGCACCTTCATGATACTGCCAAAGACGACGATGCCCAATCCAAGCGTTTTCGAGATCGCATACTTGACGCAATGCGAAGAGCTAAAGTCGACATTGTAGACCAGCGTCGTATAGCATTCTTGACCGATCAAGCCAATGGCGGGTTTCTGTACGAAGAGTGGCAGGTTGTGTGTGACTGATTGAATCGCGGACTGCATGTCGAGCTAGGGGGATGTTGACTTGTCGCCGTTGCAAGCGTGGTCAAGTCGGGCCTAGAGCTTGCGGTACCTGAGTAAGCGAGTGACTGTGGTCAAGAAGGACGATGGACAGTCGGATGGAAGGACCCATGGATGGCCAAGGCGCAGAGCCCGCTTTAGCCGAATTCCTCCACAGGGGACACGGAATACGGACCACGGGCGCGCCTGTCATTCCGCTTCCGCTCTTACATTAAAAACCTTTAAAAAAAAACACGCCAAAAAAAAAAAAAAAAAAAAAAAACGTTTAAAGCATATAATCAACTTTCGCAATGCTATCTCCTGCCAAAAACGTTGCCAACAAAGGCGATAAAAATTAGAGTAGCACTCGTCGGTCTCGATCCGACGACCTTTGGGTGTCACCACTCATCAGAGTAGAAAGGTTTGTGTATGAGCCCAACGCGATACCCTCCTTCGCCAGAGTGCTCTTCAATTACTTGTGGAACCTACAGATAATTAACCATACATATACCATGACTAAAACGATAATGAAGCTCGCTTGTCGTTACGCATGGAAATCCATGCACGTCACCAGTGTCAAACACTGCAAAACCCCGGAAGACCCCGGTCAGCGATAGTATGGCTATATGCGCTCAAATTTTCTCAAAGAAGCTCAGTTTCGAGCTGAGTCTCACAAAGATGGCTAAAGAAGGTGATTGTATACAGTTTCTGGACAGAGAACAGAGAAAACAAGGTAAAATGAGTGAGATCCGACGAGAACACCCTGCACTACCACCATCCCCTTCCGCAGCAAAACCACCCGCCCCACCGACACTTTTTACGGAATGACAAACACTTTCTCCCGTCCCCAGTCTCAGGAGCCCGTCTCTGGTGCCATTGAGGGCGAGCTTCCCTCGCTATGAAGCGGAAAACGTGTGTCTCGGGCCACGTTGTCATCCTTAGCCGAGACAAGGGAGTGACCTCATTCCGTGTCACCAAGAACAATGGCAAGCTCACTGCCGATTATTTAATTGACACAGTCAACGAGTGGATACTTGTAACCTGTTTTCTTGGTTGTTGACCTGTTCATTGTCATCTATGATCTTAAGGTCAGAAGCAGGTTCGACACACTCTAGGAGGCTAAGGCGGAGGCAGACGTTCTCAAGGACAGGCGGGATGCCGAACAGAAGGTCAAAGTGGCGGAATGGGTGAAGAAGGCTAAAGATATCACGGTCAAACAGAACAAGGACGGGATCGCTTACATTGGGGTCCGAAGCGATGCTGCAGGCACAGAGAAAGAGATCGAGGTGCTTTTGGACGATGATGACTGGCGCAAGTTTATGGGTGCTACGGCAAACGTGTGGATCTGGAATGGTCGACCTTGGCTCAAGTTTGATGGAGAAGGTACAACCTTGCTCGGTACCTCTGCAAGTCTCTTCCTTGGGAGCTCACGGATCACATCTATAAAGTGCCTCTCGACAACAGGCGCAAGAATATTCGTGCAGCTACCCGAGGTGCAAATGGACAGAACATTGGCAAGACGAGCAAGAGCGAATTCATGGGAGTACGCTGGTACCAGGAACGCTGGAGAGCCCAGGTATGCGTAGAAGGCGAAAAAAGCGTTGCACAGACGACCTTCGAAGAAGTCAACAAGGCAGTTGAGCTATACGATCTGGCCGTTTTGTCTCAGCACGGCGTCGGAGCCAGGCTCAATTTTGTGGAGAACCTCTCCAAATATCTAGGCATGCTAGAGCGGGACGCCACCAAGGAAGTGCTTCGCCGACTTCTTCCAGGATAGGCGAAAGGATCCTGTGCTCGGAAAGCGCAAGGATACTAGTAAACAAGTATCGTACTTTCACCCGTTTCAAAGTAATCAAGTTCGTTTATGGCACTTATCGCGATAGTGGTTGTAAAGGTGCGCTTCTCGTGAAACGTGAACTCGGCGAGTCCGACCAGAACGCTCGCAACGGCCTTGATCGTAGTCCCACACATAGCCTGGATCGCAGAAAGGGGGTTGAGTCGGTCGGCACTCAAATCCTTGACGAGAGTAGTTGCAGGGGCATCTGGTGAACGGCTGTCAAGGACGGCATTGCCTCTGCTTAGCCTCCAGCACATTGGAGGAGGACTCTTCGATGACGCTTCGTTGGGCCAATTCGGCAGTAGGAGGAATGACGGCGGTGGCACCGGGTGAAAGCACACCCATGAAGGACAAGATCGTGGCCAAGGCCACAAAAGAAGAGATGCGAGCCATGAATGCGATGGGAAGGTGTTTGGTTGGGGAAGAAGTGGTGGGGGATCGGAAAGGGATGGAAGCTCCGGCCAGATCGTCGCTTCTTTTATGTTTTCGAGCTGACTCGATGTTTAGCCTCGCGCACTCAATTTCTCATTCAGCACGCCTCAGCATGGTCATGGTCACGGCCATCACCACGGACATTGCCATCATCAGCGCCACCACCACGGTCACAATTGGGACCACCGCCACCATCGCGATATCGCTGGAGACAATACCGAGTTCATGAAGCGTGTTGACATTGAGGCCCGTGACTATCGCTACAAGGGAGACATGAAGGGCTGAATAGGAGGCTATCGAGACGAATGTCTAGGCCGCTCAGCAAGGCGATCAAGCGCCTCCTTGGTCCTTTACGGCTCCGCTTCGGCCTTTCTTCGGCTTCAACTCCCTTTTCGCTTCACTCTCCACTCTCAATTCCGTCGCAGTTCTTGTTGTCTCTTGCTCCGACTCGCCCATTCTGAATGCGCCGCTAGGTTCAACACCTTCGCGTATCGAGCCATGGTTCGATCCCTCTCCCTTTTTTTCCGTTTTGCATCGATCCCGAGCACCGTCGCTTCCCAGGCTCACGTGTATCCCTACTCCGATGTATCAACACGTTCTTATCATGTATCAACACGTTCTTATCATGTATCAGTTCATTGTGTCTTCCCATCTCATTTCTTCTATCCTAACAAGTTTCACAGCCGCTGTGACTTCTATGAGTTTGTCCTTTCGATCAGCGCGATTGGTGTAGGAAGGATCGAGCTTCCATCTCGGTCTTGACCTTGCAAATCCTTGCGCAAAGCAATGAGAAATAACAGCTACGCCGATGCAATTTGTTCTCTATGCAGGGCTCGAGCGAGCGTTTCATATTTCGGAAGGCGTGATACGATTGTCAGACACGACAGAGAGCAAAGGGAGTCAACACACGTTGTGGCTCCGGCATTGCAACCACTTGTATTTGCCACCGGAGCCTGGTCGCTGCACTCGGTCACAATCGTATCGGACCTGGAGACATCCTCACCGCTGAAGAGACAGAGCACAGAGCCGAAATTAGCTTTATAAAGAAAAGGTACGGCAATGAAGCAAGCAGGTGTCCGTGCGAACGTACCTGATTGTCTTGGCATATATCGTATCTCGGCGGCTGACAATTTCATCGAGCTCGGGCCTGAATCAGGCTATCCTCCCATCCTTCATCACCGCATCGATCTTCGATCCTCACCTTCGCACATGAAACGATGTGCAGCGGCATCAAGACCCGAACTTCAGCCTTTTCCGACACAATGCGGTTCGGCTAGCACGGTTCGCGCTTCATCTGTGCCTTGATACAAGGATTCACTTTGGCGATTGTCAGTCACTGGCGGAGTTGAGGCTGTGCTCATTGGGCGCAAAAGCAAGGCAAAGCTCGGCACCTTGCCCCATATGAGCTCGAATCTTGCTGGCGACGAGGACGTTCTAGATCAGCCGACTTCTTCAGAAAGCCTCGACTGGCAAGAGGGAGAGAAAGTCACGGCAGGAATGCGGCAACGAGTCGGACTGAAGTCGAACTAGCTCGTTCTCGAAAAGCAACCAGCAGCCACTCCTCAGCTGAATGCTCGGAAAACCCTCAGTGGAACGCTTCTAGCAGCCATTTCGACCACAGAGCGTATAAGTATCGAGGGGAATGGAGCAACAAGAACAGATTCAAGACCATCACACTCACACTCTCCAATCCAACTCCCATTCACACCTCTTCACTACTCTTGTTTGCACAATTCTTATTCAACCCAAAACCTCAAGCACAACACTTCTTCTTACTCACACCTTCGCCCCTTGACAATATGGCTCGCCTCTCGTCTGCCCTCGTGATGGGTGTCATGCTCGCCATGAGTGGTGTCCTCATTGCCACCCCTGCCTCAGCCAAGCCTGTTCACGGCTCGAAGCTCGACCTCCAGGTCGAAGCCGCTCCTTACAGCAAGCGCAACCTCGAAGACTCGAAGCATTCAAGCCCCGAACTCGAGCGTCGCACTTTTGGTCTTGTTCCTGCTGCTGTCGGCCTTCTTGGCGGTGGCCATGGCGTTGGTGCCGATGCTGATGTCAATGTCGGCATTGGTGGTCTCGCCGGTGCAAATGCTCACGTCGGCGTCGGCGATGGTGGTGGCCCTCGGGGATATTATGGATACCCCTACCGTGGCTACCCGTACAAACACCATTCTTATGGCGGCTATCCTTACCCTGAACCTTATGAGCCTTACGGCACCGGATACTACCCTCGCAGTGGATCTGGTGGTCGTGGCGGTCGTGGCGGTCGTGGCGGACCCGGCGGTCCTGACGTTGACGACGATGGTGATGATGATGAAGGCTACGATCAGCCTCGTGGCGGCTATGGTGGATCCGGAGGTCGTGGCGGCTATGGTGGATCTGGAGGTCGTGGCGGCTATGGTGGATATGGAGGTCCTGACGGCTATGGAGGATCTGGAGGTCGTGGCGGCTATGGTGGATATGGAGGCCCTGGTGGCTATGGTGGATCTGGAGGTCGTGGCGGCTATGGTGGATCTTACGGTGGCTACAAACACCATGGCGGTTGGTCTAGCAGCCCTCCTGAAAGCTATGGCGGTGAGGGTGGCAACGGTGGAAACGGTGGCAATGGTGGCAACGGTGGCAACGGCGACTACAAACACCATGGCGGTTGGTCTAGCAGCCCTCCTGAAAGCTATGGCGGTGAGGGTGGCAACGGTGGCAACGGTGGCAACGGTGGCGATGGTGGTTCTGGCGGTCCTGGCGGTCCTGGTGCTCCTGGCGGCAATGGCGGTAACGGGGGCAACGGGGGTAACGGAGGCAATGGCGGAAATGGTGGCAACGGTGGTCGCGGCGGCGACGAGGACGACTGCTGATCGTCTCAGCTCATCCTTAAGCCTGCCATGCCTTCCGAATCTACAACCAAGAAGGCTCTATCATGTTCTGAAGACACGTATCATGTTTCTGTAACGCCCATGTCTCAGACTTTGCAATGTCTCCGACCCTCTGAGTCCCGAACAATCAGCAATGCTCATCGTATCTCGCTTTCTTGCGTGTGGACCTGTAAATGAGAATGTGGAAGGGTCAAGGCTCAAGCTGAGAAGCGGTCAGCCGAATGTAGTCGATTAAGGTTGTCGACGTCAACTTCATCAAAAGCAGTCCTAGCTGAATTTCAGGGTCCAAGCACAGGTCGTGTGGGTGTTGGTCTGCGAGCACATGGACAGTTTTGCTTCACTTCTTAGAGCTTCGAAAATCTTCTCAAGCAACAATCATCCTTCGTCCGACACTCCGCACTCACTTTACCCCTTCATGTCAAGATGGCTCGTCTCACGGAGATACAAGACGGTTCCGACAGCGACGATGCGCACCGTTCCGCATCTTCCTCTAAACAGGCTTCACGAGCAGGTCTGACGCAAGACGAGCAAGAGCAGATCCTCCACAAATCTGGCCTCATCGAGAAGCTGGGTCTGCCCAAAGACTTTGTCACGATGGAAGACTCCCAAGCTCAACTTGATGCACTCAGAAAAAGGAAGTCCAAAGCACAGCGAAAGGAGGCAGGCAACGTCGAAGAGGAAGATGATTCGGATGACGACTATGGCATTGCATCAGATCACGAGTTTGATGGAGACGATACAGCGAACCGATTGCTGGAGGAGCAGTCAGCGACCGAGATGAGCCCAAAAGTGGAGAGCATGCTGGATCTGGTGATCTGGACTATGCCGTTTGGATTCATGTACACGCTGCTGGATGTGCTGGTGCGACAGCAGTACGGTGAGACAGTGGGGTTGCACGATGAGTTGATACGTTTGGTTAGGGCTCTTCCTGGTGAGTATACGAGACGCAAAGGCAGGCATGACGTGCGCTTGTTGCTGACTTCTTCCCTTCTATTCGCTTGTTGCCTTCTTGCAGTGCTCGCATTCTTTATTCACTACAGTAAGTTCCAGGTACCTCGCCGATTGTTCAGCAGTCTTGACTCTGCCGTGATCGACATCGACTGACTCTTCCCTCATTGTCTCTCGCCCCTTCAGACCTCACAACCAAGCAGCAAGCAGCGATACAGTGGCTTCTCTTCTTGATCTGCTTAGCATGCGGTTGCTCGCTCATCTACATTGTCAACAAGGTGAGCCAATCTCAACCTCGACTCTTCACAGATTCTCGGAGCTGTACCTGACAACCTTTCTCCTTACGTCTTTCTCGTCGACAGTCATCGTACGACGTGGTCGTGCAGCGAGTCGCACCACTAGGCACGCTTTGGATCTTCTCTGTTGTGCGTCTCGATCTGATACCCGCGTGCATCAGTCTGGCACTCACTGCGATGTTTGTCAAGCAGGCAGAGCTCAAGATCATGTTCGATTAGTTTCAGCTCGCTTCCATCTAAGCACTTCCTTGCTCCTCCGTGAAACAACGCAAGATTGTGATTGTGTGATTGATATGATGAGATGTGAGGTGTGAATCGACCAAAAAGCGTAACCATGGTGTGTGTTTGAGTTGAAGTTGTGCCAGAATGACAACCATGCAAGAGAGCCAAGCCACCGACAGGCCGAGGATCATGCATGCATAATAAATTTGGTGGCAACCAATCAGCACATGTTTAGAAAGAGGAATGCTGAGACTAAGGAGGAAAATGCTGAAGCTCCTCATGACACACCTAGTTCATAGGGTGTAGATAACCATTCTCATGAACAGAGTGAAGATATATATACTCTCACATTACTGTAATCTTAGTCAATCTAAATCTAAGCATTGCATCTACCATACACCAGTGTGAAAGGAGCTAGAACGTAGCCCGGACGAAGAGGTGTATCGCATAACTTCAACTGTTTGGCCAAGTGCGAAAGCATTAATTTCGTTCAGGGTTCGAGTTACTCCCCGCGTCGTTGGTCTGTGCTTCCTTTCCCTTCCTCATCTCGCTTGATCTTTGATCACAACCACCACCAACTCAATCTGGCTTTCGACTTTACCATTTTAGACGGCAGCAAGGATGTCCAAATCACCAATCACATGCCACGTTCTCGATTCGACCCTCGGAAAACCTGCCGCAAACGTCCGAGTCCAACTGGAAGCCCTCTCTCCTCAAAACTCACAATTCCGTGTTCTAGCAACGGGTGCAACCAACAGCGACGGAAGATGTGCTGATCTCATCGCAGATCAAGACACAAAAAAGGTGCTGGTAGCAAAGGGAGTGTACAGGATGACTTTCTTCACCGGAGAGTATTTTGATAAGGCCGGGAGAGCGACTTTCTATCCTCAGGTTGAGGTGAGTACAGCGACACAAAGTGGTGTAATCGGTGATGCAGAAATACTAACGCTGCCGGATCTTCTGATGTCGACGTGGAATGCAGATTCTTTTCCAGCTCTCAGACAGCCCAGATCCGCACTATCACATTCCGTTGTTGCTTTCACCTTTCTCTTACACCACTTATCGCGGCTCTTAGTCTTTAGGGTGCAAAGCAATCTCATCTGGGTTCACAGCAAACGCTTTACGTGCGATATTCTACTTCTTCCGTTCTGAATCTGGCGGAACGCAGCAGCCACATACAAGAAGGTTCTTTTCTGGTTTCATCCCAACAAGAACAGAGGTATTGGGAATACAGGGATAGGATCGGGTGGAGGTACACAAGGGCAACGGGCGTTTTGGAGTGTAAGCTCTGAACGCTCGCCTTTTTTTACTTCTTGACAGGGGTGGCGGCGGCGACAGGAGCAACGAGCTGGCAATCCAAAATAGACAACGAAGGGTGAGAAGGATCAGAAATCTCAGTGATCGCTCCGACCAGAACCGCGACTTGTCCGCTTTGCAACTTACAGCCTTGGTAATGTTAAACACCTTCTCCTTAGCCAAGAAGAGGATGGCAGCTGTCAGAACGGACTGAAGCAACTTGCTAGTGATACCTCTATAGAGGCCTGTGATACCCTCCCTGTTGACGATCTCGGTCATGGCGGTCCAGATGTTGGTGCTAGCACCCTTGCTGCTACCAGCATGCTGTCTGCTCTTGATGACGATCTGGGGATATGTCAGACCTGTAGCAAAGAGCTTACTGAGAGCACCGAGCCAGAAGAAATCCCAGTCGCTCAGCGTAACTTTGCTGCCGTTAGCACGCGCGAGGCGAGTCTTGACGACCCAGTTCTTCAACTGTTCGAAAGCAGTGTACTGGAGCACAGGGTTGATGACCAACACAAGTGCAGGTCCGAGACCCTTCCAGAGAGCAAGAGGACCTTCCTCGCGGATGATTTTTTGCATGGTTTGGATGAAGCCGAGCTTCTTGACCACAGGAGAGGTGGCAGGGTGGGTAGCGGCCTTAGGATCGGCTTTGGGGTCGGTGGCGCCAACGCGGACGGTCTGGCGCGTGTTGACGATCCAAATAGGGTTGGTGGAAACGGTGGTTGCGGTACCGGCAATGAGACCTGCAAGGATGGATTCGAAGGTGGTCAAGGCTCCACCGTTGGCGATGGTAGCAGTGGCCGAGGTAGCAGCAGCAGCGGCAACTTTGGCTTTGGACTTGAGGATGGTCTCTCGGCACTTTTCGAAGAAGAAGTAGTAGACGCTGTCAAGGCAAAGCGCATGATTTCATCCACAGAGATAAGAGCAAGATCATCAGTATTGCTTCACAGTACATTCGGAGCGATCACTATTCGATCGCATGCTGGCACTTACAAGTTGGTAACACCAATACCAATCAAACTCGAGCTGAGACCAGCATACAGACCGGCGACACCTTCCTGCTGCAAGATCTTGAGCGCAGCCTTGACCATAGGCTCCTCTGGGTTCTTGCTGGACTGTACAGCAGCACGGGTAGAGATACCAACAAGGGGATAGGTGGCGGTCATGGCGACCATACCACCGACACCGCCGGCGCAAGCATGGATGAAAGAGTCGTCGGACATGGTTGCTGTTCTAGAGTTTGTTGCGGTGTGAGAGGGTGTGTTTGAGGTGGTGTTGGTTCCGAGTAAGGACCGACTAGGAGTGATGTAAGGTGAAGCTTGTTTAGTTGGGTGAGAAGAAAGAAGGATAATGTTGGAAAGGGCTCGGAGAGATTAGGAAGGGCAGGAGAAGGAGGTGAGGCAACCTGTACCCGGTTCTGGAGAAGCGAGCTTTTGGCTGGCCATAACCGGAGGTGCCTGTCTATGCCTCGGTGTGGAGAAATGTGCTGCACGACAACAGCAGCAGCCATGCACTTTTTCAACGGAGACACGACAAAAGCCAGGTCTTGCACATCCCTCAAGCCGCCAGGTCTCCAACACACGCTAAGCAGACACCATCAGGACCCGATTGTGACGTTAGCTCATGTTGCTGGATCGCGAGCAAGTCTGAACGCAGCAGGTGAGGATGTCAGAGCCACTCAAGCAACTTTCCCACTGAACCGGCTTTTTCAGGCTCTTTGCGAAGCCGGTGTAGAGACGCCAAGTGACCAAATCTGACTCTAACCGAAGCAACGTGAAAAACACAAAAGTCGCGTTTCGGACGAGCAGGATCGAGATGTTCAGCTTCCGATGATCTGTCAGATCGGATCATTGCCCGATTGCAACCATTGCGGACCTCACTTGCTAGTTAAAATTCGACGCGGGCGTCTCATTTCGCCAACTGATTTCTAAAACCCGCGTATCCTTTCTCATTCTCACGAGTCCCCTTTGATTCTCATTTCTCTCAAATACCTTTGTTCCTCCGTTTCACCAAAACTCGACAACGTACTCCATTTATGGTTACAACATTCTCATGCAACCCCATCCCCTTTGTACTCGACGATTCTCTCTTGTCCCGAAAGGACATCCCCTTCAAGCCGTACATGATAGATTCACTCAACTTAGCCATATTCTCACACACACTCGGCAGACAAATCATCTATATATACGCACTATATTTCATGTATTTACTCATCTAACATCATCGACTCAGTTACTCTCGAACAGATACTGCCTGATCCCTTAACAGATTAAGAGTCTGAGTGCTCTAAATTGACAAAGGCAAAAAGCCGACCGCAACCACGCCGCTCCCGACTAAACGACAGCAACTCGATACCTCAAGAATACCAAAACCAACGAAGACTCCCCGACCTCGACATACGATAACTAGGCAAGACCGAATCGAACTACTCCCCAAAGCTCAACATCAAGAACTGGCACGTTTGGAACCCATTATTCCTAGACGCTATTGACACTTGGAGCGACGCTCTCCGACACCTCCAAGGAAAAGTCAAACCTGGCGACGAGAAATTCGACAGAATCCTTGATGGGCGACTCAAGATGATTCTGATTGGAGTCTGCGAAATCGAAGGACCGAACAACCTGAACTACATCCTGGCTAGACCCAAGGATTCTACGCCATGGACTTTCCACGAGCTCTATGAGCAAATCAAAACCAACCTCCTCAAGAACGACGATCTAGACCAAGCCACTATACTTCGAGACGCTGGCCGCCTTCGAATGTACAACAATGATGTTCGGAAACTCATTGAAGACATTCGAAATCACTGGGCCAAAGCCGACACGATGGGACATCCCTTGCCCCAGTTGATGAAAATACAAACATTAATCAACTCAGCTAGATACAATGCATCTTATGCGACATATATCAATACCCTCGAATGCATGGGCAACACCCATGACTTTGATCGAGTTGCTGCTGCACTGCTCAAATGCCAGGAACAGATGCAAATGAAGCCAATCCATCGAGTTGCTGCCCCCGGAACGGCATCCAGCAGCATCAGGGTGGTCGAAAGTTCACAGACTGAAGAGTACCCTGAAAGCTACTGGAATGGCAAGGCTGGACCCAACGGAGAGGCCCCAAAGTGCTACAACTGCTTCGACACCGGACACATCGCCAAGAAATGCCCCAAACCTCGCCGACCCCGTACCTACCCAAATGACCAAACCAGTTCAACCCCTGCCTAGGAAATTTGGTGCACCATCCCTTCAGCTTATCGAGTCTCACTTGAATCGACCAACATCCAAGATTGGATAGTCGACTCAGGTGCAACCGATCACGTCGCCTGCAATAAATCAATGTTCTCTTCCTTCACCCCCTGCCTAGGATATGTGAATACTGCTGGAGACCGCAAGCTTCGAATTAAAGCCAAAGGAGAGATAGAATTAATGTTGGATGGAATTAAAGTAGTTCTTCATGATGTACTTTATGTTCCAGAAGCCAACAGTAATTTAATCTCTGTCCATACGCTGCTGAAAGATGGTGCACGAGTGACCTTCAACCTAACCAAAGCCATTATCACCTGGCCGAACAAATCAAAAACAACTGCCTCGTTTAACCCCAGACGCAAACAATGGGAAATACACAGAAATCAAACCTCTGCCCTTCTCACAAATATTGACGAAATAATCAAAGATCTACCCGAACATTTCGACGCCATAGCACCCCCAAGAAATCCGGACAAAAGGCCGCAAGCAAAATGGCACGAACGACTTGGACACCCTGGACGAAATAAAAGCTCCATAATTAAGAAATTATATGGAATAAATGCCGAACCCAATCACTCCCTTACATGCCACGACTGCCTAGCTACCAAATCTACCAAAGCGAGAATGGGCAAAGGCGAAGGAACCATTTCTAGTCACCCACTAGAACTAGTCCACGTCGACCTCTCGACCCATTTTTCAGAACAAACCGAATTTACCTGCGTGCTGGTAGCAATCGACGATGCTTCCAGTTTCACTTATGTGAAACCCCTACGCAAGAAGTCCGACGCACTCCATGTCCTTCAAGAATGGATCAAATATGCCGAGATTCAAACTGGACGACAATTGAAAACCATACGCTCTGATAATGGAGGAGAATGGTGCTCAAATGTCGCCATGCATTGGCAAAATGAAACTGGCTTCAGGTGGCAGAAATCATCAGTCTATACCAGCAAACAAAATGGCAAGGCCGAAAGAACCATACGCACGATCCGAAACATCATGAGTTCAATGTTGCACACCCACCGACTCCCCCAAACATTCTGGCCATACGCAATCGAAGCTGCAGCCTACACGAAGAACTTGCTACCAAATGTCAAAGATCAAATCCCTTATCAGGTCTTCTACAACAAAGATCCCAGAAAACCATTCAGACTACTTAGAACTTTTGGCTGCCTAGCATGGGTAAATATACCCAAGGTAAAAAGGAAGAAACTCGAGGACTCAGCAATCCCAGCTATCTTTGTAGGATATGATGAGGAGCATAAAGGTTGGAAACTTTTATCTCCCAACCACAATCCCAGCGTATTCTGGAGCAACTCAGTAAGATTCCTGGAAAATCAATGCTGGGAAGATAGGACCGACGCAATGCCAATTAAAGAAACGGATGCCATTTTCTATGACAACACTGCCGACATTGAAGATCTCTCATACTCAGAAGAGGATGAATTCGATGAAGAACTCTCCCAACCCCTGGACGACATTTACCACCCCCCTTCAGAAGAGGATCTGATGCTCGAGGGGGACCCTTTTTCACCCAACCTATCACCAGAAGACTCAGAGCCCTCTGAAATATCGACAACACCAACAGGACAAGCCTCAGACGGAACAACAAATTTCGAGCACCGACCCTCTCGTGAAGTTTCACCCATGCCGGACCCAAAGACTCTCTCCAGACAGGTTAGCGAGCAATACTTGGATTCGAATGAAACACTAAGGAAATACCAAAACTATTTCAATCAATTCCATAGTGCATGGGAATCGCGACCCTGGATGCACCCGACCACAATTGCAATACTACTCCGAAAATGCCCAAGGCGTTGGCCAGACGACGAAACCATACGAAACTTCCAAGAAAGTTTGAGGGAACGTGGCCTATTGATTGACCTACCAAACCCGATATACCAGGCCGAAGTACAACTGTTATCACCAGTACTCCAACCAACAGTCAAGCAAGCTCTAAACAGTAAAAACCAAGCCCATTGGAAAGAGGCAATCAAAGCAGAAATGGATGGACTCGAAAGGATGAACATTTGGGAAATAGTGGACAGACCTCCGAACACAAACCTAGTCGACTCTAAACTAGTTTTGACCATAAAGACTGACGCAAACATGATACCAATCAAGTATAAAGCACGATTCTGTGCCAGAGGATTTTCCCAAAGACCTGGCGTAGACTACGATGAAATATTTGCCCCAGTCGTCCCACAAGATGCTATCCGCACAATCCTCACTATCGCAGCCCGGGAGGATTGGGAATTAGATTCCATCGACGTCACCCAGGCATATCTCAATGCTGATCTGCACCACGAAGTCTTTCTCAAACCTCCCGAAGGAGCCGACATCCCAAAAGGCAAAGTTTATAAATTGATCAAAGGACTATATGGACTGAAACAATCTGGCCGAGAGTGGAATTTAGAATTAGATGCCCACCTCCGATCCATGGGTTTCCTTAGTCTCCCTTGTGCACCATGTGTTTATCTCAGGGGGACTGGCGAAACAAAAGTAATCATCGCTGTTTACGTCGACGACATGCTCATCACGGGGCCAAAACGGAGCCTAATTGATACTATCAAAAAGTCAATTACCGACAAATGGAAAATAACAGACAACGGACCAGCCAAGGAATTCCTCAAAATTAAAATTACCCGCAACCGCCAATTGCGAATAATTAGCCTTGATCAGCGAGCATATATTGAAGGAATTATCAAAGAATGGCTACCAGATGGAGAAAAAACACGAAGCCCAATGGACACATCTCCACCTATCATGTCACCCAACTACACACCCCCAGCAGATGTCAAACAACAGTACCCGTCATTAGTTGGCAAACTAATGTGGGTCTCGAATACTGTCAGACCAGATATTTGCTTTGCAGTGAATACCCTTGCTCGACATATATCTAGGCCCTCCCCCGAAGCGATGCAAGCAGCCCTCAAGATTGTCAAGTATCTAAATCAAACTAAAGACGAGATTCTTACCCTGGGAAATGATAAAGCCAACACCCCCCCAATCGTAACATACACAGATGCAAACTGGGCCTCTGACCCAAATACCGACCGACGCAGCACCTCCGGATCCGTCACCCTAATATTCGGAAGCTTGGTAGGATGGAAATCTCATGTTCAAAAATGTGTATCCCTATCAGCCGTCGAAGCCGAATTTGTAGCAGCATCCGAAGCCTCTCGAGAGGCACTTTTCTATAGATATCTCCTACGAGGCCTGGATATAGGAGATTTCGTACCCAAGATCCTAACAGACAACACTGGGTGTATACAAGTAGGACGAGACCCAGTTAATCATGCCAAACTTAAGCATATCGACACTAGATACCACTTCCTTCGTTTCTCAGTCCAAGAGAAGGAAGTAGATATCGGATATGTCAAAACCCTTGATAATGTTGCAGACTTCTTGACCAAGCCAGTAAGCCGACACCTAATGACTACTGCACGTCAGCGATTAGGCTTCACTTGCCAAAGCCCCGCTTGTTCAGCTGGCGAGGGGGACAGTTAAAATTCGACGCGGGCGTCTCATTTCGCCAACTGATTTCTAAAACCCGCGTATCCTTTCTCATTCTCACGAGTCCCCTTTGATTCTCATTTCTCTCAAATACCTTTGTTCCTCCGTTTCACCAAAACTCGACAACGTACTCCATTTATGGTTACAACATTCTCATGCAACCCCATCCCCTTTGTACTCGACGATTCTCTCTTGTCCCGAAAGGACATCCCCTTCAAGCCGTACATGATAGATTCACTCAACTTAGCCATATTCTCACACACACTCGGCAGACAAATCATCTATATATACGCACTATATTTCATGTATTTACTCATCTAACATCATCGACTCAGTTACTCTCGAACAGATACTGCCTGATCCCTTAACATTGCTCAGCGTCTCAGCATTCAGACGCCTTGTGGTCTGTGGTATAAGGTTATAGATAGCTTCATTCAAGTCAGGTCTATAGACCGATGCGCTCTAGGAACATCTTGGCAAACCAATCAGCTCCAGGCGAAGTTACAACTTCGTCCACCAGCCCGATCTGCGACTCCTCCCCATCCTTCTTCTTGTCCTCCGTTGTCGTAGAGGTCCTGTGAATAGCAACATCAGGCTTTTCAATGGTATGAAACTCTTTCTCCTCGCGCTCGAGATCCTCAGCTCGATTTCCTCCTGTCTTTCTACTGCTGCCGTTCGCGGTAAACCTCCTATCAACAACTGCAAACCCTCTGGTCAGGTCACCTGATGTCTCGATCTGGAATCTCCTCTCTGCGTGCTTCCACCCATTCCCATCGATCTTTCCTGCTGAGGGCATGGGAGTGAACATAGCATGAGCGATAGCCAAGGGATCATGTGCTTGGAAAAGGTCATGCTTGTCAGGGTGAAACTCTTGCGGAGCAGCCAAATTGTTCGTATATGCTCGAGGATGGGTGAGGAAGGTACCGATGAATTTTTCAAGATGGCTTGCGCCTTGTGGTGTGTTGTTCGGCGTCTCGTAGGTCGCTTTCACCAGCCTCGAGTATGGAACGGTGTGGTTGGAAGTGATATCGAGGGCCAACACTTGGATGGGCAATCGCTTCCCTTGCAAGGCTGCGTTTCGGGGAGCCTCATCAATGAGGACACGAACTGAATAAGGGTCTGCATACCAGTTGAACTCCGCTACAGGCGATGTATTGCCGGGCACATCGAAAGCTCCACCCATGACAGAGATAGCGCCCACCTTGGCGAACGTCTCCGGATCCTTGCGGAAGGCTGTTGCAAGGTTGGTGAGCGGTCCGAGAGCTGCAATGCGGACAGTCTGAGGTGGGTGCTGCCGAATCACATCCAAAATGACATCTGCTGCATGCTTTTCGGTTGGAGCCAGGGGGGCTGTTGGCTTCTCTGGGACAGGAAAAGGATCGTTGGGAAGCCAGTGAACACCAGTGAGTCCATCTCGACCGTGAAAGTAGGAGGCGGTATACATCTTGCCCTCTAACGGTTGTGTTGAGCCAGAAGCCACAATGATGGGGTCAGCATCGGCACTGAAGTTACGATATCGGTGCTTGACGGCGTCAGAGGTTGCAGGGTCTGCAAGATGTCGCTGCAGGACCGCGCCGGTACGCAGGACGTTTGCGTAGGCATGGTCGAGTGTTGTGTTTCCAAAGGTAAGTGTCAGCGCCTTGACCGAGACTTCATCAGGTGAAGCGAGAGCTAGAAGGATAGCAAGCACATCGTCGACTCCTGGATCTGTGTCGATGATAATCGGGACGGGTGACATTGTCATCTTGGACCGTATTTGTTTTTGCTGCGGTCGATGGTGGACGCAGCTCGAGAAGAAGAGACGACGAGAGATAGGACGAACTGCCTCGACTGATTGCTTCGGACTGCACACCTCTAACGCTTGCCGATAGTACTGAGCTCGAGCAGCTGTTAGAGTGCACACAAGCATCGGCTTGACTTTGAACCGTTCCTCCGAGCAGCCGTGGAGAATGGGTCCACACCAAAAGAGAGCGGTGGCACACGGCTATTTGCTCGGGGAGCTGCATCCTGCAGGACTTCTCTCTCTTCGGTGATGACCGAACGAGCCTTTTATAGCCGGAGACAAAGGTTGCATCTCCCGATTCGATCTTCACTCGAGCTGGAAATCAGGCCGATGAGAAACCTCATCGTATGTGTTGGTGTCTCTTTGCTGCTGTGGGCCTGCTTGGGTTGCCGCGGTTTTCGGCATTCGAGTCGCCAAACTAACTTTGCGCTGTGCTCACATCGGCTAGTCGAAGCACAAATGCCGCCGCCCACTGCAGCAGAAAGGAAGGAAATCAGCTGAGTTGAGCTCTGTCGATCCAATCACCATCAGTTATCCATTCATTCATCGTCCTTCGCTGTGATGTTGCTGCATGCACATGCTTGTTTTTCTCCGCTTTGTAATGCACTTGGTTGTCTGATTAGGCTTGGGTGTCAGTCATTGATAGCCTGTGTCTCTCACGGCCACGGCAATGAGCCCTGGCTTCGAGCAGCTTCCACATGTGCTCTGTTTCTTTCATGTCCGGTGCAAGTGTGAAACTTCTTCTGCTGCGCTGTGTTGCCGGAAATAACACTCCCAGCCTCTAGCGTAATCAACCACTCAAACAGCTTCTGGTATCGCTCTGCCGTGTGCCGATCCTCAAACCCTTGCTCCGGCTCGCATTATCCCGGTCTCCTTCTTCTCCTCACCCATCACAAATGAGCCGAAATCTCCTCCGACCATCCTTCCACCTCCACCACATCCAGTCCAGACCTTTCACTTTCTCGCACATCCAACGCAGCATCGCAACCATGGTCACATTTTACGATCTCAAAGCCAAGAAGCCCTCTCAGGAGGAATACACCTTTGACCAGCTCAAGGGCAAGGTTGTTCTCGTCGTCAACACCGCTTCCAAGTGTGGTTACACTCCTCAGTTTGCTGAGTTGGAAGAGTTGAACAAGAAGTATGGTGATCAGGGTTTGCAAATTATTGGTTTCCCTTGCAACCAGTTTGCAGGTCAGGATCCAGAGAACGATGACAAGATCGGAGAGTTTTGCCAGCGTGTAAGTTTGTTCGTCAAGTTAAAGGCTAATGTATGCCAAGGTTGCTGACAACGCCTTGTTGCATTGCACTCGTATATCGATAGAACTACGGTGTCACTTTCCCCATGATGGCCAAGTCGGACGTCAACGGATCCAACACCAACGAGGTGTTTGCTTTCCTTAAGAAGCAAAGGTCCGGCATCCTTGGCACCGAGATGATTAGTACGTCATATTCACCCTTCTCTTCTCGCAATCAGTTCGGCTTTATATACTAACGTTCTTGTCCTCTGCCTCCCCTCCGTCTCAACGCACCACAGAGTGGAACTTCACCAAGTTCCTCGTCGACAAGCAGGGCAACGTCATTGAGCGCTACGGCTCCAACACCAAGCCTTCCGCCATTGCTCCTACCATCGAGAAGCTCCTCGCCCAGTAATCTCATCGAATCCCACACAGCTCACGCTCGCATATCTTAGACCCTCAACCGGCCACGCACTCGATATGACCGGTCTTTCATCGATTATACCTGACGCACTTTTAAGGCTTTGCTAATACAATCGCTCGCTCAAATTCTCAGCTTTCGGTTGTGGATGATAAGATTGGATTCGACAAAGTGGATGTGCGGATCTACTGGATACATGAGGATGAAAGGGACCAGGACTGTCTATACACAGGAAAGAGGGTCGTTTAAAGACATAAAACACTAGGGAAGCCGGGACTGGAGCTACTGCTTACCCGAGTAGACGCTCTCGGTATGCATAACCGCAACAATCTCTCTCATGCTTTCCTGACTTGCCATCTGCACAGTTTGGATGGTGCTCTTATTCGCAAATGCCGTTGTGGCATGCAACGCCAACGCCACGATCCACAACCCGCAGATACCCCACAGTGTCCCTGCTTGGCTCATGTCCAGCTCGAGCAACGGTGTGCCGTTCCTGTTCATATCTGTCAAGCTCGTAACAATGGATGAACCTGCCATGTAGGAAGCGACAGCGGAACAGATGGCCTCGATGAATGCGACGATTTGAAAGAACTGATCGCTGCCAAAGATCAAGTTGAACGCTTGGTTGCCAGTCAACCCCATCGCTGCCACTGTGACAGCAGCTGAAGGCGGCTTGGAAGACCCCGAGGAAGCTGAACGGACGGAGGCGACAGAAGAAACAGCAACAGTCATCGAAAGCTTATGCGCCGAAGCACTAGCTGCCAGACCAGTCAACATGTTCAGTACGCCCCTAACATAGGTCGCGTTATCCACTGAGATCTTAGCAAACCTCACAAGAATAAGGAGGAGGATGACTCCGATGAGAGAGATGATGCCCTGCATATGAGAGACAAAGATGGACGCACTGCTGCTCGTACCGCTTCCTGAGCTGGTATCAGGCACTCCAGGCGCAGAGGGCGAAGTGTCATCCATGATCATGGCCATGCTACGACGTCCTGCGGTAGCAGAAACCTCTTCCAGCGTCAAAGCTTTCTTTCGCCTGCGAGTTGAGGAAGGCGCAACGACACTGGCTGCGTTCATGTTTTCATCATCTGAAGCCGAGTTGGCGTGTGAAGGTTGGGAGGCAGCGGCTGCTGCTGCGACGGCTAAGCAGTACTTGCCTCGTCGAGAGGCACCTAGCGAACGACCGCGAAAAGGGATTTGACCACTTTCGATGCGGGTGTATCGACCATTGGCGTCGCTGTATTTGGCGGGTTTGGAGGGGGAGAGTGTGAAGTTAGGCATGATTCTAAGTTGAGGTGGGTGGTGCTAGGGAAGCTGGTCTGAGGCAGACTAGGTGGAGAGCTGTGGGAGGTGATGGCGGCAGGCTTGCTGCTAGCCAAGATGGGAAACGAGACTGGTCAACGGAAGGTGTTATAAAGAGTGTGTGGTTTAAGAGAGTGTGTATAAAAGAATGTCGAGCGTTATGCTGAGTAGACTGGTTGTGGTGATGGTGAGAAGAAAGGAGTAAGGGCGAAGTCGATGGAATGAAGAGATGGCTCAGATGAAGAAGGATGGCTGAACTCAGCGAGGAGGGCAACCAAGCTGCTTCCAGCTTTGCGCTCCCACAATGCAACACGGGGGGGGGGGGCGTTGGAGCTTGTTCTTGGCGGATACACTCAACGTCCAAGCCTAGCGGTCTAATGAGTGACGGCATTGAAGCGCTTGAACTAAGCTTGCAGCATTATGATTGACTCACACTCGAAAACCCGCTACACTTTTCTCAAGTACTCAGTGACGGAGCTGTCGACGAGTGCAATCGAGTTGCAAGAAGAAAATTCACAGCTTAGCCGCTGCAGCGACCTGCCAGAATAGGAAAGGAAAGCGCTTCCGTTTCGGACTGCCACTAGAGAGTAGCTCAACGTGCAGCTCAAGCGTTACGGGTCTGAGGGTGCGATGTTGGGCCCATGTCTGGTGCCTGAGAAGTCGACCTCTTATGCGGAGCTTTAACTTTCGCCGATGATGTCAACGCGGCTTTGGAAAGGATCTTCAAACAACATTTCTACAGCGCTTAGCGCGTCGAGGCAGGCCAGCTTCTTTTTTTCGCAGCCTTCTTTTTCGGGCTTCTTTTCTTGGGTGACTTTTCGCATTCGATGAAAGAACGGGAGGTCAAGGCTCGACCCAGTCCTGTGGTAGCGAACACATCGCAATACCTCGCTCTTCATAAGCGCCCGTCACAAAGAGCAGCTTCTGCTTCAAGTTGATCGCCAAACCCGTTGGAATCGTAGGCAAGAATCCACCCTCTTTGTGCTCGTCTTCACTCCTAGCTTCGATCTGGGCCTTGGTCTCAGCTGGACTCTGGAAAATGTTGAACGTGTGATACTCTTTCCTGAGCCATACACCTTTTTCCTTTTTAAGCCTGAGCTTTTCTGTCTCCCAAGGATGCGCGACGACGCTACCAAAGTGACGGAAGACGAAAGTGGTCTGATCAATCTTTCCTGCTGGTCTGGGTGGTCGTTCTGAGCTCGATAGCACGCTCGAGACTGACGCCGAGGAGAGACCCAAACGTCTTCTGCGTTCGTCTCGTTGCGATGCGATCCACTCCTCTACAGAGCGCGTGCTGGGGTTACTCGCGGTCCAAGTTCGACCGTGTTGATCGACAACAAGAGCTCGAATGGGACTCTCGTGCTCCATGGAGAAAAAGTTGACAAAGGAAGGTGTGTAGGTCTTGTAGAGACGAAGTATGTTGTTCGGTTGACCGTCTTTGGTGGTCTCCCTCACTGTGACGTGGTGGTCGCGAATTCCTCCGGCAATACCTCGCACCCAGTGTTGCTCCCATTCCTGCACTTTCGACGAATCAGAAGTGAGGGAAGGGATGAACAAAGCGGTAGCAGAAGAGTTTGAACCGGCCTTTTTTCCTCCTCCATCCCAAGCCTGGATAAGGGGAGGGAAGCCTTGCCACTGGTCCGGATCACTGCCATCCAATCGGACGGAGAGGGTCTTGTTGATCGACGAATGGTGGACGAAGACCTTGCGTGTTACCGAGTCGCTCACACGAGAATAGTGTGAGGAGAGATACGACGCAATAGGCTCCCAGACAGCTGAGAAGACGGAGGAGGTCTCTACTGTGCTCTTGCTGCTACGATCAGGTAGAGATGTGACAAAGAAGCTTGGAATGCGAATGTACTTGCTCGCAGTCGTTTCTGGGTCATCGTCCTGGAATCCAGCGAGGTGATCTGGGCTTTCTGAAACATGCAATGGATCGGGATAAGCTCGTTCGATACGCTCCGAATACTGTTCTTCAAAGATAGCAATGCGGAAAGGGTCGATGTTGAAGCGGGTGTCAAAATCGCTGTGCGATCCGATCAGATCTTCGCCTTGCACTCGCTTGATCCATCGCAAAGTCGTGTGGTCTTTGCCACCGATCTTGTCGAAATCATGCACAAAGATGTCCACAACGCCGGGTCGGTCCGCGTAGGGCTTGTTCGCCACTAACACAAGGTTGGCAGGTGGCTCCGGCCGGGCCTCCTCGCCCTTCTTGGGCTCTTCGACAAAGTAAGGATGCGAGGCGGTGACCGCAATGCCGAGCGGGTGGAATGTCGACTGAAGATCAGCCGGTGCCTTTAGAGGGTATTCCGGAGGAGGCGAAGAGATGTAGAGCTTGCGAGGAAGGCTACGTCGGTTGGTGTCCCAAGCCCATATACCAGGTTTGCCTTGCTCGGAGGCGAGCTTGCCGCTGTCGTCTTCGTAAATGCCTGTACGTGCATCCCATGTAAGTCGGGTAGGATCGCAGCTCAGGTATGCGACGCCCGTGCGGCGGTCTATAGCAATGTCTTCGCAGAAAGAGGGCTCGGTAGAACCTGCTGCTTCGTCGGGAAGACGTGTGGACAGGGGTGTGCAGTGCTTGAGGTTGAGATTGTGGTTCAAGCCGAGCGTGGCTGGATCGATGGCTTCGCCGTGGAGCTTGAGGTGGGTTTTGTAGGGAAGATAGGAGGTGGCGGCGAGCAGACCTGCTGCTACCGATGAGACGGCGATCGGTATCAACATGTTGTTGTCTTTGCTGTGACCGAGCGGCGAAGGTGCAAGGAGAAAAGCAAGAAGGGCAGTGAGCAGGGTTCCGCAAGAAGTTGCTCCTGTTGCCTTAGTCTAGGCTTGTGATTAGAGCACACGAGCTCTGTCTACCCCAGTGCTTGTTTCAGGGACGAGGGATGGGATGGGATGGGATGGCCGTAAGCGCTGGACCCCAGGGCATGCATGCAACCTCAAGGACTTGCCGACGGCACGGCATCCAATGACGGCCAACTTTGGGGAGGACAGAGAAGAAGAGGAGAGCTTTAATACTGTCAACCGTGCGTGTTCGTGTGCCTTTTTCGCTCTCACGTTGGGTGTGAGATCGCACCTTTCTTGACAGAAAAATGGAGTTGATAAGATAGTCCCGAAAGCGTCGTGTGATCATGCGGAGTCAGGGTCGACTAAGATCAGAACGAAGCACGAATACGTTGTCAAGAAGAAAATATTGCCCCGATCATCCTGTCGGATTGGCCACCACTATCAACCTGTTGCGTCATCGTTTGAGGAGCTCAACCGTACGGTGATGACCACGCCAATCGACCAGAGCGGCCTGCAGTCGCTGCTGGACTCCTCGCGCATCGGCATTCTGGACGGTGGTTTGGCGACATACCTCGAAGATGGACTTAACTTTGACCTCTCCAAAGGTCCGCTCTGGAGCGCACGTCTGCTTGATGAAAAGGAAGACGATGTCAGCGATGGCAAAGGACAGAAGGGGATCTTTGACGCGCATCTCCACTATTTGCAAGCCGGCGCCGGTATCATCGGCACAGCTACATACCAAGCATCGCAAGAATCTTTTGCTCGGGCCAACTACGACGAGGCCTCGGCATCACATCTTATATCTAAAGCTGTCGATCTTGCTTGCCATGCTCTGCACACATACAACAATGTCAACTCAGCAGCATCATCCTCAAGGCCAGTCATCAGCCTGAGCCTTGGCCCATACGGAGGTATGCTCAGCAACGGAGCAGAATACACAGGCGACTACAGACGCACATTCCTACCCGAATCGGATCCACGACGCGAGCAGCAACCATCGCTCGAGGAGATGGCAGCATTCCATCAGAGACGTATTGAAGCATTCGTTGCGCAGCCGAGCTGGAAAGATGTCGGTGTGCTTGCAGTGGAGACAGTGCCTCGTGCTGACGAGGCCCTGGCTTTCAGAATGGCGCTTGAGAATGTCGTCAAGAGTCACCAACAACAAGGAAAGCCACTCGAGAGGAAGCCGGTCTACATAAGCATGGCGTATCCGGACGACCGCCGACTACCATGGCCACCTGTCAGCTCGAGGTCGACCAGCAACGATGATGATGACGTCGACATGGACGAGGACGATGACGAAGACGCTGCAGATGACGAGGGTGCAGTGCAGGAAGAGATGAATTGGCTCGTTCAGATTGTCACAGACACACAAGTGCAAGATCAAGACTCGCTTTGGCCGGTCAGCGGTATCGGCATCAACTGCACCAAGCCTTACCTGCTGGAGAAGCTGGTGGAACGCATGTCAGCCTCTCTAGTCGTGCTCAACAAACCTGCTAGCGAAGGCGGGCTGGATCTCGAGTGCAGGAGAAGCGGGGTTGGATTGCAAAAGCCTTTGTTGTTCCTTTATCCTGATGGTGGACTGGTGTATGATGCAGTCAGGAAAGTTTGGCTTACACCATCGAACGCTGGAGCGCTGGAGGGTGACAATTCGGCTGCATCTTGGGCTTCGAACTTGATGAAGCTGGCCAAGAGAATCACTGCGAGCAACGGGACCAGCTTTCCCGATGTATGGAGAGGCGTCTTTGTCGGAGGATGCTGTAAGAGCGGCACTGACGAGATCCGGGCGCTTTGCCAGTGCAGGTCCTCATAGCATATCGCAATTCCAATCAAACAGGTTTACACACAAACAAGCCGATTGTCACAGCAAGAGGTATGCCAGACGAGCGTCTGAAAATTGTCCCATAGAGACAATCGAGTTGATGTCGGGCATAGCGACGATGAGAAGCTCTCCAACAGCACTACTAGGCGAGAAGAGCAAGGAGTGGAGATTGATCGTGATCCCACTCGGTGGAAGGTTACCCCCGATTCGTCTCGGTTTACTCATCTCGACCTCTTTCAACACTCTGTCTGCTCCCGTGTCGATTATCGAGGGTATACTTATCGATGTTGTTGACAACTGGTCCGATAACACCTCGAATGTCCACCGTTCTGCCAACTTTGCGGGTTCTGACGGCGCCTTACTTCGGGTAGGATGTGGTCTTAGAAATCCTTCCGAGAATCGATCCAGGTTTCAAAAAGGGAAGATACACTTGCTGAAAAGCGACATGTCTTTGTACACAGTCGATCAGATCAGCCTTCATCGCACACAGGGTAAGGGGAAGACAATCTTTTACGGCGACAGACTCTGGATTCCAAAGAAAAGCGGAGAGAGAGAGTAGGCACACCACGCAGCACGCTGCATGAAACCTGCGTCCTCCATACCCGTCCTTACCTCGCCAAGCTAGTGCTGCATCAGTCTCCTTTGATCTCCTTGCTCGGATATCCCTTCATCGACTCGTTGCTCATTTGCAGACACGAAGACGGAGTGCGATCGCAGATCCAAAGATGACAGTCTGCGAACTCTAGACAGACAGTCTTTGCCATGTGCATGTTGGAAGATTTGACTCTTAGCGACGCTTATCGGGAGATATCAGTCGAAGTACAGTGTTCAAGCTATTGAGCAAAACACTATACTATATTGACATAAGAGAAGAACGTAGCGGTAGCCTCGAGCTCTCCGCTCAATATGTATATACAGTAGTGGTAAATGAGCGAATGTGGGAGCATTGTTACATGCGCAGGCTATATGCGCGGTGTAACGGTGTAACTAAAGTAGTTGCAGGAAAGAGGAGATCTAGATGGAAGCTAGTTTAAGTACTAGCTTTTCCGAACAAGCAAAGATTTGCAAGATAGCTATCGAACTTTCTCTGCGACGTGTATTCGCGCGAGAAGACCTGGACGCTTCTATCGCTTGCTCGCTTGCCGTCTCGCCCGCACTAACGCTGCACATCGTCAGACTAATGGCCGCTTTGACCATCATCGGTCTCCACCAAAGCGATCAGATCCTCCCTCCCACCTTGCTTTGACCTTGTGACCAAAAGCAAGAATAGCCCGTGAGAGGAAATATTGATGCCAAGGCCTGTATTCGCCTGACAAACGGTGTTGTCGGTTGCGACAACGGAGACAAGCGGAGTGGGAAGGGATGGGGCTTTTCTCCTTTCATGCCGAGTTCGGTATTGCAGCACCGACCAATGTGGGCTTCGAGAATGTTGGCCCGGTCCCGATCCACTGTGCCAAAAGAGAACAACGCCATCGCTACCACACAGTGGGGCTATTTCTTGCTCTACGAAAGCTTCATCTTGTGTGGCTGCTTGTCAGGCCTCGAAACACTGCCCAGGGTTTTCCACGTCGAACAACGATCCCCCCTTTGTAAATTCACGGTCCCTCTATCGTCCCACTCCCGCCTCTGTTCCTTGACTTGCTCAATCCGAACGTCTCATGCCGGCAGCAGCACATGCATATCCACCATGATGAAAGCGTTTGGAACCGCCAAGTTGTACTTGTAGACATTGTGGGCTTGGGAGCAGGCTTAGCTGGGCGGGACCCTTGTCTCGTAACTCGCTTACTGCTCGTTCGCTCCCAGGCGTGGCGACAAACCTCCCCACCGTGCCGCCAAATTGAACCTCAGTACAGTAGTAAATCGGCAGACCCTTGTTTGCACTGCTCGCCTTGGCACTTTTCGTTTCACAACACTTCCCACTTTTGTCCAGCTTCCTGTCCTTCGTCAACTTGCGAGATATCTGCTTTCTTGGCACTTCTGGGTGTGGTCCTCTTCTTCACTTTCGGGATCAGTGCGCGCCTCATCTGGTGTACTTTCGCCCACTCCATCCTACACAACGTCTTTTTATCACCATGAGAGGCGTGGGTTGACCCTCGGTGCACTTCGGTCAGCGGTGCCTTTGTAGCGAGATCAAAGCGGCATGGCTTCTGATAGGGGTCATTAGGCAGGAGTGACGGGCGTCCAGGCTACTTCGTGGGCTGTAGTCTCGTCAGGAATCCGTGGTAACTGTGCCTACCGGAATGTGCCTACCGAACGTGCCTACCGGAACGTGCGGCTTCGTTTCAATCGGCTCTGACTCTGGGCAAAGTCGCAACCATTGTGATTTGCTTGACCGATATCTGGCCTGGGTCTCCTCTCTCAGAAGATTTCGACAGAAAGATCTCATCCAACATGCCGCCGGTCCTCTGCCTCTCCTGTTTCCCCTCGCACCCAGTCTTGTCCTGAACGCCAAGTCCCGGACCCACGAAAACACAAGGCGACGGGATCCCGACCATGGTCTCATACCCACTCCCAACGGGCCGTCCTTTCATACACTGAGACGCCCGTATCTGTTTTGTACGGCGTGGGTTTTCTCCATGCCGGCTCTTTTCGCCCCAACGCCTCCCGTGGCATTGGCCGCTATGTTACTGAGATATCACACTTGTGGCAGGCCCAGTGAAGAATCGTGCTAAAAGACGTGGGATGAGATGGGGTCATCCTCATGTGGGCTGCGGCCTAGACGAAATGGCACCAGCACACTCGAGGATTTGTTGTGCTTGAGGATGAGCGAGGTATGCAGCACTTTCTGACGAGCAACTCTTCCTCCTCAGCTGTGTGTTTCCGGATGGTCGCTTGATGAGAGCTCCGGGTATATTACTCGACTGGTTCCTTCAACCCCGCTCCCCTTTCTCCATCCTCATCCTCATCTCCCCTCTCTCCCGACTTTCTCGATCGCTACGGCTTCCCTGCTCACCTTGCCTTCCTACTACATCACCTTAGCCCCTCTCCACCATAGACGCCCCACCATCAAGCAGGAATAGACCTCCACGATGCGATTCTCCTCCGTCCTCGCAGCCGGTGCTGCCCTCACCGCTGCTCTGCTCACCCCTGCCACCGCCTCGCCCACGGCGATGAGCACCATCCCCAACACGATCTCGGGGAATGTTCGAAAGGATCTTGTCAAGATGCCACCCGACAGCTACAAGCTCTACAATCTCGACCCCGACTCGAAGACCGGTACGCTTGTGAAGCGAGCTCGCGTCGACGGTATTCAGACCCGCTGCACCACCAAAAGTTGTCTCTCGATCACCTTCGACGATGGTCCGTACACTTCGATGAGAAAGCTTGTCGACACTCTGGATAATGCTGGTGGCCAAAAGGCAACCTTCTTTGTCAACGGCAACAACTTCCGCTGCATCTATGATAAAGCCTCTGTCGCAAGGCTGCGATATGCTTACGAGCATGGCCACCAGATCTGCTCGCACACGTGGAGTCACCCTGACATCAGCAAGCTCACCAACCAACAGCTCGACCGTCAGGTGCAGCTGGTCGAGGATGCCCTTTGGAAGATCCTCGGTGTTGTGCCTGCTTGTTTACGTGCTCCTTACGGCTCGATCCGAGATGACCAGGTGCAGTACCTCAACAACAGGTGGGGCATTGTCGTCGTTCATTGGAACTACGACAGCAACGATGCCAACGGCTACGGCACAGAATTCGGCCTTAACTTGTACAGGAACCTGAAGGCTCCTACCCACGCTATCATCCTCAACCACGAGACCGTCGCCGGTACCCCGAACACTGTCATCCCTCAAGCTGTCCAAATTGTGCGCCAGAACGGTTACAAGGGAAGTCAGACCACCGCTGCTACGCTCCGATACAACCCATACAAGGTTGTTGGTAGCTACGGCAACCGTGATGACTCCTGGACCTGTGATGACAAACCCGCTCCTGGCGGCGTCTAAATGATGCTTTCGCAGATGCTTGCTCTTTCTCCACCTTCTCCTTGTTGCTTCATCTTCGACTTTAGGTTCGTGACGTCGTCCGTAGCCAGCTCACTGGCCATATTGCTGTTGATGGCCTGGTTTGTCCACATATAATCTTCTCCCGATTTGAGCTTAGATCAGCTCGCCGCGTCTCCTGCATTCGATCGTCCACTCATTCATTATCAGCATTGCATGTTCCCAAACCCTTCGACTTCATCCACACTCCTCTTGATGCAAAGGTCGAAAAGCTCCTTTTCAGAACCGTTTTGATATCTCGCGTCAATCCTAGCTATAAACATATCTGACGCGCGTCCGCGTGCGTTTGAACGAGTATTTGATTGAGAGGAGTTACCTGACGTAGTGTCCGTAGTTGAGGTACATGACGGTGAGACTCGAAGCTGAAAGAAGCCATCAGCGGAAAGAAAGAAGGAAAGTGATCAGCAACAATCAAGCCATGGGTCGAGAGAGACGTTGAAAAGCGCTTACAAGCAACAATCAAAGGGCTGATCATCCCGGGACCCATCTTGGCCGTCTTGTAGACAAAGGTTTCTGAGACGAAGTGCACCAAGGCAATGACGAAAGACCACATGGCAAGCTCGTAGGCACTGGTGTCATATGATAGCAGGTATGATGTGATGATTTGTTAGGAGTCAACACGTTGTCAGAGTCTCGGGTGACGGAGAGAAGATACTCACACCTTGTCATGGATGTTGTAGGCAGCATAGCCTCGAATGATGGCAGAGGTGGAGTTCCAGATACCGAAAAGTCGGGAAGAAAGGGGAGTAACTGAAGATCGTAGCGAGGAGCGGATCGTCACCAGTACGATCACCAGCCGCAGGAAAAGACGAAGAGGAGTACGAGGTGAATGAGCATCAGTTAACCTTGGCAGAACTGCGGAGATCTAAGGTGAGACTACTCACTTTGTGCACCGGCGGTCGAGTAGACCTTGGCACTGGCTTTTGGGCTGAAGAAGTTGGTAGCGCCGTTGATTTGAGCCACGACGGCGACTAAGAGCAACCATCGTGGGATGAGGCCATCGGGAATCCCTGTGCAAGATGAGATTTTGAATCGGTAGATGTAAGGGGGTCAGCTAATCTCTGATGTTGCGATACTGCAAACGGTAGATAGACCAAGCTGCTGCCCACATTCGCTGATGGTAGACATCTTGTACGTGCGTGTTCTCGAGGTGATGTAGTTGAGATGGATGGTGGATGATGTTGGAAGAACAAACGCAACACACAGACCAACACTCGGAAGACGGAGCTCTTTCTGTTTGACAGCTAAAACTCGGGTGGAGATATTTATCCGACTCAGCAATTTGTTCAGGGTCCAAAGTCACTCGCAGACTGCCTTCATTTATTCATTTACTCAACTCATAATCCTTTCGCGCCACTCGTGATCGACCAAACCTTCTCTCTCTGTAGTCGCCAACTTAACTCTCGACCATCACACTTCCCGTCCTTGGATGGACCACGACGATCAGCTCATCTCGTGACCAGCTTGAAAGTCACCGAATGACGTGAATGCAGCCGAAACGAAGCTGCTAAAGCGCATATAGTGCGGAACGATCGCATTCACTCTTCCCACCACCACCTTCCACTTCGACACTGGCGCCGCATATACCCACTTGGATCCACTCTAACGCTGTCTGTTCAAGATGCTGACCAGCATATCAATGGAGGATGTCATTGACACAGAAACTGCCGTCTTGCATATACCCCGCATGATCCGTCAAGACGAATACGGATACCGCACAAGTGTGGATGCCAAGGATGTAGCTCCACTCGCCGTCGTTCCGCTGAACGAGCCTTTCCGCATCTCGAAACCAGGCGGAGCTGCCTCCACTTTTATCCTCAAGCGCTTTGTGGAAGGTTACTATGTCTGTTCTTGTCCTGCATGGAAGTTCAGCACCGAGCGCGACAAGATGCGGAAGACGTGCTCCCACCTCAAAGACATACTCGGTGAGCAGTACGAAACAGAAAGGATCTCACTCGCAAAGGAAGCCAAAAGCACCGTATGGGAGCAGACAAAGTTCCGCAGAACAACATCTGATGGTCTTCACGCCAGGCACACCCAAGCAAAGAATGTACTTGATGACCACTTCCGACAGCTTTCGCAGAGTCAACCAGAGACGTCCACTTCGAACCTGAAGAAACCTGCATCGACTTCGAAAAAACCTTCACGCGGTCACTCCACGATCGACAAGATCGGCACTTCGAGCAGTACCTCTGCTCTGCAAGCCAAGCCAGCGTCCAGAACCGGAGTGCAAGCCGAGAGCGACACCGAAACTGAAGAAGAAGAGTTTACGGTCTCTCAGCCTGGTCCTTCTCGCCGCACTCCACCCGAAGCATTGGTTTTTGGTGCTGCAGTCACCGAAAGTCCTTCTGTCATTCGTACTCGGCCTGCACCTCAAGGCAGCGACGATGATAGCAATGGCTTTGACCCGGACGATATGCAACTTTCTCCTACAAAACGCGCACGACGCGGCAAGAAACCGACTTGTGACGATGACGATGACAAGGTAAGTCCGGCCTGCACCACACTGTTGGGAATTGGTGAAATCATGCTGACTTGATCCTCTACCGGAATCCCACTACGTGCCTTATCTCTCAGGCCTCCCTGCTACTTGCAAAGCCATGGCTTCTCGATGCGGATCCTTCCAAGCCGAGGTCCAGAGCGATGGACCCAACTGGCTGGTGGATCAGCGAAAAGCTCGATGGCGTAAGAGCCTTCTGGGACGGTCAGAGGCTCTACTCCCGTCAAAAGATTGAATGGAATGCTCCCACATGGTGGAAGAATCGTAAGCCGACATTCATGGAATGCCGTTCAGTTTGTCTCTGAACGCCACTGACTCAACCTTCCTCTCTCTCTCTTACTGTTCCGTCACGCTGAACATTAGGACTGCCCAAGGACATCACTCTGGACGGCGAACTCTGGATGTCACGAGGCACGTTCGATCAGACCTCTCAGGTCTGTCGCACAACTGTAAGATTGGGACGCTTGCGAACCTTTTCCCACTTCCTGGAACGAGATTCGATGGAGCGTCAATGGTTGCGAGAGCAGGTGGGCGGTCGGATAGCTAGTCAAGATCGTCTGCGCGTTGAACGTTCAGTAAACACTTCAACAGGCAGCATAGGGCAGGTAACGGATGCGGCAATGCATGCGGCTCCGGCGAGCTCAACAGCGATGCTCTCCATCTGGAAATCTTGGAAGGGATCGTTTTCGGGCTTTTCGAAGGGCAAGAGCAGGCGCAAGTCAAGATTAAAGTCTCCGCGCATCGCGTTCGCTGACTCGTTCCTGCGGGCTCTGTTCGGACATGCTCAAATCAACAAGGATGAGCCCTGTCCATCAGATCGGCAAACGTCCTATATGAAAGCTTTGAAACGATGTCCCCGGTGTGGCAAGGTGGTCAAGCGAAACAAAGTCAAGGACGCCTCTCGTTTCGAAGCTGCTCGTTCCTCAGATCCGGCGCAAGAAAGGAGAGTAAATTCTGACAGGCTTTTTCCCGATTCCGCTTTGCCCTCTGCTCCTTCCACTTCTGCATTCGATCGCACTTCAAACTCTGTAACGACTTCGACGTCGACACGGCGACCGCACGTCTACTCGATGCTGAACTCCTCACGATCCGGGTTCACCTATCGAATGGTACCCTCTGCATATACCCATGTCTGCCGGCGCAAATCGAAGGGCTCCAACGAATGGAACAGAATCAAGTTCATGGTAAGTACCGTAGCTCTTTTGACCTCATCCTTGCAGATGATAAAATCTCACTGACGTGCTTTTGGCCTGCTCAACCACCTCAGATCTTCGACGCTCCCTCGATGGGCTCGAAGCCCGTAGAAGAGCGCTGGGCCGAAATCGAAAAGCGCTTCGGATCTAGCGATGGTATCGACATTGACTCTCTTCAAGGTCCACAGATTAAGCTGGTGAAGCACATCAAGTGCGAAGGCCGCGACCATCTCGCTGAGCTCATGAAGTTGGTCGAGCTCAAAGGCGGCGAAGGGTAAGTCACCTTCCACACGAGATACTCCTCCAAACTGTAGAACACCACTGATATAAAGACTCTCTGTGCTATGCAAATGCAGACTGATGCTGCGTCAACCTCGATCCAAGTACGAAGGCCAACGGGGTAATACCCTCTACAAGCTCAAGTCATGGTACGATGCCGAAGCAGAAGTCATCGGCTACGCAGATGGCTCTGGTCGACACGAGGGACGCACCGGCTCCCTTGTAGCTCGTATGGCGTGCGGCACCGTCTTCCGCGTCGGTACGGGAATGTCAGATGCTCAGCGAGAGGACCCTCCGCCGATTGGAAGCATCATCAACTACCGCTTCTTTGAGCTCAGTGAAGACGGATATCCTCGCTTCCCTGCTTTTCGCGGCCTTGCACGCGACAAGTCTAGGCCCAAAGACGCCGTTGTACGTCCCCGGGCTAGCGCTCTTCGAGCAGCAGAAGAAGCATGAGAACAATAGTCAAGGTGTATCGGTGTACGATTCAATCATTATCAAAAACATGTTCGTTCGCATTCTGTCCCGAGAAGGGAGTGGTGCTAGATATGGAATGAGGGTGTAAGATACCAGGTAATCGGGAAAATTCATGAGCCGCTGCACGGTGACATCCAACTGCAAATCTGTTGACCCCCGCGTTCCACACGCTCGTCCATCCTGCGTGCACACATCCCTTCTCTTGGCTTGTGTGTGAGAGAGAGCGAGCACGAATCTACAGCCGCCGGTGATTTTCCCTTCTGACCCGGCCTGTCAGCGCCATTTCAATGGCCCTCTCTTCAGAAGCAGACCCTTATACAGTAGGGGGCTACATCCGCAGCTTTCCTGTTACCCACCACTAGACATCCGCAACCCTAGACGACGACAGCATCACCATCAGCAAAGACAGGAGGCAATAGCGACACCTCCTCCGTCCCTCGCATGATCACCATCCAGCCTTCAAGATGACGATCACCACGGCGGGCACCGCCGTCCACCTCGCCCCCACTGTCACCAAAATCTTCTTCAAGCACTACTACAAGAAAGCCAAGCGTTCCCTCAAATCACGCTCTCGCAATGCCTCCACCACTGACCCTAACGATCGCATGAACGCCCGAGATGAGTTTATGTTCGATGAAGCGTTCAACATTGTCAAGTCCTTCATCAACCTCGGTACAAGCGACACAGTAGAAGCGATCCAGAACTTTACCGATGCACCCGCTCCCCCGATCCCGTGGGCGACAACGCTTCCCGTAATGATCCCCATGGAGAGCTGCGACAAGGCTGCAGAGCTGATTATCGAGCACCTGGGAGAGAAAGATCTGTCAAAAATGGTGGGAGGAGAGAAATGGTGGCAGTTACGACCGTTGCCTGGACTGCAAGGCGAATGGATCGCAATGAGTAACGATTGGAAGAAGATGAAGAGTATGGAGCGTAAACAGGCTCAGCAGGGACCGTCTGAGGGTGCGGCAGCTGCGAGCAAGAAAGCGGCCCAAACAAGAAGGAGGAGGAGGAACAAACGGCATGAGAGAGCAAGATCGGAGATTCGTGCGATGCGACAAAAAACTGAATCTGCTATCAAGCGTCGCTCACAGTCGTTCAAGCGCACTTCACAGGATCGGGACAATGCGAGAGCGGCAGCAGCTGCAGCAGTGGCGGAGGCGGATCAAGCGAACAACGACACAGCTTCCGCTGTGGACACCGAAGATAAAGTCCCGCAACCGAACATCGATGCAGCTGATCTCTCTCCCGAAACCGATGCAGAAGACGACGACGAACGTGCTGCAGAGCAAGAAGAACTCGACCGCCTGCAACGTGTCATGCTCTACTTCCACGGTGGAGGATATTACTTTGGATCGCTCGCTACTCATCGATACCAGATCGTACGCTATGCCCGAAAGTTCGGCGGCAAGTGTTTCGCTCCGATCTACCGCAAAGCTCCCCAGTACCCTTGGCCGTGTGCGCTGCAGGATGCAGTTGCGAGCTACTTATTCTTGATAGACCCACCCAAGGGCGCAAAGCACAAGGCAGTGGACCCGAAGAAGATCGTTGTTGCAGGTGACAGTGCAGGAGGTGGTCTCACACTGGCTTTGCTGACGGTGATCAGGGATATGGGCCTACCAGCTCCAGCGGGTGCAGTGTTGATTTCGCCCTGGTGCGATTTGACGCATTCGTTCCCGTCGATTCTGCAGAATACAGCGACGGATATTATTCCACCGTACGGTTTCATTCATAAGCCTTCAACCCTGTGGCCTATCAATGCTACGAAGCCGGTGAAGGAGGGGAAAAGTAATGAAGTCGGGAACAAGGAGGACCAAGAGGGAGAGCCGAGAAGGAAAGTTCCCGTGGGTGTAGAGGAAGAAGGCGAAGATAGCGAGAAGAAGGAAAGTGACGAGACCGAACCTGCAGCTCGAAAGAGCATCGATGGTGGACGCTTGCAGTCCACCGCAACCAACACTGACACTGATATCAAGAGGAGACCAAAGGAGGCTTCTTCTTCGTTCAAGCTTGACGACGGCGCCCCACCAGCACCCGACCTCCTTTGGTCAGATCCCATCTCCATCCGCCGATCCGACTCTTCGAAACAAGACATTGAGCTGCGAGAACAGATCCAGCTCTACGCGACCAACGATCAACTCACTCATCCATTATGCTCCGCCGTTCTCTCCGGCTCTCTTGGTGGTCTACCACCGCTATTCATCCTCGCAGGGGACGCGGAAGTGCTCCGTGATGAGATTGTCTATCTCGCACACCGTGCCGCCCATCCTTCCCGCTACCCCTTACGCAAAGGCCTTCTCGACCACTCTCAAAGAAGCAGGGAGAACGCCGAACAGTACGACTCGCAACCTACAAAGGTGCATCTGCAGATCTACGACCAAATGTGTCACGTGTTGACCGCTTTTGCTTTCACTTCGCAGTCTCGCTTCGCCTATCGAGCGGTGGCGAGCTTTGTCAAACATGTGACTGGGGCTCCGACGAACATCAAAAACCCATTCCCTGCGGTGGAGGGCGAAGGGGAGCATGGAGACGGAGAGGATGGCGAGTGGGAAGAGGGGCACGGAGGTGGGACGACGGCGGTGGGGGAAGCGGATGATGGGATCAGTGATAATGTTGGAGGTGAGGTTGTTTCACCTCCGCTGGCAAGTTCTTTGCAGAGTTCGCAGGCGTCGATGAATGTACCTGACGGAAATGGAGCGGTGGAGAAGGCTCTGAACATGACTCCTTCTTCGTCGTCATCAGGAAGTGGTGGTGCGAATGGAAATGGATCGGGTGGCTTGACTGCGTTGACGAGCATCGACAGCAACTCTGGTGGCGGTAACAAGCCCAACGCCTCCAGCACGGACAGCAATCCGATCCGTGCTGAGCCAGGATCCATCGACCAACCTCCCAACGCCACCTGCGACCCCACCGTCACAAAGACACGACACCGAAGCATGTCCAAAGTCCTCGCCGACACTCTTCACGGCCATCCTTCCGGCTCTTCCTCTCGCTCTGCCACCCCCGACCCCATCACCGGCCCCCGACGAGGCACCTCCGATGTAGCCAACGAATACACCGGCCAAGTACCCCTCCTCCGACCCTCCTTTCAGTCCTTCATGATTCGCGAACGCGTCGATGTCCGAGGCTACCTTCGACCTCTCGAACACGAAAGTTCCCTTCCTGCTCTCCAAATCAATCCCGAAGAGATCGGCTGCATTAAAGAAGGCCCTGTAGAACGCTATCTCGATGGCCAAACGCAGTGGGCCAAACGCTTTGCCAAGACGGCACGAAAAGTCGAAAAGCAGCGCGCTAAGAATGAACAACTCGCGCATAAGATGTTAGCCGAAGCGGCTTCACAAGGCTTGATGGATCTAGAGGGGTTGGAGAGAAAGAAGCGGGAGCTGATGAGCAAGGCTAATACCCCCGACGCTGAGTTCAATGCGGCGGATGGGAGTGGAAAGAGTCTTGGTTTGAGTGCGGATGATGTAGCTACCGGAGCAGAGAAGTGTAGAGAGAAGTGGTTCTGGTTGTGCGACTTTGGACCGATGGATTTGGTGAATGAAACTCCTCCTCCTGCAGCTATTGCTGGCAGGAGAGACACGGAAGATGCGCTTATCCTACTTCGTCGCTCACTTCAGATCAGAGCGCGGGCCTATGGAATTCAGAGGAAGTCTAGATTCTGGGGAGCTGAGGATAAACCTGTACGAGCACACCTCAGAGCAGCGACAGGGACGAAACTGGATACCAAAACAAGCACTGACCCAACCGGCGAGACTGTCGATGGCGAAGGAGAAAAGAGCAAGAAGCATCATCACCATCATCGAGGGCTAAGAGTTTGGAACTTGTTGATGGTCAAGAAGCCTCCCACTGCGGCTAAGGCAAAGTGAAAAGGCTGTAGCCGGCCAACAAGGCCACGGGCTCAGAACAAGAAGGTGTCCACCGCGGAAGAAACTCAGCTCTCCACTCACTTTGATGATAGACTTGGTGGTATTCACAATCAAACGTGCTTTTAGATGAGATCCGAGGTTGAAAGACGATGCATTTCCATAGACGTGCAGAATGTGTTTGGTGAAAAGGTATGAACAGAGAAGAGGAGGTTGATGAATGGAGACAGCGGACCGCGAGACCTCACTCTCGCCTCTTGCGTATTGTTGATTGGCTTACTTCTTCTTGCTAGGACTTCCAAGCTTCCTGGTAACCTTAGTAGCGCCACTGGACTCAGCAGCGGCTTCTTCATCCGCAACGTCATTGACCTTCTTCTTTGCCTGCACCTGTGCATCAGCCATTTTTGGCACAGGAGCGACTTCGTTCGAAACCCGAGCACCGTCAACGCCTGCACCTGCACCCGAGGACGGAGGTTGAGCAGAGGCAGCAGCACGAGCGTTCCTCTCTGCTTCAGCTCTGTAGACTGCCGCCTCTTCTTCAGGGCTGAGAGGAAGAGCAATCCTACCCTCCTGTCTAGCTTTGATCCTCTTCCATGCGATACCAGCGAGCAAGGCAACACCTTGGAGCGAGATGCTCAAGATAATAGCGGCGGTGAGGGGAGCAGGTCGGGGTTCACCGTCGTCTCGACCACCGATGAGACTGAAGTGCTTGTGCCAGAGCAATCCGACGTTGAGATAGATACCGGCTACAGTCCATGTGAGGTCGGCAGTAGCGAAGATCCATAGAGCCGAAAAGGCGCCAAGACCAGTGACGATGCCAAATGCGGGCCAGAGGCCCTGGACGAGAGCATCGTGACCGCCAGCGCCAAAGTCCCATCCAAGAGCCATGAAAAGCTGCTGCCAGAGATCGTACTGTAGAGTGACGACAAGGAACATCTTGATAGGCACGTGGATGAAGAGCCAGTCGAGCGGGTGCCTTACCGAGGGAGCGTACCTCACTGCCAGGACGAGAGCGTTGAAGAGGAGAATCAGCGCAATGATACCAAGCGTGACAGTGCCGAGGATGAAAGTAAGTCGACGGTCAAGAATCCAAAAGATAGCCCAGAGGACCATCATGTAGTTGGCCAATGCCAAGCGGGTACCGACACCATGAACAAGCGCCTTCTTGGTCTCTGGGGTACGACTGATCAGTAGGAACACTGAGAATCCGATTAGAAGCACATATAAGATGGCCCAATAGAACAAGACAAACGAGTCCTGAATCGAGAGGTAGGTGGGATGACGATGCGACACCTGCTGAAGGTTGGGCTTGATCAGCTTGGACCCACACAAGATCATGACACCCATCTGCAGCAACACCGACAGGGGTGTAAGGATCTGCAACCGGGTGAGCGACTTGACTTCGTTCTGCTCCATGTTGTGCGATAGCGCGTGGTAGCGTCGAGAGAGACCAGAGGCGAGGTGGTTAGGGTTTGAAGGCGCCTCGCTGGCGGCGCGAAACCGGTCGGACTGTTCTGGATCCTCGGGACGGTAGATATAGTCGGGTTGAGGCTGCTGTTGGGAGATTGTATTGCTACTGGGCATCGAAGGCATGCGGGTGGTATTAGACGCAGACCTAGTGCTGTATGACAGATGGTGGTAAGGTGGACCTTGCAAGCTAGTGTGCAGAGACAAAAGCGACGATGGTGAGTAGAGTCTGTGCCATCCAGTGACAAGGCCAAGTGAGACACCGAACGAGGCATAGAGAGAGCTAAATTTGGCTTGGGAAAAGAGTGGAGGAATGCGACGTGTCGGCGTCTGTTCGGCGCTCGATGACGCTGACCGAGTCGCAATTTCATTGTTCCGCCAAGCCAGCATTCATCGGGCGATTTGAGTTCTTTGTGATTTTGATCGGCGATCCCGGTCGAAGGTGGAAGAAAGCGCATGCTTCCTCCGCCCATCGTGGAGGTGGAGGACAGACAGACAGACAGACACTATAAGCTTGGCCGCGGAGTGGAGTCAACTGAGCTTGTGGCGCACTTGCTTGTCTGCAGAAGGTGTTGCTTTCTCTGTATGTGTTGTATGCCTAGCCGACGACTTGTGGAGTAAAATCCGTGTCCGCTGGTGTTCTCTATCCTTCGGTTTGGTAGCCGCTCTCCTCCTCTCTTCGGTGGAGCTGAGCCGGGAAGGTCATCGAGGATCTTCTTGTCACCGCCCGGGTGTATATATTGCAGCCCTCTTGCAGCCCTTTACCGTCCCCACCTCCCCATCTCACCCCTCTCGATCAACCAGCAACACTGCCAAAATGGGTATCTTCGACATCGAAAAGCCAATCTCCAAACTTGACCGACACCGTGTTCTTGCACCCAAGGCCGGTGTCCGTGTCTCCCCCCTCTGCCTCGGTGCCATGTCTATCGGCGACGCCTGGAAAGACTTGATGTCTGGTGGCCTGAACAAGGAAGCCTCCTTCGAACTCCTAGATGCTTTTTACAAACTTGGCGGAAACTTTATCGACACTGCCAACCTCTATACCGATGGCCAAAGCGAAGAATTCATCGGTGAATGGATGCAAGCTCGCAAGAACCGTGACGAGATCGTGCTCGCCACCAAAGCTACCTCGCCCTACAAGTCTCGTGAGTTGGGCACTCACATTGCGACCAACTTTGTTGGAAACTCGGCCAAGTCCATCTGGGTCTCGACCAACGACTCGCTTAAGAAGCTCCGCACCGACTACATCGATATCATGTACATCCATTGGTGGGACTGGTCGACGAGCATCGAAGAGATGATGCAGGCGCTCAACAAGCTCGTTGCTTCCGGCAAGGTTCTTTACCTCGGCGCAAGTGACATGCCCGCTTGGGTGGTTGCTGCAGCGAACACATATGCTCGAGCTCACAACTTGGCTCAATTCATTGTTTATCAGGGCAAATGGAACGCCGCTGAGCGTGATTTCGAGCGCGAGATCATTCCTATGGCTCGCGAATTTGGCATGGCTCTTGCTCCATGGGGCGCCCTTGGTCAGGGTCGTTTCAAGACTCCTGAACAGGTTGCTGAGCGAGAGAAGACCCAAGGTCCTTTACGTGGTGGAGGAGGCCAACTCACCGATAAGGAGAAGACCATCTCGGCTGCTCTCTACAAGCTGGGTCAGGAAGAACTCGGAGGACTCAGCATCACTGGTGTCGCGCTCGCTTACTGCTTCTCCAAGTACCCCTACGTCTTCCCTATTGTGGGCGGTACCAAGGTCTCGCATCTCGAAGATAACGTCAAGGCGATTGGTGTTGTGTTGACGGACGAGCAGATAAAGAAGATCGAGGTTGCCGTGCCTTTCGACCCTGGCTTCCCTCTGTCGATGATTCAAGACGATCCTCATTTGGAAGGTGAGACCAAGTTCGGTCTCCTTGGTCACGGTGGTCATGTTGACTGGGTCAAGCATGGCAAGGCTCCTTCTTTCCAGTAGTGTCAGTTCGCACAGTTTGGTAGTTAGCGCTCAATACCGAATCGTAACGTCTTGCATTGAATGCCGTCCTTGAACAAGTGTCATGAGCAGTTAGTTGTATCGTTGTGTGCTGAAGTTGAGCTGCATTGCCGGCTTTGAAGTGAATGGCGGGAGCGTGTCAATTTCAGGCCTGTGCCTTTCTCGGCCAAAGCCGAACTACACTTCCGACACAATTTTCGACACCGGCTTTTGGTCACTCGCACGCGACAGACCCTTGTCCAACATTCCTTCCCATTCACTGTTCTGACTCGCACTGGCCTCTGTTCGCTTTGGACTACCACAAGCGCCGATAGAATTTCGATGAAGCAGGAAGCATCAGGACAGCGATCAACTTGTACACCGTTCAGCTTCCGAAATGACAGCACCACCGACACACGAGTCGCACTTGGCAGCAGTAGAAGCCCTCAAAGCCCAAGAAGCTGCTCTACGATACGACCATGCTACGCTCACCTCTATGTCTCCAGACGAATGCTGCGCCAATTCTATCTTGACCCGCTTGCGTGATGCAGATGTCCAAGCGAAATGGGAGAAGGAAGGCGATCTCACCAGCTTCCCCGGAATGGACTTTTACGGCGCTAAAAAGAACGGTTTAGGTCCTGACAAACCAACCGATCTGTGGAGGGCTGTTCAGAGGATGCCCAAAGGAGCGCTATTGCACTGTCATTTTGATGGGACTGTTGATACCCGCTTCTTGCTGCGTCACGCGCTACAGACAAGCAACATGGCAATGAAGGCGGATATGCCACTATCAAGCAAGGATGTGTTATGGAAAGCAACCGTGGAATTTCTTGTCCTGCCAAAAGGAGCAAAGAAGACAACAACCAGCATCTACTCGAAGGACTACATCCCAGGATCATGGGTCAGCTTCAAACTCGCCCGTGACTGCTTCCCCTACCCGCATCCCTATCTCACCGAAAAGAACGGCTCGGCTTCCGAGCTACCCGAAGCATTCTTCCCCACGAGTCCATTCGACGCCTACATCCACTCCCTAATGACTCTCACCCCTCACTCAGCCGTCCCTGTCCCGACAAACAGCAAACAAGCATGGGCCAAATTCCGATCGACGTTCGGAGTAATCGCAGGACTCCTCGGCTACGAACCAACGCTTAAAGCCTACACTAAAGAACTCATTCTCTCGCACGCACGCGATGGAATCTCGTACACAGAAACCCGCATTAACTTCCTCGCCGAATTCATGGTTCGTTCTGATGGCACTTACAACCTCTCCCACGAAGAATGGGTCAGGATCTTCATCGAAGCCGTCAACGAAGTCAAGAGCGAGGTTAAGGATGGTAGCTTTGTAGATGCAAAGATCATTTACACCACAGTTAGGTTTATCGATAACGAAAGATTGAGGTGGTATTTGGAAGACTGCATTGTGCTCAAGAAAAAGTATCCCGAGTGGATTGTTGGGTTGGATCTTGTCGGTCACGAGGATCCCCTGCTCCCTCTCAAAGTATACATTCCTGAACTGCTGCGATTCAAGGCAAGGTGTGCAGAAGAGGGGTTGGAGATCCCATTCGTATTCCACGCAGGCGAAACACTGGAAGATGGAGGGGATGCAGACTTGAATCTGTACGATGCGTTGGTGCTGGACACGAAACGCATTGGACATGGTGTTTCGCTCGCCCGCCACCCCTTGCTAACAGATATAGTCAAAGAAAGGGATATCTGTATCGAGATTTGCCCCATCTCGAATCAGATTCTAGGGTATACAGCATCGATCTGTTCTCATCCGAGCTTGTTGGCGTTGCTGCATCGGGATGTACCTGTCACACTGAGTTCGGATGATCCGAGCATTTTCGAAAACTTTGGATTGTCGTATGACTTTTACCAGCTGGCGGTCAGTAGTCAGTCGACAAGTCTGGGGTCGTTGAAGACGCTAGCGAGAAGATCGTTGAAGTACACACTGGTGGGAGAGGAGGTGAAGGCGAAGATGCTGGAAGACTTTGATAGGAGGTGGGATCAGTATGTTGCTTGGCTTTTGAAGAATTTTGGACACTTGGAATAGAGCTAGCTCAATGGGAGCATAGAAACTTAACACCCATGCACACAATCACAAGGACACCTTCAAGGAGACAGATCCGTCTGTGAAACGAAGCGGAAGAGCAAATGTTATTGATACAAGCAGCCTTCAAAGCTACTGTTTGACTGAGCAAAGCGATTGGTGCATGGTGCGTTTAGGGAGCCTTAATGGTGGCTTTGGAGAGCAAATATTGGTAAGGCGGGGTAGTAGCCTCAACAGCGCTCTTCAAATGATCAGCAATCTTTGCCTTGGGCTTTTCCTCTCCAGGCGTAGCAGAAGCAGTTTCCTTCTTGAACCCGGTCGAGTTTTGTGCTGCATCATGGTAACCGCCCCATTTAGCCCATTCGTTGACCGGGCCCGAGTCCCAAGTCAACATCTCGGGGGAGAAAGGAATGCCGATAGCCTCGCAATAGCTCTTGATAGCGTGGTCTGGGTGAGCGAGCAAGGTGCTAGCGTCGAGCAGAGGGGGTGGTTGTGGCTGCTGCACGGCAAGTTCATCGCCAGATTCGGTGTTGAATGTGGAGTTGGGGTTGGAAATCCAATCGTACAGTATCTTGAGTTCGATGTATCCTGCATCGGCTTCGTCCCAGAAAGTCCAACCCGAGGCTCCTTCTTGGACGCACTTCCAGTAAGAAGGGATCGACTTTTCCGGGGTGCGGATCAAGAACGAGTGTCGGAAACGCTTGAGGATGTTGGTTGGGACGGTGGTGGGGTTTTCGATGACGGGAGCGTTGGGGTCGAACTTCTTACCGCTGCTACTGCCTGTGGCAGGGGCGGGGAAGACCTTGGAGTTGGGGTGAAGTTGATGCAAAAGGTCGGCGGGGAAGAGACACTGACCCATGTCCTTGAGGAAGATGTATTTGGGTGGGAAGGGTTTGCCTTTTGACATGTCTTCTTGGATAGGGTTGAGGACCTTTTCGAGGACTTGGGTGACAGTGAGGTCGTAGTTGCCGGATGCTTTGGCGTGCTCGTCGTCGAAACGACGGCAAGGGCGTTCCTTGCCGAGGTAAAAAGGGTCACCGATGGGCTCGTGGAAGACGACGGTGTCAGGTCGCTGCATGAGCGAGCGCTCGAAGGCGGTGGAGCATGATCGCGGATGCACCCAGATGACGATGGGCAGAGGTTGTTGGGATGACATGGTTGCCAGTGTGTTTGTGAGGGTGAGGGTTGTGGTGGTGGTGGTGGTGGTGGTGACGAGAGGATGGAAGGTTCGAGTTCAAAAAGCTGAGACAAAGGAAGGGTCTGGTAACATTCTCATGTTGACGGTAACAGGCCTGCGGAATCCATTGTTGACAGATCCGGTGTTTTTCGTTGATTAAAAGCAACGCAATACAGCCCGACCAACAATAGCAGCGACTGCGGCGGGCAGAAGCTGTGTGGTGCCCTTGAGGATCAGCATTGGCATAGGAAGAAACAGCGAGGAGCATGTGCTAAACACCAAAAAAAAAAAAAAAAAAAAAAAAAAAAAAAAAAAAAAAAAGCGAGGCACATGGTCCGTGTGATAAGCGCCTGTTCCAAACTGCTATCGTGGACTGCTGCCCTTGAAGTTTGCCGTCAAAATTTCGGCCATGCGTCCAAGGGTTTCTTTTGCCAGACCCTTGTTCGACCTTGCCAGCAATCAAGGCAATACACCAGTGAAAGCACTCTCGTATGCGAGAGAATGTGTGAGAGCTTTGTGCAATTTGTACCATGTGAGGACCTGCGAACCCATCGTTTGGGTCGGGAAGCAGTGAAGCAGTGAAAGCGGCAAAACGAGCGGCTTATCTCGCCATCGCACCAAAGAATTGTGTCATGCAGAGAGATTCGTCGCTGCTTCTATGGCTGTTTGTCTGCAGGTCTAACACTCAAAGTTCCTTTGGCATCGCAAAGACCAAGACTGTGCTGCTCAACAATTTCGACGATAGGGTCCAACTCGCACGGTCTTTCCCGCAGATCGCGGCCATTATCATCTTGTGCAACAGACGATGTGTAGCATGAAAGCGGCTGATGGTGTCAATGAGCCCCTGTCTCCGGCTTCAACTTCTTCCACGAAAAAAAGGGGGGGGGGGCCGGTGTGGTGTTCTTCTTAGGAGGTGCCAAGAAGCTCTTTTTTCTTGCTTCTCGCCTAGAGTCTCAGTAACGCATGTTAAGATTCGACAGAACACAGGTTGCGTCAGCATGCCTTTCCTTGTTCGAATTGCAGGTCAGCGGCGTAAAAAAGTAGGCGTAGTATTATTCTAGAGCCAGCTTCTCCAGCCCCGCGGTTGTGTTACGGCTCGAGCTCGGAGGCGAGTTTGTGAGGCGGTGTTTCACACACAAATGCTTGCTTCTGACAGCAGAAGAGCATTCGTTTGCATGGCGGGCACTCGAATTGGCTGCCTTCTCGCACTTGGCCGGTTTGCTGCTCTTTGCTCCAGCCTGCGTCGTTCAAGATACACGCGGGGTCTGCATGGATTACAGTCGTCTCGCTCTCTAATCTTGTCTGCCCTAGGCTGACCCGTGTTCCTTTGTCAGTGGTGAAGCGAGCAAGCGAAAGTGTGGGTCAAGTTACCTGCCAGATTCCTGTTCCTGCTCCAGCATAGCTTTCTGGTCACGATCGTCCCCTTCTTCCCTCATCATTGCCCCCTCCTACCCACCTCCTAATCACCTCCTTGTGGCCTCTCGTATTCTTTGCGCGAGCAGCAAAGTGGAGGCGACGCCGATTCGACGTTCTACCGGCGCGTACCGCCTACCTGAAACGCAATAGACCAACCTTGGCGATATTTCATATACGACCTTTGCACGGATCGAGCCGTGACGTCTTGCTCTCTGGAACCTTCAAGTCGACTCCTGATCTCTCCTTCTACAGCGGATAGTATACTTCTGCCTCTTCAAAGAAGGCTTACCGATCTCGGCATCTTGGATCCGGCCTCTTGACTTCTCGCCTGCAATAGGACGGAACATCGTCGACCTCACCATTCACACTTCCGCTTCCGGGCTCGCTGGTCGATCCCACTGACCCTCTTACGACCCACCTTACTTTGAACAGACGCATCGCATATCATCAGCCCTCCCTGCCTCCTCTTTTAGATCACGTTCCTGCTGCGCCACGCCCGATAATAACTCTTATTGACCACATCTCACCATGTCCTCAACAGTAACAACAATAACGCAGACAGTAGTAGCCGTGTCACCGACATCCTCGACCGACGCAGCTGACGCCGCCAAAGCATCTGCATCCTCAGCCGTCCACTCTCTTTCCAAAGCGATCGCGTCGGCTTCGGCCGCTCTCACATCCGAAAGCGCCGTTGCTGCAGGCAACGAAGCCAACCCACCAGCCTTCAAGTATGTTGGTCTCGCACTCGCCGTCGGATCCGGTATCCTCATCGGCTCTTCCTTCGTCTTCAAAAAGAAAGGTCTTCTCGCAGCGCAGAAGAAGTACGAGACAGCAGCAGGTGAAGGACATGCTTACCTCAAGTCTCCCATGTGGTGGACCGGTATGATTGTCATGGTGTTCGGCGAAATCTTCAATTTCGTCGCCTACGCTTTCGCAGACGCAGTCCTTGTAACGCCGTTGGGAGCTCTTTCTGTCGTCATCTGCGCCGTCCTCTCTTCCATCTTCCTGAAAGAGAAGTTGACCCTGTTCGGCAAAGTGGGATGCTTCCTCTGCATCGTCGGATCCGTCATCATTGCCCTCAACGCACCTACCTCGCACGTCGGAGGCAAGATCATCGAGTTCCAAAAGCTTTTTCTTGCTCCTGGTTTCCTCACATGGGCCAGTGTCTGCATCGTCGCTTCGCTCCTTTTGATCTTTGTCTTTGCGCCCAAATACGGCAAGAAGCACATGATGATCTACATTACCGTCTGCAGCCTTATCGGTGGTCTTAGTGTCAGTGTCACTTCTGGTCTTGGTTCAGCGATTTTGCTGTCAATTCGAGGACAGAACCAGTTCAAGCATTGGTTCATTTACTTCCTCCTCGGATTCGTGGTCGTTACACTGCTAGTGGAGATCAACTACCTCAACAAGGCGCTCGAACTGTTCAACACTGCCACTGTCACACCGACCTACTACGTCATCTTCACAGGTGCAACGCTGATTACGTCGATCATCTTGCAACAAGGTCTCAACGCCTCAGTGATTGACATCATCACGTTGGTGATGGGTTTCTTGGTCATCTGCGCTGGTATTGTGCTGTTGCAATTGAGCAAGATCGATCCGGACGAATTGCAGGACAAGCCAGGGATGGATCGCGACACCACCTTACTCGTCAGGGCAAGTCATTCGGTCATTTCGCATGGTGGAGAGAAAGCCGATTCTTCAGCGTATGAAGATCCGGGGTTAGACACAGTGCGAGGTGGAATGGGTATCGTCGGATCGATGATTCGCGCACGAAGCTCAAGGAGGCTAAGCTCAACTGGGGCATGGAGACACCACAGTGCAGCAGACGAGTACACCTTGCGCAGTCGCAACAATTTTCCACTCACTACACACGGTGCCGGCGACATCGAACGCTACCAGCTCCAGGACGCACCTCTGTCGCCGCCAAGTCGCGCAGATGGGGGCTTGACAGTTCCCGGAACACCCAGCCATCGCAATACCACCATCTCCTTCGAACCTGGCGCCGACTCTCCTCACGGCCACCACGCAGCTGATCCAGCCTCTGCCTCTCAGTTCGGCAGCCTCAACAATCAGCAGCATCACACACTGCACTCGATCAAAGAAGCTTCCAACGGCAGTGGTCGTAGCACCAACGCTTCTGCTTCAGCCAACCAGTCTGAGTCGATACGTTTGCCGATGTACGTCGACCCTTACGCTCCGCGATCACACTCCCCTCTCTCGCCCACCATGCCACGTTCCGATGCGGCTCCAGATATCCGTAACATGTGGGAGCAAAACGATATCGGCTACTCTTCCTCCCCCGCTGCATCGCCGGAGACAGAAGAGGACGAGTACTCGATTCGGGCAGTAGCCGCGTCCGCAGCCGATGGAGATCGTGGAAGCCAAAGGAGCAAGAAGGACTATCCTAAGATTAAGCCTAGGACTGCATCCAAGTCGCTAGCGAAGGGAAGTAGTGATGATGATGATGAGGCGGAAGAACTGCTCAGTCCAAGGTTGGGTTACAGATGATGTGGGTTGCACGACTTTTCTCATGCTCTTTGTTTAGATTTGTCGCTTTTACATTAATGGACACTATGATCGCCTTGTACATATATATATATATAATAAATATATATAAAAACCTATCCACGTGACCTATTTGTGCGATTAATAAGCATGAGCTCACCAACCCGCGGCCCTCGGAACCGGCTGATACAGTGAGATCCGTGAGCTGGCGGATGGTTACTCGTGGTCGCGTTCAGGCACGACCCGGTACAGTTAAGGTTCACGGCCTTCGCAATACAACCGCAACATTAAGGTCCTTGAGACTGTGAGGTAAGAGAGATATGATGGTAGTACTACAACCACAGCACAGGTGGACGAGGATGCAATCACCTCGGCTGGCTTATTTCTCACTATACTTTCACACTCCACTCATCATTAGTAACCAATATATGTTACATTCTTCTCAAAAACATGCCAACGACCAACTGCTACTAATGGGAAAGGGCCTTGGTCAGCGTCCAGGGTCTCGGTCTTTGACCTGGCCGAGGCCGAGTCCGGCGTGGACGTTTGCTACCGAAACTTCAATTATATAGACGAGCCAGCTGCACGTGACGATCATCTTGGCGCAGAGCAAAGGACCCTGAAATCGGAAGGAGTCGGGCCGTGCGCTTACTTGACACTTCTGGAATACCTCCACCGAAGCCCATCATTCACTCAGCACCATCATCATCTTCATTGCACTTCACATCTTACTTGTGCTACCAGGCGCTATGGACTCTTCTTGACAAGCGCAAGTCTGATCCTAACTCTAGAGCGCGTTTTCAAGCGCCTGGCAAACTCACAATGGCGGCAACAATACCCCCTGACCAGGCTCGTGCGGCCTCCAGCAGCCGCAACACCAACACCCCTTCCCCATCAAAGCCCTCTGCACCAGCCTCGAAAGGCATCCCACCATACGCAACACTGACCTTCGGTGCAGCATCCGGCTTTGCATCCTGCGTTCTCCTCCAACCTTTCGACCTCCTCAAAACTCGCTTACAACAACTGGACCACAACCCGACCTCCACCTCTTCCGCCCAAACCTATCAATCTCGCACGCAGAAGCTCATTGGCATCACTCGCGAAATCATCCGCATACAAGGCTATCCCGGCTTATGGCGTGGCACAACCCCAACTGTAGTCCGGAACGTTCCTGGAGTAGCACTATACTTCTATTCAGTGACGCATCTTCGGCATGTTGCAAGTCAGCGACAAATCCCACTGATATCTGTGGTGGTCAATGCGAATGATGCTTCCGCTGGATCTTCTACCTTGGCGAAGCTGTCGACTACGGGGAATTTGTTGGCGGGAGCGGCGGCAAGAGTTACTGTTGGGTTCATTTTGTCCCCTGTCACAGTGGTGAAGGCTAGATTTGAGAGTAGTAACTTCTCCGCAGCGACCGAAAGAACGTTGTTCTCGTCGATGAAAGAGATTCGTGCACAGTCAGGCTTTAGAGGCTTCTTTCAGGGGTTCGCTGCTACGGCACTTCGAGATGCTCCTTATGCGGGTTTGTATCTGGCGTTGTATGAAGCGAGTAAGACTAACCTCGCCGCGCTCTCGTCAGGGTTAGGGACGGGAAATTGGATAGTTGTTAGTGGGTCTGGGTTACTCGCTGGAACATTGGCAACGGTGATCACTCATCCTTTTGACATTATAAAGACTCGTATGCAAACAACACCACAAGAGATACTGCATCAAATCGCACTCTCACATAACCCGCAGACTTCACTAACAGTCAAAGCCGCAGCCACGGTCAAAGAGGCAGTCACCAGAGAAGGAAAGTTAAGGAAACCGAGCGTTTGGGGTATGACGAAGCATCTATGGGCAATTTCAGGGCCGAGAGCGTTACTGGATGGATTGGGATTGAGATGTGCTAGAAAGGCAGCTAGTTCAGCGATCGGGTGGAGCATCTTTGAGGGCGGGAGAGGGTGGTATACCGAGCGAGAGGCTAGGAGTGCGGTAGAAGCGGGGACTGTAGCGGGGAAGGAGAGAGGACTGGATCATAAGCAAGTGTAACACACAAGTCTAGAAAGACACAAACATACACAGATGTGCAATACCGTAACACGATGCAGGCTTGCAATCATCAGCCCTCTTCATCATCACATTTTCGGCTTTGTCGTAACGCAAAGTACAGCACGACACGACCAAAGCAAGATGGGTTCTATTCAAGCACTGGGGATATAGATTGAGGAAAAGTGAGATTCAGATACATATAGTCGTAGACATCATACTAGAGCATTGATTTAGGGAGTGAAAACAAGCGAAAACTGCTTGCCCGTTGCACCCTCACCAACATCGACCATGACGATACCAGCTTCCTTGTCGATGCTAGCCTTGACATCGTCCTTTGCGTCACCCTCAACTGCCACGTTCAAGCTGGTATACAGTCTCTGGTTGTCGTACCTGATCTTGATCGTCTCTGCGCCTGTAGCTTGGTACCAAATAGTCCAGCGCTTTTCGCCAGAGGTAGCTTCTGTGCCATCACCATCTTCGAATTCAGAGTAGACCAAGATGCTCTTACCTGCCGACTTCTCCCCTTCATCCTGGGCCGAGTCGTAGGGAAGGTGACCGATCTGATAGTAGACGTCGCGGACACAACCGACGCACATCGGAGTCTCGGTTGCTACCGCAGAAACAACGGAGGTGGGGAGCGAACCATTGAGGTGAATCTTGACCACGTACTCCAACTTGGTGTGGTTACCCTGCTTAGTAATATCCCAAGCCGAAACTTCAAGTGTGGCACGAGTGCGACTCTTGGAGTAAGAACCATCCTCATCAACGTACTGTTTATCATTGACCGAAGTCTGGATGATTACAATCCTGTCTCCGTTATCGGTAACGATGTTTTCCTGTACACCGACAATGTCTCTTGCCCAAACGAAGTAAGAGGGGGACTTCATGTAGGTGTAGAAGAGATACTTTTGGGGACCGTAACGTTCGAGTTGGTTCGCGGCGTCGAATCGGGAATCCCATTTCTTACGCATACCGGGTTGTTGGATTACAGCGAGAACTTGAGAGGGAGTGGCATTTTCGACAATGGTAACACCTTTGACGATGGGTACGTCGTAAGCGTTTTCGGGGTTGGTCTTTTTGAAGAGTTTGACATCTTCACGTTCACCTGCGTCTTCCCAATCGGATTCCTTTGCAGGGTCGTTTTGAGCTTCGAATTGCGCTTTGGCTTTTTGGAGGGCTTCTTCGTAGGCGGGGGGGATGGGGAGGTAGGAGTCTTGACGAGTGGAAGAGGGGATATCGAACGTCATTTTTGCTATCTTTCTCGTGGGAGGTGGGGTGGTCTGGGTATGGGTGAGGGCTGGGAAGAGGGTTCAAGTAGTCTTCGAAGAGTAGCGAGTGGCAGTTGGGGTCACTAGAGAAAGGGCATTACCGCAACACAGACCACCTTTTAGCGTGAATCAAGAAAAGCCGGGGAAACCCCAGACAAGCAGAGGTCTGTGAAAGCTCAATCTCGACACTCAGCCTTCTTTGCCACGTCTTTCTTCTTCTCGTCCGGAATTGCAACCTTGACACCGCGGAATACCAACCTTGTGTGAGCTGCAAACTTGACATACAAGATGTTGCTACTCCCGCCTTGCAATGCGGTGAAAGCCAACTTCAGATAATGGCGGTGAGCGTCACGGTGAACCCTAAGCGGGTGTGAGTGCGGCCAGGTCCGTGTGGCAACAGAAAGGTACATGCGGTGGTGACCTGCAGTGTCGATTCTTTGAGATCTCACCGCTCAGGTGCATAGTGTCGTACAGAATCGGGACAGCGATGGTTGACTGCGAACGCAAAGTCTGATTGACTTCTACGTCTTTGAGCTTAGTGCCCTGCCAACAATGTCGACTGTAGAAAGGTCCACTGTAGCAAGCGAAGATGTTGATACCACACAATTAGCAAGTTTTTGTAACACAAGACATGGATTCGCGGCAAATCAGGAAGGATGTATGTACACGGCCTGCAGTGCAGCTCAGATCGACTTACAGTGAGGATAGTCTTCCTCTTCCCTCTGTGAAAGCCAGGCGAATCTATGATCGTAATGTGGAATCACAAGACAACATTGTCGGTGCGTAGAAGGCAAAGATGTTGTTGCCACACATTCGCCGAGCCCTGTCCTTGTACCGACAGAAGGCCATTATGATGGGTTTGAGCCGTCTTCGTTCAGCTAACGGTGTCGTGTAATGCGGCGTTACGCTCTTCCATCAAGAAACAGCGCACCGTGGCGAGGACCACCACGGTGTAGAAAGCGACCCTATTAACCCCAAGCAATCGTCGAGCTAGTCCGCCGGCCATCTCATCCTCACTCTGCACCTTCAGCAACAGCTAGCTTCGTCCACAAGCACGGTTGACGAGCACAGACCCTAAGCCCGGTAAAAGCATTTTAACGCTTGATACTATTGCCATCATCAAGAGATCGGAGTGTTTGCCTTCCAGCTCCATTCACTCTTCCCACTCCAATCCTCACCAGCCATCTTCATCTCCTTCCCCGGATCAATCTCCTCTCCCGCCCCATCTTTCGACACCACCCTATCCCCACTAGCATAAAACTCCCTCTTCCAGACGGCAACATTCTTCTTCACCTCCTCCAGCAACCACTCCGCTACAACAAAAGCCTCTTTCCTATGCGCCGAACTCACCGCAATCAGAATACTGCATTCTCCCACGCCCACCTCTCCCAGCCTATGAGCTATGTAACATCTTTCCACTCTATCCTCCTTGCCTCCTTCTGATGGTGCAGCATTAGCGGACACTGGCACCGGGGTGTCAGCAAATGGTGCTGAGGTATGCGCAGCTTCCAGCAGAGACGAGATAGTTTTGAGCGCGAGAGGAGTGTATGCTTCGTATTCGAGTTTGGTTACGGTCTTGCCTTTGAATGAATCGCGAGTTGTGCCGCTGAAGAGGACCGTTGCTCCCGAGCCTGGGTCTGAGACGCACCGAACCGCGTCGGATTCAGAGAGTTGGTCGTACGTTAGGATCGCTATGTCACCACGCGAAGTTTGTGTGCTGCCTGAGATTGAGGTTGGTGGGTAGGCTGAGGATGAGCTCGCTGCCTGTGACGACGTTGCCATTGTTGCAAGGGAACAGGGTGTTGGTAGAAGCTTGAAGTGTTGTTCTGAGGAGACCCTGAACGAATTGGAAGGTCGAGGCGTTGATAGCCGGCAACCAATTCGGCCAATTAAGCTTCCTCCCAACTTTAGGGTCCGACTGCTAAGTTACACCATCTTGACTCAACTTCACACGACACTCTCATATTTTGCTCACTTCACTCTCGGTATGAAACAGTAACTAGAAAGAGTCCATTAGGACGTGACAAGGACTGGTAACAAAAGATGCTTTTGGGCCGAAACCTAACGCTTAGTAGTAGCACTGAACAAAGTTGTTGCCCGAAGCGCCAGTGTGGGTGATCTGTCATTCACAAACATCGCGCAAAGTCAATCTGGTCAGAAATCGGTTACGTACCCAAAACGACACGTAATATCGGGGAGGAGAGCGAGACTTACAGCACCGCAGAAAGTACCATCGTTAGCATCGTACACAACCCGGTCAGCACCAGGCGAGCCGCCAGTGTAACCCGAAGAAGAGCTCTTCAAAGGGTACTCCTTGTAAGGGCCGTTGCAGTAGTCGGAAAAGTCGAAACCTTCGTAGTTGTTGTAAGTGTGAGGGTAACCGGAGCTGTCGTAGTTGCCAGACTCGGCGTTGTTGATAGCACGGTTGACCTGACTGGAAGAGTAGGAGACGCTACCGCAACGAACGGAGACGCCGCTCTGACGAGGCTCAAGGATGGGGGCGGCGAGAGCGGCGGGGATGATGGCGAGGAGGGCGAGCGAGAACTTCATCTTGGTCGAAGGGGAAGTTGGGGTTACAAAAGGAGGGAGAGAGAAGGAGAGAGAGGACGCTGGGAGCTAGGGACTAATATAGAGCGGAGTGGAGAGAGGGGCTGTACGATGGGGATACGATGGTCAAGACGCGCTCTCGATGGATGCTTATGTATCTTTAGCGATTCACAACACTGGCTATGGCTAGCCAACAACAGAAGCACGACAAAATCAGCTATCCATGAGAACCTCCTCGGGTCCAGCAACGAGTCTAGCAGGAACACATCGATTCATGGCTTGGATACGCGACAAGCTGACACAAGACACTTCCTGGCTATACAATGCAGCCCGGCCAGGTCGTGCCTCGTTCTACCACTAGGCTTGTCCAGATGCAAGGGGATCGTTGATGGAAGAACGACATCCGAGAAGAAGTCACGATGTCAAGTACTTCTTCCCCCGCGACTTCCTTCTTGGGCGCTCTCGGTTGTCCATCGTTATCACACGTTCGCTTGTTCATGCACGACACACCTTTGTTCGCGTTACCTTGTCCCGACAAGCTTGCGATCTTCTCGATAATCATCCACAGGTCCCGCTCTAACATGACTACATCGATAACCCCTCATCCTGCACACAATGCCACGCACCTGGCTGCTTGCCCGATATGTCCTGGGATTCACTTCTGGAGCCGTGCCAGGGGGATATGCGAATGTTCAGCGGCAGTTGCGGTTGTCGATGTGAGAGGAACGGCACGTTTCATTCGTTGCAGGGTCCGTTGGTAAAAATGGCGCTAAGCGAAGGAGCGATGGAGGATGGGCGCTAAAAGTGGTAAACTTTCAGGTCCGCCAATAAAGGTGCTTGGCAGCCGACGGTATCATGGCATTCACCAACTCGGACAACGCCGACCAATCATCTGCTCTCATTTGCACCCCATCCTTGCATCAGTGCGACCGCTACCAGATAGTGCTGGCAGCAAGAAAACGGAAGACAGAGTTGTGATGGATGAGTTACCCACGTTTTAGGCTCGATTGTCCCTGAGCGGCGTCTTTGAGGAGCAAAGCGAGGACGGATTGAGTCTACTTTTCGAGGGAGAGCAACACCAATCAATGCCAAAGCTTCAGCAATGGGTTCGGCGACACCTTTTGCGCCAACAGAGTGGAAGAAGAAAGGATGTTGATCGCAAGCTGGACAACCTTTTGGATCGTGCTTGAGTTTGACCCGTCAACGTTCCTGCCAGGATAGTTGCGGAGAGTGAACTCTGCTTCGAAATGCAAAGCGTTGTTTTGCCGTCAGGGCCTACGAGCAACGAGCTCAAGATATCTGGACTAAATGTTCAAATTGGCCATCGTCGTTGGCAAGACTTCTGATCGCGGAGGCAATCACGTTCCATCAAGTCATGCACGAAGCTGCAACGGACCTGAAGTTAGCTTCCGAGGTCAGGTCAGGACCATGTTCACCGGCTTCGTCATATGGGAACCACTTTCCGGCACGCAAGATTCTTGTACTGCTTTTATAAATGGTGCGACAATGTCAAAGGATCATGAACAGCTGCTTTGACCGCGAAGAGGCAACTGTCAAGAGCTATGATGGTTGCAGTAGGTGGTCAAGATGACACGCTTGAGGACACATCGGGAGAATTTCAGTCAAAATGTTAGAGCGAATATACCCACAGCCCGGGAAGTACTGCGCCAAGGCCACGTCAGATCGTTGCATCGCCACTCTGAAATTGTCCGATGCGAAGACGACGCTCCGCCCTCGGCAAAGGCAAACGGCCAAGCAAGTTCAAGGGCTTCGACGTCGACAGGGCGCCACTCTCGCACCTTCCTACCATCATTATCATTCGTGTGCGACTTCATTGGCGACACGACTTCCCCTCCTCAACGAACAACAAGATGAGGCTTTTCTATCTCTCTCTGGCCTTGCTGGTCCTGGCCGCCACTGCTTTCGCTAGCAATGTGCTCGATCTCACCAACACCAATGACTTCAACAAATACATTGGCAAGTCGCAAGGCGTTCTCGTTAAGTACTACGCACCATGGTGTGGACACTGCAAGAGTCTCGCACCCATCTACGAAAAGGTCGCCGATGCATTCGTCGAGCAGAAGGACACCGTCTTGATTGCCAAGGTCAACGCCGACAAAAACAAGGAGCTCGGCCAGAAGGCTGGCGTTCGAGGTTTCCCCACCCTCAAGTGGTACCCTGCTGGATCGATCGAAGCCGAAGAGTTCAACTCGGGCCGTGACCTCGACAGCATCGCCAAGCTCGTCACCGAGAAGAGCGGCAAGAAGAGCACGATCAAACCTCCCCCTCCTCCCGCCGCCGAGCAGCTCACCAGCCGCAACTTTGACCAGATCGTCATGAACAAGGACAAAGACGTTCTCGTTGAGTTCTACGCTCCTTGGTGCGGTCACTGCAAGAACCTCAACCCTATCTACCAGCAGGTTGCTCAGGACTTCTCCGGTGACGACGACTGCGTTGTTGCTCAAATGGACGCCGATGACGATGCCAACAAGCCCTTCGCTCAGCGATACGGTGTCTCCTCGTATCCTACACTCATGTTCTTCCCTAAGGGCGATAAGAGCAACCCTCAGCCCTACAACGGTGGTCGTGGCGAAGAGGACTTCATCAAGTTCCTCAACGAAAAGTGCCAGACTTGGCGAGTTAAGGGCGGTATGCTCTCTGAACTTGCTGGCCGCATGCCCACCCTGGACGGCTTTGCTGCTCGCTGGTACACCTCTGCCGCTGACGCAAAGAACACCATCTACGAAGAGTTCATCGAGTACGTCAACACCATGAAGGCCAGCCCAAAGAGCGATAAGAAGAAGAACGAGGTGGCCGAGTACTACATGCGCGTACTTGACAAGGCTAACCAGAGCGCAGGTTACATTGAGAAGGAGACCAAGCGTTTGACTACCATCCTCAGGAAGCATGCTGAAGGTACGAGCCAGCTTGCTGGTAAGAAGGTGGATGAGCTTACAAAGAAGAAGAACGTGTTGTTGGCTTTTGTCAACGAGCGTATTGCTGCTCAGGCTGACAAGCAGAAGAAGGAGTTTGAAAAGAAGGAGGCTGAGAAGCACAAGCAGGAGCTTTGAAGCAGCAGAGTCAGCTCAAAAGCATGTAACTTTCTCGAGCGAAATTCTGTGCCTGAACAACAGGAGAGACAGCCCAAGTGACATGTTGTAACGATTCATTGCAATCTCAAAATGGAAATCCAATCTTCTCCCTATCCATCCCATCTACTCTTGAACTTCATTGAGAGCGACGGTCTGCGCACACATTCCATCATTCCAAGGTTGAGCCAAGACGGGTTTGCAAACAGCGATGTTGACAACGGCCTGCATGATGATATCGAACGCATATTTTGCCTTCACTCGAGAGCCCAGAATTTCTCGACCTCGATTTTTGTGGTTCGTCCGCATACGGAGGACGCAATTGACTCATGAGGGAGCGATCTGGACCCTGTGATCCCCTTCTCTCTCTCGATGCAACCACCACTCCTTCGGTCAACGGTCGGATTCGTATCGCCGATTATGTCGTACGCAACGGACGTCTACGCTCGACTCGGCTCGGAGCTTGAGCTATACGACTCGCTGCTATCCACCGTTAGTACACCCGTTGAGAAAGACGCCAGCCTTAAGAGCCAAACTGCTGAAACCGACGACGACACAGCCCAAGAAGATGCAGTCGAAGACCGCAAGAAACCCATCCAAGAGATCCTCGCATCGATCCGACCCTCTGATGGTGCCCATACACTGCCGTCTCGCAAGACTCTTCTCAGCCTCCTAGACAAGCTCGACGGCGCCTCTGAGCAGCAAGATAAATCTGCAGTAGCTCATCTGGAAGAGCTTCAGATCGTAGCTCTCTCTCGACTCGTCGTAGCCACGTATGCGGTTGCACTCGACACGCTTCTGCAAGACGCCAGCAAGCTGGAAGACGAGACATGGTACTGGACCGACATCGAAGAGTCGACGAGGATGACACTTTCGTACTTGGTCCAGACACTGCCTGTGCGATTGTACAAGGTCACGAAAGAAGTATTGGAGCTTGCAGCTGGAACAGCCACTCACACTCTCAAGAACACACTAGAAGCCGGCTCAGGAAAGGATCGCAAGACCAGCACTTCCTCAACAGCAAAGAGTCTCGACCGTAACACGGTCCGCGCAGCACTACGCAGCATCCTCGACACGCCCAACCTGGTCACTTCGATGCTCTTCCCATACACGTTCCGTATGGAGCGAAGTATCACACTCGATAGTGTTCGTGCTGAGCACGAGAACCAGCAGAAGAAGGTCGCCACTCTGAGGTCCAAGCTCGATGCAAGCAGCGTCGCTGGCGATCAGCTGTCCATCAGCTCAAAGAAGAGCAAGAAGCAGCGAGCCAAAGCGCTCCGCTCTACAATGCTCACATTGACACCGACGTATCTTGTGCGTCATGAGGCGAAGTGCAAGCGTCGTGGTCTGGTCAACGAGCGTGATCGACTGGCGGAGAAGCTCGGTCGACTGGCACTGCAGCACGAGGCTCTCGCTGAGCAGGCGCAAGAACTTAGTGTCTCCTCGACATCCGGCTCTTCCAACCATGTTGTTCTGAGCCATCTCAACGCCAAGCTGAAAGTGCTCGTTGATAGTTTCACCGAGAGTGATGACGACTCATCCGCCGAGAAGAAGGCGAGCAGCAAATCTGGTGATGCCAAGATCGACATGGAGGCCAGCATAACCCCGGAATCGACGCTAAGTACCCTAAGATTGCTCCTCAAAGAAGGTTTTGACAAGCAACAAGAACGAACAGTCATCGTACTCTCACCTGAGATCTTCGGCCAGCCATCCGGTCTAGTCCAGCGCTGGCCCAGGCTCGTGTTTTACCCTGTCGGATTCTTGCTACTTGGTCGTTACTTGTCGAACAACTGGAACGGCATCGAATCGAAGCTAAAAGAGACGCAAGAGACCGTACGAAGTTTCTTGATCGGCTGGGTATGGGAGCCATGCATGCAGCTACTTGACACCGTCCGACACGGAAACGAAGGAAGCGTTATCATGTCTCGTGAATCGTTAGCGTCTGATTTGCAGTCGTTGGAGAGGATGGTGACCGACTTCACCGCCGACAAGTACGGTACTTCTGGTGCTGAGCTCCAAGCTGTTGCTGCGCGAGTAAGAGAGGGCGATCTGACGCAGGTGCTCAAGGTATACGAGAGAGAAATGAAGAGCCCTGTCAAATCGATGGTAAGTGGCTCACTCATCCGATCCCTGCTCATCCAGATTCAAAAGGCGAAAGTGGACCTCGAAGTAGCAATGTCAGGCATCGACAAATTGCTCAAGAGTCAACAGCTCCTTTTCGGTGCAGTTGGTATCGCCCCCGCACTAGGCATCTTGTATGTCGGCCAGAATTACGTTCGCGGAAAATTGTTCAACCTCAGTTCGCAACGGTCGAGATCTTCAGGGCAAGGATACCAGATGCGAGCGTGGGAAGCTATGCGTCGTGTTGATCGATTGCTTTCTTCGCCTTCCACCGCTGCTGGTGGTAAGAAAGGGGACGGGTCGGCGGAGCGGGAGCAAAAAGGCCGAGATGATCTGACACAGGGATTGCTGTTGCTGGATCTGTCAACGCTACGTTCCGCTTCCGGTCCGTTGCTAATGTCATTGTCCCACAACAAGAAGGCTGCTGCGAGGAGATTGCAGAGGCAGTTCTTGCAGGATATTCGGGATTTAGAATCGGGCGTACACAGTGCGGTGGAACGCATGTGGCGAAGCTGGGGGTCGTCGGTGCTTAAGTTGCCGTCGTCGTAGATTGCCACCTTCACGAAGACAATGCCTGCCATAAAATGTCGGTCGGCGAGAACAGCGAAATCATACCGACGCCATGGATCCCTCAAGAATACCATTGATCCCTGATCCAGCCACCTTGAGCTGCGTGATGTCGTAGCTGTGCACTTTGGATGGCACCTTCAACACTGTGTCCCGACAACAACCAAATGCCGCAACTTGCCCGGCGAATTTGCGATGAACGAGACGGGAGTTGTTATCGTAAATAAGATGCCGCCTTTTCTTGTGGCAGAGCACCAACTCGAGCGTCGGCACTCGGCCTTTGAAGCACTGTAGGCCTGCACCAGATCCCATCAACTTCTTCTGACTTGTAGAACGAAGTGTGCTCCCTTGTCGTGGGTATAAATGCGATGTAATAAGTCAGTCGGCTTCGCAATCCCACCGATGCGAAAAACTCGACAACGTGTGGGAGTTCAATTGCCGCCGATTGAGCCGAGCCTGCCGTCAAGCAACGCCACTGTGCTATCTGTGACAGCTGCGAGTGCTGAGATGTCTTTGGAGTCGCAGCACAGAGACCATGGGACTATGGAGCGGGATCTCAAGGTTCTCACTTACACGCTGCACCCCAGGGTCCGGGCACAGGGATCAGGATCGGCCGGGCATTATGAAAGGCCAAGAAAGAACGTGGCTCGGTGAATTTCGCGGTCCTTTCTCTCTGCAGCATAGATAGCGTAGGATAGCTTTCGGGGCCACGCAGCAGATAGCGATACAAAGATTGTTTTTTTACAGGCCAAGAAAATCTCGAAGAGAAAAGAAAGTCCAGACTCGGCTATTTTAACCCGAGTGTTCCTGTACCTCCTATCCTTACAACCATCACCCCCTCAAGCACATCCGCAACGACACCCATATATCGAGGACCCTCCGCTTGCAAATCATCGTGCCGGTCGACGTTCATTCTGCTGCTGCAACCCCATTTAGCTTCCCATCCACACCAACATCACGATTCATACTTGCAGCCGCAACAACATTGCAGCTCCAATTAGTATCCCGTAGAAAACAATAGACGGCATCCGCCCCCCAGTTCGGTCACAGTAACACCGGCCGTTCAGGCTGCAGCCTCAGTGGTCACCTCAGCTTGCATCCCCACGCATCATCTTCTTCGAAGTCCAGCAAAGCGCAACGGTTGATAGCACCAAGTTGCTGATCTGCTCTTTGGCATCCTAGACACCGGTCGGCAGAGTCCTTGCTGTGTCATTCCCGCTCAAGAGCACGTTGGCCAGTTGATCCAACAGCATAAAAGCAGCCCTTCCGAGCGATTGCATGAAGGATCCTCATCAACAACCCATAGATTTTCCTCCCGCTCTAAGGAACTCCATTGCAAACATGTCTCCCACAGCCCAGGTCATCAACGCCAACCCCAGCCCTTACCAGGGTGACAAGGTTGGCGACCTCATTTCCGCCTCCGAAACCACTCCCAAAGCTAGCCGTATCGATCTCGCCCGCTTCCTCAGTCAGTCCGCTCGCAACCGCCCCGCATCCGTCATTCGTTCCCTCTTCCCTGCCGAGATGATCCCCGGCATGCTCTCTCTGCTTGCTGGCAAGCCCAACCCCGATACCTTCCCTTTCGAATCTCTCAGCCTCAACCTCAAGCCTGAAGCTGAAGCAGGTCCCATTTCGCTCACCATTCAAGGCGAGGACCTCAACGTTGCGCTTCAGTACGGTGCCACTGCCGGCATTCCCAAACTCGTTCAGTGGATTACACAGCTTCAGACTCACATGCACAAGAGGGACGTGGTCACACCTGGGTCCAAGCTCGACGGTGTTGCCGGTAGGACTCCTTGGCGTGTGACTACGGGTAATGGATCTCAGGATTTGTTGCACAAGACGTTTGATGCGTTGCTCAACCCGGGTGATGTGATTCTGGTCGAGTCTCCTGTTTACACTGGTATCTTGCCTTCGTTGGTCATGCTCAAGGTAAAGATTGTACCAGTGGAGAGCGATGATGAGGGTCTGATGGCAACGCGACTTGCTGAGATGATGGAGAAATGGGAGACGGATCCGGTTACTGCAGGTCTTGCCCGTCCTAAGTGTCTATACACCACTCCTACGGGTGCCAACCCTGCAGGAACTACTGCTTCGGACGACCGTAAGCGACAGATCCTCGCTCTCGCCCGCCAACACGACTTCCTGCTTCTCGAAGATGACCCTTACTACTACCTTCACTTCGAAGGTCTGGACCAAGACGCTGTCACTCGAGCCCGTCCCAAGTCCTACTGGGCGCTCGAGGAAGAACACCGTGAGCGATGGGGCACGGGTCGAGTCCTCCGTTTCGAATCCTTCTCCAAGATCCTCTGTGCCGGTATTCGCATCGGCTTCGCCACTGGCCCCAACGAGATCCTTGACGCCGTCGATGCCAACACTGCCAACTCCAACCTTCAACCCTCTGGTGTTGCTGGCGTCGTCGCATACACTCTACTCAACTACTGGGGCATCCCAGGCTTCCTACGTAACGTAGACAATGTGGCGAGATACTACGTCAAGCGTCGTGACAACTTCGAGGCCAAAGCTAGGAAGGTGCTTGGTGAAGCGGGGGTTGCCAGGTGGGTGACACCTGTAGCAGGGATGTTCTTGTGGTTGAAGCTCAACTTGCCTCCTGCGGGAGAGGATACGCCGGAAGGAGATAGTTTTGCGTTGATCTCGGATAAGGCCAAGGCGAAGGGTGTTTTGGCGGTGCCCGGTGTTGCGTTCATTCCGGATGGTAGTAAGACTTGTTATGTTAGGACGAGTTTCAGTTTGATTGCTGAGAAGGATGTTGAGGAGGCGTTCAAGAGGTTGAGAGATGTCGTGCTGGAGGCTTGGAAGGAGGCTGGAAAGGAGATGCCTGTTTTGAAGTAGAACGGTACTTCGATGTCCCCACTCTACAATCTGTTGAGTCTGTTTTGCAGTTCATCAAAACCATATAAGCTTCTGTCAATGTGAAATAGAGCTTAGCTTAATCACAACCTTACTTGAAGGCCGATTAGGCCGGTCACACGAGGCGTCCATCTCGCATCGGGCCCACCAAACCCTTGGTCCCTGAGAGGCCGCCCGATGCAGGGTCTTGTCCCTTGACCCTCGCACAACCCACTCGTACGTACTGTACATACAGTCTGCCATCCGAACGGCACCGTGGCTTGCAAATCGCTTGATCAACCCGGATCGCGGATCATCATCACACGAGGGTTCGCTTGCCAAATATAGTCAATCGACCATGCGGCCAAGGCGAAGCAAGCAAGCTTTGTAGATACCTGGATGAAAATTGGAAATCTAAGACTGTTTTTCAGTGCGGGAGATCTGAGTTTACATCGGCATTTGACGTCACTTTCGATGTTCGTGAAGCGGAGAGAATCTGTGTGCGTCACTTTTTCAGTTAGCGGCGAACGCTTGCCATGCTGCTGCCCTGAAACCAAGTCAGCCTTGTTCTTCGTCGTTTGTTTGAGAGAGGAATCCGGCGTCTATCGATCGACTTGATCCCGCTCCGACTCCCGATCGTTAATGCAGTGCTGTGGGATGCGAAACCAAGGTTTTTGGCTGCTGCTAAGGGGTTCGGCCCTTACTGCCCAAGGCCAAGGATTTTGTGCCTGTCACAATGCTGACCCTCGTCATTGAGCATCGCTGTTTGTTCCTCTCGTGACGATGCGCGAGTAGGCTAAGCTGTGTTCTTCTCGCAGCTGTCACGCTTTGACGTGAACATCAGCAGTATTCTGATGCTGCTACTGGAAAGTTGTATAAGAAGAATCGACGTTGCTGCGTTGCCAACCTTCTTGATCCCCACCTAACACCAACTTTCCTGCCTCTCCGTCCTCGTCAAGGTCGAGTCGGATCCCGACCCCTCGTCTCACCCCTTCTCGTCTCCCTACCGTCGGCACTCGAGTACCATCGAAGCGCAACTCCATCACCCCACCACCCCATCACCCACCTAGCACCTAGCACCTAGCACCTAGCACCGCCCCAGCTACGAGCTACGATCGTGCAAAATGAAGATCGGCTATCACGGAATCTACTACCTCTTTCCCATTCTCACCTTTGCTTTTTGGACCACTGCCATTGTCGGTCTCCTCGTCATTTGGGCCGTCCGAGACAACTTCCGCCAATACGAAGGCGAAGAAGCATCCATCGTTTTCATCTCCGACGTCGGTGCATTGCACAAGACCTTCTTTATCATCTTCTGCTGTCTCACCGCTACATTCTACATTCTCACATCCCTCGCTGAACGACACCTCCGTCATACACGCAAAATCCCCGGTTCGGTCCGAAAGAAGCAGACGATCCTCGATATCTGCTCCGTCATCTGCGCGACTATCGGCTCCGCTGCGCTCATTCTCTTGAGCGTGTTTGACGCGTTCAACTACAGCAGGGTTCATTGGTCGATGACTTTGATCTTTGTTGTGTTTGTTGCGCTTTCGGTGCTGTTCCAGGTTTTGCAGGTGTTTTCGCTCTCGCACGACCACGACAGATTGGCGACGTTAAAGGTTATTGCCATCACCAAGGCCATCATTCTCCCACTTGCCATTGCGGGTGCTATCGCTTTCATCATCTGCTACGGCATTTGCCGTGGTGATGCTTTACCCGGCGACAACCGATGCGATCGTATCGTTAGTGCAGCAGCGGTCTGCGAATGGGCGATTGCATTCTTGTTGGACATCTTCTTCTTGACTTATCTGGTGGATCTCTGGCCCGTACACAAGCGTGCTCAGAAGGGTCTGAGCGAGGATGGAACGATGGTGGAGAACAAACAGTTGGCAAGGGAACAGGGTGTCGCTCACAACCACCCAATTGCCCCGCATGCTGTTGAGGGTGTCAGAGATTATGATAACACCTACTACCCCAGTGAAGCCGCTCAGCAGTACCACCAGCAAGAGGTTAACGGTTACGGTGTTCAGCCTGCACCTGCGGGTATGACGACTGGTGCAAATGTTAGTCCCAATGCCGCTCCTTCGACTTTGCCCGGTTCGGAGAGGGGTAGTTTATACCAGACACCTATGACTGAGGCTAGACCTTATCCTAACAACGCGACTGGGCACAACACTTCCCAGGCTTAGTTGACCTTCCTTGATCTACTCTCATATAGACGTTTCCTCCCATAATGCACACACTTCGTTCTTTGTCATCACGAAAGGCGAATGTCCACGCTGTATACCTTAGACTTCTCTTTTCGATCCACATCATTGATGATCATCTCATAGTCTTGAAAAGAGTGCACACTTTGACACAAGGCGATTCACAAAAGATTGTGAATGGCTAACCTCTGTGAATGGCAAAATGCCTTCTAAGCGCGCAAATACTTCTTCAGCACCTCTGGAGGCTCAATTCCCAACTCTTCCCTCTGCTTCCCCACCAATGTATCAAACGACCAAATCGGACACACTTCAGCAGCGTACCTGTCACCTTTCCTACTGAAATCTTCTACTACCGGTGCCGGTTTGACCCCACCCTCCACCTCCGCCGCATCTGCCAACCCCGCTGCTGATCCAGGTCTTGACTTCACCTCATCCTCATCTTCCTCATCTTCCTTATCTTCCTCTTCCTCCCCCTCCTCCTCCTCCTCGCCGTCTTCATCGCGATACATCGAGCTGCCGAAGGATGAAGGCGGGGTTTGCACCGGAACGAGTTCTTCAGGATCGCCTTCTTCTGCCCAGTTAACTTTGTTCGGTCCTGGACCTGCTAGGATTGGAATCGCACCACGATGCGTACCTCCGACAGAATCATCTTTGTCATCGTCTTCAGTATTGGGGAGGGGCTCTTCGAGCGTATCTCTCGCCCAACTCATTCCCCAGGTGGAAAAGAGAGTTGAAAAAACCCAGTTGCGCACGTCTCGTGCATGGGTAGACTGGGTCGACTTCTGATCCGGATCTTCAGGTGCCATTCTATTTGTGCAGATCCGCAAAGTCATCACCTCCACTAAGAGCCGGTCAAAGTGTCCCTTGGCGTATGCATCACGGTACTTCCACAAGCCTTTACGGTGCGCTGGACGTGAAGATTCGGGTTTGGAGTCTGCAAAGAACTCCGCACTTGGTGTCGACCGATGGATTGCCGAAGGATCGCTCAGCAGAGAGTATGTAGCGACGGAATCGATGACTGCATCGACTAGCTTTTCCTGTTCGCCCGATGTGACATATGCTTCGCGTGTGCGTTGGGCTACTCCGGCAAGAATTCGTTCGATAACAGATTGAACCATAAATCGAGCCGGATCGTTAAGAGCTAGTGCTGCGAGTGCTTCGTCGAGTTTGGGATACATTATGTCGCCAACGGGAGTGGCGGTAGCCGAGGTCATTGCTGATCCTGCACCGCTGCGGGCTGCGAGTGCGCCCCAGCCAGCAGAAGTTCGACCGAGACCGGTGCGCGAGGCGGAAGGAGTGGCCATTCCAGACCGGAGACCTGGAGTGCGATTGCCAGAGGAGGCCATACGCAGAGTCTCGGTTTTGATGGCGTTGGCGATGAAAGTGATTCGTTGGGGACCGAAGGGGAGTGCAGGGTCGAGGATGCGTTTTTGGATGCTTGCTGTGTAGTCGTTGCCCACCAACGCTGCTAGAAGGGGAAGCATCGAGGTAGTAATACCGAGTGCGGCGGCTACTTTGGCGGAAGAGTAGGAGGTGAAACGAATTGCGGTGAGTGAGCCATCCTCAGGCCCTCGTAGTGGACGATCGAGGACTTGCAGTTGAACCTCTGCAGGTTCTGCGTTGCTCCCTCCCTTTCGACCTTTAGCCTTACCACCCTTGCCCACCTGCGCAAAACCATCGTCTTCGAAAGCACCTGTAGGTACTGCTTCCGCCCCTTGCGACTGCTCCTTTTGCGCTGGCTTCACAAGAAACTCCACCGTATCAATGGGCACATACCCTTTGCACTGTGTCCCCCTCGCACAAAGAATAAAGAAGTCAGAGTCGTTACTCACCGCCCATCCACCCATTCTATCCGCCAGTTCCGCCACCGCACTATCGGCCTCAATCTCCTCTACCACAATCTGCACTTTACACTGCCTCAGTGCCTCCAGTGTACAATCGTAGATAAGTGGCGGGAAGACGCCCATCGACACTTGAAACCCTGGCTTCGACCTCGAAGAAGAGCGCATAAAGGCTGAGTTCCCTCCCGCGCTTTCGTTCATCCGCGCATAGACGGTGGGAAGCTTGAGAGGGAGATAAGGACCATCAAAGACAAAGATCGGTTCCAAGCCGGCTTGACGTAGAGTATTGATAAAGTGTCGGACGTGGAGAGTATAGCCGATGTATTCGCCGCCACGGAGGGATTCGGTGAAGAAGTCTAGGTATGCGCGGAAGATCCATGCCCAGCCGTCGATGATGAATGGGCCTGTTGGGGTAGTGGTTGTTGAGGTGCCGGGAGTGACATTGGAGGCACCTTTGACAGCAATGGTGACTTCTTCAGAGACCGCATGTCGGATTTTCTTGACGAACGAGGTCAAGCCTTTGACTCCCATCGGGATCGAGGTTTCTGTAGCACCACTGCTGATGGTGCAAGACGGTGTTGGTGATGGAGCAAAGAGACGATCGAGAGTTGCGAAGAAAGTTACAGCTGCGAAACCTCCACACAAGAAGTCGTGATGACGAAGAAGAAGCTTTTCTGATTCTGCGAAGCCGTCCAAATGAGTTTGTTAGACCGCATCTATTTCCACGATAATATTGTCGGACGGTCATATCATCTTCCCATGTCTCTGATTTAACCATGTGTCGTACAACAAGACGCTTCTCGGTCAAATCGCCGTCACTCCGTACAACGCACTTGTCGTCAGCTTGAGGTCTTGCAGCACCGGCAGAACCAAGACGTCGCAGATGATGCGAACCGAAGGGATCAAAGAGTCAGAGTGGGGGATCAAAGATGCATATCAAATTCGATTAGAACTGCCGGCTTGGAAACCGTCGGCACGAGCTAAGCTTGCGCGCAGATGGGCCGGTTGTACTTTCGACATGCAAAGCTTTGTCGTACAACCTTTATTTGGACCTCATCGACATACAAGCCAGTGAGTGTTTCCCTGCGAGTGCTTTTGGTCAATAAAAGAGGGTGAAGGAACAGTGGTCGGCCCACAAGTCTGGCGGTGCTGCAACTAATGAAAGCTTTGAGCCGGTGGCATCTCGATAGCTTTGGACGGTTAGCGCGGGGCAAGAGCGAAAAGTGTGAATTTGCTTGGCATTCTAGGTTACCATTTTAGTTACGTTGCCGAGATGAGCGTTGTTTTGATGGTAAAGTGATTCATGTCCTCTCCTTTTCTTGCTCCGCTTTTGGGAGTAGAGAGAGAGAGAGAGAGAGAGAGTGTGTGTGTGTGTGTTTTGTCATTTCAGTGTGCCCCTCGGATAGGAACCGGTTGGTGACAGCCGCGCACCCGAAAAACAAGAGGAGAGCGAGACAGCGTGCGCAGAAAAGGACTCTCCTTGATTTCCGCAAGCTCCCATCAAAGCTGCGCACCTTCCACGCATTTGTTTCGCGTTCAACACCACCAACACCACCTTGCTCCAGCGACACTTGTCCTCTCAACTTGTTTACGTTGCAGTTCTAGGACGCATTCGGAATTCTCCTATCAATTCAATCTGAAGCGACTATCGCATCTACGGACATACTCGAGCAGCCCTTCACTACGACCCATGGCAGAAGCACGTAAAGCAGTCGAAGAGCTCGTCCGGCTCTCTAGCCGCGTCATTCGCATCCTTGGCCAGAACCCCGGCCCGTACACACTCGCAGGAACCAACACCTATCTCATCTCCACCCCTCCCACAGCCTCGACCAAACTCGCATCCCGACCCTCCATCCTAGTTGATACGGGTGAAGGCATTGACGCATACATTCCTCTGCTCGAGCGCGCGCTCAAAGGTGCCGTTGATGGCAGCAGTGCCAAGCCAGAAAAGAGCCAGGATGCTATGGAGGAAGACGAGGATGACCTCACATCATGGATCTCAGATATCGTCTTGACGCACAAACATCACGACCACATTGGAGGACTGCCTTCTATTCTTTCGCTTCTTTCAAAGTTGAGAGCTGAAGCAACGGTGACGCTGCCAGCTCCGAGGATACACAAGTTTGCTGATCCAGAATCGGATCCGGATCTGGTCAAGATGCTGCATGGCCTACCGAAGGGTTCGTTCATTCCATATGATGCAGAGAAGGAAGGGAATCAGTCGCCGCTGTGGCCATTGCAAGATGCGTCGGTGGTCAGTGTTGACGGTGATGCTGGTGCCTCGTCTTCCCTGCAGGTGCTGTATACACCGGGACACACTGCAGATCACATCTGCTTGCTGTTGAAGGAGGAAAAGACTTTGCTCACCGGTGACCACGTCCTTGGCCAAGGAACGACAGTATTCGAAGACCTCACAGCATACATGTCCAGCTTGCGCAAGTGCTCTCGCGCTCTGGAAGAGCTCGGACCTTCCGTAGACGCAACAGTCGCAGGTGAAAACCTCCTCTACCCAGGCCACGGCCCCGTCGTCGATCAAGGCCGCAAAACCCTCAAACAGTACCTCGACCACCGACTCGAGCGAGAAGCACAAATCGTCGAGCTTCTCAAAACTCCACCCTCTTCCTCTGACTCCACCTGCTCTGCTTCAGCCTCAAGCTCTAGCATCAAAGTCGGAGTACAAGAGTACAAGCTGGGCACACCATGGAAAATCAGGCAGATGGTGTTGAAGCTGTATTCGAATTATCCGGAGAACTTGTTCCCAGCAGCAGCTAGAGGTTTGTATCTTCATTTGAGAACTCTGAGCAGTCCAGATGCGGAGAGGGGTCAGCGGTCCAGAGTGAGGTGTTTACAGACTACTTCATTCGCAAGGAGAGGTTCGAAAGAGGCGAGACGGGATGTTGGGAATTGCCCACCGCTGCCGCAGAGCGATCGCGAGTGGGTAGAGGCTATGGAGTTGGATTGGGCTTTTATTGAAGGGCAGCAGAGTGAACAGGCTAACGGGTCGAATCATCAGCATCTTTGACGCTCATCAATCGCAACCTGTTTGCAACACAAGCAAGTGAGCCAACGTTGTTCGACTTCTGACTGTGAGAAAAGTGTGCGCACGAGGCTGTCGATCTTGTCAACATGCGTCGACTGTTGCACCGGCTCATAGTGCTCCCGTGATCTGACGAGGAGAGAATGTTCTTGCTCGTATGGCCTGGTGACAATGGCAAGCAAGCATGTACAACGGCACGCTCCATTGCTTGGCATGCATATCATTCGGCACGGTTTAACTTGGGCAGTTCAGGCTCCTGGAACCAGCGGGTCAATCTATTTTTGCCCTCAATCCTTTTCTTGAAGATGTTAGATTCCCCCCCCCCCCCCCCCCCCCCCCCAAAAACAAAAACAAAAAAAAAAAACAAAAAAAAAAAAAAAAAAAAAAAAACAAAAAAAAAAAAAAAAAAAAAAAAAAAAAGTGCAGCTTGCTGTAAGGGTCCTAGTTTCGGAAATCGGATCAGGTTGCATTCTTGGCTCAGTTTGACCAACACCTTCACCTATCCCTGTTACGACCCGATCAACGCCTTTTGGGAACTTGGGAGGTAGAGAGCAACGATGATCTCACGTTTCGTCCAGCTAGTACTTCTAGCGGGGATGATTCTTCTGATCCCATCCTTTCTCTACCTTTCACATCCAGCTACACCAACCCTAATCGACCCAGCTACAGGGCTAGCCTATTCGTCCGACTCCATCCTCACAGGTCAGACCAACGATCTCGCACAAGTCTCACAAGGTAAAGGCGTCGATCAAGCAGCACATCTCTGGAACGGTTGGAACTGGCAAGATGCCTCTTCGCATGTCAACGACGGTGTTCATAAAGTACAAGACCAAGTCAAAGGGTTCATTGATCATTGGCGACCCATTCCTCCCACCACAATAGCACCTGTCGATTCCAAAGTCAAACCACCATCAAAACCCCCCTCTTCCACCTTCAATCCACCAGCAAAAGACGTCGAGAGGGTCGAAGGAGTCATCATGCCCGAAATGGCCAATGCAACGGCCAAAGCCGCCCTTGGTCGATCCACCTGGCATTTCCTCCACACTATGACTCTACGCTTTCCCGATACACCCACAAAGGAAGAATCAGAAACATTACGAAACTTTTTCCAGAACTTTGCAAAGCTATATCCATGTGGAGAGTGTGCAAGACATTTCCAGCAACTGTTAGGGGAGTTGCCACCACAGGTCGGGTCGAGGAAAGCAGCGAGTTTGTGGTTGTGCGCAGTGCATAATGAAGTGAACAAGAGTCTGGGCAAGGAGGAGTTTCCTTGTGATAAGTTGGACGAAAATTATGATTGTGGTTGTGGAGACGATCCGAAGAATAGGACCAGTACGAGTAGTGCGGTGGCGGCTGCACAGACGACAGGGAAGGAGGTTACGCCTTTTGCATAGTCCGGCCCGCCCCTAGCGAAAGGGGATCTCATGGCGGGGCAGGTCTCCATTCCCATCAAAGCGTCTCACTTGTTCCACCATCTGTCTTCGGACTATTCGCATTCAATGTCACCTTCACTTTGCAACGGACTTTCGTTTTCACACGCGCAACCTTAGTGATCACAGCCAGGACGAAGACATTGAAAGCATGTATTGCTACGCGACCAAATAAGATACCTGAACCAGCAAATATCAAAGCGCGAGGGACGAAGATACATGTAGAATGTCTGGAAAAAAGGGGGGATGAGCTTCTACAGGAAGCACTGTTCCATAGAAAAGAAGGAGAAGACGAATCAAAATGACAATGATGGTGATGAGAAAAGTGAAGAGGAACGGAGGGGCCCGAAACTAGCGGTGACCTTCAATTCCCCCTTTTTCCTCCTTATAATCGGGTAATGGAACCTGTCCATTCCCACAGCGCTACGCACTAGTAGTGCTGCTCTACTTGCGCATAGGAACCAACCCACGACGACGTCTCTGGTTGGTAGCCTGCTGAACACTAGCCATATAACTCTTTCCCGTCGCACTCAAACTCTGACCCTGCTGATTCGGTGTCAAATCACCGAACGGCCCATTGCTGGCATCACTAACACTGTATGCTGCGACCCTGGAATCGCTCTCGAACAGCTCCACCATCTGTTGCAACATACTATCCACTTTACCCTGATCGCAGTACACTGGGCTGGGACCTTGGTAGTTGATGCAAGCGAATTCGGTGATCCACATCGGTTTACCGTACTGTGCGAAATGATCGAGGACTCCTTTGACTCCGTCCATGTTGTCTTGGAAGATGTGCACAGCGATGATCTCGGGTTGAGTCTTGATGGCTTTAAGGAAGGAGGCTAGCCAAGTTTCGTCCTTTTGCATGGCCATGGAGGGGGAGATGAGTTTAGCTCCTGCTTTGGCGTGCGGGGCGAGATACTGTTCCCATGCAGCAGCGGCCGTTTCAACGGGGATAACGCCTGAAGAGCCGGAGCCTTGGAAGTCGGGTTCGTTGTAGCCCATGACGAAGGGTGCAGATCCGGGTTTGAGTTTCTTAAAGGCATCGAATCGAGCCCAATCATCGTCGTGATTAACACGTCCAAGACCCCAAAGCATGGGGACGGCAAGGATGTCACCACGGTTCGGGTTGTCTGGGTTGGGAGTCCAGTCGTAGTACCAGCTGAGAGATTTGCCGATCCATTTGAGAGAGTTGCCGCCAGCTACACCAGCTTTGCCGAGAGGAGGGGTGAAGCCGCTAATCGAGATGGTCGAGTTCGAGTTCGAGGAAGAGCCAGAAGAAGAAGAGCCAGAAGAGGAAGAGCCAGAAGAGGAAGAGCCAGAAGAGGAAGAGCCAGAAGAGGAAGAAGAGCCGGACGAGTTGGAGTCGGAGGATGATGAAGAACCAGAGCTAGCGTTCGAGCTCGAGCCAGAACCGGAGCTGGAAGAAGAAGAACCTGACGAAGCAGACGATGAAGACCCAGAATCGGAACCGGAACCAGACTGAGAAGTAGCATCCGACTGAGAGCCAGCCGAGCTACCCGATTGTGTCTGTTTGGTGTGGTTAGAATTGCTGTTGTAGTGGTGTTTGTGGTGGTGTTTGTGATGGTGCTTCTTGTGACCTTTGGCACGGCATTGTTTCTTGGCATCAACAGAGTCGGCGCTGCTCAAGAACAGAGCGAGGACCAAGACGGCCAATAGGATAAATTTGTGGTTGAAAACGAGCATCCTGGATCGATGTTGGGCGAGGTGGTGGTGGTTGGAGATGGAGATGGAGATGGAGAGGAGCTACAGTAGTCGATGGTGAAACAAGGAAGCTGAAGCGATGGTGAGTATGTCTGTCCAAAGACCGTTGAACTACCGTTGGAGCGAGACAAGTTGTGATGGAAGAGAAGAAACACAAAGCAGAGAGAGGGAAACAACGATGCTATCAAAGCTATCGAGACCGAACAAAGTACAAGTGGAATGTGAGTGAGGGTGAGAGGGTTGGAGAGGGGAGGGAGTGATGGAGAGGAGGGAAGGAGGGAAGAAGGGAAGGAGGGAAGGAGGAGAGGAGGGGAGGAAGGTTGTTAAAATATGGGCTCGGTATAAGCGTAGGGTCGGACAGCTCGGTGTCGTTGCAGATTGCGTCCTCAACTCCTTCCTTTGCGCTGGAGACATCTGAACGCTCACCGCAGCCCTTCTTCTTTCTCATGCAATCGCCTTGGCTGCCATCGCTGAGAACGTTACTCGTTGTGTCTGCCGCTCGCTGTCAACCCCAAGAATCACACCTTGGCAACGGCGGCGCTGACACAACAACTCAAATCGCGCTGGCAACAGTAGCTACTGCACCTATGCAGCCATGCAAAAGGCAATACGACAAAAGCGGCACGGAATATCTGCTTCCTGTTCCTTGAAAGCTTGGGTTGTACGAAGTGCGCCTGCATCCTGCACAGTGAGTGCCTTTTGTGTGCAGGTTGCACGAGTGCGTGGGAAGCATCGGAAAGTGCTTCTTTTCATTTCCATTTGCCACAAAGCTTTCCTTGACTCGGAAAGCTTATGAAGCCCACCACATTGGCATTGAGCAAAACACTCTCTCAGGGCTGTCTTGTGCTGCAGGAGGGAGTAGCGATCAGTCATCAATCGGATCTCGAATCAAGAAGGGGGTCAAAAGATGGTCGATGTCGCCTTGCCGAATCGGAGAGTGAGGCTTTGTGTGGTGGTGTCTTGCTGGCAGCTGTCGCAATCTTAGTCTGGTCTTGGGACAGGCCCAAGAACGGCACAATTCCAGACCCTAGCGAAGAGACTATTCGATCTCCGACGCCGACGGTTGCTTGCGATTTCAAATGCTGCGCTGAAAGATCAAGTCCTATGCTTTTCAAAGTCATACTTTGTCTTCCGTCCCTGAGCAGCTCCCAGAGAGGTAACTTTGAGCAGAACTGTGGTTGTGGCGCATGAGTCTGAGATTGTTCAAGCTGAGATCGACATCTGTCTCGGAAATGGAAAGATCAACGTGTTCGTTCATTGCGCTATTCAAGATCAACGCATCCCTCCTTCTCACCGTGGCGCCACGGTCTATTGAGCTTCTGTTGCACTCTTTGTCGACTTTGCAGGCTCAGTCACACGGCCCGCTTGAACTTGCACGCCTTACGACGTTGCAGGGATCGTCTCTGCTCTTAGCAACATATGCAAAGCGCTACGCCTTGTATAGACGCCAAGAAGAAGAACTGCAAGCGGCGCAGCACCCTCAAAATTCTGAGACGCACCATTTGCTACCACAAAGACTGGCTCTGCAAAGAATAACGCTGATAGGGAGTGCGTGTAACGATGTGGTTGGTGGCTCACTCATACACCTATGTTCCTGTGCCTCGCCTACTAACTCACGCGCTTCTCTCTGATGTCACATCGAGGCAAAGATCATCCGAAGTCGAGATTGCAAATCGGCCCTAGATCGGGGAGCCACCCTTATCTCGATGGCACTCTTTCACTTCCTCCAAGCCTCTAACACCACCCAATTATCATAGATCTGTCCCTTCTCCAGTACCTCCTCCCTTCCACCAAACTCGGCAAGCCCTTGCTGGAGGAACCCACAGTGAGGACCACCGAACTCGATCGCAATATAACTCCTCTTGAAGTTCCCACTATCCGCCTGGCCACCCTTCCTGTGCGCCTTCTTCATCAGTCCACCGGAAACGGCAGGATCAGCGGGATGCTCCTGTTGGCCTTCGGCAGTGTAGATCTGCGTACCCGCTTGGTTTGTGCAAAACGTAATCGATCGACCCGCCGCTTCGGAGGTGACTCGCATTCGCTTGGTTTCGGGAGTAGCGATCTTGTTCACATCGTCTGATTGGGGGATGGCGGTGTCGAGACCCCAGACGTAGAAATCGTCGTAGCCAGCAGAAGGGATTCCTTCCGAGATTCGTTTGCCGCCTTCTTTGCCCCAGTTGTGCGAGCCGGGGTTGGAGAATGAATCGGCTTCGCCAGTGGTGGGGCTAAGCTTGCCCGTAGCGAGCATGTCGGAATCGAGGTTAAGATTGTAAAGCTGTTTGCCGCGGGGAGGGATGAGTTGGATGATGTGATCCGAAACGGTCCCGTTTTCAGCTTTACCAGCTTCTTCGTTGGATGCAGACAGATTGAAGCCCCAGTGGTGAGTGAGGTTGAGTGGCGTTGCTTCCACACTTCCCTCTGAGCAAAGAGCTGCGCGGTAACGGATGAGGAACCTGCCCGCAGACTCGCCTAGCTCCTTATCCGATGCAGAAGTAGGCACCACCGCCAATAGCGTCTCCACCCTTACCTGTCCAGGATAACCAGAGTCCCCATCAGGCGACTCGATTGCAAAAATCAAACTATTCTGTTTCTTACTAGGCTTGCTCGTCGACTCAAACCCAGCATCTTTGAAGAACTTACTATCCTTCACCTCCAATGGCTGCCAGTAGCACTTATCGAAAGGTCCATGCTGCACAATGGTGTCTGGCTGATTCTCCTTCTCTAGCTGCGGCCCACCGTGAAGCACAACTCCAGGAGCGCTGAACTCGGGTAGGTTGATCGAAGTAGTCTTGCCATTAGCAGAGGTGATATTGACTTTACCGGCGGGAAGACGGTTGGCAAAACGACCGATGATCGGATTGAGGAAGGCACGACCGCGTGTTTTGTGATCGTGAGGCTCTTCAGGTCCGCCGATAAAGTCTTCGCCTGATTCCGTGCCGAGACTGTGAATGGTGAGGCCGTAGGGGAGGACGGTGACGCTGAGGTCGGCGCCGTCGGCGGTGAGAAGGATGGGTTTGAAGGGGTCAATTGCCATTTTGCTATGTCTTTCTGGATAATGGGTTTGAGGGATAGCCGTAAGAGAAGGTGAGGTGGGGTGGGGTCTTATATGACGCCTTTGAGCTGTGCGGTGGCCGGTGATCTCGTTCTTCTTGCATGCAAACAGATAAGGTACGGAGGACGCCGCTGTACTCGCCCAGAAGTCCATTCCGGCTTTCTATGTTGTGTGTGCGCATCGACAATAACGCGACCGGGAAACTCGCCCATTCCCCGGTCCATCATCCAAGAGATCAGATTTCTACCGGCGAATACCGACGTCCTTGGCTGCGTCGCCTCACAAGCCTTTGCCAAGCCACCGCATATCCACATCTTCGACTCCGCATCGCAACTGCGCTCAGCGTTACACGAAGAAGCGTGGAGTGCACTTTCGGAGCAGCTTTGTCACCGAGACTCGGACCCCGCCTTCTTTCAAGCTTCTGGGGCATCAATTGTTCACAGACATGTATACTGATTCAGAGGTATCTTTTATTGAACATGTTCAGTCACAAGAACTACTGCTGGAACAAGCCATCCAACTCCTCCAGCTCGCCTACAGCATAAACACTCTCCAAACCCAGATCAAAATTGTACGTTGTCCCACGCTTGCTGCCTCTCACCTCCTCACCGTCGAGCTTAAAATCTCCGTCCACCGCCCAATCATCCTCTCCCTCCTTCCTCGAGCTGCGAGAAAGTGTAGAAGGAGGAGCATCCTTGCTAGGCGGCTTGGACGCCGAAGGAGGCACGGGGACATCGAGAACAGCAGAAATACCAACTGTTCGGATCTTCTCCCTCATCATCGAGACTTGAGAGTTGGAGACTTGACCGGTGTTGGTGAGTACGAAGTCGTCGAATGGGATCTACACAGCACATAGCACGTCAGAAAAGAGAGGGGGTTAATGAGCTTAAAGAGGATCAACGTAGCACAAGAGGTGGGGGAAGGGATGCTTACAATCACAGTCTGCCAATCGGAACCTTTGTTTTCGTGCAGGTAGAGTCGGTGTTGGAAAAGATCACTTGTTACAGGACCATCCGTCTGCACATTTACAAAGAACTTGGGTCCCGGCAACTCTTTTTTTCCCAGCCCGAGTGCGTGGATGGCTCGACTAGCAGCTGGTCCTGAAGGATCGCTTGCATGCAATGCTGCCCGAAGACCGCTTCCTCCGCTACTATCCACCTTTTCATTCTTGTCTGCAGTAACAATCGGCTTCTTCGCGAGCCTGTTCCTCACACGCAGCGCAAGGTAGGGATGGACAGTAGTATCCCAGCACTGATTCCCAAAGAGTGTGGGCCGATTTCGATTACGGAACCCTGCATAGCCAGATTTCTCGATTTTGCCTCCTCTGGGTACTTGCGAGGACAGTGTACCATAGAATCGTCCGCGTGAGGATTCGTCAAGTCCAAGTCGACATTGAGATAACCCACCAATGTCCGAGTCGGAGCCGGTTGCAAAGTTTGACAAGTGTGAAGGTTGAGTCATGGCATAGATGAGAAGAGCACCTTGGTTTTTGGATGTTGGAGAGATTTCCATGCGCATCACTACGGTATCAATAGAGGATCAAAAATGGGTCAGTATGAGCAAATTTGTGGTTGATTGCACGAGGAAAGGCGTGCGGTACCTACTTTTGGCAGTCTCATCGCGAGCGACTTCTACTGAGCGCTGTAGCGCTTGACCGAAGGATTTGAGCAACGACATCGTTCGTGAGACTAAGCTGCGACTGAAAGGTCCGTTATTGATTGTTGTGATGGAGAGGCTAAGAAGCGTAAGACTATCTGATCTTCACGAGGACGAGACGGGATTGTGGAGGATTGAGCGTTTTTTTTTTGACTCAGCAAGCATCACTCACGAATCCGAGTTCCGAAGTCGAAAAAGTGCACGGCTTCAGCCAAGAGCACGTGATCGTTTCTCCAACGCAACCTTGCACGGATGGTTTCATTGCTTCACTGTCCGGCATGCTTGCTCACAGTCAAGATCGCAGATGTTAGTACCAGGGATTTCATAGCTTATCGAGGACTGCTGATCGTAGCTAGGCTGCGTGGCTCTCCTTCCGATCCAAATCGTACTGAAGCTCCACACTGTTTCCCTCCCGGTTGACCGTGCCGGTCGAAGGAGGGGCGAGCAGATGCCTATTCCTCGGATACGCCTTCTTACTCTTCTTCACCACCGTCACTCCAGTGAAATACGCCAATCCTACAGCGACAACAATCGCAACCGCCAGACTGACCAGCGCACCAATCACACCCGCCGCCACAGGTGAGACCTGCTGTCTCCCCGTTGTCGAAGTCACATCTGAGTACTTCCCACCCCCACCTGTTCCATTGAGCGCATTCAATGCAGCACAGCCCCTCGCTTGGGTCTCTCCGCACTCATTACACCAATCAGCCAGCGTCTTGATCTTGACGGGGTCATAGTGCTCCAGGAAGAAGTTCACCTTCTGAGTGTTCACGCCCAGAACTGAAAACGGGTCTAAGCTTCCCGACGAGCCGTCCCTGAAGTAAAGCCGCATCGAGTCATCTTCATGAATCTCGAACACCATGGCTGAAGCATAGTCGACCAGCTTTCCTCGCAAAGCAGGCATCTGGAAAAGACTGAACAGCGAAAAGAAAGGCTTGTAAGATGCAGCGAGGACTGAGATCTTGAGTGAGTCCGAAGTGTTGCTAACTCGACTAATAGCTTCAGTGAGCGGATTGAGTATTCCTCGACCTGCGATGCTGCCGAGTGAGACTGAGCTAGCATCGCCAAACAGCTGCGCCTCGTGGTACTGTGCCCAAGTCGAAGCAGTATCCAGCATCTCATCGGTGATCAGAGGTGCAAGCGTGGCGTTGTGGATCTTCTGCACGTTGAGATAGTCAAAGATGTTCCAAGCGTTGACGAGAGACTTTGGACGGTTACCAAGGATGGAAGCAGGGATCGAGTCGTAGAAAGGCTGTGCGATGGCGCTTTGTCTCTTGAAGTCTGCATCGTTGTAGAGCTTCTCTGTGTAGTCGTCAAACTTGTTGCATGATGTCCAGGGCTCCATGACGAAAGACTGGTCTGGTTCTATGGTTTCAATCGGGATTAGCTGGGCACGGTTGGCCCATGATACGATGGTGCCATTGGCTAGGGTTACGGTATCGTTGAACGCTGGATAGAGCCCCTGCATGAAGGCGTTGGCACTTTCGACGATGACACCGCCTTCTCCGCCCGCATCTGCTTGAACCTCGACTTGAACATTCTCGACGGCGGTCGTGCTGACACCTTGGATGATGAAGGGGGAGGCAGGGTCAATGTAGCGAGATCGAAGCTGAGCGCCGCTGTTGAGTTCCTCGAGGTATCCGAGTACGGTGAGGTTGGTCTGCGAAGCAGCGTAGGTGGTTGGGGACTGGTAGAAGCCTTCTCTATCACCGTGTCGGATGAGGACAACGATGCCAGTCACGGGAGAAGTCATGATTGCTGCAAGAATGAATAGATTGCGATTCTGACCATACAACTCAGGCCGGAGACCTCCTCTTAATGGCTACGGATGGTCGAGATGGATGTAGGGAGGAGCGAAGGTCGGATTCAAAGACGTTCAGCAAGCTTGTGGACATGAGAAAGGGACAGGGGCAACGGCTGAAAGATTGTTCTGTTCGACTATCACCCAGGCACAGGAGAACAGCGAAAGCTTGACAACTTTTCATGTGATTGTGGGGCAAAAGAAGCTCAGACCACGATGAGAAGGAGTGTCCTGTTCCTGTCCGCTATCAGCAGAGATACAGGCACATTGATTGGCTACAGAAATAACCAAGCCTCTTTCTCGCAATGGGACAAAGGTCATGTTGGCCTCTGTCTTGTCAGTCTGCCTGTTTTTCTTTGAGTTGAGGTATCTGATTTCTGCGTGGATTGATGATGGTAAGAGACAGAGAGCGAGAGAGCGAGGAGTCTATATATATACAAAAGAAGAGCGGCAGAGAGCCGCATTGACTGCGGAACATAACAAAGCATTTGTTATGAGTAGGTTGTGACACATGTGGTCCGTGCTAAGATGTTCAGGCCTTTTACTCGGCCATAAGCACTACCTTCGCTGTCTCTACACTTTGTGTAGCTTTGTCTACTTCAACTCCCTCAACTGCCTCCCTCAGTGGCAAGGCAGGAGACTGCCGAGCCACTGCATCATGCTGGGCTTTTAGTCCCAGTCCCTGTCGCACGTGCTGTAGTATAGTCTTTCCCACTGGTTTGGTAAAGAGGTCTGCCAAGTTATCTGCAGTGTTAATGTACTTGATCTTGACCTTTCCATCTTGCACGTTGTCTCTGATGAAGTGGTATTTGGTGTCAATGTGCTTTAACTTCCAGTGTTGCATGGGGTCCTTGCTAACCTGGATGGTACCAGTGTTGTCTGAAAAGATTGTAGGGATACCAACATCAATTCCGACGGCCTTGAAGAGGTGCTTGAAGAACAGAACCTCTCGTGCAGCTTCTGTCGCAGCTACAAATTCTGCTTCCACCACCGATAAGGCGGTGCAGCGCTGTAGTGCTGATTTCCATGCTACCAGGTTGCCACACACGAACACTGCTGAACCAGATGAGCTTTTGTGTTGTGCTGTAGCGTCACTTGCCCAGTTTGCATTGCTGTGCGCCATCAGAAAGTCTTGTTGCTTGTTGCTGCCATATTGCAAGCGGATATCTCGTGTGTGGTCCAAATATTGGAGTACTTTCTGTGCAGCGTTGTAGTGCTCCCTTGACGGTTGTGTCATATAGTGTGCAAGGACGCCGACGGCTTGGCTGATGTCTGGATGTGTTCCATTAGACAACCACAGGAGTTTGCCAATGATCTGTGGGTACTCCTTTTGTTCTGCTATGCTTGCTGCTGTTTCTGGGACTGGGATGTCTTGGAGTGGTACGCTGGACTTCCTTCTGTGCTTGTCCAAATGTTCATCCAGAAGCTGCTTAACGTAACTAGTTTGCTCGAGGTCCATGGTTTTCGCTTCTCGATCCCTGGTGATTTTGATCCCGAGGAAGTGGGAGACATTGCCACCATCCTCCATCCGCCATCTTTGGCCTATTTCCTCCTTGATACACCTTACTGTTTCTAGGGTTGGAGCTATAATTAGCGTGTTGTCAACATAGATGACCACTATTGCGAAGTTATCCCCTTCTCCTCTAGTGTAGATGCACGGTGCGCAGTCGAGCCTGTGAAAGTTTGAGCATCGTAGGAACTTATCAAACTCCATGTTCCATTCCCGTCCCGACTGTTTAAGGCCATACAGTCCCTTGATGACTCGGTAGGCTTTCCCTTTTGGCACCTTGGCACCTTCTGGTGGTTTCATGTAGATCACATGGTTGAGTGTGGAGTTGAGGTAAGCCATTGTGATGTCAAGCTGATGGACTTCCCAGTTGCGCTCCACTGCCAAGGATAACAGGGCTCTTATTGCACTGAGTGGTGCCACAGGCACAAAGGTCTCTTCGAAGTCGATACCCTCCCGCTGTGTGAAACCCCGTGCGACGAGTCTCGCTTTGTGCCGGACAGGTATGCCATCGGCATCCAATTTGAGCTGAAGGACTATTTTGGAGTCGACAAGTCTAGTGTTTGGTGGAACATCCACAATCTCCCATGTTCCCATTGCCTCAAGTCTGTCCAACTCCTTGCGTATGGCTTCCTGCCATTGTTGTGCATCATCGCTGGCGAGTGCTTCCTTTAAGGTCGGCGTGAGGTTCAGGGTGGCTGTGTGTGCTTCTCCAATTATCTCTTCAACATCAAGCTCCGACCTGTTGTCATCTATAGGGTCAGCGGGCAGTGCAGTGTGTATTTTGGGAAGTGGGTCCTCTGTGTCGAGTACTTCCACCTCCAATTCGGGCTTGTCGCTATCTGTCTCAGGTCTATTACCCTCTGCTTCGAGGCTCTCGAAGCCGAACTGCAGTGGGCTCTGCACACTGGGGCGATCATGCCAACCTTTGGCTTCATGGAATGTGGCTGAGTTGCTCCACCGTATAGATGGGGTGTGGCCAGGGGTGAAGAATTTCCAGCCCTTGTGCTCGTCATCGTAGCTGACCATGATTCCTGGGATTGCTCTTACGCCATGCTTTCCTGTATGATCCTTCTTGGGGAGGTGGACCCAAGCAAGGCAACCAAAGACACGCAGCTGCTTGGCCAAGCCATGCGCAGACTTGCGGTGGAAGTCCTCATATGGAATCCTATTTGCTTCGGTAGAGGGTGTCAAGTTCAGTGTGTGCCCTGCAGCCATGATGGCGTAGGGCCACAGCTCCTTTGGTACTGATCTCTGGACAAGCATTGCATGCATCTTTTCTTGAAGGGATCTGATCATGCACTCTGCTCTCCCATTCTGGGCACTGATGTAAGGTGTGGTTTTCTGCCACTTGAACCCTGCTTCTCATTTCCATTCTTCTGCTCCAAAGCTGGACCATGTCAGGGGTCTCGCGCCTGAAACCCAGGTCGGTCTGTCGAGATACTCGGTGACTATCAAACTGTGCGACAGCTATTGTCTCGAGATACTCGGTGACTATCAAGTCGTGCAGTGACAACAGGTGGCGTTTGTTGTATATACTATCGTAGGTTTCGGCTGACCTCTGTGGACACTCCGTTCAGGGGTAGCTCGGCACGATCGATATCAATGTTATGATGACACCAAGGTCTGGTGTGAGTGTTGATGATGATGAGGTTGATGGTGTTGGTGATGGGATTGGTGATGTCGATGATAATGAGGTTGATGGTGTTGGTGATAAGGTTGGTGGCGTCAACACGAGTGTCCAGTGTGTTGACTTGATGCTTGAAGTGATCCCCGGACCGCAGTGGACTACTGCCTTCGGTTCTATCTATATCCGGACCGCTAACCTGCTAAGGGCGCCTTCGGACGTCAGGTAGTGGTGATACAACACACACACTACGATGAGGAGCAACCTTGATAGATTGCTGCTATGCTGACTGTAACTAATGAGTACTTGTGTTTCTAAAGTATTGACTAGTTGTATGGTGAGTAGAGTGGATGGAGATCCACTCGACCTATGATGATGAGAAAGCATGGTTATATACCTCTTCACAGCATTGCCAGCGATGCTGCTCCTGCTCTCTCTCCAGAGAGTACCTTCTTCATCGAGTACTGCTCAGGGGCCTCTCCTGCTTGGCACCCCTGTGCCTCTTGAGCTGTGTCGACTCCTTCGACACTGCTCCTCCTCCTCATGACCTGGTGTCGACTCCTTCGACACTGCTCCTCCTCCTTTGATCAGTGACAGTTCCTTTGGCTCTTGTCTCTCGAGCCCCTGAATGGTAACCATCTGCATGCTCCTTGAGCTTGGTCCTCTTCGTGGCTTGTGCTTGGCCCTCCTTTGCATGTGAGTCCATAGGAGTCCATGGTCTCCATGGAGACTGCACTACGACCATGCTCTCTACTGGTGTCGACTAGGTCTTCGATACCTGTGCTCCTTCCATATGAACCCATGACCCTCCTGCTTCTTGAGCATCCAGGCCCATGACAGACCACTCTGTTCCGTTGTTGCTGCAGATGCACTTTAGCATGTGGTCCATTGCTATCTCTGCTGCTTTGATCCATGCCTTTAGAGCGGGGAATGCTTCAGCCTTGCTGAGGAGTGGTTTCACATAAACATAGGATGACGAGTCATCTACAACTACCAGTGCATGGTGGTAGTTGGGATGGCCTTTCAGGTTCGTCATCAAGTCAATGTGTACCAGCTCCAGGGGTGCCTGGGCTCGCTCTGTTTTGCTACTTGTCATTCTTGCACGTGTTTGCTTTGCTTGGCTGCAACAGTTGCAATCCCTTGCGTCATGTCCAAGCTGTGTCTCTTTTCCTAAGTAGTGGGCCTGGATTTGCTTGGTCTTGTTCCTGCCAGGATGACCAAATCGTTCATGCCATAGTTTGCTCGTCGTGTGGCTTGTGGGTTTTGCTGGTGTTGTGGTGGCATCAATGCCCTCTAGGGGATCATTGAGCTGTGCTGCTAGGGAGTCACTGTAAACCTCCCATCTCTTCTTGTGCTGGTTGGTCTTGCTCTTGACCATGCTCCCATCATGCTGGAGGATAGTAGCTCCAGACTCTTCAAATATCACGTGTGCACCATTTTCAGTCAGCGCTGGGATGGACAATAGGTTCTTGCTAAGGTTGGGAACGTGAAGTACATCAGTGAGTGGTATCTTAACATCTCTTACTTGCAAAGTTGCGTCGCCTATTGCCTGTACTCGCAACCGTTCATGTCCAGCAGTATCTATGGATCCTTGCTTCGGCATCGGAGCAATGAGCATACCCTCATCACAAACCATGTGATGTGTAGCTCCAGAATCGAGAATCCACATGCTGTCTTGTTTACGGTTGCCAGTGTTGCTTATGAAGAAGGTGCACCCGAGTCCCTAACCTTGCTGAGTAGGAGTTCGCTCCTGACTGTTGGTGCAGTTGATGGCAATGTGCCCGGGTTGCCTACACCTATAGCACTTGGCTGGTTCATTAGGGTTTGCAGGGTCACGCCTGCCCCTATTGTAATCCTCTTGGTTAAGAACCTGCCTATGCTCACCAGCTTGGCCTGTTGAACTTCTATTGCCCGCAGCTCTGGCCATGGCTCGGATATGACCTGAGAGCTCGGCTTCTTGGTGCTTCTTAGCTAGTGCATGATAGGCATACTCATAGCTGCAACCAGGTTGAGCAGCTTTGAGGGAGTCTACTGTCTGGGTGTAGAGCCAGTCGTCTTTGACGCAGCGGTACAGGGTAGACTTTTTGAGCTTTTCGTCCATGCGGCTACCGAGCCTGGCTGCGTCATTCCAGATTTGATCGAGCTCCTTACCAAGGTTGGCAATGTTGCGCTGGGCTAGCTTGACTTCGTGTACCCGGTCGTGAATGGCGGAGAGCTTAACTTCGTCGTTTATTGTGAGAGCAGCTTTGAGTTTCTTGTAGAGTGTAGAGCCAAGCTGCTCCTCCTCACCTTGCTCCTGCACAGTGTAGGTGTTGATACGGCTGGTGGGTCCGTGGTCACAGGAGGACAAGATGAGACCCAGCAAGTGGCTGTCCAGTTCCTCATCATAGTCGGTATGGCCACTGGGAATCTCCTCAGTGAGGATCTGCTTGGTGTTCTTGATTGGGCAGATGCAGTCCATGAACATCAGCTCCCAGATGGCCCAGTTGTTCTTGTTGAGCTTGACGATTTGCGAGATGATGCTGAGCACCGACTTGGGGATCTTCTCTGCTTGGTTGGTGTTGGGTTGGAGGTTCATTAGCGAGAAGGCACGCTCCAAGACTTGGTCTTTGTCCCAGTTGGTGTGAGTTTCCCTGATCATCTGCATGGTGCATTCAAGTAGTGCTACGCTATCTACTCTTGGTGGCATCCTGGTGGCGAGGCGCTAGAAGCTGCTGAGCTTCAGACTCTTAATCAGTTGAGGTATCTGATTTCTGCGTGGATTGATGATGGTAAGAGACAGAGAGCGAGAGAGCGAGGAGTCTATATATATACAAAAGAAGAGCGGCGGAGAGCCGCATTGACTGCGGAACATAACAAAGCATTTGTTATGAGTAGGTTGTGACACATGTGGTCCGTGCTAAGATGTTCAGGCCTTTTACTCGGCCGTAAGCACTACCTTCGCTGTCTCTACGCTTTGTGTAGCTTTGTCTACTTCAACTCCCTCAACTCTTTGTCTCGGCCGCTCTATCCGAACTTCTGCCGCTTCTTATCGCGGTTGATCCACAGAAGGGAGAAGACATTGTTGCTTGTGAGTATGGTCGACCTAACACCATGCTGATTTCGTCTGCTGTTGCTTTGGAAGAACCGAAAAAGCCATCGACGTGGAACTGGAACGTAGCACAGACCGCTGGCCAGAGGAGAAAAAGTGTGTCATGTTTCTCACTTCACTTTGTGTTCCTTTTGCCTTCTCACCCACCGTCTCTCGCCTCTATCTCTCGCAGCAGCTGGACTGCTTCTCCTCCTCCTCCACCTCCTGGTTCTATCTTACTAGATATCCACAACAGCCATGGCAGCATCAAAAGGGGCCCGAAGCTCATCCAAAAAGAGCAACAATGCCAACCTTCGACAGCGACCAACAACGATCAACGGCACACCAAGCTCTCTAGAAGCGGAAACATCCGACTTGCTCGAAACACGGCAGCACACCGCTACCGGTAAAGATGCCATCCTCAACCCAACATCAACTCCCATCGATGAAAAGAGCGGCATTGCAGTCACTGAGAAGCAGGCGAACGAAGAAGCTTCCGGATTCATGGACCTTTCACCGAAAGACCGAAAAGCTATGATCCTGCTGGTGATCCTCTATCTGCTGCAAGGTGTTCCGGTCGGCCTTGCATTCGGTACTATGCCTATCTTGCTCAAATCAAAGTTGAGCTATGGCGATATTGGCTTCTTCATGCTCTGCACCTATCCTTACTCGTTGAAACTCTTTTGGAGTCCCATTGTCGATTCGACCTTTGTCAACGAGCTGCAACTCCCCCTTATTGGCAAGATCTCGCTCGGTCGCAGGAAGAGCTGGATCGTGCCCATCCAGACCATCGTCGGTATTATGTTCTGGTACCTCTCCAGCAACGTTGACCATCTTCTATTGGCAGATCTACCCAACGTCAAGCTCATCACCCTCATCTTTTTCGTTCTTATCCTCTTCGCCGCGACACAAGACATTGCCGTTGATGGGTGGGCATTGACCTTGCTCTCCCAAGAGAACCTCTCATACGCCAGTACTGCACAAACGGTGGGCCTCAATTCGGGATACTTCCTCAGCTTCACCGTCTTCCTAGCATTCAACTCTGTCGAGTTCAGCAACAAGTACTTCCGCTCTACAGCGCTCGATTATCCCTTGCTATCGCTTTCCGCGTACATGCGGTTCTGGGCTGTCGGCTTCTTGTTCGTCACCGCATGGCTTGTCGTGTTCGAAAAGGAAGATGCAGAAAGCCAAGATTCGCCAGACATGGACGTCAAACAGGTCTACTCGATCATGTGGCGCATTTGTCGGCTCAAGCATGTCCAAACGTTCATCCTGATCCACTTTGTCGCCAAGATCGGTTTCCAAGCTAACGAGGCCGTCACTGGTTTGAAGCTCGTCGAGAAGGGATTCGGGAAAGAGGATCTGGCGTTGGCAGTGCTGATCGATTTCCCATTCCAACTCATTTTTGGGTACCTTGCCGCCAGGTGGAGTAAAGGCGATAAAGCACTCCAGCCTTGGGTTGTCGCATTCTTCTTCAGGCTGGGTTTCGCCGTGCTGTCAATGGCAATCGTACACGGAATGCCAAAAGCAGGGATCGGAGCGGGATACTTCTTCGTCGTAATCGCAAGCACCGTTGCAGGCAGCTTTGCATCAACAGTCCAATTCGTCGGTATCTCTGCATTCCACACCCAAATCGCAGACCCTCTTATCGGCGGAACATACATGACTCTCCTCAATACAGTCTCCAATCTCGGCGGCACTTGGCCTAGATATTTCGTTCTCAAAGCAGTGGATCTTTTCACCATCTCCAGCTGCCAGCCACCATCCAGCGCAAGTCTGTTGAAAGATCCCGAGATCGCAAAGTTGTGGGCGACTGCATCGAAGGGGATTGGAGGGAATGAGTGTACGTCGGATTTGGGCAAAGCAGCGTGCTCGGCTGCAGGAGGCGAGTGCTATATTGAAAGGGACGGGTATTATTGGACTTCAACACTGTGCGTCTTGGTTGGAACGGTGTTGTTGGTGACATTCATTATTCCAGCTTGTAGAAAGTTGCAAGCTTTGCCGGCGAGCGCCTGGAGAGTCAATTTGCACAAGGAACAATAGAGTCATAGTGACGCTTGTTCATGGAAACACGTACCCTCCATTCTATGTATTTCAATAGAGCAATATATCGCATTCTATCGCATTCTTTGCCTGACCTTTACTTTGAGTCCTATACCGAAGGTTCGATTAGAATGGAGAGAGAGTCTGTCTAGCAGCCCCCGCCGCATTTCTAAACCCAGAAACAGTCTCCGCAGCTGGACAGTCGGACGCTTGCCTGGTCTCCAACGCCTCCGGTAGCCACTTTTCCATATTCTGAATCCTCTGACTGCTCACCGGATGAGTCGACAATATCGCTTGAGCACTATCTAAAACCCCTCCTCCCGCCTTCCCTCCTTCACTTTCACTCATTCTAGTCCACAACCTACTTGCTTCTCTCGGATCGAAACAAGCCTTGCTCATGATCCTTAATCCCAAATAGTCCGCTTCCAACTCCGTCTTTCTCGAATTCGGCAAACTTAGCAATAACGTCAACGCTGCTCTGCTCAACCCGATATCCGCCCCGAACGCTTCCAGCAAGAATGTGCCGAAGAGCAAAACCTTATACCCGGACATCTTCTCAGCAGAATGCCGAGCAACCTGATGCGCAACTTCATGGCCCAACACTGTAGCCAGCCCATCTGCGTTGGCACAAATCGGTAAGATACCGGTAAACACGAAAATTTTCCCACCTGGAAGAACAAATGCATTCTTCTGCTTCGGATCGTCAATCACAAACACTTCCCATTTCGTTCCTTGTTTCTGTGCCGGTTGCGCGGTTTGGTTCCCAAGCCAAGCCCCGCCCTGCGCTCCACCCACACCACCAAGAGACGCATTGGAACCATAAGTGATCCCTCCCTCTTCACCATGCGAATGTTGCGTCAACCCAGCATCGCCTCTCGTATGATGAGGTTGATTACTTCCATCCACCGCATTATCCAGTGCTGCAACGATCCGGCTTGCTACAGCCCGCACTTGTTTGGAGTGGGAATGGTTGGCGGGTAGGATCCGATTTTGATATTCGGCCAGAGTTTGTCGGAAAGTTTCTTGTCCCATCTGATGCTCTTGGGCGGGGGAAATGTCTATGAATCTCCATCGACCTGTTTCCGGGACTTTTTCAAGATGGAAGACGTAGTATGCGCCTGCTCCACCCAAAGCGACAATGATGAGTGTTGGGGGTCGGGACGAAAGCCATCCTCCTCGACCGCCTCGACCAGAGCCGCCACCTCCGAAGCGCTGATATTGGATAGGTAATTGGGAGCGTTGTTGCGGTTGACCGATTCGGTGGAAGAGTTGGTCTTCGAGCTGTTTGCGGAGTACGTCTGGAGAGAGTTGTTTTCTAGATTGGGGTTGTGGTGTGGGCCAAGATAAGGAGGGTTGCTTGTCGTTGTTGAAGCGGCGATAGGAGGCGGGAGCTCTGGATGATGTGTGTAGGAGTATACGTCGAGCGGTTATAGTGGTAGAGCTGCGGAGCGATGCGCAGGACTCAGCTGCTTTCCGCAACCCTGTGGTCGTTCGAAGTGGGGAGGTCATGGTCCGTGTCGTGGCGGAGGGGGGGAAGCTCGTTCTGCTGGAACGTGTAAGACGACACCGGGCGGTGATGGTGATGGTAAAGAAAGAGGTCTGACGGCAACTCTATTCGCGAATCCTTTCTGCGATCCACGTCAGAACAACCCTCGGTCTGCTAGTTGAAGTTACGCCGGAATAACAGATATGCGGGAAAGCCAAGTCGCCGATAGACCGAGGTGTCAGAGGTCGCGCGCCTGAAACCCGAAATCTGTAGTAAAAAGCAACTACAGGGGGTATCAAAGTTTTTGCGTTTTTAAAAACGCGGGTTTTTTGAAAAGCGCGTTTTTGGAGGGAATTTGAACCCCCCCAAGAAAATGCAGGTTTCCAAAAACACAATGAAGTCATACAGCTGATAAGAGACATAACCTAACAGTGAGCATATGTTACTTGTCACTCTTGTCACTATTACCCATTGCTTGCTTATTTATATCTTGCTTTCCTCTTCACACAATGCACTCAATGTAATGTTTCATATGGTGGTGAGAAGAGTTGTATTGAACAGCAGAAGAGAGAGTGCCTGTCAGATCAAGAATGGTTGCATCAAGACTTGCTCCTGTCTCTGAGCTGAAGTGCTTTGAGTCATGGCATTGTAGTCCACAGTAGTCCTCTCATGACATTGAGACAATGCAGTAGTGTCTTCCTCATTGTGCCCAGTGGATCTGAACAGTGCCTGGAACAAATCCTCTCGAAGATCATGTGCAGCAGAACTTCAAAGTCTTGACACTGCATACTGCAACATTCCTTGCATTGCAGAGGCAAGGTCCAGTTCATATCCATGCTGATTTGTGTGTCTTGTCCTCCTGAGCTCTTGTGTATCCCTGGCATCAAGTTGGAGGCTTTGAACAACCTCATTCACCTCATCCTCAGAGAAAGAGGGCAACAGCAGGTCAGCAATATTGGCAGGATGGTCATATTGACTTGCAAAGGTGTGGGCAACAATGCAGGCTTGGATCATCTCAGCAGCAGTGATGTGGTCCTCAAAATGGTAGATGTTACCATGATAGCCTGTAAGGCACTGGAAGTGGTTCTTCAGGTATGCAATGGCATGTTCGACTTGTACTTGGACTCAAGAGAGCATGTAGTTGAAGTGTTGAAGGTCTTGACTCTTGTTGGTGGCAATGTGAGAGAATGGTCCAACTGTGAAGGGAGAATGGCCATATCCACCATCAACCCAGATGAACTCACCTTCATCAAGGTACAGGCAAGGCTTCTTGAGGATGTTGCTGCCTGAGGTCCAAACCTTCAAATCCTGAATGCTGCCAGGCTGTCCAACAACTGATTTGACAATCTGCAGTGAGTGTGGCAGGATCACCAGTGCTACATTGATGCTGTGGAAGCCTTTGTAGCAGAAGTGCTCTCAACTGAGCACTCCTGGCTTCCAGGCAAGAGGGATGTGCATGCTGTCATGGGCCTGAATGCTCAAGAAGCAGGAGGGTCACTGGTTCATATGGAAGGAGCACAGGTATCGGAGATCTAGTCGATACCAGTAGAGAGCATGGGTGCAGTCTCCATGGAGACCATGGACTCCTACGGACTCACATGCAAAGGAGGACCGGGCCCATATGCGAGGAGGGCCAGGCACAGCCATGAAGAGGACCAAGCTCAAGGAGCATGCAGATGGTTACCACTCAGGGGCTCAAGAGACAAGAGTCAAAAGAACCGTCACCAGTCAAAGGAGAAGGAGCAGTGTATAGGGAACTGGCAAGCAGGTCCTGAGGAGGAGGAGCAGTGTCAAAGGAGTCGACACCACTCAGGAGGCACAGGGGTGCCAAACAAGCAGGATAGCAAGGAGGAGGAGCAGTGTCGAAGGAGTCAACACAGCTCAAGAGGCACAGGGGTGCCAAGCAAGCAGGATAGCAAGGAGGAGGAGCAGTGTCGAAGGAGTCGACACAAAGGCACAGGGGTGCCAAGCAAGCAGGATAGCTCAAGGAGGACAGGAGTGGTGCTAGAGGGGCCCCCTGTACAGTACTCGATGAAGAAGGTACTCTCTGGAGAGAGAGAGCAGGAACAGCATTGCTGGTGATGCTGTGAAGAGGTATATAACCATACTTTCTCATTATCAAAGGTCGAGTGGATCCTCATCCACTCTACACACATCATAACTAGTTATCACTTCAGCATAAGTATATATTAGTTTCAGTCAGCATAGTAGCAATCTATCAAGGTTGCTCCTCATCATAGTGCATGTGTTGTATCACCACTACCTGATGTCTGAAGGTGGCCCATAGCAGGTCAGTGGTCCAGATATAGATAGAACCAAAGGCAGTATGTCATGGGCCTGGATGCTCAAGAAGCAGGAGGGTCATGGGTTCATATGGAAGGAGCACAGGTATCGAAGACCTAGTCGACACCAGTAGAGAGCATGGTCATAGTGCAGTCTCCATGGAGACCATGGACTCCTATGGACTCACATGCAAAGGAGGGCCAAGCACAGCCACGAGGAGGACCAAGCTCAAGGAGCAGGCACAGCCACGAAGAGGACCAAGCTCAAGGAACATGCAGATGGTTACCACTCAGGGGCTCGAGAGACAAGAGCCAAAGGAACTGTCACTGATCAAAGGAGGAGGAGCAGTGTCGAAGGAGTCGACACCAGGTCATGAGGAGGAGGAGCAGTGTCGAAGGAGTCGACACAGCTCAAGAGGCACAGGGGTGCCAAGCAGGAGAGGCCCCTGAGCAGTACTCGATGAAGAAGGTACTCTCTGGAGAGAGAGCAGGAGCAGCATCGCTGGCGATGCTGAGAAGAGGTATATAACCATGCTTTCTCATCAATAGGTCGAGTGGATCCTCATCCACTCTACTCACCATACAACTAGTCAATACTTTAGAAACACAAGTACTCATTAGTTACAGTCAGCATAGCAGCAATCTATCAAGGTTGCTCCTCATCGTAGTGTGTGTGTTGTATCACCACTACCTGACGTCCGAAGGCGCCCATAGCAGGTTAGTGGTCCGGATATAGATAGAACCGAAGGCAGTAGTCCACTGCGGTCCGGGGATCACTTCAAAGCATCAAGTCAACACACTGGACACTCGTGTTGACGCCACCAACCTTATCACCAACACCATCAACCTCATTATCATTGACATCACCAATCTTATCATCAACACCATCAACCTCATTATCATCGACATCACCAATCTCATCACCAACACCATCAACCTCATCATCATCAACACCCACACCAGACCTTGGTGTCATCATAACATTGATATTGATCGTGCCGAGCTACCCCTGAACAGAGTGTCCACAGAGGTCAGCCGAAACCTACGATAGTATATACAACGAACGCCACCTGCTGTCACTGCACAACTTGATAGTCACTGATACCGAGACAATAGCTGTCACACAGTTTAATAGTCACCGAGTATCTCGACAGACCGACCTGGGTTTCAGGCGCGAGACCCCTGACATTAGAGTGGATCGTTCAAGCAGCTCCTCACGATCACCATGATGGACCCAGACCTCAACAATAAGCTCGATAGACTACTCACTCTATTGGAAGCACAGCTAGAGCTTACCAGACAGGGTCATCGAGAGGAACGATTACAACGAGCTCAACTGAGCAGGGAGGAGACAATGGACCTCTCTCACTCAGAAGACCAAGCAGGAGGAGGAGATGAGTCTATGATAGGAGACCCACATACCCCTACTCCAGCTCCACGACCAAGACGATCAGTCTCATTCAACCTGGATGAGCAGGAGGACATCAACTATGAGAAGTATGCTTCACCTACTGGGCCAAGATATGTCAAGACTAAGCTGGACCCCTACAGCAGGACTAGGACGGACCCTTACCCCCTGGACCACGAGGAGGATACCAGCATCATGGCAGAGCTTAACCGGTCAAAGCCCATCGCCACCCCCTTTCCAAAGTTCAATCCCCGAGACATGGAGATCTTCATTCTAGAAGCCGAAGCATGGTTTAAGTTCAACCAGGTGTATGAGCAGTCTAGGATGATCAATCACATGGGTGCTCAACTGGAAGGGACAGCAAGAGAGTGGTGGACCTCCAAGCTCCGTATTGATAGAGCTAGAGAAGGAAGGTTGTTCAATGATTGGCACTACTTCACAGAGCGACTGTCAGAGCAGTTCAACCCACGCAATGCTAGGATGGAGGCATACAACAAGCTGTTGGCTCTCAGACTCACAAGTGATGCTCCTGGTGCCGCCACACGTCATGTAGAGCGGTTCAGAGACTTGGAAGGACAGGTCAACCTAGATGACAATGAGCTAGTGATTGATCTCTTCAGAGGTAGTCTCACTCGTAGCATACAGGAGAAGTTCGAGAGGAATCCACCTGGGAAGAGATGGGAGTGGTATCGAGAGGTCGAGGAGATCGATCGACAGAGGATGTATCACGAACCGGCCCTACGGTTGGCGATGACGACGAGGGCGAGATCGAGAGGAGAGGCAGAGGAGGCTACCAGACTTCGGAAGGAGTAGATGAGAGAGTTGATTGAGAGAGTGACTTATGATCTCTTTTCCTTAAGGGAAAAGAGAAGAGAAGAAGGAAGGAGCAAACTATGAGATCGAAGGTACAAGACTCAATGCGACAAGTCTAAGACTCTTTTGCAGTGAAATGACATATCGATGTTAGATCTATTCTAAATATGAGAAGGGTCATGACTGAGTCGTGACAGTATCCCCCCCCCCCAAAAGAAACGACGACAGGGGAGGAGTATAGCAATGAGTAGGAGATGGGCGGGTTGGGTTGGCTGTATGGAATTCAGCAATCAGGTCGCCAGCATGGGTGAGATTGGAGGCGGGTTCCCAGGAGTTGTGGTCAGGCCCATATCCGACCCAGCGGACAAGGTAGAAGAGTGGGTCACGGTAGCGATGATCGACCTTGCTATCGAGGATTTGTTCAACTTCATATTCAATATCGCTTTCGATTTCGACCGGGGGGGGCGGTGGCTGGACCCGATTTGGGATTGTGTTGGCGACATAGGGTTCCAAGCGGTCAACATGGAACACGTTATGGATCTTCATCGATGGAGGAAGCTGGAGGCGATAGGCATGGGAGGAGATGACTTTGCTGATGGAGAAGGGTCCGAGTCGGCGGTAGTCCAGCTTCTTGGTGGGGCGAAGGGAGCGGATATTATCGGCAGACAGCCAAACTCTGTCGCCAGGCTGGAACTGAGGGGAGGGAAGGCGGTGTTTATCGAACTGTGCAGCCGATCGGCTGTTGGCTTTATCCAACTCCCCTCGAACATACTCATGGAGCTGCTTTAGCTGATCTGTGTACGAGCGGGCAGCAGGGAAAAGAGGCAAAGAGGCTGGATCGGTGTTATCAAAGCTGAAGCGAGGATGGTACCCGTAGTTGGCGAAGAACGGGGTGAGTTGAGTTGACGCATGCTCAGCATTGTTGTAGGAGAATTCGGCCAAAGGTAGGAGGTCGCTCCAATTGGTCTGTAGGTGGTTTGAATACCCGCGAAGGTACTGCTCAAGGACCTGGTTAACACGCTCGGTCTGTCCATCCGACTGGGGGTGATAAGCAGAGGAGAAGTGGTTTTCGATGCCAAGGAGAGCAGAGAGGGAGCGCCAAAAGTGGGATGTGAACTCGGAACCTCGGTCCGACACGATGGAGGTGGGGAGACCATGCTTCGAGTATACATGGCGCAGGAAGAGTTTGGCCAGTTCGGGAGCATCCAATGTGTTGGTAGTCGGAACAAAGGTTGCCATCTTTGTGAGGCGGTCAACCACAACGAGGATGGCAGTGAAGCCAGATGATGGGGGCAGTTGCTCGATGAGATCCATGGATATGGAAGACCATGGATGAGGGGGAACTGGGAGGGATTTGAGGTGACCGTAAGGCCTGTGCCGGGCAGCCTTGATGCGCCGACATGTCTCACAGGAATCAACAAAGGTGTGGACAAATTTGGACATGCCCGGCCAGAAGAAGGACCGGCGAACAAGAGCAAGCGTCTTTCTGCGACCCGGATGCCCAACCGAAGGCGAGTTGTGTCGGTCTTGAACAATTAGGAGTCGGAGGTCACCTACATCAGGTACGCAGACTGAGTCCCGGTAGGTGAGAAGGTTCCTGGAATTGATTGCGAAACCAAGTGGCAGTAATCCAAGGTGGGCTTGCTCCAGGAGCGCTGAGGTCCAGGAGTCGCCGGAAAGGGCATCACGGATTTTGTCAGTAATGTCCGACTTTACTGTGAGGATGCCAGTAGCAGCAAGTCGGAGTTGATGAGGTTTGAGGAGGGCTTGAAAGTTGTTTGGGTTGTGCTCCTGCATCAGTGATGGGCCCTTGTCCATGGGTCGCATGTCGGAACGACGAGTGAGGGCATCTGGCAGACCAGCCTGTGCACCAGGGCGGTATTGGATGACAAAGTCAAAATCGGAAAGGAGTTCTGACCAACGAGCTTGTCTACGGTTGAGTTGCTTGGTAGTAGTGAAGTACTCAAGACTGCGATGATCGGTGAGGACCTGCACCGGAAACTTGGCACCCTCAAGGTACTGGCGCCAGTGTTTGAAGGCCGCGACAATGGCAAACATCTCTTTATCAAAGATGGGGTAATTGAGTTGTGCCGGATCAAGCTTCTTTGAAAAGAATGCAATGGGGTGCCTAGTGCCTTGATCGAATGACTGTGAAAGGACTGCAGCAACTGCAAAGTCTGATGCATCAGTTTCAACAATGATGGGCCGTGTGGGGTCAAAGTGACGCAAGATGGTGTCAGTGCCGAAGGCCGAGCGAAGCTGCTCAAAGGCGTGTTGGGCGTCATTGTGCCAGGCGAAAGGAGCACTCTGGGCCTCCTTACGCAACAACTGTGTGAGAGGGTATGCGGTTCGAGAGTACTGGGGGATGAACTTCCTGTAGAAGTTACAGAAACCTAAGAACACCTGTACATCATGCACTGACTTGGGTACAGGCCAGTTGGTGATGACCTCTGTCTTACTAGGATCCATGGAGACACCTTGATCCGAGACCACAAACCCTAGGAACTCGGTCTGCGAAGTGGAGAACTGGCACTTCTCTGCTTTTGCATACAGGCCCGCTTGGCGGAGGCGTGCCAGGACAGCAGAGACATGTCTTTGATGCTGTTCAAGGGTGGGGGAGTATATCAACAGGTCATCGAGGTAGATGATAAGGGACCTGTCTAACATATCCTTGAATGTGTCATTCATCAGGTGTTGGAAGGAGGCAGGAGCATTGGTGAGGCCGAAGGGCATGACGTTGTACTGAAAGAGGCCATATCGAGTACGGAAGGCTGTCTTCCATTTGTCCCCCTTGGCAATGCGAAGGAGGTTGTACGCGCCACGCAGATCTATACGGGTGAAGAACCGGGCTTTGCGGAGTCGGTCAAGTAATTCATCGATGAGGGGTAGTGGGTAACGGTTACGAATGGTGATCCGGTTGAGACCTCGATAGTCTACACAGAGGCGGAGGGAACCATCCTTCTTTTTAACAAAGAGGATGGGGGAAGCTGCTGGCGAGTCGGATGGAGATATGAATCCTTTGGCAAGATTCTCTTCCAGGTACCCCCGGAGGGTCTTAAGCTCATGTTCTGAGAGACTATAGATGGGTCCGAAGGGTGGAGATTTGCCTTCCTCCAGTGGAATCTGATGATCGTATGTGCGATGAGGCGGAAGTTTGTCAGCTTTGACTCTGCTGAACACATCGAGATACTGGTGGTATTCCGGGGGGATGATATCAGGAAGACCAGCATCGTAAGCGAGAGCCATGGTGGTATCCGAGGATGTTGTGGTGGTGGCGAGTAAGTACTGTGATTGGATGGGGGAGGGGTAGAGAGTACCCGAGGTGATACAGTCCGACTGGAGGGACTTGTCAAAGGCAATAGCATCGATAACATCGATATCAAGTGATGCAGATGGCAGAGCGGGTGACGGCTGAGATGGAGCCATTGGTGAAGGGGTTAGAGGAGGGCTTCGCATGGTGATGTCGCCGGATTGCCAATCTATATTAGGATTGGCTCCTTTTAACCATGGTAGCCCCAGGATGATGGGACATGGACCAAGATCAGAGACTTGGAAGGTGATGTCGGATGGGAAGAGCTCTGCAACGAGGCATGACAGCTGTACTTCCTTGCTGATGATGACTTGGGTTTTGCCGTCTGCAAGCAAGAGAGTCTCGGTGAGCGGCTTCGAGGTCAGAGGCAGGGAGTGGAGGGTGACGAAGCGCGAGTCTATGAAGTTGGTGGTGGCGCCGGAGTCGATCATGACATTGTGCACCGGAAAAGAAGGACGTGACAGGAAGCAAAGGGATGTAGATAGATACTGATTACCAGAGGGTTGTGAATCTACAGGAGCGAGTGCTGTCAGTCGGTGCTTAGCGGTTTGGGCTTGTGCTGCTAAGGCGGCTGTTTTTGACAAGCCCGCTATTTTTTTGATTTGATGATAGGACAGTCTGTGACGGTGTGCTCTGAAGAAGCACAGTAGATGCACAAGTTGTTTGCTTGGCGCCGCTTGTATTCGTCCGGGTCCAGCTTTCCAGCTGTGGTAAGGGGGACGCGAAGGGTGGAAGGAGAGGAGGGGTAGACGGCTGTTGGAGCAATGGGAGGGTTGGAGACAGGCATGGGTGTAGGGTTTGCCAACCGGGTGATCGTCCTCCTCTTCTCGGAGATCCGCTCGGCAATACGGTTATCGATCTCAAGGGATCTCTGGATGAGGGTTTCCAGATCGGTTGGTTTGCCAGAGCGACTAAGGTCATCCTTGACGTTCTCCTTGAGTCCTCGATAAAAGAACCAAGCCATGGTGTCTTCACCCCAATTGAGGGTCATTTGCAACTGGCGGAATTGGGTGAGGTAGTTGGCTACAGAGGTGGTCTGGGATAGAGCCTCGATCTCCCGCTTGGCAGTGGCAATACGATCTGGGTCCCCAAAGACCACGCGTAGTTGGTTGATGAATAAGGGGTAGTCTGTGAGCCAGGCGGGAGGGTTGACAGCGCTAAGGTGGGGGTAGAACCACTGGTGCGCAACTCCACGCAGGAGTGTGGATAACCAGAGGATCTGGTCGGAGTCGTTGATGAAGCGCCCTGGGTTGAGTCGCAGAAACACATCAACCTGAGCTAGAAACGGCTCGAGGTGCCCTCGCTCACCCATGAAAACCTCTGGTTCATTGGTGCGAAAACCTTGCTGGACAGAAGCATTTTCGCTGGGTGAGGGAGCTGGAGCGCTGCGAGCTTCGAGGGCTGCGAGTAATGAACGAACCTGGTCCTCCAGGGATTCGATGCGTTCGGAATGGTTAGGAGGGGGCATAGTGACCGATGTTATGGAGGCGAAGAAGATGGGGAGGTCTGTGGTGCTTAGTACAGTAGCCGAGGGAAGGCGCTGGCAAAGTGGAACAGAAGGCAAGGCAAGGTCGGTGGGGAAGGGGGAAGAAGGAAGGAATGTGAGAAGGCTCGTTTAGCGGACGAGGTATATATTGCAATTGTTGCGCAGGAATGAGGCAGAATGGATGTGGCGCTTAACAGAAGGCGTTGGATGGCGGCGAAGAGAGGAGAAGAAGCGATTCAGCTTATAGTCGTGGAGTGGAGCGAGATATGGAAGCATGCACTGCCAATGATGGTGTCCGGATGGGTTAGGGTCGATGGGTTAGGGTCGATGGGGTAGGGTAACAACGACGACGACGACGACGATGAGGACGATGAGGACGATGAGGACAATGAGGACAATGAGGACAATGAGGACAATGAGGACGATGAGGATGATGAGGACGATGAGGATGATGAGGACGATGAGGATGATGAGGATGATGAGGATGATAGGGTCGATGATGATGCTGATGATGTTAAAGAAGGATGATGGCGACAAAGGCTGGTAGAGAAGGAAAAGAGATACTGAAGAGGTACATGTGAAGCATGTCACCGAGGTCCTCACTCGCTTAAGGAGCAACAGGCTCTTTGCTAAGCTGTCGAAGTGTGAGTTCCACACCAAGACAGTCGAGTTCCTGGGGTACATCATCAAGCCAACGGGCATAGAGATGGACCCAGAAAAGGTGCACACTGTCAAGGAGTGGCCAATGCCAGAGTCAATCCATGGCATCCAGAGGTTCCTGGGTTTTGCCAACTTCTATCGAAGGTTCATAGCCCACTTTGCTCGCATAGCCAAGCCCTTGACAGCACTGGTAAAGCCTATAGAACAGTTCAAGAAGTTCGAGCTACCAGAGGAGGCCCAACAGGCCTTCCACAAGCTCATCCAGGCCTTCACATCAGCAGGAGTGCTTCAGCACTTCGACTACCACCTTCCAACAAGGTTGGAGACTGATGCAAGTGACTTTGCTATAGCAGGAGTGCTCAAGCAGGAGCATGAAGGACGATGGCATCCAGTGGCCTTCTACTCTAGGAAGATGTCTTCTGCCGAGAAGAACTATGAGATCCATGATAAGGAGCTCCTAGCTGTGGTCGCCTGCCTCACTCAGTGGCGACACATGCTAGCTGGACTACCGAACCAACTGGTCATCCTCACTGACCATGAAGCCCTCAAGTACTTCAAGTCACAGAGACGCATCACAGGTCGACAGGCTCGATGGGCCATACTACTAGCAGACTTCGACTTCATATTGCAGTATCGACCAGGAGACAAAGGTGGTGAACCCGATGCTCTCACCAGAAGGACAGACATGCAACCAGCTGGTGAAGAGCAGGATCACAATGTGAGGCAACTACTGCCTCCTCGAGTGTTCAAGGAGACAGCAGACCATGACTCGCTCCTAGTGGCCCCCATGATCTCGATGGAGTCCATAGCATCAAAAGGTCTCAAAGACCTGGTCAAGATCTTCCAGCCCTTAGACCAAGAGCTACAGGAGATACATAGGAAGAAGCCCTTCGAGGTCAGGGATGACCTATGGTACAGTGGAGGAAGGTTGGTTATCCCCAAAGTGATCATGCCAGGGAGGACCAACAACCGACACTCAAGGAGTGCCAAAGAGGTAGATGGACAGTCTCTCTCTGTAGAGCATCTGCGATTCATGGTGATGACCCAATGCCATGATGGTATCACTGCTGGACACGTAGGAAGAGATGCTACCATCAAGGCAGCTCAACGACATTACTGGTGGCCAAACATGACAGCTTGGATTGCAGACTATGTAGCAAGTTGTCCTGTATGTGCTAGGTACAAAGCTCCTCGTCATCGTCCATATGGTTTGCTACAGCCACTAGCAACCCCAGACAGGCCCTGGGGCTCCATATCCCTCGACTTCATCGAAGGACTACCAACATCGAAGAAGTATGACTCCAAGACCTATGACTCTATCTTAGTCATTGTCGACAGGCTAACCAAGTTTGCCATACTAGCTCCAACCCATAAGACAGTCACGGCCAAACAGACTGCAGTATTGCTATATGGACACATGGTTAGACTCTTTGGATATCCAGATCACATGGTCTCGGACTGAGGCAGGCAGTTCATATCAGGAGCATGGAAGGCATTTGCAGAGCAAATGGGTGTGAAGCACTCACTTAGCACGGCCTACCATCCTCAAACTGATGGTCAGACAGAGAGAGTCAATCAGGTCATAGAGCAATATCTCAGGATGTACTGCAACTATGAGCAGAATGACTGGGCCAACCTGCTGGACACTGCGGCCTTTGTATACAACAACACGGTCCACAACAGCATTGGTGTCTCACCATTCTTTGCATGCTATGGATGGAACCCCAAAGCTCATCCTGACATCCCTCAACGACTAGGAGTCAATGATCCAGGTCGCTTCGAGTACCTCATGGATGGAAAGGAGCGTTGCAAGTACCTCCAGGAGCAGATCAGAGAGGCACAACGTAGATCAGTAAACCAGTATAACAGGAAGCACAAGGACATCGAGTTTAAGGTGGGTGATATGGTCTATATCAACCGACGAAACTGGAAGACAAGGAGACCCACACCCAAGTTAGACACCTGGTTTGCAGGACCCTACCCAGTTCAGGAACGGGTAGGACGCCGAGCTTATCGAATCACATTGCCAGCAAACCTTAGGGTGCATGATGTGTTCCATGTCTCCATGCTCGAGCCAGCAAAAACAAGTTCTCTTCCTCAACGTGCTGAACAGCCCACCATACCATCACTTCCAGATGAGGACCTCGACTTCGAAGTCGAAGCACTCATCGACAAGCGTTCACACAATGGGACTACGGAGTACAAGGTGTTGTGGAGAGGGTACTCAGAGGAAGCTGCTTCATGGGAACCAGTAGAGAACCTCAACTGTCCCGACCTCATCCAGGAGTATGAGGTGTCGGAGGGGGGACGAGTGAGTAGACAGAGTGGAGAGAGGAGGAGAGAACAGGAGGAGTAGAGAGAGGAAGAGGAAGGAGGATGACGTTGAGAGAAGGAGGAAGGATGATGTTGGCGATGTTGTCAAGGAGGAGGAGTCAGCATGAACCAGACCAGAGCATGCCTCGACGGAGCTCGGCTCTTAAGAGGGGGGTAGTGTCATGGGCCTGGATGCTCAAGAAGCAGGAGGGTCATGGGTTCATATGGAAGGAGCACAGGTATCGAAGACCTAGTCGACACCAGTAGAGAGCATGGTCATAGTGCAGTCTCCATGGAGACCATGGACTCCTATGGACTCACATGCAAAGGAGGGCCAAGCACAGCCACGAGGAGGACCAAGCTCAAGGAGCAGGCACAGCCACGAGGAGGACCAAGCTCAAGGAGCAGGCACAGCCACGAAGAGGACCAAGCTCAAGGAGCATGCAGATGGTTACCACCCAGGGGCTCGAGAGACAAGAGCCAAAGGAACTGTCACTGATCAAAGGAGGAGGAGCAGTGTCGAAGGAGTCGACACCAGGTCATGAGGAGGAGGAGCAGTGTTGAAGGAGTCGACACAGCTCAAGAGGCACAGGGGTGCCAAGCAGGAGAGGCCCCTGAGCAGTACTCGATGAAGAAGGTACTCTCTGGAGAGAGAGCAGGAGCAGCATCGCTGGCGATGCTGAGAAGAGGTATATAACCATGCTTTCTCATCAATAGGTCGAGTGGATCCTCATCCACTCTACTCACCATACAACTAGTCAATACTTTAGAAACACAAGTACTCATTAGTTACAGTCAGCATAGCAGCAATCTATCAAGGTTGCTCCTCATCGTAGTGTGTGTGTTGTATCACCACTACCTGACGTCCGAAGGCGCCCATAGCAGGTTAGTGGTCCGGATATAGATAGAACCGAAGGCAGTAGTCCACTGCGGTCCGGGGATCACTTCAAAGCATCAAGTCAACACACTGGACACTCGTGTTGACGCCACCAACCTTATCACCAACACCATCAACCTCATTATCATTGACATCACCAATCTTATCATCAACACCATCAACCTCATTATCATCGACATCACCAATCTCATCACCAACACCATCAACCTCATCATCATCAACACCCACACCAGACCTTGGTGTCATCATAACATTGATATTGATCGTGCCGAGCTACCCCTGAACAGAGTGTCCACAGAGGTCAGCCGAAACCTACGATAGTATATACAACGAACGCCACCTGCTGTCACTGCACAACTTGATAGTCACCGATACCGAGACAATAGCTGTCACACAGTTTAATAGTCACCGAGTATCTCGACAGACCGACCTGGGTTTCAGGCGCGAGACCCCTGACATGAGTCTCCTTGACCACAAGGAGTAGGAGAAGCAGCATCAACAAAGAGTACACACCCTAAGAGTGACAAGGGGCATAGGAGAGATGGGAGGAGGAGGGGCAGCATTGAAGGAGACCCTATGCCTCCTGAGGAGAGTAGGAGTGGTGTCGCAGGTGACACTATGAGAGCAGCTATATAACCCTACATTCTCCTCATCATACAGTGTCACTGAAGATCAGGAAGTCATCTAAGTATACCACTACATATACTCCAATGATGTCTCGGAAGATGTCATTGATGAATGACTGGAAGTGAGCCGGAGCATTGGCTAGGCCAAAGGGCATCACTAGGTACTCATAGAGTCCCAACTGTGTGCCAAAAGCTGTCTTCCATTCATCTCCTTTAGCAATCCGGATGAGGTTGTATGCTGCTCTAAGGTCTAGCTTGGTATAGATCCTTGCCTTCCTGAGTAAGAACAGCTGCTCCTCGATGAGGGGCAATGGTGCCCTGTTCTTGACAGTGATCTCGTTGAGACCTCTGTAGTCCACACAGAGTCTGAGACCTCCATCCTTCTTTGGTACGAAGAGCACTGGTGATCGTGCCGGGCTCTTCGATGGTCTTATGAACCCCTTCTCGAGGTTCTCATCCAAGTATCTCCTCAACTCGGACATCTCCTTGGGTCCCTTAAGGTATAGGGGCCCTTGAGGTGGCTTACCTCCTTCTATCAACTCGAGGTGGAGATCATGCTCGGTATGATGGGGCAGCTTGTCTGCTTCCACCTCATCAAACACATCTTGCAGGTGTTGGTATGGCTTTGGTATGTCTGCAGCTGTCACCACCTTATCTACCTCCACCTCCATCTCGACTCCTTTGTCTGCGCCTGTAGGTACAAAACCAAAGGCCGGGAGTGATGATGGTGGCTCCTCTAACAGCATGAACCCTATGGGTCCATCTTCCAGAGCTGCTCGTAGTATGCGCTCTGCTGAGACAAACTCGTTACCATGAAGGGTTGGTCTCCTCATGGTTAGGTCCCCTGCTCTTGCTGCTTCAGGGGGTCTCCTTGGGGGTCAGTCCTGCTCCTGAGTCTTGAACTCCAGCTGGCCCGTATCCCATTGTATGGTGGGTTTGAGCCTCCGTAGCTCAGTGAACCCCAGGATGAGGTCATAGTCTGCAGTGTCGGCCACTGAAGCTTCGACCACACCCAGATTGTGTGTACCAATAGATACCTGCATGCTCGCAGAACTATTGATGGAGAGTTGGTGCCCGGTGACACCATGGATCGATCTTGTTTTTATGGGTTTTGTGGGTATTTGGTACTTACTAATGAAAGAATCTGAGACTATGGACAAACCAGCACCGGTATCAGCTAGTATCCGAGCAGGATGGTCTTGAACCATTCCAGAGAGCTCCAGTACTGCTTTGCCTCCACTGGTAGAGAAACATACTTGACAATCTTGATATATACAGAGTGATGGCGAGGAGGTTTGTAGAGCAATGCATGCCATCAGTGCATCACCCCACTGACGTTTCCCTCATCGTCATCATCATCGTGCTCCTCCTCGTGATCGGGGTCCATGGGTTGCTGGTATGAGCTGAGGTCCATGGCCTCGGGGTCACCCGTCTCAGTGCTGCCTGTGTGGCCATCTCCTGAGTCGGTGGCCTCCTCGAAGGGGTCTGCTGTGGTGACCATAACCTTTGGTCCCATGGGTCGAGAGCTAAGAGGGTCTACCCTCCTGCTGGGGCAGTCTCTGGCCCAATGGCCGATACCCTTGCATACATGACAGGTGTTGATACCTGATGGAACAGGGCTTCCTTGCTTCGAGGGTTGGGTGGGATGATGAGGAAGGGGTCGGTTTAGGTTTTGTATAGTTGCTTGTGTAGTTGCTTGTGATGGTGATCGAGCTGGATAAGGTTGAGTGGGTTGTCGGATGGGGATTGAACTTTGATTTGGCCGAGACCCAGTTCTTAGTGGAGGTGACGTGGCATTTGGAAGTGAGTGTCTAGCCGAGGACTGCTGTAGTAGCATCCTCTGTCGATCGATCTCCTCGACCTCTCGATACCACTCCCATCTCTTCCCAGGTGGATTCCTCTCGAACTTCTCCTGTATGCTACGAGTGAGACTACCTCTGAAGAGATCAATCACTAGCTCATTGTCATCTAGGTTGACCTGTCCTTCCAAGTCTCTGAACCGCTCTACATGACGTGTGGCGGCACCAGGAGCATCACTTGTGAGTCTGAGAGCCAACAGCTTGTTGTATGCCTCCATCCTAGCATTGCGTGGGTTGAACTGCTCTGACAGTCGCTCTGTGAAGTAGTGCCAATCATTGAACAACCTTCCTTCTCTAGCTCTATCAATACGGAGCTTGGAGGTCCACCACTCTCTTGCTGTCCCTTCCAGTTGAGCACCCATGTGATTGATCATCCTAGACTGCTCATACACCTGGTTGAACTTAAACCATGCTTCGGCTTCTAGAATGAAGATCTCCATGTCTTGGGGATTGAACTTTGGAAAGGGGGTGGCGATGGGCTTTGACCGGTTAAGCTCTGCCATGATGCTGGTATCCTCCTCGTGGTCCAGGGGGTAAGGGTCCGTCCTAGTCCTGCTGTAGGGGTCCAGCTTAGTCTTGACATATCTTGGCCCAGTAGGTGAAGCATACTTCTCATAGTTGATGTCCTCCTGCTCATCCAGGTTGAATGAGACTGATCGTCTTGGTCGTGGAGCTGGAGTAGGGGTATGTGGGTCTCCTATCATAGACTCATCTCCTCCTCCTGCTTGGTCTTCTGAGTGAGAGAGGTCCATTGTCTCCTCCCTGCTCAGTTGAGCTCGTTGTAATCGTTCCTCTCGATGACCCTGTCTGGTAAGCTCTAGCTGTGCTTCCAATAGAGTGAGTAGTCTATCGAGCTTATTGTTGAGGTCTGGGTCCATCATGGTGATCGTGAGGAGCTGCTTGAACGATCCACTCTAATGTCAGGGGTCTCGCGCCTGAAACCCAGGTCGGTCTGTCGAGATACTTGGTGACTATTAAACTGTGTGACAGCTATTGTCTCGGTATCGGTGACTATCAAGTTGTGCAGTGACAGCAGGTGGCGTTCGTTGTATATACTATCGTAGGTTTCGGCTGACCTCTGTGGACACTCCGTTCAGGGGTAGCTCGGCACGATCAATATCAATGTTATGATGACACCAAGGTCTGGTGTGAGTGTTGATGATGATGAGGTTGATGGTGTTGGTGATGAGATTGGTGATGTCGATGATAATGAGGTTGATGGTGTTGATGATAAGATTGGTGATGTCAATGATAATGAGGTTGATGGTGTTGGTGATAAGGTTGGTGGCGTCAACACGAGTGTCCAGTGTGTTGACTTGATGCTTTGAAGTGATCCCCGGACCGCAGTGGACTACTGCCTTCGGTTCTATCTATATCCGGACCGCTAACCTGCTATGGGTGCCTTCGGACGTCAGGTAGTGGTGATACAACACACACACTACGATGAGGAGCAACCTTGATAGATTGCTGCTATGCTGACTGTAACTAATGAGTACTTGTGTTTCTAAAGTATTGACTAGTTGTATGGTGAGTAGAGTGGATGAGGATCCACTCGACCTATTGATGAGAAAGCATGGTTATATACCTCTTCTCAGCATCGCCAGCGATGCTGCTCCTGCTCTCTCTCCAGAGAGTACCTTCTTCATCGAGTACTGCTCAGGGGCCTCTCCTGCTTGGCACCCCTGTGCCTCTTGAGCTGTGTCGACTCCTTCAACACTGCTCCTCCTCCTCATGACCTGGTGTCGACTCCTTCGACACTGCTCCTCCTCCTTTGATCAGTGACAGTTCCTTTGGCTCTTGTCTCTCGAGCCCCTGGGTGGTAACCATCTGCATGCTCCTTGAGCTTGGTCCTCTTCGTGGCTGTGCCTGCTCCTTGAGCTTGGTCCTCCTCGTGGCTGTGCCTGCTCCTTGAGCTTGGTCCTCCTCGTGGCTGTGCTTGGCCCTCCTTTGCATGTGAGTCCATAGGAGTCCATGGTCTCCATGGAGACTGCACTATGACCATGCTCTCTACTGGTGTCGACTAGGTCTTCGATACCTGTGCTCCTTCCATATGAACCCATGACCCTCCTGCTTCTTGAGCATCCAGGCCCATGACAACTCAGAGCCACTTCATTGTTTGTTAGGGGTCGCTCCCACCCTCTCTGAGTGGTGGGATGTACCCTCTTTCATCTGCTCCTGCTGCCAGTATCCATCTCTTATGCCAAGCTCATCATCATGTAGGACCCCTCCTCATCTGGGTGGCAACATGTCCTTTGCTTGTCCCTTGATGAGGTGTGTGGGTGGGGCTCCCTCTGACTGGTTTCAACAAGATCTGTTGTATTGTCCTGGTTCTACTGATCACAATGAATCCTGCCACAAGGTCTCATTCCTACCAATCCTGATGAATTCTGTCATAGGATGTAGATACTACCAATCTTGCCAAACTTTGTTGGAACTCCTCAGTCACCTGATCTTGCGATTCTTGCACATGACCTCTCTTCCTTCGTGTCCCATTCTTCGGCGCAGATGGTCCTATGACACCTAGAGCGGCTGCTGCTATGCTGAGGACTTGAATCGGTGTGAAGGCGTTGAAGGCGGGATCGGAAGCGCCTGGCCTGCGAGGGTGGGAAAGGTGGTGTCAGTGGTTGTGCACCTAAAACCTGATATCTGTAGTAGAAACACATCTATTACAGATCTTATCAAGATATGTGGTAAAATGCTGTTTATTATTATTCTTGTTGAGATCTGTCATAGAGGGCTCCTATGACTTTTCTTGCTTGAATATGTGATAGCTTGATTGTTATTGCAGGTTTTGGCTGACTGCTGTGGACACTCTGTCCAGAGGTAGCTTGGCATGATCAATAACTAGAGTTACATGGTGAGCACGAAGGTCTGATGCTAAGGATGTTGCTTCAACACAAGTGTCCAGTGTGTCAATGGAGTGAGAGGTGATCCCCAGACTGCAGTGGACAACTGCCTTCGGTTTCTAATGTTTGAGAGAGCCAGACTGCAGTATGAACCACCTTTGGTGTTGATCGATATCCAGACTGCAGTTGATACCACCTTTGGATGATGTCAATGAGCAGTGATACAACACACATGCTATGTAGATGCAATGCTCTGCAATTGCACTGTTGACAAAATACTAATGTATACTTATGTGAAAGCTATAACTAGTAATGTATGGTGTAGAGTGGATGGATCTCCACTCAACTACCATGACAAGAAGGTAGGACTATATATAACATCTTCACAGTGTCACCTGCAACTCTGCTCCAACTCCCTCTCCAGGGAGTACCTTCTTCATCAAGTACTGTATCAGAGTTTCTACTGTTGTGTCTCTTCTTTGTCAGCCCCTGTTTCTCCTGCTCCTGAGTCATGGGGATTCAACACCACCTCATCATGGATAGGGGTTGCCCCCACTTCATCCAAGTGGAAGGTGCCCTTCCCTTCATCATGCTCTCCTGACAAAAGGGCTCACCCTTTTGTGCTGCCTTCATTGTCATATAGGGTCCCTACTTCATTGGATGTCAAGCCCCTTCCTTATCTGCTGCTCATCATCATGAGATTGGTGATAGATGCATCCTCAAGCCAGTCTCCATGAAATCTGTCATTATGAGTGCAGTCCTACAGATCTTGACAAACTCTGTAATAAAACTCTGCTTCTGCCAATTGTAAGCGGTCATGCGCCTGAAACCAGATTGGGGGCTTCCAGTTGATTTCGGTGAGATCAACTGAGTAAGCCTTATTTGTTATGTTTTGGGTGAAAGTAACCAGATAGATGAGTTCTGGTAGGTTTTGGCTGACTGCCTTGAACACTCCATACAGAGGCTATGTGGCACATCCATAACATGTTGAGGTGAGAGTGATATCAGACACAACTCTCCTATTGCAGCATGAGTGTTCATAATGCTAGATGCTCTTGTCATTGTCTGGACTGCAATAAGACTTACTGTCAGCGGTCGCGCGCCTGAAACCTGAGAACAGTAGTAGTATCAGTACTATCACCAATTCTGTCGAATTATGCGACAGCACTAATGGTATTACGATTCTTAGTGAAATATGCGACAGAGCCTTCTCTGTCACCTTTCTCGCTAGAATCTGTAGTTGTATTATCATTGTGATAGATTTCGACTAACTGCTGTGGACACTCCATCCAGAGGTAGCTCGGCACGATCAGACTACGATATGACTCTAAATGAGCTTGATGTTGACACCAATGGTCTGGTGTGAGTATGGGTTGATGACACCGACATGAGTGTCCAGTGTGTCAGCTAACGCTTGAAGTGATCCCCGGGCTGCAGTGGACGTCTGCCTTCAGTTCTATTGTTATCCGGACCGCTGGTTGCTGTGAACTGCCCTCGGACGCCAGGAAACGGTGATACAACACACGTGCTTTGTTGAGGAGCAATCTGTTGATTACTTCTATGCTGACTGTGTACTAATGATACTTATTGCTTGAAGTAATACTAGTACGGTTGATGAGTGTAGAGTGGATGGATCCACTTGACCATTCATGACAAGAAGGTATGCCTATATATCTCTTCGCAGCATTGCCAGTGACACTGCTCCTGCTCTCTCTCTCCAGAGAGTACCCTCTTTGTCAAGTATTGTACAGGTGTCTCCAAGGAGGCACCTCCTCTGTATCAGACCTTGTCCCTCCTGTCTTACCTGAGCTGTGTCAACTTCATTGACACTGCTCCTCTTCTTCATGTCCCTTTCACCAGTGTCCTTTACACAGCTCTCCTTCTTCTGACCAGCGACAGTTCTCTTTTACTCCTGTCTTGTGGGCCCCTGAGTGGTAACCATCTGCATGTCACTTGAGCTTGGTCCCTCTCATGTGTGAATCGTCATATGGACAACCTTGCTACCGATCTCCGCGGAATCTGCCACAAGGTCTCGCTTGTCACAGATTCTGGTGGGATTCGTGATATCGACGATACTCATGCTGATTTCGCTGTGATCTGCCATAGAGCTGATTCTACTGCCGATCTCGGTGAACTCTGTCGCAGCCCCGACGATCTACCCGATTCCACGATTCCTGCGCTACCTTCATATGAACTTCGGTCCTTCCACGTTCTGCGCACTCAGGCCCATGACACTTACCACCTACAAATGATGGGAGGTACTGGACTGCTAGTGTGTTGACACCACCTACAGTAACTGACTGGACTGCAGATGTTGAGCAACACTGCCTACAGTGATGAACTGGACCACAGGTGTTGAGGAACACCACCTACAGATGATGTCTGACAGTAATACAACACACATGTTTGAGATGTCATTGCAATGCTGTGCTATTGCAATGATATGAGTCAAGTAAGGAGTATGTATGATAAAGAGTAGAGTGGATGGGGATCCACTTGCATGCTTATGGCAAAGTGATAGTATTTATGTGTCTGGAGGTGCCACCTATGGCACTGCCCCTGCTCCTATGGAGGAGTGTTCCTGTCCTCCTCATACTCCTCTTCTCCTTGGCTGTGTGTCAATCTTCCCAACACTGCCCATCCTCCTCATGGTACCGATGCCAGTTCCCTCTGTCTGGCTCCCTCTTCTCTCAATCCATGGCCATTCCCTTGGCCCCTATCTGATGGCCCTCCCTGACCATGTGACCATCCTTATTGTGACTGGTCCTGCGCAATCGAGAGCACATCCCCCTGTGTGGTAACTGGCTGCTTGCACTTGAGCTCGGTCCTCTTCTTGGCTGAACTTGGACCCCCTCTTTGCATGTAAAACCTTTCTTGTCATCCTAACCTTGCCCCTTGACAATGGAGACCTTCCCTACCAAGTCTCCTGTTGTTTCCTTGTAGCCCATCTGCTTGTTCCATTCTGAGGGGAGCTTCTTGCAGTGTGTTTGGCAAAATCAACTGGGTAGTTGTAATCTGGTTGATTTCAGCAGAATCAACCAGACAGACATGATGTGGTTGTTGTTGGTGAAATCAACTGGAAACCCATGATCCAGTTGATTTCACAATTTCGAGCACACAAAGCTCCTCATATCTCATTTCGGATCTTCCTGCGCAGCTTCTATGACACCAATCCTGACGAGTTCTGTCATAGAGCCCCGGATCCTACTGATCTTGCTGAACCCTGTCAGAACTCTCGTTTAGCCTGATTCACGATTGCTGCACCTAGTTCCTTCATAAGAAACCCGTCCTTCCCGCGCATGCTTCCGGCCCCATGACACACCACTCCAATGAAGCAGGGGGGCCGACTTGATGATGAATCAGAGCAGGGGGGTGGGCAAGATGAGTAAGGGTGCGAGCCGCCACTCAGATGAAGTGGGAATGGCCCCTGTTGCTGATGAAGCAGCAGAGGGATTGTCCATTTGCAGGAAACAAGGGAAGCGGTGCCAACGAGCAGCATCGTAAGGCAGCATCTTAAGGTGGACAGGACTGATAGGAAGGACAAGGGGAGGAGGGGCAGTGTTGGAGGAGACCCCCTTGGGCAGAAGCAGTGTCACAGGTGACATTGCGAGAATGGCTATATAATCATGCTCCTCGTCATAGTAGTTGAGTGGATCTCCATCTGCTCTACAGCTTACCATACTAGTTATAACTTCATCATAAGTATACATTAGTAGTTTCCATCAAACAGTTGCAATTGCAGAGCATTGCATCTATCTAGCACATGTGTTGTATCACAAGCTACTTGGCATTGTCACCGGAATGGAATTCAGTTCTCCAAGTCTGGAGCATTTGGGAGTGAAAATGCTTATACTTCAGTGTTGTGTGAATCGGGTACACCAGTTAAGGGACTAGCTGGTGTAGTGGTTTTGCTGCTCACTATGTTTCGGTTTGGTTACCCGATTCCTGACCCATGACAGGCGTCATCCGAAGGCAGTCCATTCTGCGGTCCAGATAACGATCGACACCAAAGGCAGTTCACACTGTGGTCTGGCTCTCTCAATCATAGAATCAAAGGCAGTTGTCCACTGCAGTCCAGAGATCATTACCACTCAGTTGACACCTTGGACACTTGTGTCAGCACAAGCATTTCCACACCAGACCTTGGTGTCAGTATAATGTTCCTATAGCTATTGATTGTGCCAAGCTACCTCTGGATGGATTGTCCACAGTGGTCAGTCAAAACCTGCAATAACAATCAAGCTATCACATATTTGAGCAAGGAAAGTCATAGAAGCCTTCTATGACAGATCTCAACAAGAACAGTAATAAATGGCCTTTTACCACATATCTTGATAAGATCTGTAATAGATGCATTTCTACTACAGATATCAGGTTTTAGGCGCATGACCGCTGACACATCCTCTCATTGGTTTCTGCAAGATCTGTCATATGATCACAATACTACTGATTCCAGCGAGCTTTGCTGTAAGATCCCGCTTGTACTGATTTGGGTGAGATCTGTTGTAGAGCCTCTTTACTACCAAGCTCAATGAACTCTGCTGTAAACCCTCATTTTGCCCGATCCTGCGATTCCTGCGCCACTCCTCATATGCTTCCAGATCCTCCTGCGCATCCGGTCCTATGACACGAGGGACGTGCATGCATGGTTGATGTGTGGTGACCAATCAGGAACCGTCCATAGAAGAAAACGCTGAGGCTCAAGGAAGACAACGCCAAGGCACCGCATGATACATTCAGTTAGTAGGGTGATGACAGATTTTCTCATGGGTGGAACAAAGTATATATATGAGCGATCCTGTAGTCCTAGTTCACAGAAATCTTAAGGATTGCAGTTACTATATACACCTGTGCGATAAGAGCTAGAACGTAGCTCGACAAAGCGGTGTCATGCAGCTTCAATCTTCAACTCTGCTGCCTACAAAATTTCGGCTTTTCGTCGTCGCTAGAAATATCCGAATTGCCTCCACATCAGAAGTATTCGCCGACATCCATGCTCCGTTGTTCGACGGCAATCAGTCAGCGGCAGCGGCAACCATTTATATAACAAGCTGCTCAGCCTCCACCTTTCCTGTTAGCCATCACCCTTGTACTATCGACTCATCCATCTCTGCAAAATGGTTACAGCACTAGTCTCAGGAGGCAACCGTGGTCTAGGCTACGGTATAGTCCGTCGTCTTGCCAACGAGTTCCCCTCCTCAACCCTCTACTCCCCCTCCTCTTCCGAAAAGCTAACCATCTATCTCGGCTCCCGAGACCTCAGTAAAGGAGAAGATGCCAAGAAATCAATCCTCACCGATCTCTCGACCACCACTCGCGACCGAGTCAACATCGAAGTTCGACAACTCGACACCTCCTCCCACTCCTCCATCTCCGCCCTCGCCTCCGAACTCAGCCCCGGCCTTAACATCCTCATCAACAACGCCGGTATCGCCCTCGAAGGTTTCGACGGTGACGTAGCAAAGCAAACCGTCGCTACCAACTACTACGCAGTCCAAGACATGATCAAAACCATCCCCGTCAAAGATGGAGGTCGGATCATCAACATTGCTTCCTTCGCAGGTGTATTGCGCAACTTTGGCGATAACATCAGGGATAGATTCAGGGAGAGTAAGACGGTCGGAGATGTAGATGGGTTGATGAAGGAGTTTGTTGATGTTGTCAACGATGGGACGTGGAAGGAGAAGGGCTGGAAAGGTGCGGCTTATGCGACGAGTAAGAGTGGTGTGATTGCGTATACGAGAGCACTTGCGAAGCAGTATGAGGGGGAGGGAAAGAAGGTGAGCGTCTTCAGCTGCTGTCCTGGTTATGTCAATACTGATATGACGAAGGGGAAGGGACCTAAGACGCTGGATCAGGGTGCGGAGACTCCTGTCTATCTCGCTTTGCACAGTACTGAGGCTAGACCAGGAGAGTTTTGGTCCGAGAAGAAACCTGTGGATTGGGAGCTGAAGAACGGCGGCAGCTAGGATTCTCATTCATTCCACTAGTTAACGTGCTTTGTATTGCTACTGATGCTAAATTTCACTGATCGAAACCACTAAGATCGCCATGAGCTACAAAGGGAAGTGTTGCCGAAAGCTCCCTAGACGACGGTTGAGCGTTGTATGGCAAGCTTTCTGGCCGTTGCAATTGCGACCTGAGCTTCTGAGCATATCGAACCAAATCCTCCCTTGCCTCGTCCTCCGTCTTCCTCTCTCCTTCTTCCCGTATAGTAGTCTCTGCCTCTGCCAAACGCCCCACAATCCCAGCAGGCAGCCCTTGCGGCGGCCGAAAGCCTAAACATACCAAAAAGTGCTCCACACTCCCCACCCTAGAGCTTCTCGGCTTAGCAATATCCACTTTATCAAAAAATGTTCTCAACTGATCCGCCAATAATGCACCTGAAGTTGCAGGCCTAGCTCCTTTCAGATCCATGTTCCCCAACGAAGCGCTCAATCCGGCTTGTGGATGCTGGGTGAAGATTTTAGCTACGAATGTGCCTCCCACTTCGAGCAGGCGGAATGTGATCTGGGTCGCAGCGAGAAGGAGTTGCGATTGCAGGTATTCGTCGAGATCGTGAAGGCCGGTTACGTCCGGCGCGCCATCGCAGACGATGAGTTGCGCTCGGGCTTTGGCTTTGGCTTTGGAGTTGGAGGTGGAGGAGCAAGGGCCATTAGAGAGAGCGCGGCTGACAGAATCGGCGGTTGCGGGGGTAGTGATGTCACCAATGATCTGTGTTACACCGGGGAGTGGGGCCATGGCTTGTAAGTCTACTGCGACGAGGTGCGAGCCGGGAACGGATGCAAGGCGACGAGAGAGGACTTGAGACCACGACCCAGGTGCTGCGCAGAGATCGACCACTCGTGTTGGCGTGGGAAAGCCCTTGCCTGACGATGTCGAGGGTATCGATGTTGAAGCAGCATTGTTTGAAGTTGAGGAAGAAGCTTGGGCTGGATCGAGAGCATAGTCCTCCGCACTGCCAAGGAAACCATACTGTTCATTGAGATGGAGCAGCTTGTACGCTGAACGAGCACGATAGCCCTCAGACTTTCCCTGACGGTAGTAGATGTCTCGCCTGTCTTTTGTTGACTTTCCCATATTGTATGCCGGCTGTATCGGTAGTTTGGTGTAGGTTGATGTTGGTTGTGGACAAGATGATCTTTCGAAGGTTGCTTGCAGCTTTGCATGCAGAAAGCGTTCACAAAAAGTCACAGCTTCCAGATTTCTTCTTTTCGCACGAACGAAATTTCTCCACGCTCCAAAGCCTCCACTCAACTTGTCTTAAATTTTGCTTGGACCCTTCTTCCCTCATACAACCCGATCATCTTTCCTTCCCCCAACCTCATCAGCGGGCAACGGCGACAAGATGGCACCGCCAACAAAGTTCACAAAGAAGCAATTGGTCAAGCACCGAACATCAGCAACCCCAACCAACGGTAAGAAGTCCGGCGGCTTCCAAGTTGGACCCAAACATCTCCCCGATGGTGCCTACCTCGGCAAGCACAAGCGCATCAAGGCTGAACTCATCCACAAAGCCAAAGTCAAGAAAGGATACTACAAGCAGCTCAAGCAAGATAAATCCGGCGGCAGCGGGACAAATACTAATGCAGCACCGTTAGGGACACGTGGTAGGGCAGCAGCAGCACCAAACGATGATGGGCCTGCTCTGCCCTTTACCTTGCCAAAAGACCAGGGGAGGTTCGCGCTAGAAATTGGAGGAGAGGGTGATAATGCAGGTTTGGACTTGGTATTGTCGGGAAGTAAGCAGGATCTGAGGCCAAGAAGAGAGGGTAAGGGAAAGAGCAAGAAGCCCTTGCCGCATCCTCTGCCAAAGCCGGTTCAGAAGGAATCGGGGGAAGAGAAGGTGAGGGATACGAGGAGTAAAGAGGAGAAGGAGCAGGAAAGGTTGAAGAAGAACAAGATGTGGAATAAGCCAAGCGGTAGTCGTACAGGACAGGCAAGAGGTCAGCCAAATTTGGGAGCAAGGATGGAAGTTATGCTTGACAAGATTCGCAAGTCCACCAATTAGAGTACATCAGCTTAGACTGGTTTCATAGTATATCCCGAGACACCTCTGCTCTGCAGAGAGTCTTCACACCATTCACAATCACAGCCACAATGCACGATGTCATACTTCACGCCATTTTCGTGTCTTTTGTGAAATGTCCGCAGTACCCGCCTGTGTATGCTACTGGATTGTGTGGGGATGGATCTATTGCAGCGCCCACCTGTTGAAAGTCGAATTTCAGAGAAGAGCAAGTAAAGTCAGCTCGGTGCCATCGACCTTGTATATGTCTGAATCTTCCTGTCACACTCACATCTTGACAACGAAGAGTTCTGCGGGCATACCAAATTGGACCTGGCACTTGACAATCTCGAGACCAGCTTCCTTGAACACCCTCTCGTAAGCCTTTGTTGACCGAGTGATGCTATGGTCCTCGTCATCGTACCATACACGCTCAGTACCGTCTGTCTCTTCGCTACACACGTTTTCCTTGACGCCGATGATTCCTCCCGGTTTGAGTGCCGCTTTCGATCGTTTGAGGAAAGCTATCAAATCCTTATCCGAGAGATGCTGCAAACACCATTGAGCCCAGACCAGATCATAGGTCATGGGCTCTACTTTCGATCCTGCCACGCCACCTTTCTTTACATCTGTTGCTGGTAGTTCTGTGCTGAACTGCTCATCATCGACAGATACAGTAGGCGGGATCGTATTGCTTCCCTCTACTGGCTGTGCAGTAGAGTACGGTCGGCTAGGTTCAATATCTTGCAATGTTGAGCAATGGAAATGGACCGCTTTGCGCGCTTGGAAAGGAGACTTGCTGGGGGGTGTTTGGATCTGAGGCCATGAAGAAGACTGCTTCTTTGCTTCGAGAAGAAACTTGGCGACAGGTTCGACCATGTGAACCTCGTCAAAGATCGGAATCAGACTGTGCTGAGTGACCCTTCCTACACCTGCACCGCAGTCGAGAGCCCGAGTGTGAGCTTTGCCCTTACCACCTCGTTCTGCTACTTTACCCTTCTTCCATTGGAATGGTGCGACGTTAGACGATGCAGGAGCGCAAAAGGAGAGATGTGGTAGTACGCTAAGGAGGAAGGATCGAGAGCCTAGTGATTCGACGCGAGAGACATGACCAAAACCGCCAAGGACGCCTTCGACGCTGGCTTCGACGCCTTCCCAGTACTGTACGCCGCGCTTGACGTCGGGGTTGGGGTGGACGACACGGATAGCTGACATTGTTGATGGTATGATGGGGTGACGAGGAGGACGTGAAGCAGTTGAAGGAATCAGAAGAAAGTCAAGTCTTCAGGGTCCAATTCAAAAATCGAGACTTTCGGCTCCGTGGAAGGAGGGACCTAACATCATATTGCTGCAGAAAAAAAGACACGAAAATGAGGCCACAAAAAGACCAAGAAAAAAAGCCTAATTTTTTTGGATTGGCCGGCGGCTCGGACAGAACTCTGCCGTCAGACGGATAAGAGAAAGGCACATACATGGACTAGCTGGGGCAACGATGGTCGTACAGAACGTTGGAGAGCAAGTGCAAGCGAGCAAGAGCGGAGTTCTGTCTCCCCGCTCCTAACCAGACTTTCGTGCATGAAGTCGGCCGTGCAAAGCTCTCTTTTACCCCGCATGGTCTCGTCTAGTGCCCGTCTGTTGTCAACCCAACAACCCTAAAGGACGTTCAGGCACAAGGACCTTTAGTGCACACGTCGTACAAGCTTCTGACCATCAAGTTTCTGCCCATGTCGAGCTGCCTCCGTGCGTGCTCTGTTGCCTCTCACAAGCGCTCACGCCACGCACGTTCGCTGCCTAATCCCCTTCCAGCGGCAGAGCTCGGATGTCGTTCGTGTCCACTCTGACACTCACACAGATTGTGAGACTCTTGTTCCGCCGGCGCTGTGTCAAGACCGGCAACTGCTCTGTCTGACCCTTTTACGCTCAGACGCTCCACCTTAGATTGCCCTGCAGAGCTCCTTTCCGTCTGATAGATTATGGCCTTCAGCTCAGCGTCGCTTCCCTTGCCACCACCATCACAAGGTCTGCAACTCTCCATTGAGCTAGCGGCTCTCATTACAACCACAACAACTATGAAAGACAGCAAGACGCCACCGCTGAGTGATGGCTCTAGCGCCTGCTCCAAAGACAGCCCTTTCGAGTCCACTCCCACTTCTCTACTGCCCAACTATACCGACGCCACTGGCAGCGCTGCTCGTCCATCCAATCAGGTTGATCAGATCGCGCTTACACTCAAGAATGCCTCACTCAAACTCTGCGATGGTCCCGGTCTGACCCCAGATGAGCGTAAAGAGGTGGACAAGGCACTTACAAAGGGCGTCCAGATTGCATTATCCAGCGCCAAGTTGGACATCTGCAACCTCGATGACCTCAAGGCTCATCTCAAGCTGCTCAACCTCTTTGATCGGTTACGACAGCACGTTCAGGATGGCACCGAGTACTTTGACTATCCTTCCTGCCAACAGGCTCAAGATGATGGACACATTGGCGCACCCGGCATTGATGCGCCACCTCCGCCTTACGCCCCCACTGCAGAATTGCCTCCTCCCACAAACGCCAAATCCGGCAGAAAGCCTACGTAGCAAGAAGCTGAAGAGGCCGCTGCCGAGCTCAGCGAACAGCTCAAGCGCGAACATCGATGGAACATCTTTCTCAACCGCGCCGCCTACCGTATGGAGATCTGGTTTAATCAGATACTCGTCTCCGACGCTGTGAACAAGCACTTTGACCATGTCATCCTGGTCAAGGAGAAGGCGGCCTTAAGGGAATCCAAGGCCAAAGAGATCGATGGTGAAGACGTCGAAAAGTTGCTCGAAGGGCTGCTCGACAACGCCCATGGTTTGCCAGACTTTGCTTTACCTCCTCTCGACGTCGCTCTCATGCTTCACTCCTACCACCTCAACCCGCTTGCCAAGGAAGAAGACGACCAGCGCCTCAAGTCACGCTTGCCACTCGGCTTCTTCGACTACCCACTCCATCAGCTGGCCCAACGAGCCCACCCCGATCTCCCCATCCTCACCAACATCGACCCAGCCAAAGGCCACTGAGAGCAACATGTCACATCGACACGCACGAAGCAGCCGTGGAACCTTAGCCTTCAGCCTCCTCCCGAGCACCCAACCCATGCTCAAGAGACCAACGGCGGTGACATCTTTGGTCTTCGCGTAAAGTGTCCTCGATGCCACAAGACTCAGTTCGTCCCCTGGACTGGTCAAGGCAAGGATCCTTCGAAGCTGGGCATTGGCGAGCTGGGCTGTGAGCGTGTCTGCACCCCCGTTGAAGGACCAGACGGCTGCACACAGCTCATCTCGGCTGACCACCTCCAGCTCGGTCGCTTCCTTCAAGACTTCAAACGATGGAGCAAGAGTCCCGGAAGGAAGTTTGAGGGCAAGCAAGTTTTCTTCATGGCTGGCACCATGCTTGGCTCAGCTCATGCTCAGTATTCCTCCCGAGATTATTTCGGCGAAGCTCTGTTGACGCCGATTTTCCTGCATGAAAAGCCTGCCGTAGCAATGCCACACAAAGATCGCCATGTCGCCAAAGGTGCCTCATTGCAGGATATCGAGCAAGTTGGTGTGCAGTGCAACTACAGCATGAAGACGTTCCGCGCATGGTTCGAAGTCCGATGGATGGGCAACGCCATCACGCCGAAGCTCAAGTCTTATGAAGAGAAGTCCAGGCAAATGGCTCGCATCGCCATGATGATGCGCAGCTACCAGAACGGTAACGCTGCTGCTTACGGCGAGGGGCTCTGCGATGTCGTCGATGGCGTCAAGCGTCAGACGAGCTTCAATCTAGAGATGGTAAAGCTCGGATGGTCTACGCATCTTGCCTTGCTCGATCAGGGCGCCCTGGACGATGTCCTTCTGCGCACTTGATCCGCTATCATAAGTTCCTCGAACTCATGGCTAGTGTCGCCACATTGCTCACACCCGCCTTGGACATCGATCTCTGCTGGCACACGCATCAGCTCAAATCCAGGTATTACAGTCATTGCTTCACGCTCGTCGGCCGGTTTGTCAACCACTATGATGCCATTGAGACGGGAATTTTAAAGGTTGCTTTTGATCGCACTGCTTCACTCTGGAAGGACAGGTATGGTCAGCCTTACTCCATGTGTGGCTGTATCTACAACGATTCTGGTGCGCTGAAGAAGCTCAAAGGTCTGCTTGGTAGTGGCAATAACAGCAGTGGCAAGGAGGCGAGCGAGTCTGCGCCAACCAAGTCTGGTTTCGCTTCGCGCTTGAAGGGAAAGTGGCGTGCTGCCAAGGGTCTTCCCGGCGACAAGCCACAGGATGATGCTACTGCTACTACTGTCTGGCAAGACGCAACCCACCCCAGTGCTCACTCGGCCGTGATCGTCAAGGAAGAGGAGCATCGTCACGATAAGCTCCGAGAGCTCATGGTGAAAGAGTGGGCGCAAGGAAAGCGCCGCGAAGGTCATGAGAGCGCATTTGTGTAAGTCATCCCTCTTTTCTCATCCCTTTGCCTCTTCTTCTCTTTGCATGTTCCTGCATCGCTATCAGTGGGACGCGAGGGAACACCACCCTGGTCTGCAACTGTGTACTGACCTTTCTCGTATCTTTCCCCTTATCTCTTTGTTTTTGTGATTTGCAGATTCGGCTACGACACCCCCGGACTATACCCTTTCTACTACAGCCCACTTTACAGCACTCATTACGTCAGTCGAGAATCCACCGGCGACACCACACACAACGCTTACAGCATGTACGGCGTCTACGGTATGATGGCCGTTAGTGGGCTTGGCATGGGCATGGCTGCGGGTGGTGGTATGGTCGCCTTTGGAGGAGCTGGTTGTGGCGGTGGAGGCTCCTGATCAGGATCGTGCCGACACCGAACTTCGCCTTTTGCTCTGCTGATTGTGTGTAATTCTTTGAATTCGATACCCGCATGCGCTGTGTATTCTGGTGCTCAATGTTTGCCGGAGTGGAATCAATCGAAGTGACACATTGGGCCTGATCTTGGCTGTCGAGTTCACTTCACGGCGACGCGTGGGGACAGTACGTCTTGTTGGAAAAAGACCTGGTGCAGGACCGCATTGTCGATGATCGTTCAACTCTGGTACATGATGAAGCTGCGAACGCTCACCCCCTGTAATGAAACGAGTTAAGGGTCTTCAACTGTGGGGACGCTTCGGAGGACCGTCGCGGAGGGGCAACGGCTTGGTTACGCGAGTGGGTTATTTCAGCATACCCACCACCCCTTTCTGCATCGTGAACCCACGGTGATGATAGTGGCGTAGGCCTTCTTAGATTACAACTCACTTGTGCACGGCCCCAAATCATCTTGTTCAGCCCCCAGCGCACGATCCGAGCTCAAAGCAATTACTGAAGTCCGCACGCAAGAGTACCTCTGACACTAATTCTCATGTGGCATTGTGCTTCTCCACAGCCAACACAATTCGGTGGGACGAAGTTGCAAATAACAAGGTATTATACTCTGTCTTCGGAACCACGATCAAACTCTCTTACCACAGACGTATGACTTCTTGATAATGCTTGTATTTTCTATAAAGGGATGTGTACGAGCATATATATACCTTATCACTGTCTTCGAACATGTTGGAGTGAGATGAGTCCAGTGGTGCTACTGAGTTGTCGCCTTCTGCAATACTCCTAAGCCGCTGCTATGGCAACCATTAAGTGCCTCATTGGCTGCATCGCTTATGCACGATCTCGGTTCCTTGGTGCCTCGGCTAGAACTCATGAATCTCGTTTGGAATGCCGACGCATCTTCAACTGACGACCAAGAGTCGGATCTCGGTGGATCTCGCATGTGGGTGGATGTACTAGTGGCTTGCCAACGGACATGGCTCTGTGCCTGTTCCAACGTGAAGTGGGGCTGGTTGATGAAGGCTGTGAAAAGGTGGCTGGCTTGGTATGAAGGGTGTTTCCGACGATGGGCTTTACATAGAGGGACCTCTAAGGATTGAAAGCAAGCTTCGTCTTACTGTGGCATCAGGCCTCTATGTCACGCAAGATGGTGGGGACGAGACACGAAGCAATGATACACGATGCTCATCAGCTAGCGCAAGAGTCAACTTACTCTCACGACCAACTCGAACAACAGTCACCGAGCGACTGAAAGATACTTAAAGCGACGATCTGGCAACTTTGTTGAAGTCTTTTCCTCACCTTTCCAACCATTCTTCCCCTCCCATCAGCCCTACTGCCCCTACTCACAACCTTAAACCCTAGACCCGAAACCCTTTCCCACCTTACAAATTCTTCTGTCAAGATGAAGTTCGCTTTTGCCTCCCTCCTTGTTGTCGCTGCCGCGCTTCTCCCCGCTGCTCAGGCTAGCATGGACATCACCTTCACCGCCGACAAGTTCGCTCGTCGTGCTGAAGAGGCTGCCCCCGTTGCTGTTAAGCCTCCGCGCAACCCCGAATTCGGTATCTTCCTCAATAACAGATACCTTCTCCACAACGGCGAGGGCTTGCCCAAACCCAAGGACGTCAAGGAGACTTACCCCGAGTGCAAGTGGAGGAAGTACGGCCAGTGGGCCTGGTTGGACGAGAACAACGTCCAATGCTACCTAGGACCTTCGTATAAATATCACGCCTACTCGCCCGCTAAGAACTTTGACCCAGTGCCCTCTATCCAGAGAGGAGCATGTGCCGACACCGCCAACCCCCAAGACTTCCCTCAAGGTATTCCCCGATACACCATCAGTGTTCCTTACCTCTACTTCAACAACTTCTACGACCGTCGTTGCAAGGTTCGCGCTCTCGTCAAGGTTCCCCAGACCGACAAGGAGAAGGAGCACTGGATCCAGGCTTGGGTTGTCGAACACAACGGTGGTAACTGGAGCACCAAGAGCGGTGATCTTGGCCCTAATGGTCCTCAGGAGGGTATCATGCTCGACACCAAGCTGTACCCCAAGTTCCTCAACTCGGGAGACAAGGACATCGGCGTTCTTCCCAACAAGGTCGAGTGGTTCTTCCTCGACATCAACACAATTGGGTAGGCTTCTCGTAGCATTCCCTGTACTATGTCTGCGAGCATCTTCATGCGTAGCAGGTAATTTGCTTGCGCTTGTACTCGCGCCCCTCCTTCACCTTGGGTTTAAAGTTCCATCCTTATTTTTCGTTTCTGCGTTTCAGCTGCCGAAGCTAGACGAGTTTCGATTTCTTCATGATCCGTTATTCTGCACGGGTTGTGTTCGAGGCTTTGATTTCGCGACAGATTTGGCATAAGTGACAAGGTCTTGACCTTTTTCACTTGCGCTTCACTCCTTTTGTTGTTCCCCTTTTGTTTTCTTTCAATCTCACTCAACTCCCTCCTTGTGTCTTTGCCCGACCTCAGCAGTCTGTTCATGTCTTTGCTTGTCTCGTGCCTTTCTCTGAGAACATCGACACACTCAGGGCAGGGCGCACATGCGATTTGGATGCTCGATTCCCATCAATACTATGAGTACGGCATTTTCCCAAGGATTCAGATCAGATACGCCAAACTTGTTTGTCCCGCGCTTAACCCCCAGAGGGGGGCAGGACCCCATGCCTCGGGCCCCGTGATAATGCTATGTGATGCTACATCTGGGAAGATAAAGGAGTCCTACGGATAGTCTTGATAAGGTTAATCCAACAGTTGTGCAAGGCTGTCCCTTGAGGTGGAATGTACGAGGTGTTGATGAGATTGGAGTCTGCAGGAGGGATCACCCTGCTGTAGAGGTTGTTTGAGTCGGCTTCCCAGAAAGGGTAAACGTCGGGTCCTCGATTGGTCGCCCTTTCGGTACGAGCATGGTTGGAAAGAGTGACCGATGACATTGTGCAGTGAGGATAAGGAGGTGTTGGGGGGTATGCGCTGCTTGCAAATACCATATATATATACCTTCGAAGCTGGATAGAACTCAGCCAAGTTTCTGTCGATTCTGGCCCATGCCTGCCTTCTTGTGCTGTTTGAGGCGCCACGCCAGCATTTGCTTTGGAACAGCCGAAGAGCTCAAAATTCTCGCAAGCTCAGCACAGCATCAGATATGCTGATCAAAATGACTCAGCCATTGACTGTGGTTGCAATGAGATAAGTGGCCAGGGGCTATACCTTTACAGCCGAGAGGGGGAAGCGAGGAGCATATAGCCAGACAGGCCATCTGAAAGAGTCAAGTTCAGAAGGACATGATACATAGTGACGCTAGCCATGTGTGACACTCGTCTCCGTTTTCCGATGGGGTTTGAAAGTACCACCAGGAAAAGTGCTTAAACTCATGAAGGGATTATATGGTTTGAAGCAATCAGGGCAGGAGTGGAACACTGAGTTGGATTTGCACCTCAGGAGTGTCACAGGACCTGCGCAGAAGATCGGGTCTGTGCACGAAGATCCGAGATGAAGATGAAGATGTGGTGCACCAAGAAAGGTGCATGAAATGTGACATCAACCATAAGACAGGTTTCCAGTTGATTTCAGGGAAATCAACCACATTGGGGGTTTCTGATCAGTTTTGCTGAAATCAAGTGGAACATGCTCATTGGGTTGATTTCACCAAAACACATCACACAAAGCTTCATCAGTATGGAATGGACCAACAGGACACAAGGAGGCAATGGGAGACTTGGTAGGAAAGGCCTCTATCATCAAAGGTAGGATAGGACACAAGGAAGGGTCTCATGTGCAAAAGGGGGTCCAAGTTTAGCCAAGAAGAGGACCAAGCTCAGGAGCACACAGCAGGTTACCACATAGGGGGACATGCTCTTGATTGCATAAGAACCAGTCACAAGGTAGACTACATGGATGAGAACAGTGTCAGGGGTCTCGCGCCTGAAACCCAGGTCGGTCTGTCGAGATACTCAGTGACTATCCAACTGTGCAACAGCTATTGTCTCGGTATCGGTGACTATCAAGTTGTGCAGTGACAGCAGGTGGCATTCATTGTATATACTATCATAGGTTTTGGCTGACCTCTGTGGACACTCCGTTCAGGGGTAGCTCGGCACGATCAATATCAATGCTTTGGTTATGATGACACCAAGGTCTGGTGTGAGTGTTGATGATGATGAGGTTGATGTTGTTGGTGATAAGGTTGGTGAGTGTTGATGATAATGAGGTTGATGGGGTTGGTGATAAGGTTGGTGATGTCAACATGAGTGTCCAGTGTGTTGACTTTGATGCTTGAAGTGATCCCTGGACCACAGTGGACTACTGCCTTTGGTTCTATCTATATCTGGACTGCTAACCTGCTATGGGGCACCTATGGACATCAGGTAGTGGTGATACAACACACACACTACGATGAGGAGCAACCTTGATAGATTGCTGCTATGCTGACTGTAACTAATGAGTACTTATGTTTCTAAAGTATTGACTAGTTGTATGGTGAGTAAAGTGGATGAGGATCCACTTGACCTATGATGATGAGAAAGCATGGTTATATACCTCTTCACAGCATCACCAGTGATGCTGCTCCTGCTCTCTCTCCAGAGAGTACCTTCTTCATTGAGTACTGCTCAGGGGCCTCTCCTGCTTGGCACCCCTGTGCCTCTTGAGTGGTGTCGACTCCTTTGACACTGCTCCTCCTCCTCATGACCTGTGTCGACTCCTTCGACACTGCTCCTCTTCCTCAGGACCTGCCTGCTAGTGTCCTATACACTGCTCCTTCTCCTTTGACTGGTGACAGTTCCTTTGACTCTTGTCTCTCGAGCCCCTGAGTGGTAACTGTGTGCATGCTCCTTGAGCTTGGTCCTCTTCGTGGCTGTGCCTGGCCCTCCTTGCATATGGGCCCAGTCCTCCTTTGCATGTGAGTCCGTGGAAGTCCATGGTCTCAATGGAGACTGCACTACAACCATGCTCTCCACTGGTATCGACTAGATCTCGGATACCTGTGCTCCTTCCATATGAACCAGTGACCCTCCTGCTTCTTGAGCATCCAGGCCCATGACAAACAGGACAATATGGATGGTCACATGGTCAGAGAGGGCCATCAGATAGGGGCCAAGGAATGGCCATGGATTGAGAGGAGAGGGAGTCGGACCGAGAGGATCAGTATTGGTACCATGAGGAGGATGGGCAGTGTCGAGAAGATTTGCCAGAGGTCTCGCACCTGAAACCTGATATCTGTAATAGAAACGCATCTATTACAAATCCTGTTGAGATATGTGACAACGTGTGATGTATTACTTGTAAGCGGTCGCACGCCAGAGACTAGTTTTGGGTGTTATTTGTTTGGTATAGATGAGGTTGGTTGAGTAAGGTCTACTCGATATGTTTTGACTTAAACATAACCAGATGTCTCCAACTGGTAAGTCTTGGCTGACCACCTTGAACACTCCATTCAGAGGTTGCATGGCATGAATGCTGTTTGTTGGGGAGTGAGTGATACACCCTCTCCTACAGTATGAGTGTTCATAGTACTGTTGATAATGCTCTTGGATGTTGTCTGGACTGCAATATGCTAATTGCCTACAGAGGACAGGAGTTACTGGACTGCAGGTGTGAGCCACCACCTACAATAACTAACTGGACCACAGGTGTTGAGCAACACTGCCTACAGTAAGGGACTGGACTGCAAGTGTTGAAGAACACTGCCTACAGTAAGGGACTGGACTGCAAGTGTTGAAGAACACTGCCTACAGTTGAGAACTGGACCACAGGTGTTCAGAGAACACTGCCTACAGTTGAAGGACTGGACCACAAGTGTTCGGAGAACACTGCCTACAGTTGATGCCTAACAGTGATACAACACACATGTTTGAGGGTTGTTGCAAAAGCACTGCTATTGCAATGATACGTAACTAAGAGTCAAGTAAAGAGTAGAGTATAAAGTAAGTAAGTAATTAAGTAAGTAAGTAGAGTCAATGAGGTTCCACTCATATGCTTATGGTAGAATGAGAGTATTTATGCATTTGATTGGTGTTGCCTGTGACACCTATCCCACTCCTCCTGAGGGGCCTTCATCCCCTGTTCAACACTGTCTCTCCTGCTGGCATCAATCCCATTGATGCTGCACCCCTACCATTTGCACAGCATGATGGTTATGCAACACTGCCCTTTTGCCTTCATTCTCTCTTTCTGCCTGATGATGTGTGATGACCCCTTTGACACAGCTCCTCCTCTTTGTTTAACCAATCTCCATTCACAGCTCCTTCTCTCTTCACTGGTGACCACCTTCTCAACCTTATCTTGTGAATCCCTTTAGCCACTTGTTAGACCTCATGACCAAACCCCTTGGTCATGTGGTCACCCCTGTGCTTGGGCCTGTGTGGCTATATGCATGTACCCCTCGAGTGGTAACCATCCACATGATGCTGAGCTTGGTCCCCTGCTCCTACATGTGGTTATCTCTGTATGCTTCTCCTTCTAATGCTGGTATCTGTCATGGGCCTGAATGCTCAAGAAGCAGGAGGGTCACTGGTTCATATGGAAGGAGCACAGGTATCCGAGATCTAGTCGATACCAGTGGAGAGCATGGTCGTAGTGCAGTCTCCATTGAGACCATGGACTTCCACGGACTCACATGCAAAGGAGGACTGGGCCCATATGCAAGGAGGGCCAGGCACAGCCACGAAGAGGACCAAGCTCAAGGAGCAGGCACAGCCACAAAGAGGACCAAGCTCAAGGAGCATGCAGATGGTTACCACTCAGGGGCTCGAGAGACAAGAGTTGAAGGAGTCGACACCAGGTCATGAGGAGGAGGAGCAGTGTCGAAGGAGTCAACACCACTCAGGAGGCACAGGGGTGCCAAACAAGCAGCAGGATAGCAAGGAGGAGGAGCAGTGTCAAAGGAGTCGACACAGTTCAGGAGGCACAGGGGTGCCAAACAAGCAGGACAGCAAGGAGGAGGAGCAGTGTCGAAGGAGTCAACACAGCTCAAGAGGCACAAGGGTGCCAAGCAAGCAGGATAGCAAGGAGGAGGAGCAGTGTCAAAGGAGTTGATAGCTCAAGGAGGACAGGAGTGGTGCTAGAGGGGCCCCCTGTACAAGTACTCAATGAAGAAGGTACTCTCTGGAGAGAGAGCAGGAGCAGTGTCACTGGTGATGCTGTGAAGAGGTATATAACCATACCTTCTCATCATCAAAGGTCGAGTGGATCCTCATCCACTCTACACACACCATAACTAGTTATCACTTCAGCATAAGTATACATTAGTTTCCAGTCAGCATAGTAACAATCCAGCAAGATTGCTCCTCATTGTAGTGTGTGTGTTGTATCACCACTACCTGACATCTGAAGGCAGTTCATAGCAAACCAGTGGTCTGGATATAGATAGAACCAAAGGCAGTAGTCCACTGCAGTCCAGGGATCACTTCAAGCATCAGTCAACACACTGGACACTTGTGTTGATGCCACCAACCTTATTACCAACACCATCAACCTCATCATCATCAACACTCACACCAGACCTTGGTGTCATCATAACCTACATATTGATATTGATCATGCCGAGCTACCCCTGAATGGAGTGTCCACAGAGGTCAGCCAAAACCTACGATAGTATATACAATGAATGCCACTGCTGTCATCATGCAACTTGATAGTCACTGAGCAATGTAGCTCGTCAAGACTGATACCAAGACAATAGCTGTTGCACAGTTTGATAGTCACTGAGTATCTCGACAGACCGACCTGGGTTTCAGGCACGAGACCCCTGACTGTATCTTCCTTCCTGAGTCTCCTGACACTTGCTCATGTCAGCCGACTTGCTGAGGCATGCTGATCTGACTGATCCCAATCAATCCTCATGAGATTAACCTGGAACCCAGAGTTCGGTTGATCTTGTAAATCATATGCACTACCAGCCTGATTAGCTTCATCAGTTCCCAATGATTTGGTGCCAATCAATTTGGTGCCCCCTTCATATGTTGATCCACTGACCCTGACATTACCATAATTGCCACTGGTCAATTTGGTGCACCCTTCATACGCTGGCCCGCTGGCCCTGTGACAGAAGGCAAGGTAGCATATCACTCAATCTGACTGCATACATCTGGGCAATGGTAAACAAGTGGCTAGAATGAGTAAATGATAAATCCTGGGTACCTATGCAGAACATAGCTGATGCCACAAAAGGAAGCAAGTGCTCACTGTCACAGAGCAAGAAATATCAAGAGCTTGTCGGACAGCTGCTATGGGTGTCCAACACTGTATGGCTGGACATTTCCTTCATAGTGGGGATTTTGGCACAACACATGTCGATGCTGACAGAGCATGAAAGGTGGCAATTCACACACTCAAGTATCTAAACCAGACAAGTGAGTACTGACTACACCTAGGGAGAAAATCAGGCAACCATGTAAATGAGGCAGTAATGACATACACAGATGCAAACTGGGCATCAGACCCCACCAACTGGAGGAGAAGTACATCTGGGGTGATCACATACATATATGGATGCCCAGTAAGTTGGAGGTCACAAGTACAAAAATGTGTAGCTCTATCAGCAGTAGAAGCAGAATTTGTGGCTGCATCTGAGGCAGTGCAAGAAGCACTTTTCTTCTCCTATCTGTTGAGAGACTTAGGAATGGAAGACATTAAACCAGTACTCCAAATGGATAGCCAAGGATGTATTCAAGTCAGCAAGGACCTGGCCAAACATTGGAAACTCAAGCATATCAACACACAGTACCACTTTGTGAGAGATCACACACAGGAAAGAAACATATCAATTGAATTTGTAAGCATGACCAACAATGTACCAGACATCCTAACAAAGCCACTAAAAGGGGCGGACACATCCTGATTAGCCTGATCCATAGGACTGGTAATGCTGTCGAGGGGGCAAGTTGAAGATGCAACAGAATTAACAGAAGGAATATCTGAGCAGTGAGCAAACCGAGAGTTGGAGAACAAGGTGCATGAAGGCCGAGGAATGGAAGCCGAGCCACAAGATAGGTGTCAGGGGTCTTGCGCCTGGAACCTGATATCTGTAGTAGAAACGCATCTATTACAGATCCTGTCGAGATATTGTCATGGGCCTGGATGCGCAGGAAGCAGGAAGATCCATCAACTCATATGAAGGGAGCATGGAAAATTGAGGAATTGGGAAGATCGTGGGATTTGCAGAAGAGTTCACCAAGATCTGTAGGAGAAACAGTTGAAGTCATTCGTCAGCGTGTTGGAGTCATTCGTCAGCGTGTTGGAGTCATTCGTCAGTGGTTGGAGTTGAGGTGTCTTTGTTGATGATGGTGGTAGGAGAGAGAGAGAGCGAGAGAGCTAGGAGTCTATATATACAAAAGAAGAGCGGCGGAGAGCTGCATTGACTGCGGAGCATAACAAAGCATTTGCCTTGAGTAGGTTGTGACACATGTGGTCCGTGCTAAGATGTTCAGGCCTTTTACTCGGCCGTAAGCACTACCTTCACTGTCTCCACGCTTTGTGCGGCTTTATCTACTTCAACTCCCCCCCTCAACAGCATATGTACCCTGTTCATTATGCTGTTGCTTCAAAGTGTGACCTCCGTTCTTCAACACTGTCGCATAGCTCGGGGACCCCGTTCCGTACACTGCTGCCGGTATTTGCAGGTGTAGCCCAGATCTTGCTTGCTGCATTGCCTGCCTCCCAATGGGCTTCGTGAGTACGTCTGCCAAGTTTCTTGTGGTGTCTATGTACCTGATCTGCACCCTTCCCTCTTGTACATTGTTACAGATGAAGTGATACTTGGTGTCGATGTGCTTAAGCTTCCAGTGCTGTGCTGGGTCCTTACTAACCTGTATGCAACCAGTGTTGTCCGAGTAGACCGTCGGTGTGCCTGTGGCAATGCCAATTGAGCGTAGCAGCTGCTTGAGGAAGAGCACCTCACGTGTTGCTTCCGTGGCTGCAATGAACTCTGCCTCGACAGTGGACAATGACACGCATTTTTGTGTCGCTGACTTCCAGGCTACTGGGTTCCCATACACTAATGCCACTGACCCCAATGTGCTTCTTCTCTGTATGGTGGCATCGCTTGCCCAGTTTGCATCGCTGTGTGCAACCAGTGGCTCTTGCGACTCACTTGCCCTATAAACCAATCCAACCTGCCTTGTGCTTTCGAGGTAGTGTAGGACCCTTTGTGCTGCCTGATAATGCTCCTGTGATGGTTCATGCATGTGCCTAGCGAGAACACCCACAGTAAGGCTAAGGTCGGGCCGGGTGCTGTTGGCAACCCAGAGCAGCTTGCCAATGATCACCGGATACTCCTTCTGTTGTGCTGCGCTTGCGACAAGGGTTCCCTCCGGTATGCTCTGCATTGGAACCATGGTCGGCTTCGTGCGTTTGTCCAGGTGCTTTGCCAGCACTTGGTCGATGTACCCTGACTGACCAATCGTCATGGTGCGCATCGCATGGTCTCGACTGATTTTGATGCCCAAGAAGTGAGAGACCTCACCACTATCTTCCATCTTCCATCTCTGACCAATCTGCTTCTTAACCTTTAGGACCGTTTCCAGCCGTGGTGCTATGACTAATGTATCATCGACATAGATGACCACAATGGCCATATCTTCACCCTGTCCCTTGGTGTAGATGCAGGGAGCGCACTCTACCTGGAAGAATCCCATGCGTCGCAAAGACCTGTCGAACTCCTGATTCCATTCTCGCCCAGACTGCTTTAGGCCATATAGGCCCTTGACTACCTTGTACACCTTGCCGGGTGCTACTCCTGATCCTTCTGGCGGCTTCATGTAGATTGCTTCCTTTAATGTGGAGTTCAAGTAAGCCATAGTGATGTCCAGAGCATGTACCTCCCAGTTGTTCTGCACTGCTAGTGCTAAGATGGCTCTGATCGCTCCGAGGGGTGCTACTGGAGAGAAGGTTTCTTGGTAGTCGATCCCCTCTCTCTGTGTGAAGCCCCTTGCAACCAGTCGCGCTTTGTGCTTAACAGGTACACCATCAGCGTCAAGCTTCAGCCGAAGCACAACCTTAGAGTCCACAAGTGGTACTCCTGGTGGTTGGTGCACCACCTCCCAAGTCCCCATTGCCTCAAGTCCTTCTAGCTCCTTTCATATTGCCTCCTTCCAGAGCTGGGCGTCCTCACCATTCATTGCTTCCCCAAGCGTTGGGTCCAGGTTCAGTATTGCTGTGTTGGCGGCACCCACTGTGCTGTCTACGGCTGGTAGGAGATCCTCCACTGCGGCCTCTAATCTGGTCTCCTCCTCTACTATGGCTGGCGTGGCACCCTCCTCCTCGACCTCCACGGTCACCACGGGCCTGACTGCCTCTTGTTGGCGATCACTCCATCCTTTGTCCTCATGGAACGTTGCTGAGTTGCTCCATTGAATTGACGCAGGCTGGTCCGGGTTGCAAAACTTCCATGCTTTGTGTTCATCGTCATACCCAATCATGATGGCTGGCTTTGCTCTAGCTCCGTGCTTGCCTTGCTGGTCCTTCTGTTGAACATGAACCCATGCCAAGCATCCGAAGACTCGCAGTTGCTGGGCCAGCTTGTGCACGGTGGTTCCATAAAAGGCCTCATGGGGAATGGTTTTGGTGGCTGACGGGGTAAGGTTCATCATGTGTGCTGCTGCTGTGATTGCGTACGGCCACAACTCTCTGGGGCAAGCTCGACCAATCAGCATCGAGCGCATCTTTTCTTGGACCGATCTGATTGCTCTCTCCGCCCGTCCATTTTGGACGCTGATCCCCGGGACGCTCTTTTGCCACTTAAAACCCTCTTGAGTTTGCCAGTCTTTGGCTGCTATGCTGCACCATTCTCCTCCATTGTTGCTGCGGAGTGTTTTGAGTTTCCTGTCCGTTGCCCGTTCCATCCTGGCTATCCACCTTCTCAGCGCCGTGAGTGCGGCACTCTTTGTGCAGAGTGGTTCCATGTAGATCAGAGAGGAGAAGTCATCCACAGCAACTAGTGCGTAGTGGTAGTTGGCATGTCCTTTGAAATCTGTCATCAGGTCTACGTGTACCAGCTCTAATGGTGCCTCCATTCTTTCCGACTCTGATTGGCTCATCCGTGCTCGAGTCTGTTTTCCTTGACTGCACGCGTTGCAGTGCTTCGACTCATGTTCCATTTCCTCGTCGGTACCTAGGTAATGGGCCCGGATTTGTCTCATTTTGTCTTGTCCTGGGTGTCCGAACCTCTCATGCCATAGGTAGCTGTCTCGATGCTTCGTGTCCTTATTGCCCTCTGGGGCATTATCTAGTTTTCCTGTGTTCTGGTTGTCCTCTGGGACGCCATCTCGTGTTTCCTCCAGTTCCAAAGCCAGTGCTTGTCCTCGCACTTTGAAGTGGCCCTGTCTTCTGTCCCTTTTGAATTGTACTTGGGTACCATCGTTCTGCTTTATGGTAGTTCCAAACTCATCAAAGATTACTCGTGCACCATTCTCGATCAAGCCTTGTACGGACAATAAGTTAGCATTCAGTTTCGGTACATAAAGCACATCCAATAGTTGGATGGTGGCCTCACCGACCCGAAGGGAGGCATCTCCTATAGCCTTCACCTGAAGCTTTTCGTCCCCTGCTGTACTGATTTGGCCAACCTTGTTCGTTGAGGTGAGCAGCATTCTCTCATCATTTACCATATGATGGGTTGCACCTGAATCGATGATCCAGGTGTCGCATGCTGATTGCTCGCCCCTGTCGACTGCTAGAAAGGTGCACCCGAGTTCCTAGTGGTTCACTTCTTGTGCCGGATTGGGGGTGGGTCCGTCTCTACTAGGTGCGGGGTTATTGTTGGTGTTCGTGCAGTTTCGAGCAATGTGATTAGGTCCTCCACAAGCGTAGCACTTTGGAGGGGCCGAGGGGTTGCGAGGATCGTGCCTGCCTCTGGGTCCTTGCTCCGCCTGGTCCGTGCTTGTGGCAACCCTTGCTGCTCCTCTAATACGGCCGGTGACCTCACCATCCTGCTGTTTCTTGGCGAGTGCGTGGTAGGCTTCGTCATATTTACAGTCTGGTCTGGCTGTTTTCAGTGCGTCGACGGCATTGGCATAGAACCAATCTTGGGCCGTGCAGCGATAGAGAGTTGATTTCTTGAGGTCCTCGTCAAAACGCTTTCCCAGGCGTGCTGCATCGTTCCAGATCAAATCGAGTTCCTTGCCTAGCCTGACAATGTCTCGATTGTGCAAGCGCACTGTGTGAATACGATCCTGCAGTCCTGCTCGCTTTACAGCGTCGTTCAACGTTAGTGCCTTCTTGAGTTTGGCATAGAGTGTGCTACCGAGTTGGACTTCTTCATCCACTCCCCTGACGGTGTAGGTGTCGATACGGCTGTCTGGACTGTTGTCACAGCAGGCGTGGATGAGGCCCACGAGGGCTTTATCCAAGTCTTCATCGTATTCCTCATTTCCAGGCGCTACCGTGCCATACAGTATCTCCTTCGCATTATGTACTCTTTGGAGGCAGTCGATGAAGGTAGGTTCCCAAGTGTGCCAGTTGCTGTCGCTGAGCTTCTTGATGTGCGCAATGGCGCTCGACACCTCCTTGGGGATCTTCTCGGTTTCCCTGCGCGGGGTCTGGTTGCTAATGCTGATGAGACCCATAGCTCGTACGATTGCTTCCTCTGCCGATAGTGCCGGGTTCGCCAGCTGGAGGATCCTGACTACCTGCGTGAGCCATCCTTCCTCCTGTCCATTGCTTGTGGTCGTTTGATCATCATCGCCCCTTCCCGTCTGTCCAGCTCTTGTCGATGGCGGCATTGCGTTGAGTGTCAGACTCTTAATCAGTTGAAGTCATTCATCAGCGTGTTGGAGTCATTCGTCAGCGTGTTGGAGTCATTCGTCAGTGGTTGGAGTTGAGGTGTCTTTGTTGATGATGGTGGTAGGAGAGAGAGAGAGCGAGAGAGCTAGGAGTCTATATATACAAAAGAAGAGCGGCGGAGAGCTGCATTGACTGCGGAGCATAACAAAGCATTTGCCTTGAGTAGGTTGTGACACATGTGGTTCGTGCTAAGATGTTCAGGCCTTTTACTCGGCCGTAAGCACTACCTTCACTGTCTCCACGCTTTGTGCGGCTTTATCTACTTCAACTGAAACAGCTCTTTGGCAGATCTCACACAGATTGGCACAAGAAAAGATGGTATCACAAATCCCACCAGGATTGGTAGCAAACAAGATTGTATGGCATATCCTGCAGAGATTAGTGGCAAGGGTGATTGTACAACAGATCCAGTAGGGATTAGTGACAAGGACATTCAAGGTCACCAGCAGATGAGGTAGGGACCCTGCACAATGATGAAGTTGGCATAAGGAGATGGGTGCTGAAGTCAGGAGGTAAATGGAAGAGGGGGCATGCATTGTCATTGGGATGAAGTGGGGCAAACCCTATCAGCGATGAGGTGATGCTGGTTCTCCTCAACCCAGGAGCAGGAGAAGTGGGGTTCAGCAGGGAGGACACATTGGTAAAGGTCTCTACCATAGCACTCGACGAAGACAGTGCCCTCTGGAGAGAGAGAGCCAGAGCAGAGTTGCAGGTGACCCTGTGAGGATGAATATAAACCATGTGTCATGGGCCTGGATGCTCAAGAAGCAGGGGGGTCACGGGTTCATATGGAAGGAGCACAGGTATCGAAGATCTAGTCGAGATCAGTAGAGAGCATGGTTGTAGTGCAGTCTCCATGGAGACCATGGACTCCTACAGACTCACATGCAAAGAAGGGCCAAGCACAGCCACGAGGAGGACCAAGCTCAAGGAGCAGGCACAGCCACAAAGAGGACCAAGCTCGAGGAGCATGCAGATGGTTACCACTCAGGGGCTCGAGAGACAAGAGCCAAAGGAACTGTCACTGATCAAAGGAGTCGACACCAGGTCATGAGGAGGAGGAGCAGTGTCGAAGGAGTCAACACAGCTCAAGAGGCACAGGGGTGCCAAGCAGGAGAGGCCCCTGAGCAGTACTTGATGAAGAAGGTACTCTCTGGAGAGAGAGCAGGAGCAGCATCGCTGGCAATGCTGAGAAGAGGTATATAACCATGCTTTCTCATCATCAATAGGTCGAGTGGATCCTCATCCACTCTACTCACCATAACTAGTTATCACTTCAGCATAAGTATATATTAGTTTCAGTCAGCATAGCAGCAATCCATCAAAGGTTGCTCCTCATCATAGTGTGTGTGTTGTATCACCACTACCTGATGTCCGAAGGCACCCATAGCAGGTTAGCAGTCCGGATCAAGATAGAACCGAAGGCAGTAGTCCACTGCGGTCTGGGGATCACTTCAAGCATCAAGTCAACACACTGGACACTCGTGTTGACGCCACCAACCTTATCACCAACACCATCAACCTCATTATCATTGACATCACCAATCTCATCACCAATACCATCAACCTCATCATCATCAACACTCACACCAGACCTTGGTGTCATCATAACCTTGATATTGATCGTGCCGAGCTACCCCTGAATGGAGTGTCCACAGAGGTCAGCCGAAACCTACGATAGTATATACAACGAACGCCACCTGCTGTCACTGCACAACTTGATAGTCACCGATACCGAGACAATAGCTGTCGCACAGTTTGATAGTCACCGAGTATCTCGACAGACCGACCTGGGTTTCAGGCGCGAGACCCCTGACACCATGCCTTCCTGTCAGAAGTGGTCAAGTGGATCTCCATCCACTCTACACCATAAACTAGTTATCACTTCACATAAAGTATACATTAGTTTCAGTCAGCAAAGTAGCAATCAAGTAGATTGCTTCCATTGTAGTGCATGTGTTGTATCACCACTCACTGATGTCCAAAGGTGGTTCATAGCAACCAGCAGTCTGGATAATGATAGAACTGAAGGCAGTTGTCCACTGCAGTCTGGGGATCACCTCAAGCACTCAGTCGACACACTGGACACTTGTGTTGGCACTACCAATCATATCACTCACACCAGACCTTGGTGTCAATATAAGTTCATACATGTTATTGATTGTGCCAAGCTACCTCTGGACAGAGTGTCCACAGTGGTCAGTCAAAACCTGCAATAGCAAAACAACTATTACATCTTTGGGCAAGAAAAGTCATAGAGGATTCTCTATGACATACCTTGATAGAAATTTTAATACACCACACATTACCACATATCTCGACAGGATTCATAATAGATGCTTTTCTATTACAGATATCAGGTGTCATGGGTCTGGATGCGCAGGAAGCAGGAAGATCCATCAACTCATATGAAGGGAGTGCAGGAATTGAGGAATTGGGCAGATCATAGGACTTGCAGAAGAGTTTGCTGAGTTCTGCACAAGAAGTGGCTCTATGGCAGATCTCACATAAATTGGCACAAGAGAAGATGGTATCATGAATCCCACTGGGATCAGTAGCAAACAAGATCATATGGCATATTCCACAGAGATTAAGTGGCAAGGGTGATCATACAATGGAACCAGTAGGGACTAGTGACACAGACCTTTGAGGTCACCACTGGATGGGGTAGGGACCCTGCATGATGATGAAGTCAGTGCATGGGATGGGTGCTGACATCAGGAGGTGGATGGGAGAGGGGGCAAGCATTGTCATTAGGAAGAAGTGGGGCAACCATTATCAACAATGAGGTGACATTGCTCTCTTCAATCCAGGAGCAGGAGAAGCAGGGGCCGGCCAGGAGGGGATGCCTCAGTAGAGACCTCTACCATGGTGCTCGACAAGAAGGTACTCTCTGGAGAGAGAGCTGGAGCAGAGTCACAGGTGACACTGCAAAGATGTATATAACCATACCTTCTCATCATAAGTGGTCAAGTGGATCTCCATCCACTCTACACCATACATTACTAGTTATAGCTTTACACATAAGTATACATTAGTACACAGTCAGCAAGTTGCAATCTCAATAGGTTGCTTCCATTGTAGTGTGTGTGTTGTATCACTGCTCACTGATGTCCAAAGGTGGTTCATAGCAAACCAGCAGTCTGGATAAAGATAGAACCAAAGGCAGTCATCCACTGCAGTCCAGGGATCACTTCAAGCATACAGTCAACACACTGGACACTTGTGTTGGTGCCACCAAACATATCTCTCACACCAGACCTTGGTGTCAGTACCAGTTCATATCAGTTATTGATTGTGCTGAGCTACCTCTGGACAGAGTGTCCACAGCAGTCAGTCAAAACCTGCAATAGCAAAACATTACTGCATTTCTGAGCAAGAAAAGTGATAGAGACATCTCTACTACATATCTTGCCAAGAATTGTAATACCACAAGCATTGTCACATATCTCGACAGGATTCATAATAGACAAGACTCTATTACAGATATCGGGTTTTGGGTGCATGACCGCTGACATCAGGTTTTGGGCGCACAACCTCTGACAGATGGCAGCAGCTGTCATCAGGCTGCTATCTGCAAGCAATGGCAGGCCGAATACAACATTAAGATGCAGGAACACCTGCCAGCTTCGCTGGACCTTAACCCTATTGAGAACATATGGTATGTATTCAAAAACTTGCTTGGTAAGCACTTGCCAGTACCAAAAACCTGGAATGAACTTGCCAGAGCTGCAGAGGAAGTGTGGAACACCCAGATCACACTTGAACATATCAACCCTGTGATCAACTTGATGGAGCATCATGTGGAGCAAGTTCTTACTAAGCATGGAGGTCTGCTCAAGTATTAGTTGGCTCTGAGACTCACTGCAATCAAAAGTTCTTCTTTTGAGCTTGCTCACTGTGTGTTTTGCTCAGTCTGACACTTATGAGAGATCACTCCTCCAAGCAGATGGAAGGTATGCTATTGGATGGTTGATTTATTGTCTATTGGACCCTGTCCCCAAACTTTGGGCAGGGACTGTACGATAAAACTTATACACATGTTCTGTAGCCTCCCTCACCCCGAAATAACAAGCCTTTTCACTTAGACACACTCGACTGTAAAGAGCGCCTGACTGTGGCCTCTGGAGCAGTGTATCTAATTTCAACTCTTACACACTCGTCGCGCACCCTCGCGTCAAAGGTGTTTTGTTAGATCCAGTATAGCTTCGTCGACGGCCGAGAAAAATGAAATTTTTGACCGGGTCGGGTATCGAGGTTGAGCCGGTCCCGGTTTCTCACTGCAAGGCACAGATTTGTTCTCTGACCTCGCAAAATCCCAAGCTGTGCGTCGGCTTCTATCCCCGGCACAAGACTTCTATCCTCGTATTTGCTCTTCTACAAGCGATTGCACATGTACCAGCTACCCACCATCTCATCACTCTCATCTCAAATCCCATCATAAATCTAGTCCCCAAGAATCAATATGTCGCAACGAGTTTCTCAGATCGCTGGCCACCTCAACGGTCGTAAGTGTCCCCTTCTCTCGTCAGCCGTACACCATGTCACATTCACTGACTTTTTCTCTTTGCGTTCACGTGTACGATATTCCAGCCGCTCCTCTCCTCAAGGGTCAGGTCGCTATCATCACTGGCGCCGGTCAAGGTATCGGTGAAGCCACCGCCAAGCTCTTCGCCAGCCACGGTGCTCACGTCGTTGTCTCCGATCTCGACGCCAAAAAGGCCAACGATGTCGCCTCGCAGATCACTAAAGTTGGCGGATCTGCCATCCCTCTCGCCGGCAACGTCATGGACAAGGACTTCGGTGAGCGCGTAGTCAAAGCTGCCGTCGACAAGTGGGGCAAGCTCAACATCATCGTCAACAATGCCGGTTTCACCGCCGACAAAATGGCTCACACCACCGACGATGCCACTTTCCAACTCATGCTCGACTGCCACATCACCGCCCCCTTCCGTATCATCCGTGCTGCTGCCCCTTACTTCCGCATCAAGGACGAGAACAAGCGTGAAAATATGGCCATCGTCAACGTCTCCTCTACTTCCGGAACTCACGGTAACGTCGGTCAGGTCAACTACTCTGCCGCAAAGGCCGGCGTGCTCGGTCTCACCAAGACCATGTGCAAGGAGTGGGGTCCCTTTGGTGTTCGTGTCAACACGGTCGCTTTCGGTTGGATCAACACTCGATTGACCCAGGCTAAGGAAGCTGGTGCCTCCATCGAGATTGATGGTAAGAAGATCGCTCTTGGTATTCCGGGTCGTCCTGCTGGTGGAAACTCGAAGGAGCAGTCGGTTACTGCTGTTGCTGATATCCCGCTGCGACGACCAGGTGATGCTGAAGAGGCGGCTGCTTCGATCTTGTTCCTTGCTAGTCCACTGGCTTCGTACATCTCGGGTCAGACTTTGGAGGTTACTGGTGGCCGAGGTATCTAATCTGTCCGTTCTTGAATCCGAGTGTCTGCTTGACAATGATAAAACTCACGATTTATGTATCTTCAACACTCTCTCAGGGCACTGTGATGGTGACTTCGTGAATCAATCTCTCAATACAGTATGTGCTGATGGTCAGTGATGTTTGACAAAGAGCGTCGCTCCAAAGCCGAATTTTGGGGTTGTTAAGCTCTGCCTCTAACATTCAGGAAAAAAGCGCCTGAGTGGAGAAAGCTCCCAAAAATTTTGGACTGCATGTTCTCAGCAGCTATGAACCCAATTAGCCCTGATTGTGTCAACCACGCCCTCTATCCACCATCATCACTCTGCGACCCGGACCCTCTACACCATGTCGCCGACAGCAACCACCAGCGGCAGCGATGCCAAAAGTAGCTTTACCGTCGACCCATTCGCCAATGTCCGCTCGTTCAAATACTCAGGTTCCGTCAAGGCGGTTTACCCTTTGAGTTCCACACCCAAGATTCCGCCATCGATTCGAAGGCCTAACTACGCCAGGGAAGGGGTGAGGATGTGGTTCAACTTTTGGTGGCAGGTCAGAATTCCTTTCTTGACCGTGACCTTTCCTGTCATACTAGCCAAAATGGGGTATGCTGACGTCTATCTTGATGGGGTTGTGGTGTTTGCTCTTTTGCTTGTTGGGTTTGCGCTTGATGGGGTGATACAGTTTTTGCAATCCAGGAATATCAAGGTCAACAATGCTAACGATCAGGAGGGAGTGAGGAAGGCCGCTACGGTATGTACAACCAGCTTTAGTTGAGATAGGTCCTGGCGCAGCCTGCTGACAGATAGGGCCTCTGTTTTGTGTTTCAACTGATCAGCTCGCTCGAGAGGTACTTGAGATTTGCGCTTCGCACGCAAAGCCCGGTGTCACGACAGATGAACTCGACAAGATCGTCTTTGCAGAAGCTATCAAGCGCGATTGCTACCCCAGTCCACTCGGCTACCATGGATACCCTAAGAGTGTTTGCACGTAAGTCTCTCCATCCTCAAAGCCCACACTCAACATCAGGGCTAGAATACAGTCACTGACAGCACTTTCCATCTCACCTCGGCATTGCAGCTCCGTCAACGAAGTGATCTGCCACGGCATCCCTGATCAACGTCCACTCGACGACGGCGATATCCTCAACATCGACGTCACCCTCTTCCACAAAGGCTACCACGGCGATCTCAACGCCACCTTCCCTATTGGTCCCAAAGCCGAATCTGACTCCGACTCCATGAAACTCATCCGTGTCGCACGCGAATGTCTCGATGCAGCCATCGCCATATGCGGACCCGGCGTTCCCTACGGCGAGATCGGTCGTGTCATTCAACCTCTCGCGGAGTCACAAGGTTGTGCTGTTGTCAAGAACTACACCGGCCACGGAATCTCAAACTGCTTCCACGCCGCACCCACAGTCTATCACCATGCTACAAAGAAGAGTTACGGTGTTATGAAGCCCGGACACATTTTTACAATCGAACCGATGCTCAACTTGGGTACGGAGTGGAGGGATTTGAGTTGGCCTGATGATTGGACTGTTGCGACTGTGGACGGTGCAAGGTCGGCGGCTGCGGAGGAGACATTGTTGATTACAGACACAGGGGTGGAGATCTTAACTGCAAAGGGCGGACCCACACATATTGATACGACAGAGAGGAGGAAGCAATTGGAAGAGGAGATCAAGGTGAGGGAGGAGAGGAAGAAAAGGAGAAAGTTGGATAATGGGAGTGGTGCCAATACGCCGCTGTCGGGTGCGGCGACTCTTACGCCTGCTCCTGAGGAGGCTAATGCTACTACTAAGAGTGATGCTGGACCTGCTGTTGCTGAGAAGTAATCGCTTGACGTTGCTAAGCTTTGTTGTATTTCTAGACAAGCCCTTTGTTCGGCTCCAAAATTTGACAGAGTCTGTCACTCATCCTTCATGACGCTGGAAAGATTGACCAGGCGGGAGTGGGCACGTGAGATGATCTCGGCATTGACGGTCTGACATTTTGCTTTGAGCAGAAAGACGAATAAGATGATGAGCCGGTTAGTATCCGGCTAAAGCAAAGCAAAAAGGTTGACCCTTCGGGAAGGGTGGAAGGAAGCTTGCCGCTTTTTACCGGAGAAAGCGGTATTTTGTTCGGCTTGATAAATTCCAACCTGCTGCGCATGGTCGCGACCTTCATCTTGTCCTTCCTGTTCATCGTACCATCTTCTCCACTCTCCATCACCTCTTCACCTCCGCTCTCCCACGCACGATGCTCACCGCCCTTAGAGGGGGCCTCCATCATGGAGCTCGCTCCTCGTCTCTCACCATGACCTCGATCACCTACACCGCGCGCCTCGCCTACACCACACCATCCTCAGACTCAAAGCAGTCAACCGCAGCCTCTGCTACCGGCAAAACCGTTTCTCTCGACTACGAATCCTACCTCCCCACCCCCACCCAACTCTCTAACCGCCGCACCGAAGTCCCCATCGCCTCCCTCGTTGTCTGTCATGGACTCTTCGGCTCCAAACAGAATTGGCGTTCTCTCGGACGAGCAATGTCCCAACGTTTCGGAATCCCAGTCTTCGCCCTTGACCTACGCAACCACGGAACCTCACCCCACATCGATGGCTTGGCCTACTCAGATATGGCTTTGGACGTGATTGAGTTTATGAAGTCTCAGAAGTTGGAGAATGTTGGGTTGATCGGTCATTCTATGGGAGGAAAGGTCTCGATGTCTGTTGCATTGCACCCGGAACTGCCAGAGGGAATGTTAAGGAACTTGGTCAGTGTTGATATGTCAGCGAAAAGAGGTCCATTATCGCCTGAGTTCGAGAGGTACATAGATGCAATGGTTGCGATTCGGGATAAACCTTGTCGGTCTCGCACTGAGGCAGATGCAATCCTGGCTGAGACTGAGCCGGATTTGGGCGTCCGTCAGTTTCTCCTAACCAACCTCACCCGTCCACCGAATACGGAGAATTGGACTTGGAGGATTCCCATCGACCTTATCCGTAATAACATAGCTCAGATTGGCGATTTTCCCTATAACCCACCAGATGCTCAACCGGACGAGCTGGAGGGGGCGAAACCCGATGCGCAGGAGAGAAGCTGGGCAGGGGAAACGCTGTTTATCAAAGGCAGTAAGAGCAAGTATGTGAACAGGAAGAATATTGGGACGAACATGAAGTATTTCCCGCAAGCGAAGTTGGTTCACATGGATACTGGGCACTGGTGTCAAGCAGAGAAACCGGGAGAGTTTGTTGAGAAGGTAGAGGAGTTTTTGGTAGGGAAAACGAAAGATGAGACGGGAGATGCGATGAAGCCTCGTTCCAAAGCCTGAACAAGGGATCCGCAGGGAATACAGAGTCATTCACTAGAAGCATGAACAAAATCTTCAGACGAGAGTGTGTTCATGAAGTGTCCATTCAGGCTAGAAGCGAATGTGTGATGATGTACGGATCAAGGGGCATGCCTGTCTACAAGCTGCTGACAAGGGAGTGTGGAAATAAAAAGAAGAGAGACAAGAGAAAGCGTGTGGTGTTGAGGCGATGTTGGACCTACCAGGGTCCGCAAATCATTGCCCGACAATGGACGGAGCACAGCAACAGTGGCCCCCGACGAAGAACGGAACATAGCAAAGATGCCCCCGTCAAGGAACGGAGCAAAGCAAGACAATCCTCTACCACACCTCAATGAGTAGTCGAAGTACCATTCAACCTACCTGCACAATCGTACTCAACAACCACCCCGACCCCCTTCGTACTAGAATAAATCCGATTACTGATAAAATCATCCGGATCCCTACTACCATCCACACAACTACTCTGCTCGCATTCAATCACTCCATCCTCCCCCTTCTTTTGCTCTCCTCCGTCATCAAACCACGCCTTCACCGGATAAACAAACTTCTTTCCAGGCATGGCATCATAATTGATATAACTCCTAACCGTTTCGTTTGGGTTAGGTTGAAAAGTGAGGTCGAGAGATTGACAGCTGTCGCCGTATTTACCGCATTGTTCTCCGGCGAGGTAGATTGAGCCGATAAAGTCCGAGGGGACGATGATGGTTGTTGAATTCGGGACGATGGAGAATTGAGAGGATAGAGAGGAAGAGGGGGTGGAGGAAGAGGAGAAACCGGAGATTTTGGGTCGAATAGTTGGAGGGCAGGAAAGGAGGTGAAAGCGGAGTGTGTGCCGGCCGTCAGAGAGAGGGGCGTAGGTGTTGGCGAAGGCAAAGGTTGTGGTTAAGCTAAGGGCTAGGGCTAGAGATTTGAGTAATGATGTTGCTAGCATTTTAGGTGTGGTGTCGGATGATGGTGGTGGTAGTGGAGTTGGAGGTTGGAGTTGGGTTGCTGGTCAATGTCAGGGTGGAAGGGAACACGAGCTGTTCCGTGTCTCACGTGTCGGCGGTGAGAGTGAGGAAGCTGAAGTTGGTAGTCGTCGTGGAGGTAAAGCAAGAGCAAAGATCAACCAAGAGAGCCGAGCCAAGAACTGTCGGAAGCGCTGAATCCAGGTGATCATTCGACTGTAGCTCATCAGACATCAGACACAAGCTGAAGCGTTCGGCACGAACAACGACATAACCTAACCTTGCCTTCATTGTGCCACGCTGTAAGAAGAGGGCATCGCAGTACCATCGGCAGACCAAAAAGGTCACACACGCATGACACGCTCTGGCAACAAACCTCGTAGGTATGCATCAATCCCTTCAACGCAAGCACAAGGCGGAAAGGAAGGTACAGATGCATGCGCTGAACACATTCCATCGTCTCGGCTAAGCTTTGCTCACGTCAAAAACTAAATGGATCGACTGCAGATCCTTTGCCGCCGGAACTCCACGATTGACAGGTCAGCGATAGAGGTGCTGCGCTCTGACGTTTCATGAGAAGCTAATGCAAGTGCTATAAGTTGGCGTATGTGTGATAATTGGTCGCCGACATATTGGCGCAGCTTCACTCAAAAAAGTCACCGAAGGCTTCCTTTGTGAGGCCCATAACATGCAGTACAATGATATGTCAGCGATGCTACTCGGTGTTGCAGTAATACGCTCTGGTCAGTAGCCAGGTGTTTTCAGCAAAGAAGCGCTGGTAAAGGATGGGCAACAGTATTTGTTGTCCAGGGATTGAGGAAGCCAGTTCAATGCAAGGTGTCAGGAGGCGTTATCCGACGTCCCCGCCAAAATTTTCTCCCGTGTCAGATCGCTATCCTAACAACCGCAGAAAGTTTCCCCGCATCAAAAGATTCCGCTTAACCCCGACAACGTTTGTGGGGTTGCGGTCGGATCAAGTCCTCTTGGCACCATCACACCCTCCCTTCCACTTTCGCACCACTGTCTCCGCTTCCTATCATTATCACCACCACCAACATATGTCCCTCGCGCACACGATGGAGACGAAAACCCCGCTTCGAGCGGTAGACATCTTCGCCGCCCATCTTCTAACTCAACTGCAGCATCATCGTTCCCGCTTCACTTCCTCCACCACTCCACCTCTATTCGTAGCAATGCAAGGTCCACAAGGATCCGGCAAGACCACTGTGACTCGCTCTCTTATATCTCATCTCAGCTCTACGGGGTTGAAAGTTGGTGTTTTGAGTACGGATGATTTGTACCATACTTATGCGAATCTTAAGCGGGTTGCGGAGGAGAATCCAAATAATCCGTTGCTGAGTGGCAGAGGACAGCCTGGCACCCATGACGTTTCTTTGGGGGTTGAGATCTTAGGTCAGGCGTACCGCATCAATGAAGAAGGTGGAGAGGTACGGCTGCCGGTGTTCGATAAAAGTCTTTACAACGGGTATGGAGATCGTGCCCGATCATCTCAAAGTCCAGTGCTGAAGGGTCCGCTGGATATATTCATCTTGGAGGGCTGGAGTATGGGTTTCTCCCCTATCCCATCCTCCCTCGTCTCCGAAAAACAGAAATCCTGCCCACCAGATGCACCACTTAAACGCTACACCCTCGAATCGCTCCAACAAATAAACACGAACCTAACAACCTACACCGAATGGTACAACCCCTTTACAGTCTTTCTCCAGATCCAACCTACCGATATCAACAACGTTTACATCTGGCGGACTCAACAAGAACACCACATGAAGGCTAGCAATGGCGGGAAAGGGATGACAGATGACGAAGTGAGACGTTTTGTTGACAGGTATATGCCTGGGTATCATCTCTTTCTAGACACAATACGAGAGGATGCAAGGTGGAAGGGGAGGAGTAAGACGGTCACTATTGATCTAGAGAGGAGTGTGGTGGGTGTTGAGGATTGGTAGCACATGCAATGACACTCGGATGATGTTTGATTGTGTTGATGCAGGGGTTTCAATCGGGCCAAAGCTTAAAGATGAGAAAGAGGTTGCCAGCAGGCATCTCTGTCCGTTTCGCCAACACAAATCCATGCCTCTCTGCTACGGGAATCATTTCCACTTGGACGTCTCGTAACCCGAACTCGGGGTTTCGACTCTTGATCTCAGCATCAAACTTTTGATTCCCTTCACTAGTGTACCCTCCGTTCTCGTTGAATGCGCCGTAGATAGCAATCCAGCCATCCCTCTGCAGGATATTACGATAGCCTTGTTGAGTAGCATACCCTAACCTTGGGTCCAAATGACTGAAGAGACTCTGAGTCACGCTCCACGGGGCGATGTGGGTGAGGTTGCATGCAATCACCCCATCAAAAAGACCCTCATCTTCTCCTGGTAAAGGGGCAGAAGTCTCTGAGGAGATGTTGTGTACGAGGGTTGTCCAGTCGTTCTGAGAGAGTAGGTCGAGGGATTCTGCTTTTGCGACGTTGGGAAGAGAGGATATGGTGGAGTCGATTCGGGTGCGGGGGTATGCGTCTGCTTCAGATGGGTGAAACTGGATTGACGGGTGACGGCATGCAATGGCGTGCATTTGGTGGCCGAAACCGGATGCGACTTCTAATACTAGCGGTTTGCGGGAAGAGGATGTGCAAGAGGTAGAGGTGAGCATGGGTGAAAGAGCTTCTGCGATGGCGGGGGAGTTACGCTCGGCTGAACCTGGGAGGGACCATGATATGCGGTATTTGGCGTCTTCTGCGTTCGGTTGTGGGGTTGGATTTTGGTCTGTGGCCGTCATTGGTGCGTCTGTCGGGCTGACGAGGTGAGGAGTAGGAGGGCGAGAAGGAAGTGGAGCATGATTCCTCTGAAAGTTGGTCGGCAACTTACGCTACACAGTTCGGTGATGGTGGGATGCAGGATGTGTCTGTTAGATCGCGTTAAAGTTACGTCGGAGAATATCCAGAGTTTATCCAATTCCCGAAGCTCGCGATTCCCGAAGCTCGCGATTCCCGAAGCTCGCGATTGCCGGAGCTTCGGCAAACACAAGCGGCTGACTCTGAGCTGATTCAGACATGCGAAACTCGTGAAGGATGACATAGTAACGGTTCAGAAGCTCTGCAAGAGTAACACCCAACTCATCTATAGCACCCTCAGAAAACGGTCCCAACACATATATATATGCTCATGTTTGTAGCTTCAGCCCACCGAAATATTAAGCATTGCAGTCAGCATACACCTGTCCGAAGGGAGCTTGATCGTAGCCCCAACAAAGTGGCGTCTTATACTTCAATCTTCAACTGATCGTGTTGAAGTTCGTGCGTCAAATGTCAATGATCACAAGTATCGATTGCGATGAGAAGCATAACAAGTACATGATGGTCGCTAATGTGTATATATATGTCCTAGTGATCTGAGTATGTTTACGAGGTCGGTGAGGCTGAAGCATAGCATAGAGGCTACGATGAAGCTGTCTCAGTTATCAGTTGGCCGGCATGCCGGTGCCAATTGTGGTGGTCGATTCGGATAATGTGGTTTATATCTGAGTGAGGTTGGCGTTAAATGTGAGCTTGGAGTAGAAGTTACATACTCCCAAGAGGTCACGTGCTTCAACTGATCGCCTTTAATTCTACAGCTCTGTCCGAACAGCACGCGTCAATTTCACTCCACGTGACTCAAGCGCATTCTCGATCTCGCGCTCCTCTTCTGAGACCAACAACCCTCTGCTGCGGATTTCAGGGCCTTGTTTCGCCTGTCAAACACAAGCGAACCGCACCGCCAACTCAGCCTGACTACACCATCTCTCATGTCCTCTTTCAAAAAGGTTGATGGGATGGCGTAGAACCACAGGTTAACGGAAAGTATGGCGCATTCAGTCGCAGGGTCTAAATGAGAACATGGAACACAAACACAGCCGCTTCTTCTTCTACCCTTCCCTCGGGGGGAGAACAGCTGATGTGGTGGCGAGGTCTCGACTTGGATCGTGGCACAAACGGATTTCTTCTTCTAGCCTGACCTCGGCTGGAAGCGAGAAGGCGCTTAGCTCCATCGACCCAAGATCAAGCCGCCCAGCCGCGAGCAGCTGATACAACATTGTTGTTACGGGAAGCGGGAACAGCAGACAAAGGTATACAGTATGACGAACGGTGGGGGACCCAACCTCCTTTAGGCAACAAATCCAGAAGAACGGATCGTGAGCTCAGCTTTCCGATTCATCCAGCCACTCTCGAGAGGCAGGATGGAAGTGAGTGAGCTTGCTATACGAATCGGTTGGTTCCTAGAAAGAACAAAAATATTACGATTCAAGAATTCATTATTTGAGAGCCAAATTAGGAAGGTGTTTGTTTTGCTGTTGCTCCTTTGGCCAAGTGTCGAATAGTGGATGCAATTGTGCAGCAAAAACGCCGAGCCGGCTGCATACACCTTCTCAACCTCTTGCTCGTTCTTCTCCCCTCATCCTTCCTTTCTAAGTCGCTTTGGGGAAGATTCGATCGCATACATCGCATCGCTTCTCGCTTCCCCGTATGCTGTGGACTGAGAGCTGATCTAAGCGGAAACGAGCCTGGCGGGCTTTGATGGTCGCGAACGAGTCCTGGTCGCCGGCTTGCTGACTATCTTGCGAGTGTGTGAGCGTCGGAGTTCGGATGCAGCTTTTGCTTTGTTGAACAAGGTGTAGGAGTGACGGCCTGACTCTATTGCTCTCCATCATCCTGTATGCCTTCATTGAACAGCATCCAGACTCGGCCCCAGAGAACTCAAAACATCACATCTCCTCCCAGAGACCAGAGACTTTGACTTTGACCGCCTGACCATGCCCCTCTCCCTCCTCGTCGTGGACTATATGCCCGTGTTCCGATCCTAGGACCAGAAAAGCTGTCTGCTGCTGATCATTGCCGTTTTGACTCTTGCTTCCCTCTTTGAACTCCGACCTCCTTCTTGCAAAACACTCCATCCGCAACTCCCCCTTCGTCACTAGACCCTAACGCTCTTGCGGCTGGACACTGCAAGCAGTCCTATCCTCCTTTCGATCTATAGACTATCACAAATCGGGTCCGATCCAACTGCAAAGTGATCGTGGTCGTTCAAAGGGAAGCAGATACAACCTTGTATGCCCCCTTTGACCCTTCGACACCATCCCTCAGCATCAATACAACTCGACCTTTTCTGGCGTCTGACGACATCCACGACCGTATCTGGCCTCCCATCCGCCGCATACACCACCTCTCCGACCTCATTGCAACACCATTGCCAGCACCATAGAGAGAGATCAAGAGACCGCCCATGCCGATGACCGTACGACAACTCAGCACGCATTGCATCCAGTAAACTTCATACATAGAACAAGTTGACAGGAGCATCAACAAAGGCTCAGCAATTGTCGGTGAAACAGAGGCCATTGTCCGCCTTGTAGATTGCTCTCTGAGGATGGCCACAACATCCCCAGCTCCAACTGAGCGCCCTGCACTTCGCTCGAACAACCGTCGAAGAGGATGGGTCATCGCCAGTGAAGACGGCTCCGAAGTCGAACGACCGACCAGTTTCGACGCTCGACGTAGTGCGGCAGCATGGAACAAAGGCAATGGCCCTTCCAAGGCTTCGATACCTTCGAGAGCTTCTTCTCTTGCTTCTCCAGCAGCTTCACCGACCATTCCAAGCGCAGCACTCCAGTCGGCACCAATCGAAACACCGTCTACCAGCAGCACAACAACATTAGAGACTCGACCGGTACCACCACCGCGCGTTCCATCATCGAGCGGCGGTCACGGTCGTGATGAGTCCACCACAAGCACAGATGCTGAATCGAGCACAGGAAAGAGAAGACCATCACCACCACTGCTCGCGCCGCCGAAACAGACATACAGGAAAGTACCCTCGACTAGGGCGCTACCCCCATCAGCATGGAGTGATCATCAGAAGTTCATGGCTGCTGCGGGAGCAGGGCCGAGACCGACGTCATTGCATACAGCGTTTTTTTCGACTGGCTCATCGAGTACTGCGTCTGCGTCACAGTCGCCCACATCAAAAAAGCCGCCGACATTGAGGAGCGACATGGCATTGCTTGCAGCGCAGAGGAGAAGTAACAGCTCTTCCGGATCGAGTGCTGTCACAATGTCATCTTCTGCAGCGCAATCAACCACCACACCAGCAACATCAGCCGCGTCGACACCGCTCATGGCAATGCAGAATAATGGGAAAGAAAAAGCTCTTGCTCGTAGCACATTGCAGGACGATGATCAGGAATTCTTCAGCTCCAGTCGTCCAGGCTCAAGCTCGTCCGACGCATCCAGTAACGCAGCTGTGGCTAGACCATCATCGCAACAGTCACATGTCTACCGAGCCACGCCAAAAACATCATTCCTCTTCTCACCCAACCAACTGCCACCCCTCAGTGAAAAGTCAGCTAATTCTGACCTAGAAGATGCCCTCACCTCCACCTCCGAACATGCATCCGACAGCGAGGCAACAATATCGACCCATGCGAAGCCCGGAAAGAGGCGCGATAGTGTACGCATCGAGCTTCCGCCCCCACCAGCGCAGTTCAAAGACAGATATCCCTCCATCATGGTAGACTCGACTCACGCGAGCGACTCTGAAGCCAATGGTGCAAACAACTGTGGCCAGCGACGAAGACGTAGACGCAGCACCGCATCAAACAGCAACAAGCTTGGTGCAGAAGGTGAGGATGACGAGGATGACTATGCGGATGACGACTCAAGCTGGCCATCTACTCCTTCCACGACACCTTTGGAGGCGTATTTCGCCGCTGCTGATGCTGGAACCAGACCCCATCGGAAAACGGTGCAAAGGACGAAGGAGATCATTGCGCCTGCATCGAATTCGATCGGTATGGATCGTCCGATGGTCGTAGTCACCAGCCCAAGTACGGCTTCGGAGGTCTCGTCGGATCAACATTCTAGCTCCGGTTCTGGATCGACGTCGGATCGTGTTTCGTCATCGTCACCGCCGGCTGCACCTGTTCTGTCTAAGATCGAAGAGCATCCCGTTGCAAAGGCTGCAGCATCGAAAGCAAAAGCGAGCTCGAGCGCCACCCCTAGAAGGTCGTTGTCATTCGAGCTACCTGCTGTTCCGCGCACTCGTGCTTCGGAAGAGAATCTACCCATCGCCACTCCTGTTCGCTCACCTTCTCGCACAATGGCCTTCCTCGCAAAGATCAACCCGACAAGAACGTCGAATAATCGCAGCAGTGCCGACTTGGCCTCCAGCGGCCGTCCTGAGGAGTCAGTGGCGGCAGTGGAGCAGGCCAAGAGAATGTCTTTGGACGGTCAAAAACGTACGTCTTCTGAACAAAGACGCTCGGTGGAGCTACGACCTATCTTGCTGAATGCTGCTTCTCGACCACCTTCACGTCCTGTCGGTGCCGCTGCTGAGAGCGACACAACAGGCCAGGCACCAGCAAAGCCAATTGCTACCTCGCAGGAGAAGCAACAAAGACGTCGATCTTCGGGGCGCGTGCCCATCCGACAAAACGTGGTCCCATACCACTCTCGACGTAGCTCAGAAATCTCTGTTGGCTCTTCGAATGTGTCGCCCCTCGTACAAGACCGGGGTTCGTTCGATGAAGAGGCGTCCGACTCGCGATACAGCCCATCATCGCAGGAGACAGCGCTCACTATGCCCTCACCAGCAATGAGCTCCGATGCAAAGCCCTTCTCTGCTCAACCTGCTCGAACGCCAGATCGTCGTTCCTCCACTGCAGGCGCAAAAAAAGACCGCTTTGCCGCTTCCATGCCTTCACTGCACCAACAGCAGTCCTCTCAAGAGCGCATGGTCAGCCGCCGAACACCTTCGCACAAGCAAGCAGCTGAGAACCGACCGTCTGCCATCGGACTACTAGTTGACTCGCAGAAGGGCAGAATGACAAGGGACAACGAATCCATCGCTGAGTGGATCTCTGTCTCGGTCAATGACCTGCCTCTGCCAGCTGAAACGCAAACGTACGGAAATGGCGGCGCAGGCGAGTTCTCGAACAAGAAGGGAGAGGCTAAGAAGGCACGGAAGAACAAGCCTTGGAAATTTGGAAGATTCGCAGCATCCGAAGTGGTGCTTCCGGCAAAAAACACATCGGCGTCGCCAATATCGCCTTCTTCTGGAGCACCAGTACTGCCGAAGCGTAGACCGATCTCGTTCGTCAAGCGAGCTTCGACTGCACAGGTCAACAATGCATCGCGAGCAAGTGCAGACTCGGCCCCTGCACCACAGTCGGGTCCGTTCATGCGCAATCTGGGCTTTACGACCGCCAACCGCAATGTGGTCCTGCAGAGTCTGTGTGCAGAGCGATCGATCTCGGCTCTTGCCGCCAGCACCATCTACATTGCCGGTTGTGGTCGTATCAATGTTCCCCAACCAGGACCCAAGCCAGACGGCAAGATCAAATCCAAAGCAAAGTCGAAGGCACAGGATGCTGCATGGAAAAGACAGAGTCAACGGTCGAGCAAGGCAGCATCGATGCCAGCTCCTGTCGAGGAGGTCGCAACCGATTTGGTCAGCCCGTGTTACAGCGCAGAAGCTTCGCACGATGCTTACCTGAATGTCGCGGAAGAGCGTCACACTGGCTACAGCCTGAGCGGCACAGGGATTGGTACGGTCAAGTCGATGGTGCCAGAGATGGGAGACTGGTCAGGCTCGTCACACCACGATAGCGGGCCAAATGAGGAGGTTCAAGAAGTCAGACCGTTCAGAGACTACGACGATGAAGGATCAGATCTCTTTGATTCGGACCGGTCGGAATCCCAGCCCGAGTCGGAAGATGAGATGGACTTTGATGAGGATGAGGATGAAGATGCTGAAGTACCAGTGCGCTTCGGGCAGCGAATCAACCTTGCTAACAGCGGGGAGACGGCGTCGCCACAGGTGCGCCGCCACTCTACCTCAATGCAAGAAAAGAACGTTGACAAGATGGCAGTCTCGAAGAGCCTGGAGAGCATCAGTCCTGGAGTGGTCATGCTCCGCGGAGCCGAGCTGCGCGTTTGTGTGGAGGAAGATGCAGGTCAAGATGGAGAGGATCTGGCATACTGGAAGGTGCAGCAGACTTCCGGGCAATCGGACAATGCCGACCAAGCATCACAATCTTTCGAAGGGCAGGTACGTCGCCAGCCTTCGAGCAAAGCGATGAAGCTCGAACAGGAGGTCGCAACAGGTATCTTTGCTGCCTTTGTCGGGAATCGCAGTCCCAGAAGACAAGCAGTACAAAGGACAAGCTTTGACGCTGGCAGCAGCAAGGACCAGGGATCACCTCAAAAGCGTAGTCCAGTATCTGCCAAGGATGGCATCAAAGGATTGCTCGTTTCCAAGCTGAACGAGGGCGTCTTTTCTGTTCGAAGCGAAGTGCACTCGACCATTGCTGGTGAAGAGCAGGTGGTAGAGATTGTTCGTCACTCTGGAGGCCGTCGCAGCTCTTTGCAAGCTTCGTCGAGGGAAGCGTCTGACTCGACTGATGGCGCCGTATCACGCCGAACAGAGGCACCGCTCAACAGGCTCGAACGCGCCTTCCCTTCGCCGCTGCTAACCAACGCCGACTTTAGCCACAACCGATCTCAATCCAATCAAACGGATGGCTCTAGAGCATCTCTTGACGAGTCGGAGCGCGTCACAATGCGAATCCAGCGTCATGGTGGGCGAGGTTTCGTTGCCAGCTTCCAATCTCGAGACGGACATCAATGGGTTTGGCAAGGCAGCAAGCTGGAAGCTTCGGTGTTTGCTCCTTCAAAGAAGCGAACAAGCAGTCAAGGACTCGACACGCTTGAAGGATACGATCTGAGTCTCCGTGCTGTCGTGAGCAGCGAAATGATCGAATTGGCCACCTTCTCGACCGAGTCGCAGCTTCGCAACGCACTCGGACTGTTCAAACCTCGAGGCAAATGGACCCCCAAGCCGCTGCCTGAAGATGGTGCAAGCGTGGGTCCAGCAGTTCCGCCACCAGCTCAGGTTCTTCCTTTGGCAGTGGCGATGCGCGGATTGGCAAGAGCGGAGCCACAAGTGCCTCGTCGAGGTATTCGTGGTGGGCCCTTGTTACGACCACAGCCACCAGCGGCTGGCTGTGCAGCTCGTCACCACGGAATGTGGCAGAACCAGCGAGCAGCCATCTCGACGGAGGCAGTGGTGCAAGTACACAACAATGCCGTCAACAATACCAAGGCATCACTTCAACTCAATGATCGTCCGGGATCATCGTTCCGCACGGGCGCGTTGGGATCTCATCGAAGGTCGGTGGAAGTGGCAAGACCGTCAGATGAGACGGTCGCCAACAAGAAGATGGGCGAACTCAGCTTTTCAGCGATCGAGCATCTGGATCGGGATCTTGTAGTCCTTTCGTTGCTAACAGTGATGGGCGTAGCCAGAGTCTGATTCTCGAGAGATCACATCGACTTGATTGCAACGGTCGGGAGTCGGCCCGGACTTGCGATCCTTTGGCAACGTTGTATTGTAGATCGCATCCACAAACACAGACACAATCTTTGAAGCAATCCACATTGCAAAGTAACAGCCTGTCAATGCCAAGTCTTCAACAATCAAGTTCTGCCCGATCACGCTGGTCAAACTGAAGCTCCTGTGCGCTAGACGTGGTCTCCCAGGGTGTTTCGGAGCCGCCGGACGCGAGGGCAGAGGATTCCTTTGTGAACATCTTGAAGCGAGCTTGTTCAAACTGTCATAGACCTTGCCAAAGGGACCCGAAAAATTGAGACTGTGTGAGTGTGGACAATCAGTCGCCAGACGCTTAGACAAGGATCTTCGTCGCGCCTTTCGTTGAGCCGTCGGATTCGATAATGAGGTTTCGGTAGCAACGTCCACGCCGGACTCGGCCTCGGCAAGGACCTCAAAGACCAAGGAGTAGCAGTTGGGCGTTGGCATGTTTTTGAGAGGAATGTAACATATATTGCTTACTAATGATGAGCAAAGTGTGAAAGTATAGTGAGAAATGAGCCAGCCGAGGCCGTGAACCTTAACTTTACCAGCCCGTGCCTGATCGCGACCACGAGTAACTAGCTCACGGATCTCACTGTATCAGCCGGTTCTGAGGGCCGCGGGTTAATTGAAGATGATAAAGTGTGATACGCTGTCCCTGGAGCCATTATCAGGCTCCTCTATCTCCGACGTATGACTTGTTGATGCTAAAGATCACGATCCAGTGTGACGCTAAAGGATGACGCGAAGCCGATCTGATCAGAGATCGGGTACAACCAAGTCTCGCTCGTTGTCAGGCTGGATCATTAAGTATAGCAACTCCCACATTCGGCATGTGCCATCCACATGTATATATATCGAACTGGGAGCGCTAGGCTCTCGCCATGTTCACTTAGTCAATTGAGTATATTTGTTTCTGTCTAAAACTAGCAGTGACATCGTACTCAGACTCTACCCGATCGCCAGCTATCGGGACTAAACTTCAACAGTTGAATGCTTGACATTTACTATGACTGGATGTGACCATATGAGCATATATATACCTTAGCACCGTCTCTAAACATGCTGGACTGAGATGAGTTACTTCTCGTATTACTCCTAAGTTGTCGCCTTCTGCACTACTCCTAGACCGTTACTATAGCAACGCTTATGCATTCCATATGCACACCGCTTATGCACGACCTCGCTTTATTGATGTTTCGATTGGACTCCGTGAACCTCGTGAATCCCGTTGGAATGTCGAAGCATCTTCAACTGGGTTGATGAGCTTACGCTTATTAATTTCTCAGACGCATCACGTGGATAGTTTTCATTCTATTTTCAAATTGCGCAGTCCGAAAACCGAGTTGGTCGTTGGCAAGGTTTTTTGTTGCGAACCACCTCCATCTCCATTTCTTCGACGTACTCGCTTACGAGTTCGTCGTTGGGTCGTAGGTAAGTAACCGAAACCTCTCTGATAAGACCGAGACTAGTCAGAGAGATTACTTTTTGGGACCAGCGGAGATGCAAAACAGTCAATCATGCCGCCCCTTTGGATATCAGAGAATTGTATTCTGTGATAGAGTATTGTGTGCTACTATTCTCGCCCTAATACTTTCTGTACCACATACAGGCTCGGGGAACCAGAAAGTGGCGGAGCAAAGAGAACAAAGGGCGAAAGGTGCCGCTGTTGAGCTGCTCATGGTCGCTTGCAAGCGGTATACAGTGGTGAATGGAATAGCGGAGCTGTGGGCGGGGAATTCAATTGCCTTTGCATCTAGCAAAGTGTCTCGCTTGGCTCGGGTTGTCACAAGGAAACTTGGACATGTGGCGCGATTCTTGTACATCTGAGGCAGGATCCAAGCTTGGTTAAAGATGGTTTCGATCACTTGTCTCCACCCTTGCAACTCATTATAAGCTGCGAAGCAACTCATCTTTCATGTCATACTGCGTGTCAATGGACTACCAACTGGTGGACCCCGTGCGTGTGACATTGCTTCTCGCTTCCGGCTGCGGAAGTCGATCGCTTATTCCCCCCCGCTATGACGGATGACGGCAGCTGCTTTGGTCATACAAAAAGACTCGGCGAACTGTTTGCAGCACGAGAGAGCGATGAAAAGCAACTTGCCGTAGTCGCAACAAGAAAAGAAAAGAAAAAAGAAAAGCTAGAAAATTGCGAAGGAATTGAGCACAAATCGCATGAACCGGTGACGAGGCCTTTTTTTAGGAATGCGTTGAGCGCCATTTGCTCTCTCTCTCTTGTCTTCTCCTCTACTCTTACTTTGTCTTGCTTGCACTGCGTCGTCCGTCTCATCTTCTCCTTGACGATGATCATGACTGCCTTTGACGCCTTCTAACTTCCGCTTGTCCTTCCTCTTCCCCCTCTTCCTTGTCTCTGTTCCTGTTCCGCTCCCCCCTGTCCCTTTTCAAGTCACCAGGTTGCACTGTGTCTGTTGATGGTCTCGCTTCGCTCTACTGTCCCCGACTCCTTCCAGTGCCTTTGATCTTCGCTTTCCAGCCGACACTTCTTCCTCCGTCCTGCCGATGAAAGTCGGTCAAGCTCGTCCCAGAGCCTTCTTCTTCTGGACCTTCCTTTCTTCTCAACACCCATCTACAACCTATCCCTCCTTCCCTCTTTCCCGCCGTCTCCCACTGGAACTCGGAATCTTTTCCCGTCCATTGCCGCTCACAGAGTACAGCACCCAGGTATTAAACAGCACTCGCACAAACGCAAACGCAATCGCACACAAAGCTTGCTCGGCGTCAAAGTTCCTTGCGATCCACCAAGCAGCTTTTGAAACCCGTTCAGCAGCGCTATTGTCGGGATCGTCGCCGCTTGTTGGCCCACTTTCTTACGTTGATTTATCGAGAATTGTGGCGCATCTCTGCATACAGTGTCTAGCGTTGCTTTCACTGCATCGGTCAACCCTTTTCGGAACTCCAATACCCTACCCTGTCCTTCTTCAGACACCCTTACCTCGCTTTCCCTCTCTCCTTTCCTTATCCCCGTCCCTTCCGGTCCCGTTGATAGCGGACTCCGAACCTCAATCGCAGTTTGTTCCACCACTTTGCTGTCTGCAGAAACGGATACCACAATTCTTCATTTCATCTCATCCCCTCCTTAGATGAGCACACCTGGTCAACATGGCGCAAAGTAACGTCCCTAGCGGCTCTTTCCCATCTACCGACTCCGTTGGAACCCCATCCTCCCCCTCTTCCACCTCCTCTTCCTCCTTCTCCACTGCCGCAACCGCCAACATTAGCCCCGACTTTGCATCAATACCCTTCACCGCAGGGATCCCTATGGCCTCTGCCATCTCCAATACAGGCGCAGGAGCCGCAGGTCCAGGTCTTGGCTGGAGGGATCCGCCCAAAGGTCTCGAGCTTTCTCAAGTCCACTATCTAGTCCGTCATGGCGAGAGAACACCAGTTCGCACTCGTCTCACACATATCTTCCCCGAAAAATGGAACCTCTGTCGTGCCGGTCGCGAGTTCGATGCTACAGTCCTCGACTTGGCTCCGAACGCGTATAACTCCATTCCACCTTTCGAGGTTGGACAGATCCATCCTGGAAAGACAGCAGTGATGCATAGCAGCATCATGCGCATGCGGAGAAGTGTGGAGACCGAATCATCACGGTCTGGCACTGGACAGAAGGATGAGGAAGGCGAATGTATGTTGGGCCAGCTCACTGATCTTGGTCGACTGTCAACGTTAAGGTTTGGTCGGGAGCTTCGTGGGCTCTACGTTGACAAACTTGGCTTTCTGCCGCAGCTGCTCACAAGCAAGGATCACGATGCAATGTACTTCCGCAGTACCAACATGTCACGGACCATCGAGAGTCTCGAGCAAGTCGTTCGCGGCCTCCACTCGAACGCTGTTCAACCCAACACTGCAGGACAATTCATCCCCAAAGTACTAGTGCGCAATGGAACAGACGAGAACCTCCTCCCCAACACATACGGCTGTTCACGATTATGTGCCCTTGACAAAGCCTTTGCCGACGCAGCAGCACGAGCCATCAACCCATCTCTGGAAGAGTTCGATTCGCAACTCGAATCCGTCACAGGTTCCATACCCCGCGTCGACGGTCGACCACGACTCAACGGAATCGTCGACACGGTCAAGGCAGCACAAGCACATGGATTCCCCATGCCTGCCGCACTCGCCGATCAACGCATGCTTCGCAAGTTCGAAGAAGCAGTTGTCGCCGAATGGTTTTCTGGTTACAAAGCACTAGATCCGGATCAGAGGCTGGAGTTCCGACGTCTAGCAATGGGCAGGTTCGTTAATGATTTGGCCTCGCGAATGTCTTCTCGCGCAGAAAAGGGTGAACAGGATCCACTTAAGCTTGCTATTTATGCTACTCACGATACCGCGTTGGCGGGAATGCTGTGTACGTTGGACTGCTTTGATGGTCGATGGCCAACGTTCACCGCTTCGATGGGTGTGGAGTTGTTCAAAGACACAACAGCACCAAAGTCCAGTTCGATACTGGGACTTTTAGGGCTAGGATCGAAGCCGGTACAGCAGCACTACGTTCGAGTGAGATACGGTGACAGGGATATGCAACTCCCAGCATGCGCTGCAAAGGGGAAACATTTCGAGGGCAGACCAGAGTTGTGTACCTTGGAAGCATTCATGGACATTGCCAAGTCTCTACAACATCCCAAAGGCTGGACGTGGGAACAACAATGTGCTGTTGGACAAGGGCCGCGATCGTCAAAGTAACTCTTCTTTTATACCTGCAGGAATCAGCACACACATCATAAGGTTTCCCGTCTGTGCTGCTTTCTTTCTCGACTGTGGTCCCCCTCTTCCCCCTTCCCCCTTTCCTTCTTCCCTTTTGCCCTTTTTCCCTCGATGGAAAGGAAGGGCCCATTAATCGATGTCTTTTCGCCTTTTTACCTACGAAAAGTCATTTTCATGCCGGGCCAACATTAAACCTTTTACATCCCTCCCAAAGTTCGCTTTGAGATAGGGGGATGTATACTTTTTATCGAGCGGATTCACTTTGCCGTCTGTCACCCTACTGCGAGAGGGATAAATGGCCATTCTCTTGCTCTCACATTCTTCTCCCCTTGCTTCTTTTTTTCTATGTTCTTACGAGAGACATCTGTGCACATCTAGAGCGAGTCTCGTTACAATAGAAGACCGTTTACAAAGCTTTACTGGATGTGACTGTGTGCGTATGTGTGAGCGGTCTTGAAAAGAGCGTGGGAGGATGAGCAAGAAGCACGGAAGTCGGAGGTGAGGTGAAATTGAAGCTCCGTGCACGCACAACCCCACCACGAGTTGACGTGGACACTTTGCTTCCTTCTTCATCTCCCTGACTTCCCTATTCTCATTTCCAGCGCTCTCGACGCCCTCGTCAAGCTCACCAGCTCTTCACCTAGAAACATTCGAAATCTGAAACATTCTCGTCACCTGCGACGTCTCCAATACTCGGTTCTCGTATTCTTCAACACTCGCCTCACCTCACAACAGCATCAACTTCAATCTTTAGCAAACATCTCTTCTCGCCCGATCGCAATCTTTCTTCCCACATCAAGCTTCGACACCGCTCACTTCCTCAGCCAGATATCCTTTCTGCAGCAACAACGAAAGAGAGCAAAGATGGAAACAATCCAACATTGGCTAGATGGCAAGATCGTACGTTCTCATTCCAATCTACCCGCACTCTTGCCCTTCCCTTTCCACCTCCCAGTCCGACCCCTGCTCCCTCATTCGCCTTGCCACGCTTGTAACCATCCTACGGACCGTTGCTCGTTTCATTCAAGCTCGAACCGGTGCGTGAGGAAGCAAGAGACTGACACTGCCCTTTTCCTTCTCATCTTCTCATCACTCCGAAACAGGATTTCGCAGGGCAACGCCTAGCAGATCGGCTAATGCAAGAATCCCTAGTAGCAGCAGCAGTAATCTCCTTCATTCTAGGCTACTTTCTTCAAAACTTGCAATTATGCATGTTGACATTCTTAGCTTCTACGCTTGTCATTGCTCTTGTAAGTCCCCCCCCCCCTCCCTTACAAAGCCCAATCTCTGAAGGGGGAACGAAGCTGTACTAACGGCTTCTTTGTTTGTGGTTCGGAAAAAAAGGTCACAGTTCCAGCATGGCCACTATACACCAAACACCACGTTGAGTGGTTACCTGCCCGCACACAAGATTCAGACAGCAAGAAATGAACAACGTAACTTCACACACACAGGTTCGACATGGCTTAATACAGCTATTTCCTTCATTATGGTTTAGACTGTGAACCAGGCCTGGGCACGCCAGTGCCAGCAGAGGGGGGAGTGGGTTGGGAAGGAAGCATGGACAGAAAATCTAGCAAGGTTGATGCATCGTTCTCAACTCCATTCTTCCCAGCTGTATATACGCTGTCCGCAGCTGCATTGTTTCTTGCCTGTCCAGCATCACTAGCGGTGGTGTACATCCCAGCAAAAGCATCTGCTGTTGGAGTATAAGCTGCCGGGGAACCAAACAGCATTCCTCCTGAGGTAGCAGTTGTACTTAACCCGGTAAAATTGAGCGAATCAGCACCACCTTCGTAAGGCTGTAGAAGCCAGTTGTGGAATCCGAATGCCGCTGCACCTCGCTCTGCTTGCTCTTCTCCAGCACCAGTGGTGGTGGTGGTGGTGGTGGTGGTGTTGTTGTTGCTGGTCTCGTTCTTTCCGCTACTCCCATCGGTGTTGTGGTTGAGGTTAAATGCATCACCGCTCGCATTCGCAGCAAAGTTGAGACCAGCGGTGTACGCTTGTATCCCAAATCCACCGCGTGGAGACTGCTGCTGCGTGGTAGTCTGGGTAGTTCTCTCGCTCAGCGTCGGTACCAAGCTATGCCCCGGTGTATACCTCGCAGTCCTCGGAGGAGCGGCTACAAAAATAGTCGACCCAGGAGGAGGTGCAACATCCAAAGTATTAATTGTATTCCAAGTGGAATCGGATAACCAAGTCGGATGTTGCGTAGCAGCAGCTTGGAGTAGCGCTTCGTGGTGATGATCGCTTGCCCGTCGAACATGCGATGGACTCGGCGCCGAACCTCTCATAATCTCTTCCACACTAACCATTTCCGCCCCTACCCCTACCCCATCTCCTACCGACTGCCTACTCCCCGGCTCCAACACACTCCTCAACACCGCCGAAGCAGCAGCATCGAAAGTCTCCCTAATCTTTGTCCCATACCCATCATCCCTCGACGTCAACGCCTCCAACGTCGAAGCACAGCTTTGAACATTAAACACTACCTCCACCACTGGACTTGGACTCTGTAACCCCGTTCTCGTCAACTTCTCCAACGCATTGAGATGCGTCAAGCCGGAAATAAACAGATGATGCGTAGCCAACCAAGGAAAGTTGATGGTGCTGCTTCGATGCATGCTTTTGTAGATCTTCATTGCTCTTCCTGATGCTATGAATGCTTGTTGCAAGCCGTGGGAGTCGGGTCTTGGGTTGTTGGGTGATGGTCGGAAGAGTAAAGAGATGGTGAGGTTATGGTTGAGGTCGATCCAGTCGCGAGTGATGAAAGGTGTTGCTGTAGAACTAACACCTTCACCCTGCTGAGACCTATCGTGAGCCGGGGGAACCAATCGAATCCTATCGTACTCGGACCTCCACTGGGCCAGCTTCTCCATCATCCTTGTCTGCCATTCGACATTAGGCGTCGGAGGCCCAACTTCCATCACCAGCGCCAATGAAGGCCTTGCAGGCGCTGGCTGAGACAAACTGATTCCATCATTATCCAACGAATAGTCACGAGGGTTGACACTGTGCAATCGGCACAGAATCTCAGACTGCACCCGTCGCAAGTTGATATGAGACCGGAAAATTTGCTTCTGCGAGTCGATCTGCCAATTTTCCAACGACGAAGAACCCTGATCACGGTTCGCCCGCAGGATATCCGCATCCGACACCAAGCTCGGCAACTGAACATGAATCCAAGCATCGGACAAACCAGGGGGTCGAGCAAGAGCCACCGCCAAACTTCGATCCAGGCAATACGTTGTCCAGAACAAACGTCGTCGAAGATCGATCGTCTCGTTCGTAAACGGAGCATTAGCAGCGGAATCGTATTCTCGATCGACGTGCAGGTTGAGTTCTGTAACTAGACGAATGGCAGCTCCGGACAACTCCCAAACGCTACCTGAAGTTGGGACCAGCAAAGCGTACTGCAGCTGAAGCAGAGTTGCTCGCAGCTTGTCGATATCGCTGAATCGGAACAGCATCGGGAAAAGTGCTTGTGCTTCAGCCCAGTATTGATGACCAAGCCTTCTGAGTTCTGGACTGAAGTTGTGCGAGCGACCCAAAGAAGCCAACGCGATCGCCAGCGACATCAACACAACGTATCGATGTTTCGACATTGCAACGCGACCCGTAGCGGGTGAAGGTGGTAGTGACGGCGGAGGCATAGCATCGTATGAGTTGGCCGATAAAGCTGCGAAGCGTGACCGCTCATCATCCTGATAGACAGATGTAGCGATCTCCCACATCCGAACTTCGTTGATCACGGGAAACGCAGTGTTCATATATGTCAGATATCTCGCGATGAGCCGATCGAAGAACGTCCTGTCGTAGGCCGAGATCGCGCCAAAGCGCCCAGGTCTCGACCTTGACTTGAACGGGTACGGTCCTGAAGCATCCTTGAAACGTGAGGCCCCAGCACCGGCGTAATAGGAGCCGGCATCGTCTCGATATCTCGAAGCATTGGATGACGATCGTCGTTTGAGCCTGTGTGGAGACTTTGTACGGTCTCGATGATGTCTCGTGAGAGCAGAGAGTGCAGACGCCTCATCATTGTCTAGATTCTGTGTGGTCGGTCTGGATGTCGATGCTTGGTGCTGCTGACGATGCGCAGTGCCTGCAAGTTCTGATGAAAGGCTTTCGAGAATGGTGCTTGTCTGCTGAATGAAGTCGTTTGGCGAAGGCTCTGTCGGCTCGGACGAGCAAGAAAGACTGTCTGATGTTGAAGATTCATCGTCGGGATCAAGATCTCCTGTTGCTGCGTTGTGCAAGCTGTGATATCCATTCCGGCCTCGCTTTTGACGCTTGTTGAAAAGCCTCCCCACACGAAATGTCCGACCATCGCTACCGCTATCACTACCGCTATCACTACCGCTGCCATGTCCCTTGTGAGCCGCTAAGATGTGTCCGTTGTGAGAAGTGTTGCCAACACTGTTTCCTGAAGATGCGAGCGCAAGTCTGCTTTCCAAATCCTTGACTTTCTGCTGCAACTCGTAGACCAGACCACGAGAGACATTGGGTACCTTGTCGCGACCAAAACATTCCCTGCCAGACTTTTGACAAGGCGTGCAAGCCGGCAGCAACGCATCGCACTTGACTTTACGGCTCCTGCAGGCCTCACACGCCGGCAAACGAGTCTCTCGTTCCTTATCTTTTGAAGCGCTTCCCTCTCTATCCTGCTTTTTGTCTACGGCGCTCTTTGGTGATGGACGAGACGAACTTGCAACTGCAGAGATGGCATCTGCTCCTGATATTGAACCTCTTGCAGGGCCAACCTTGCCTCCTTTGGCCGAGCCGGTGCGTGGAGATGTGATGGTGGCAGTATCATCCGTTGGATGTGTCGTTGACAGTCCAGGGCGGACAGCTGACGCAATTAGTCCTGCTGACATGGTTTCGATTGTGTGATGTTGGGAGGCATTCCCGAGCGCGAACTGCTGTGCTGCAAGCAGTGATGGTGGAGGTGTTGGATGACGGTGATGGAGGTGGTGTTGACGGAACACGAGACCGGCTCGATTGGCACTTCGGTAACAACGGCCGTGTTCGCTTCAGGAAGAGAAGGCTGAGCAACGAATAAAAAAGGGTCCGATTTCACACACACCACAACCGAAACGCCTCTCAACCTTCGTGCTCTCATCATAGCGCTTCACACTTCGCATAACACCTGCGATGCAGATGCGAGGACGATACAGATTGTCAATGATATCAGTCACTATCCTCCAGCTCCTCCTCTTCCTGCCTCGGACCACCCAAACCATACGCTTTGCGCACCTGTCTCGAATCACCGCTGTTCTGAGCTGCAGTATAAGGCCTCGAGCTTTTTCTCTTCTCTACGACCGGAGCTAATGCGATCACAGGCGAAGCATCAGGTATCTCGGCCAAACTCATGTCCAGTTCAGCAGCAAAGCCGTCTAGATCATCATCATCCTCTTCGTCCTCGCGCGGCGCATCTTCTGTAGCTTGTGAGGTAGAGCGAGGGCTTGCAACGTCAAGGTGTGGGGAAGCAGTAGGAGTGATACCGACGTCGGTCTGCTGTAAGCCGAGTCCAATCGAAGCAGGTACTGCGCTCCGACAGTCGCTTTGTTTATGAGTCAAGGGAGAAGGCGACCGTCGGACCTCGTTAGACAGTGCAGAAGGACGACGTGATGCTACAAAGTCTTCTGCATCAGGCGTATGCGCTTTTGGTGTGCTGATTTTGACTTGCTTATCATTTGCATCGAGGCGAGAAGCAGGGGAAAGAGTTCGAGTTGAAGCTGATCTTGCCTCAGTGTCAGTTGGTGCTTCGTGCTGGCTGATATCTTCCATTTCGATCTCGATCTCGCGTTCGAGCTCGCGCTCGAGCTCGAGTGCCAAGTCATCGTCTTCTCCTTCCGAGCCTTCCGGTACGGAGGCTGCACCCGTTGCTGTGGTCTGAGAGTCGGTAATGGTTGGTGTAGGTGGTTGTTGAGGAGAGCTAGAGCTTGTTTCACCTTGAGCTTGGCTCGAGCGGCTGCGACGCAAACCGCTGGTGGAGCCTTGAGGTGGTTCCGGAGCGAGGCTATGCTTTGTTGCAGGCTCTTTGGTTCCATGAACGACACCCTTGTTTGAGCTGGTCTCTTGTATGGCACTGCTACGCTTTGAACGATCATCATTTGCACTCGCCGCGGAGGGGCCGATCGAGCTCTCGGGCTGATCATCGAACTCCTCCATCTCGACCGCAATATTTCTGCGTGATGACCTTCGCACTGGAGCCATCACTGTGCTTGTTTTGCCACGCAGCTTGAGCTCGCCTTGCCTATTACGACCGGACGAACCCGCCCTGCTATCTTCCGTGAGACTGCTGTAATCCCTCTCTACAGAGCTTGGCGTTGTTCTTCGCTGCATCGAGCTATCCTGTACAGGCCTTTTCTTAGGCTTGACTGCCTCGCTCTCCCACACGTCGTGATTCTGAAGACTGAGCACCGTCTTGGACCTCTCATACTTTAGCGCAAACGTTGCTGCCACTCGATCTAGACGGTATACCTTTGCAGCCGCATCCCAGACTAGTACCAGGTCGTACGCTTTTGCGGCTGTCTGCGGCCCGGTGAAGACGTGTGCCGGCTTCTTACCACCGCTTTCGCCATTCGCATCAGTGTCGTGTTCGTTTGATTCAAGTTCAAAGTGCCATTCAGCATTCTGACTTCGGCTTGGGCCAGGTTGGAATAGCGCGCCCTTCTTGCAGTCTTGTGTTGAGTCAGGCTTGAAGTTGAAGTTCAGAGCGAAGTAGTTAGGCAGTGATTGGCTGGTGGAATCTGAGTGATTGCTGGAGGATTGAAGGTGAGAGGACAGAAGGGAAGCAGCCGATGGCTCGATGGCTATGTCGTAGAGCCTTCGCTTTGTGGAATTGCTCATGGTGACGGGGCCTTGGCCTGTTCGATGTGGGCGCAGCCAAAGTGCGAAGGTGTATGAGGGAAGCTGAAGGTGTGGTTGTAGTTGAAAAGGTGGTGGCTCCAAGAAAACGGCGACCTCATAATTTCAGGGTCCAACAGAGAAACTTGAAGGGGCCTGAGCGCGGCAATCCCGTCTGGACTCAATCGCACGATACAAAACTAACTAAACCGATTATAATAGCACGCAAATAACTAGGTGGATTGCAGGCAAAGACCCGTGAGGTCCTCGAAGCTCGACAAGGAGGCTCCCAGCCCGCCGTATAGGGGCCGGTCGAGCGCAGAAACGAGCGGCAAGGGAGGGAGTACAGGGAGGGCAAAGAATCGACAAACCAGGTTATCGTATGCCTGGCTTTGGAGAAGATGATGGTAGTGAAGAGAGAAATGAAGAGCGGACTGATGTTGTGAAGAGCGGAGCGGAGAGCCGAACAATGCGATGTTGAAGATTACGATCCAGTGACGACGCTAAGAGGTGACGCAAAGACGACGAGATCGGAGATCGGGTATAACCGATCCTGTTAAGGATCGGGTACAACCAAGTCCCGCTCGTTGTCATGGTTGATCATTAAGTAGGAGTACTCCCACCTTCGGCATGTGCCGCTCACATGTATATATATCTCACAGAGAGCACTAGGCTCTCGCCACATTCCCTTAGTCAATTGAGTATATTTGTTTCTGTCTAAAACTAGCAGTGACATTGTACTCAGACTCTACCCGATCGCCAGTATCGGGACCGAAACGACTTCAGTTTCTCTTATGCGATGGCTGAGTCCAGACACGCACGCCTTTTCTATGAAATCACGTGATGCACAATTAAAGTCCACCTCAACGAATATCCGCTTCTCTTCAGTTGAAGTTGGAAGTAGAGACACCACATCGTCGAGGCCACGATCAGGCTCCCTTGGTATAAGTGTGAAGCAACTGCAAATGCTTGCTTGTTACCAGAGGATTGAGGCTACGAAAACATGAGTATATCTACCTTAACACCGGCATTGACAACGTCAAGTTGCCTCGGGTGTGTCGGGAATCTCTCCTACATAATCCCAACCGTCTGACCAGCGGCAACCATTTCGTAACTGTTGCCATGACAACGCACAGCTTGGCGCACTTCATGTTTAGTAAGCGGCATATGTTGCCACCAACCTCGCTATCCTCTTGGTAGGGCCAACATCGTGTTTAATTTCGGTCTTCTGGTCCCCTAGATTCTGATTCTGACTTACCGTGTTAGACCCTGGGCATTCCGACGTATCTTCAACTATGTCCCACCAATTGCTTCACACTCGACACGCACTAGGAACAGTCTCGATGTGCATTCGAGTTGATGCAAACCATCATAAATGGAGTTAAGTGAATGACAACGCGGATAAAAGACCGAGACAGGAAAGGAACAAAGCATCAAGAAGAATCACGACTCGAAGCCATCATCTAGTTCGAGACCGATCATGACGAGGTTGTTTACTTGCTAGCGGTCCCGGCAGTGATCACAGTAAACGACCACTTCTTCAACTCGACCGAGACCAGCTTACCGGTAGCCTTAGCAGTGCAAGTAGCAGTCTTAACGCTCTGCTTCTTCAGAGTGTTCGAGTCCAACGGACCTTCACCCGCCACCTCCTTGCACCGAGTATCAGCGCCCAACTGCACACCAGCATCGATGTTCACGTAGGTAGGTTTCTCGCTGTAGTTGACCAACTTGACCACCACATTGTTCTTGTCATCAAGACCGGCGGAGACGTAGATCTTAGCTTTTTCGAGCTCCTTGCTGTTCTTGATGGCCAAGTTCTGGCTGATGCGGTTGGCAGAGATGAGGCTCTGCATCAACCAAGAGGTCGAACTGATAACCTTGGTGGTGTCGAACTCGAGCAAGCCGGGAGTAGACTGTGAAGCCCGGTCATCCGACTCGTTAGAGAGTTCAGGAGCATATGCGGCACCACGGACGATGTCACAGTTGTTCTCCATACCCAGGATGAAGACCGACTCGGCAAGAGATCCTTGGAGGATGGAGTGGTGGAGTCGACCAGGACCGAACCAGACGTTGTCATCGGCTTCCATGCCAGAGTTGATAACGGCGAACTCCATGCTGTAGAACACGGTGTTGTTGGTACGAGAGGCATCGTCATACATGTGGTACCTTTCGATGAAGTCGGAAGGAATGCCGTAGATGGGCTGGTTGAGAAGGTCGACTCGATACTTGTAGCCAGTGGGGACGGTAACAGCGGCGGAAGCAATGAGGTCGATCTCATCGAAGCCCTTGTAGCCGGCAAACTCCTTCTTGAGACGGTTGGTGATCATGTCGAATCGGGTCTGGTAGTCAACATCAGGCTTGAGTCCACCTTCGTTTCCGATCATGAAGGCCTGAACGTCGTAAGGCTGCTTAGGACCACCGCTATTGAAACGAAGTTCGGCGAACTTGCCTTTAGTGTCAAGCAAGAAGTGGACAAAGTCGACCTGCTCCTGAACATAAGGCTCAAGGTCCTTAAGGGGAACCGACTTGCCGTTGGCATCAACACCAGCCCAGAGACCAACGATGAGACGAGCTCCCATCTTAGAGATGAAGTTGTACATCTCGACAACGCCAAGGCCGTCGGTGTTCCAGCCAGCCCAGTTGCCCAGCCGACCAGGTCGGTCCTCGAGGGGACCAATGGTTTTTTCCCACCGGAAGCGAGATTCGATCGTGGCACCAGTAAGGTCGTTACCACCAGGCCATCGGATAGCCTTGGGCTTGAACTTGAGGAACTTCTCGGCAAGATCGCGCCTAGCAACGGTATCGGGGTAAGGAACGGGGAAAAGACTAACAAGGTTGATCTGGAACGACTCGATACTGCTGTCGGTCTTGATAGCGAAAACATTGTTGATATCCTTGGCACCGACCCGAGGCGAAAAAACACTGTGGACGGGAGTCCAGTGGCCGTTAACCTCGACAATCTCATTTCTCTCGGCGTATCTCTGGGTGAGATCGACGTTGTAAAGACCGTAGGTGAGGCTGAGCTTCGCAGGCTTTTCGGTACGAATGTAGAAGCTGGCGTTGTATGTTTCACCAGCCTCAACGGGCATACCGAAGAAGCCGAGGTTCTTGAGACCGCAAGGGACACCCGACGTGCAAGTGATCTTGGCAGACTTGGGCAAAGCAGCAGAGAGAGGCTTATCGGCGACGAGATCGAGCTTGGAATCGGCTACGGGCTGCCAAGCGGTTAAAGAGCCAGAACCAATGGCGTCGTTCTTGCCCGCACCAAAGACGGCGTCGGCGGCAGACTGGAACGCGCGGTTTCGGATCATCTCAGCGTAAAGACCACCATCAGTGCCGTAGTTGAGGTTGGACTCGACAAAGGTGTTCATGTCGTACATGCACTTGGACTTGGGCCTGGAGTCGAGCTGAACGGTGAGGCCAGAATGAAGGGTAGATCCAGTACCGTCGGTAGTCTGAGGGCCCTTGCGGTATCGGAGCTCGCGTGTCTCATCGTGCATCACAGGCTTAGAACCGGCACCAATCATGCTGGGATCATCATCAACGATCTTGGGGATAGTTCCGCCTGTTGTTGACGTGACGATGAAAAACAAAGTGGTGAGATGATAGCATGAGCGTGTGTCGCTACGTGTCGAACGCGTCACACAGCATACAGAAGTGACTTACACTGTGCGGTAGCAGCCAAGGCCAAAGCCAGAGCCACGAAAGTGAGCTTCATATTGAAAGTTGATCCTCGAGCGAGTGTTTTGTGTTGGGGATGGGGATGGGGATGGGGGAAGCGGGGGGAAGCGGGTTGAAGGGTGAGGATAAAGAAAGCGAATGGGGTCTGGGCTGAGGTCAGCTTATATCTCTTCTCACCTTTTCCCAGACCCACCCAGCCATCGTACACGCGACTAAACAAGCACGTCACCTCTCGGTGAAGTGGGTGCTTGGCGATGGAGCTCCTCATCCGAAGTCTCAGCGCCACACCACACATCGGCGACTGTATTTCATATCCGTATCACCGGCAAGGACAGCTTCATTTGTGGGTCCGCCTCGAACAAAAGAGGTCCCGATCCTCGTGTCTCCCACTGATAGTCAATGCTCCCACCCAGGTCGCCTCAACATTTTCAGGGGTTGGCGTCCCACCAAATGTCCACCGTTGACCGATAGTGAAGCGATGAGCATTGCACGCTTGCCCCTCCGACACTGAGTGGGCTCCTTTCTTGCGGAATCCAGAGAATCAAAGACACACTGACGAAAGGCGATGAGCTCAGAGCACAAGTATGTGCGCCACTCTGAAAAGAAAAGCGATATCATTTCTATGATTCGCGAAAGCAGACTGAGCAGGTGGGCGAAATGACGTCTACTCAAGGAAGCCCGACTTCCTCCAAGTAGCCACCGTAGCAGTTAGATACTCGGGCTTGTACGCTCGAAGCCCCTCAGCAATTTCCTTCTCCACCGATGATGAAGCGAAAATCTCCCTCAATCGCTTTGTTTCAAACTTACCCATCCTCCCCTCCACCCCTTGCATAGCTTTGAAGTGATCGAGCAACTTGATCATCGGATTCCGCGAGGGGTTTTGATCCGACCCCTCCAGCCGCTTCAGCCACTCTGTGTAGGGCACCGCTTCGAACGTCTTTCCCAGATTCTGCTCCTCTGCTAAGGTGCCCAGTGCCTTCTTCCATGGCATTGCTTCGTCGCTTACCGCATGCACCAGCTCGCAATCCCTTCCTAGCTGAGCTGTAGTGAGTTGAGCTGTGATGAGACCAGCAACGTCGACAGGCAACCAATACAAATCATCAGCATCGCCAGGGATACACCCGATCGTCTGAGCACTCTTAAGCATGAGAGGTTGAGCTTCGGTCTCGTTCCAAATTCCTTTCTCTCGGTCTCCCACCACTTGGCCAATGCGCATGAGTTGAAGATGCGTCGGCATCTCAAGCAAGGTGCACGTGTTACGGCCGAGACATCGAGATACGGGAGGCTCACATAAGCGAGGAGCACAATGAGGTACGCAATTGTTGTCATGGTGACAGCACAGTGGCACCCGGTATCATAGCAACACAGGGGTACAAATGAAGGAACACACCCTGCCTCGGATGGGATCAGAGCGGTGAATGGAGTATATATATGTGTGTTTGTCATTTAGTCTCACACTACGAAAACTAAGCATTACATAGAACATACGGCTGTGGCAAAGGGAGTCTGATCGTGACCCCGATAACGCCGTATATTAATTGTTATCTTCAATTGCATGACGACAGATTTCAACCCACCTCCAATGAGCGTCTCTGCATCCCGGCACAGGTTTTCGACGATCCATTTTGACTGGGCGTAGCCCATTGAAGCTGTGTTTTCCAGATTGTCGAAGCTCGTTTCCGGGATGACAGTGCCGGGGTAGTCTAGAGCGACAGAGACGGAGGATGAGAAAATGAATCGAGGCGTGGCAGTGCCCGTGCTTTGACCTGCGAGGTTCATAAGCTGAACGGAACCTTCGAGAACGCTCTGGAAGGAGTCGACGGACATGTTGAAGTTGACTGGCCAACCGTTGTGGATTACACAAGTGACTTTGCTGGAGATTTCGGCGTATCCTTGCCGCGACAGTCCGAGGTTATCTTTGCTGAGGTCTACAGCGAGGGAGACGACTTCGGTGCTGGAACCTTCTTCCAATGGTGGGAGACCACGAGCTTCGAGCGAGTCTCGTGTGCGTTTCGCAGCCTCCTGATGATTAGCAGCACGGTTGAGACAAATGATCTGGCTAACGGTCTGCTTGCGACGAAGCTGGTCGACGACATGTGCACCAAGTGAGCCGGTTGCACCCGTCAGTACGATGATCTCCTTCTCAAGACGATGTGGTTGCTCCGCCAACTTGGAATTGCGAGGCTTGAGCTTCGAGCGCAACTCTTTGAGCAGCTCATACGTCCTTTCCTCCTGCTCCATCTTTCTGTTCCCATGAGCAAGCCTATTCTGCGACCAACCTCGTACATGCTGAAGCACAGCATCCGTCAATTTGTGCAAAGTAGGATGCTGGAACATAATAGTGTTCGGAAGAGGCGCTGGCATACGAACGCTTCGATGGATCTGACTTCGAATCTGACTGTCCATCACCGATTCCACACCCAAACTGGTCAGATCAACACTCTCCTTCCCATCCAATTCCAGCTCTAGGAAACGCTCCAACACCTCCTTCAACAGTGTCCTCAGCTGCTCCTTCGAGTGAACCGAAACTTTAGCCTCGTCAGGTGTGGAAGTACCCAGATCGAGCTCTATGTACAACTGATTAATCTCCCCAGAAAACATAGAGTTAGCTGGTGCCCTCTTCACACTTCCCTTATCTGCCACAGGGAAGCGCTTTTCGGGTGATAAGAATCGGATCATCTCCGGTACGAGCCGAGAATGCGATGGACACTGAGCGTTGACCTCTCGCAGCAGCGGTTCGATCTGTTTCTTGAGCCCCCTCTGCCTCTCCTCTTCTGGAAAGCCCGCGTACGGTTGCCAAACCTGCTCGGAAGGAACAATGAGTGCACCAGTACACTGCCTTCCAGCGCCAAAGACCAGACAGTCACGAAGCAGAGGCGAAGACGTGATACTTTGCTCCATCGGCACTGGATTAGTCTTCTCTCCGTTGAGATGAACCAAAGTATCGTCACCTCGACCCAGATAGACATAGCCGCGGATAGACCCGTCCTCGTTACGAACAATACTATAGTGATCACCAGAAGCATAACTCCCATCGGGACGGTTGACTTTAGACAAAGCTTTCCAGCCTTTCATGTAGACCATTTCGTAGGGGCCTTCATCAGTGGTGCCGACATTTTCGAACTTTAGGTAAGGTGCGCAACGTTCGCTGGGACGCATGACGTTCCAGCCTTTGTCTGTTGAAAAGTTTCGAATACTGTCCATGATCTGTCCCATCTCTGTAGCGCCCAGGAAAGCAACAAGGTTTACACCGTTCGCGACGAGCATGTCGCCTACCTCGACGGGACACGGCGCTCCGCTGTAACAGCACAACTTGATGCTTCGCAACACATCAAGACTCTCTTCGTCTTCGCTGAGCATTTTGAATGTGAAGGGGACAGCGTAGATGATTTCGGCAGTACTATGACGGGCTGCTTTGCTGACGAGATCGGGACGGATGGTGGCGGAGTAGATGTAGAGATGGCGATGGTGGATGATTTGTCGCCATGCAACTGCGCATGCAAAGCCGTGATAGAGGGGGGCAGTGCACAGTGCGTCGTAGGGCATGTAGTCGGCGATTATGTTTAGGTATGCCTCGTGTCTGTAGATCCAAGAAGGATATGAGGTATAAGTATGTCAGTAATGGCTACACTCCATCGAGTCGCTGATGATGGATGGAAGATTGTACTCACGAATAGGTATAAGGCTTAGGAAGACCAGTACTGCCACTAGAGTGAAGCGTAAAGGAAGGCTCCTGTGCCTGCTGTTCGTATGGCACTTCGGACTGGTACGGATCTCGCTCTTTCGTCGGTGCTGGTAATTGATGAGACGCAATAGCTTCTTCCACCCGGTTCACCTCCACCAGCACTACATCTTCCTTCATTCCCTCCATCTCAGCCTGCAGCAGCTGACACACCTGCTTAGCTGCCCCCTCCTTCCCCTTTCCATACACAAGAACCGTCGAATTGGTGCTCTTAAGCAAGTGCACAACAGCAGGGACCGAGTTGTTTGGCGGGATAAGAACGACTCCATAACCCAGGCGAATCAACGCCATCTCTGTGACCGAGAGGTCAAAACTCGAGTCGGAGAACACTCCGATCTGCCTACAAGGCTGGTCCTTTCGTCGTACTCCGATGCGGTCGGCATAGTAGGCGGTAGTAGCTCGAATGCATCGGTCGAGGAGGGTCCCGGTGACATGTTGCCATTCGAAGGGATCGGTAGATTTGACGTACGAGATGCAGGGTTCGTCGTAGGACTGGGAGATGAGGTCGTCGATGAGAGCGTTAAAGCTCCAGCGGCCTGCGAAGGGGGCGAGCAGGTTGGCACTGCCTTGCGCTGGTGAAATGGTCATAGCGTGCGACTTGATGCGAAGACATGACGAGATAGGCTTGTAAATCTTGGTGTTTGAAGTAGCTTCCTTCGATGAAGTCTTGGAGAAGAGCAGTGATCAGATGTTCTTGGGCACTCTTTCTATAGCCGTTTGGGCCCCCGTGTTGTATTCTTGAAGCGATCCTGCCGGAAGCTGTATGCCAAGACGCCGGCCAACTCGAAGCGTGAAGCTCGACACGTTCAAGTGAGACGTTGAGAGGCGAAGTAGCTGATCCGGTGGGTTGATGACAGGGAAAGGACAACGTAAAAGCCGTATGTAGCAGCAGCCGAGCAAGATGGTGTTGGTGGCCCTTTGGGATAATGAGAGCGCTTATGGTGTGAGAGGAAGGATATCTCTCAAGAAGAATGGCATCTAAAATAGACTCTTACACCTTTCTGTGTGGGGAGTTCTGATCGAGTTAGGCTCGAAGAGCTGTGGCCCCCTCCTCCTCCTGCATTCGGCTACATACCACAATGAGATCTGTCAAATGCGCCTTTCCTTGGAACGAAAGACCGATACGTGAGCATCGAGAAAGTTTATGACATGCTCCCACAATGTCAGCGGGACGGGGACGGTAGTGACCGGCAATGTTCAGCAAGAATGGTAACGGCAACGCATCTGTGCTCGGCTGTATCGGTGAAGCGCACGGCACGCAGCAGACTATCTTCTCGTAGTCGCTGAAAGCTCGCTCGCACGCATTTGCCGGCGGGACCCAAAGCACTGGCACACCCATCTGTTCGCAGGTCAACCGCAAGCCACTCGTTCTCATCTCAACTGAGACGATACCACATAACGGAGTGTATGGAGATGAGATCAAGACAAGTTCAAGACGAGAAAAGAAGTTGAAGTTATGCGATACACCGCTTCGTCCGGGCTACGTTCTAGCTCCTTTCGCACAGGTGTATGGTAGATGCAATGCTTGAGATTTCTAGTGAACTATGACTACAGGACTGTCTGTATATATACCTTTGTCTCATGCTTGAGTAGCTCTGTTGTCGCCCGCTAGCTGGGCGTGCCATGTGTTACCTCGGCGTTGTCTTATCTGTGCCTCGGCGTTGTCTCCCGCGAACTTCTTCTGATTGGTCGCCACACGTCGGCCATGCATGCACGTCCCTCGCTCTCTCGGCGACTCAGCTTTCTCGCATCTCGGCTAAGCTCCTGGTAATTCCGTCGCATCTTCAACTAAAGAAAAGTGTGAGAATCATAGTGGAGCTGCTGCCTCAAAATTTCGAGATTGAGAGGGGGACTTGGCTGTTTCAGCAATTTTGAGTCCAGAAACTCCCAAGTCCCCCGGCCACTTCCAATCCGAGACCTACGTGAATTTGACATGTACGTGAACTACGTTATCGGGACTAAACTTCTTCACATTCTCTCACTACACAGATCGGTTGCATCGCATCATCAACCGCTCGAGTTTTCCGGCTGACAATATCCGTCGAGTTCAGCCACCAAAGCCCGGATAGGCAATGAGCATGAGATTCCCGAACTCCATCCCATCTCCCATTCGCTTGGTCCTCTTCGATGCATTCGACACGCTCATCACTCCCCAATCCGCCCCACATCTTCAATACGCCTCTGTAGCCCGCGCCCACGGTCTCGCCGTCATCGATGCCGATGTCAAATCCGCTTTCAAACAAGCCTTCCGTACAACTTCCCAGGAGCATCCGAATTATGGACTCGAAACCAACATCGCTGACCCCGACGATTGGTGGAGGGTTGTAGTCAAACGCACCTTCCACCCCAGTCTACATTCCAAAGTTACAACGAACCAGTACGAGCAGAACATCATACGGCTATCAGAGAGCCTGGTTAGGCGGTTTGGCACTAGGGAAGCATATCATTTGTTTCCAGACGTTGTTCCCACGCTCCACAAACTCACCCAGATCAAGAACAGTAAAGGTGAAACGGTAAAGGTGGGGTTGGCAACGAATAGTGATTCGAGGATCTCGTTAGTACTGAAGATGTTCCACTTGAAACGGTTTATGGAGCTAGATATGAATCCCTTGCCATCGTTGGGAAGACCGAGACCAGGTCCGACACTTTCGTACTTTGAGAAATGCTCTAAGCCAAATCCACGTTTTTTCCACGCTGCCGTACGTCGAGCTTCGGCCACCATTTCAACTGATGAAGGAGCACAGTTGAGGCCAGAGCATGTCCTCTACGTGGGTGATCAGCTGTACGAAGATTTCTGGGGGGCAACCGATGCTGGTCTACAAGCGGCTTGGCTACAGAGGGATAGTGGGAAAGAAAGCAACCAACCGTGGCAAAAGATCAGTGGAGAACGCAACAGCGAGCAAGAGTTGGCTTTTGTACGAGAAAGAACTATCACAACCCTGGAGGATGTTGTTGAGATCGTCACTCAGAGTCAGCAAGAGGGAGAAGAATAAATCCTTTTCAAGAGTGTGTGGAAGCTAGTATACAAAAGTGCAACTCCAAGACAGTTTAATAAGGTGTAGACCGCATTGCCCGAGACTGATAATCGTACGATATTGAGTTAGTATTTCCATAGAAGTCACCGTTCAAACTGAAGGCAAGATCAGGATCGACGTCTGTCCAATCTGGAACTATTCTTCGCAGTCGTGTTGTGTTGCTAGACGTGTGGAGGCTTTGTGTCGATGAGACTGCTGGTGATGGCTTTGTCTCTACTGATGCCGGTATGGAGTCTTTTTCGGCTAGAGGTGAGGCATCAACTAGGCTGCTATCCGTGGAACTACTTGGATCTATCACCGACTCTGGGCCATTGACTTGACTTGAAGCAGTCGAATCTGGCAAAGTATTCTTCGAAGCAACTAATCCAGCTGTGGCTTGTTCCATACTTGTACCCACTCGATAATGCTCCTGCGTGTTGCTGCCGAATGTATGTGCCAAGGCGAGCTCTCTCCCGATCGCCTTCCAAAGATTGATAAACAACCGGCACGAAAGAATGCTGGAGAGGCCCACGTAAAGGTTAAGATACGGCATCATCCTTCCATCCCTCTGCTGACAGAGGTACCAAATCGGAATGGGGATGACGCAGAGGAAGACAATGGCGTAGTATACAATATTGTCCTTTCGAAACATACGTTCCAGTGGCGAGAACCTCCTTCGATGCGATGCTCGTCGCAGTCCAATCAATGAGAGGACGAGGATGGTAGAGTCGAAAACAGGAAGAAAGAACCACGGCATCATATAGATGATCGGATTGCCAAACCCGGTTCTTTTCGGAGGGCTTGGGTCGCAAGCGCTAATCCCATTCCGTTTGCTCTGACTGGTGAGAACAAACATGTTGACGATAAGGAACGCTGGTGTCGCTAGCCATAGCAATCCGAGAGAGATGACGGCGATGATGTGGAAGCGATACAAGGCCAGGCATCGAAGGAGGAGGATAGCGGAACTACCAGCGATCGAGATGACGGAGAAGAAGATACTCGCTCGACGATCCGCTTGGCATGCAAAGTTGGCGTAGTCCCATCGTGCGGCTCCCAGCTCCATCGGTCCTCCTGCAATGTTACCGACAACAGAATGAAGGACGGCAGTGATGGAGAAGCCAAGACCACCGATCCGTGATGCGAAATAGGCAATGTGAGAGAGCTTCCATTTACGACGTCGAGAGATGAGCTTCCATTCCCACGGAAGATGAATGGACCAGTCCGAGACTACGAGGCCGAGAGACATGGACGCGGTGATTAATTCAGGAAGGATCGAGTTGATGCGTCGCGCAGAGATGACGACAAGATCTTCGGGTGGTGGGAAACGGTGACGCCACGTTGCGTTGACAATGGGTGGCAGTGGTGGCGCGCTTATATTGAATGGGAGCTGGGTTGGAAACGCCGGGATGGCACTGACTGTCATCTGAACGCCTGCCATCTTGATAATGTCTTTCAGCAGTACTGCTGGCTGCTGCTGGGTATGCTGATCTATCGAGCTTGAAAAGTGGTAGAGTAGGATGAAAAGATGGGTGCGCAAGGATGCGTCTGTGCGGTCTGCCGCGTCGGTCGGCGGCCAAGCCACCTCTTTGCTTTCTCGAGCAGACGAGACGATTGCTGTTGCAAAACCTAGAGCGGCGATGCGATGAGATGGAATGGAATAGATGGTGGTCCAACGGCAAGCACTGTATCAGTTGTACGCAATACAGTATCGGCTCCCTTCTCGCCGCCGACGTTGCAGAAGCGGCAATATAAGCGAAACAGGGCCGATATTTTGCCGCTAAAATGCCCCGCACCGAAATTCGCTTGCCTTTTTAACTCGAATTTCTGAAAATGCAATCCTAATTATTACTGCAGACCAGCATAACAAAACGCAGAATTTCAGGGAAAAGAAAAGGTACAGAGAATTATAGTAAAATTTGGCATTATTGATTGTTGCTGAGATTTGCTGCCGGCCGACAGCTCTTCTTGGCAACGATGATGCGGAGAGAGGGTGGAGTAATTTTTGGCAGCGTTACAGCTCAGTCATTCTTGACCGTGAGCTCTTTCCCATCCTCCTAGAAACCATCTCGACTCTCGTCTTCACCATCAGCTCGATGAGGCGCTAGATCTTCCCACTTCCCGATCATCTTCAGGGCTTGTGTCTCAGGTGCACAAGGGACAATCAGGTCAAAAAAATGACCACCACCCCAACACAGTCCGACGTCGATGACCGCACAGCATCAGCACTCTCCACCTCGTCCCACACTCACGTCGACAACAGCAACGATGCTGGACACCCTTCGTCACCACGCACAAAGATAACTGCTTGGTCTGGCAAGCACTCCGATCCTTCTGTAGCAACACCGCAACCAGCACCACCACTCGCACCAACAATACCAGACACCTCCGCCTCGACCGGTCGACCGGCAACACGCGCTGACCGCCCCCCGCCGCCAAAATGCATGCAGAGTTGCATCGCCAGCATAGAAAACTGCACTGCAAATGTGGTCCGATTCAACGAGCGTATGGAGCAGAATCGGGTCCAGGTTGAAGCACAAAGGCGAGAATCAGGAGATCCATGGGTCGCGAGGAAAGCGATAATTCCGATGGTGTTTGTGATTCTGTCATGGGTGTTTTTGGTGTATGTATGGAGGTTGTGTAGTCGGCTAATACAACAGAATCCTCAGGGCAGGCTGTTGGGGAGGAGGGAGGAGGGGGTAGGGTTGTTGGTTGGGTTCGTGGTGCTTTGGTTGATGACCATTTGGAGTTATGTGACGGTGATATCCAAGGGACCAGGGTTGGTGAAGGATTGTGTTGCTGAAACCGATCCTCCGCTCGCTCCGGAGATGCAGTATGGACAATGGGACGGCGCGCATCCACAGCAGTATCAACAGGGAGCAACAGCACCAATGCCAATCCCAGCTATGCAAGCTTCCGGATCCGGATCTGTATCAGCAGCATCACCTTCCGCTTCGCTGCCATACCCATCTTTCAGCGCAGATCTGGAAAGATTTGGAGGCAACAGAGCATCGTCAGATAGCATGCGTGTACTTCCAGGGTCTGTAGAGCCAAAACATAATTCTATCTCTGCTGCTGACCGCGATTTCTCACGCAACACGATCGATGAGGAAGACGTTGCACCAGCAACAGTGGCCGACACTTCGGCTGCTGAAATCCAAGCTCACCTCTCTCCTCTTCTCGATGACGCAGAAGCAGTCGCAGCAGAAGAAGATCCTCAACTACCTGGCCTAATCGGTCCCCTTCCAGCAGCAGCAGTCTCTACCAGACAAGCAGCCCAGCAAACCTCCACCCATCCCACCGCACCCGCACCCGTTGGCCCCAATGGCTGGGTTCCACCAAAACGTCGACCAGCCAACGATCCACCTCCTCTTTCCGCCTCCGCTCTGTACTGTCATCGTTGTCGACGCGTCAAACCTCCTCGTGCACACCACTGTCGACGATGCGGAACGTGCGTTCTTAAGATGGACCATCACTGTCCCTGGGTAGGAGGCTGTGTTGGGGCGCATAACCAACGCTTCTTTTTTATCTTTGTGTTTTGGGTTACTTTGCTCGAGCTCTATACCCTCATTAGTACTGCAGTTTTCTTCAGCCGTGGGATTCAGTCGCTTAACACGGCAGGGGAGTGGAAAGTGGATGGGTTTCTCATCTCGCTTTTCCCCATATGCGCGATCTTTTTGATCTTTACAGGGGCACTACTGGGTACGCATGTTTTTTTGATGGTGCATAACATGACAACTGTTGAACACGTCGGGATCAGTAGGGTTCAGGGAAGGGAGAGAGTGTTGGTCGATAGATGGTTTGGGATGCAGAAAGGCAAGCAGGGGGCTTTGGGAGGGTTGAAACAGAAGAGAAAGATGATTAGGGATTGGGATGAGGAGTGGGGTAAGCTAACGAAGGGGGGGAATCGGTGGTGGTTGGCCAACTCGGACGAAGTACATTATGGTGCGGAAGGTGAGAGGGATAAGGAGGCAGGGAAAGATAAGCAAGTGGTTGGAGGGAAGAGGAAGGGCGCGGCAAGGACGAATGTTGAGCAAACTTTGGGAGAGAAGGTTTGGATGTGGGTGCTACCGATCGGAAAGCATCCGAATGAAGGGTTGCAGTTTCCGATGAATCCTCGATTCGGGGAGGAGGGAGTGCAGAGGAGGAGGGATGAATGGCCTGCTGAGTTGCGATGAGCAACACCCTGTAACGAGTTGACTCGTAACATCGACGATGGACACTGAAATATACCCATATGGCACTATCCTTTCTCTCCACTTGTTTGCTTGTTCACTCTCCAATCGCACATCACACACAACACATTGACACACTGGCAGAACCCGAGGACACAACAATCACATTTGGTTATACATCTCTCCCACCACACCTCTCAACGCATCGTTTCCGGTAGTGACAACCCAACAGCCAAATTCTTCGGCCCAAAATACTTTGCATAACAGATCCTACACCAAACATTCGCACCCCCCTTTGGCGCACCCGATCCTACCCCTCCTCCACCCACCGGCCCTTCCTCCAACTTCCCAGACTCCAGAGTTGTACTGCAACCATCGCACCTCAGACAAGCTCTGTGCCACTTACTCCCCGCTGCAGCTTTCTGTTCTGCAAAGTAAACCGGTTTACCGCACCTCGCGCACAACGGGGTACCTCCACTCGCGTCGACTATGCTTGAGCTCAATCCGATTCTGTCTATTCCTGACTTGCGGCGTGAGGAGAGGAGAGAGTCTGTGGATGAAGATTCGGTGACTGGGTTAGGGATTGTACGTGGCGGGGCGATTTTTGCTGTTCCTGATGCACCGGTTAGGGTTTTGGGGTCTGGGCGGCGAGGAAGGGGGAGGGAGCCGATGGCGGAGAGGGGGGAGGCGGTGTTGACGGTGGGTGGAAGGCGGGCGGTGGTGGATGTGGGGGAGGACGTGCCGGTGAAACGGATGGAGCCGATGGTGTCTGTGGCGGCTATGCGACAGGTTTGGATCGTGATGGGAGTTCCATCTTCTGCGTAGGTTGTTTCTTGGGTGTACTGGGGTTTGGAGGAGGATGATGGGGTGGTGGCACGATCACGGGTCGAGGCAGGTGGAGGAGAAGGTGTGGCGTAGTAGTCGGCTGATGGGATCGTGTGGCCTGTAGCAGAGTGTGCTGTAGGGGTCGCTTCGAAGCTGTCATCCTCATTTGATGCAGTAGGAGGGTTATTGATGCTCATTCCTCTCACAGCAGCCTGTAGACGAGCGACAGGATCGTTCAGCACAGCATTACCAGAAGCAATTGCTTCATCAATAGACCTGATCGGCACAGGTGAGCTATTGCCCCCTCCACTACGCGATACAATATCTGCAGTACGTGCAGAAGGCGAGGAAGCCTTAGTTGGCGACGGAGGCGACGCCAAAGGACTAGTCACACCAATCCCTCGCGAACGGATACTAATCCCTGGAACCTGATCTTCACTCCCCGTCAGCGACGCACCTGGCGTGAACTTGGTCGGACTCGGTGATCGCCTTGCCGAAGAATCCGTGTAGCCGCCTCTACTGAGTGTAGTCTCTGGTGTGCTGAACTGCTGCATCGCAGCGCCTGTCCTGGATGGAGTCGAGATAGGGCTCCTTGTCGAATTCGTAAGATTGGTAGCAGGAGAGCGTGGCGATTTGGGCGAAGTTGGGCTGAGCGATACAGCTTTTGCAAAACCACCTTTGCCAGTGCCCAGGTGCTCTTTGTGGCAGTTCTTGCAGTATGGTTCACCATCGTGCTCTACAAGAAGGGTGGAATCGAGTCGTTTGTTGCACACGACACAGGTGAGACACGTCTTGTGGTATGGCTTGGAAGCAGGACCGATGACCTGTTCGGCGAGGTAGACGGATGTGTTGCATCGCGCACATTTAGGCGCTGCTGGGACGGCGAATCGAGGCATCTGAGGTGTGGACCTTGCCGGAAGTGTGATGTTGTTGTGACTGACGTGCGTGAGGATGGGGAGGCAATATGTCCTTGGTGTCTTCTCCTTTTGCACAGCGAACTGGAGCTGACGCGACGATTGCTGCTCTCGAGATCCATAAGGGTCGTGTTGCCGATATGGGCGAGTCGCTCAGATGGACGGCGTGGATGTGAGGTTGATGGTGGTAGTTGGCGAGGAAGTCGTGTGCGGCTGTGTAAGATGGCGGTTCTGTGGAGGTGTTGATGTCGAGCGGTTGAGAGACACACTGACATAGAAAGGCTCAGCAGCAGAAGCGCGGCAGCTGTGCACTGTCACTTTTAGACGTGCATATCGTGGCGCGTCGCATTAATCTGGGTCACGGGAAACAAAGGCGGTCTAACACTCCACCGCGCCCCGCACCTTACTATCTTGCGCTGCTTCTATAGCTTGCTCAAACGAAGCCTTTGCAACTATCCACAATCTACAAGACTTCTGATACGACTTCGGAGAAGCTATGTCAAAAGCTTTACATACCGAGGATCAGGTCTCCCCATTTTCGTACGACAATATCGTCCACGGGATGATGACTTTACACATATCTTCCCAATTTTAGATGTGATACAAGATTTTCGTGTGCCGCAATCAGATTACCACCAGTATCGGTGTGTAGAGCAGTGATAGCCATTCGGGTTGTTAATCAAATACTGTTGGTGGTAGTCATCAGCAGGGAAAAAGTCCTCCGCCTTCCTGATCTCCAATTGAGTAACAATCTTCTTTCCCTTGGGATCAAAGTGTTTCTTCTGCACCTCCTCCGTCACCTTTTTTGCGGTATCGAGCTGGTTCTGATCGTGTGCAAAGATGGCCGAACGGTATTGTGTGCCTCGATCGTTACCCTGCTGGTTGAGCTGCGTAGGGTCGTGCGTGCGGTAGAAGAACTCGATCAACTCGGCGTACGATACCTTCGAGGGGTCGTACTGGATCTGTGTTGCCTCAGCGTGACCCGTTCGTCCGGTGCAGACTTCTTCGTAGGTAGGGTTCTTGCTCGATTCGCTTCCACCAATGAAGCCGACTTTAGCATCGAGGAGGCCCTTGCCGTTGCCGTAGGCTTTGCGGTAGATGTCTTCGGTACCCCAGAAACAACCGGAAGCGACGGTGGCAGTCTCTTGTCTAGCAGACATGTTGGCAAGGGCTGACTGTGCGGCTTGAGCGGTGGGTATGGTCGGTGGTCCGAGGTGTTGGATGAGCGGCTGCGACGATTTGGTGAAGAGCGAAAAGAATCTGCTCATGAGCGGGAGATAGATGATTGCGAGAGACCCAAAGACTAGTGCAAGGAGTATGCGACGCAGGTTGGGCGATAGGATCTTGGGTGTGTTGATTGTGATTGGGATGAAAGATGTTAGACGCAAGTAAAGGTGGCAAGGTACTGTAGTGCCACCCAAACCTGCAGTTGCTGAGCTGCTCCTTTCTCCACGTTGAGAGCTGACTTGACAAGGCACACGAGATGTTCCAACAATTGCCGCGGATGACGTGATCTTTCTGCCTTTTTGCCTGGCCAAAGCTGAGCAACACCGCAAAAAAGGATAGCCGGGATCGGGTCAGCTGTCAAGATCGAAATTCCGATCTCAGATTCAAAGAGTTGACATACGCACGGACACACATTTCTCACACGCCATCCGAACCCTGAATTCGAATTCACCGATGCTGTTTCCATTCTTGTCACTTCGTAACCAACCAAGACCGTACACAAAGTGTGACGACGACGACGACGACGACGGCGACAGCAACACAGTGGCACTCAACTTAGATATGAGCGCATCTCAACCTTGAAGAGCTGACTCGGATCCTCAAGCAATTGAAGCTTCTGGAGCAGTCAGGCTGCTAAGGTCGACAACATGTCCTACCCCGGCCAAAGCAGCAAGGCTTCCTCCTCGATCAACCCTAGCAAGCTGCCTCATCGAACAGCGACTTCATCCACATTTTCAAGCCTAGGTGTCGGCGCTATCCACGATGATACCGAAGTCGCATTTGCAGAGCTTCAAATGCTCTCGCAAAACCAACGCAAACTCGCTACTCTCACCAGTCGAATGACCACCATCCTTTCCGGCTTCGACAAGCGTCTCATCAAGCTCGAAGGCAGCATCTTGCCCATTCACAAAGGCACACAAAAACTTGCACGCATGTCAGACAACATCGACCTCACCTTAGCAGCACTCAACAAGACACTCGGTCACTACGATGTAGTCATCGATGAGCAGCCTTTGCTCAAACAAGCACCTGATGTCAGAGACACACGACCGTATATGGACACCATCGACCGCGTCATTAAAGGCCTTAATTACCTGCAGAAATCCGACCTAAAGAGTCAAGAGGGTGTCATGAAGCGTATGAACGATCTTATCGAGCTTGGCGCTCGGAACCTCACCAACGTCGTGTCGGACTGGGTCCGCGCAGATTCGGGAGTCATCGATCTGAGCGAGTACAGTCGCAACGCACACTATCCCGTGCTATCGGAGGCAACACACAACGCGATCATACCTATCCTCAATTATCATTCGACGCTACCACGTCATCCACGCACAGGGTACAGTCCACTTTCGGCTGCTTTTGCAACGTATGCTAGCGTGAGAAGCAACTATCTCGCGCAATGCCTAATTCCGCTTGCGTCAAGGTTGCAGCAGTATGCACTCGAAAAGATCGGGACTGGAGCTAGTGGAGCCGGAATGGTCATGGTCAATAACCATGATGACGAAGATCACTCTTCCAGCTATCGTCGAGGTGAAGCTGGCGCTGTTGAGCTGTTTGAGGCGTACTACGGCATGCTTGATAACGAGTACCGCATTTTGCAAGGGCTAATATCGTCAGCAGAGGTGGATAAGGAGACGTTGCTGCTAGCGTCTACGTTCTCCCAGCTCGCAGCAACAGCAATCAATGGCTTAATAGAGTCACTCAGCACGATAAAGTCACACGTTCGCCGGCATTTGGTCACACACGCCTCTTTCCTACTCGACCTTATTGGTGCCTTATCTGGAGTCATCTTGACCGGAAGGTGGGACGTTCTCATCCGATCGATGGAAGACTCGCCAGACGCACCTTTGTACAGCAGTACACCTATCGACAAGGCCGATCTCGACCTAAACGCCGGTTTCGCACCTGCTGCTGAACTACTCGAGATCTACAGCAAGCTGAAGAACATCGCGATCGGCATTTTCCCTCGATTCATCGAGGACGTGAAGGCCATTCCGGCACGCAAAGCTGCCGAAGTACCCAGCACATCCGTCAACGAGATCACCTATCTCGGTTTGCAGTTCATCCGCCAGATCACCGAATACAGCGATGTTGTTTCCCCCCTCCTCCAAACACTCGGTAATGGCAACTGGATGATGTCCAGCGGTGTAGCTCCCGTTCTCTCACTCGGGTTGGACAACCATCCCAGCAAGCAAACCATTGTTGGCGACTACCTGAACGATGTAGTCGCAGTAATCCTTACCTCGCTCGAAGCACGTTCTCGAGCCATCCGTCAACCTTCCACCGCATCGGTGTTCCTTCTTAACAACACCGGACATCTTCGTCGAACGCTCTCTGCTCCTCTCCCCTCCTGGCTTGGCGCAGGGGAAGATGAGAAGCCTGCTTCGATCGTCTCCCTTCATCTTGGAGAGATGGGTGAAGATTTGTTGAATACAGCTTTTCGACAAGCTAACACAGCGTATCTCGACGCATGGTCTCCTGTGGTTGCACCGCTGATGGAGGACCAGCCGCTGAATGCTAACCAGCACTATCATAGGCATGCGACGTCGAAGCTTATTGGGGTTGGGTCTGGGTCGGAGAAGAATCAGGTGAAAGATCGGTTTGCTAAGTTCTACGAAGCGTTGGATGATCTGGAGAGGTTACACAGAGCCTATCCGGTAAGCAGGGAGGATGTGGAGTTGAAGGAAAGGTTGAGGAGAGATGTGACGAGGTTGGTTTGCCCCATGTATGGAAGATTTTTGGGTAAACATAAGGCGAGCGATTTCACAAAGAATCCGAGTAAACATATCAGAATGACGGAACAGGAAGTCGAGGATAAGATCGCAAGTCTTTTCCGCTAGTAGTGTGGCGAATTGGAGGGGAAGGAGGTTGTATTTCTATTTGCATTTCTATCAATCAACACATATCTGTCTATCGATTTGGAGGGGGGTGTTAGTGAAAGTCAACAAGTCCCCCGTGAAGAGTGAGTGTATTCAGCCAGCTAGGTGGTATGTCAGTCTCATACAACACGCTTAACCCAGCAGCGATATTTTTCAAGTAAGGCGAACTAACATCGTCTCCCTTCTGAGTATAGCTGCCATATCCGTCGACTGCTGGACCTGCAACCCAGCTTCCCAGACCCGTTTGAAAGGTTCGAGGCAACTTTGCCCCCACTAGGGCTTGTTCTACCGCAGCCCAGCCGGTTTTGGTGTTGCGAGCTGCATTGTATTTCGCATAGACCTGAGGCCAAGTATAAGGGTCTTGACTCGACGTTCGGGCTAGATTGCACTGTATCCATGTTGCGACGTGAATATTTACCCAGGGTCTGAATAGATCTTCATTTGTCAGATTCTTAAGATCGAGAGTTTTGCCTGTATCCCAATCCAGCAGTGGTCCAGCCCTGAACGAGGTTGGGGCGGTAGTGAGGTTGTACTCTGTGCTCCAAGAATAAGTGTTTTTGGTGACGGTAGCATGTTGTTGAAACAACTTCAACTCTCCCGAACCAAAGGGAGACACTTGCATCAACCCCCAACTCGATCCCGAATCGAGACGGCCACCGGAGACCGCATCGTGGTCGAAATCCGACTCCGCTTTTATGTCTGCCATGATCACTCGTGCTGCATCCCGAGTAGAGAGCTCGGGGAAGTATCGTGCAGAAGCAGACATAATCGCTGCTACTGTTTCTTCTAGAAGCGCAAGGGTGGAGAGCTGTGACAGGTCGTAAGCCCATTTTCGGATCAGGTGAAGATCGCGACGTACTTGCGAAGGACCATATTCGGGAGTGTCGAAGAGGAGGGTGATGTTTGAGCGGCCGGAGGAGATGATGTATTTGCGCGGAGTAGCGGCGGTGGTAGTGTTTGTGGGGATTTGAGTGGGTATTGCTGCGATTTGCTTAGCATTTGTTGATTGCTGAGATTTTTGCCCGCTCGTGATGTTGTTGGAAGGATATGCTTCAGCAAGGTTCGATAGAATAGTTTCGCTCTTCGATGCGTTGGCAACGACGCTCGTTTGATTCGAAAGAATCATGGCCAACTGACGAGCTTTTCGCCCTGTAAGCCCATCGAAGGTTTCGACGATTCTTGCCAAAGTAGAGCGTGTATGTTGCAACTACGGGAAGTGGTGTTGGTGATGCCGATAGGCCTGTGTCGGCATCTGCTACCTTAAAGGATGTCATACGTGGAAGTACCCCCGCTTTGACGCTTTGAAGGATGAAGCCGCTGAGTGCTATAGCTACGAGCAGGCAGGGTAGGGAAGCGTTCCAGGTTCGAGTTTGGGTCATCTTGATTAGAACTTCCTCGATGAACGAGAAGGTTATAGGAACGTTCTTTGTGCTGGAAGGAAGAGAGGTGAGAGGTGAGGGGAGTAGTGATCAAGATCGAGCCGTTATGTAGATGCAGCAAAACGTGATACTCACCGAACTGTCCAGCAGTCTGCTTGCCTTGGGGGGTTGGTGTGGTCGCGTGTATCAAACACGAGACACCTTGTTAGGGATCCGGGCCTATCTTGAAAGAGAGACAGGAAGATCCGAGGGTACACGACTCGGCCTGCGAGCTTTCAGCTGTGGTGCTGCGTGAGGCAGAGCCTCAACGTCGGTGCTGGTGGAAGGGCGGGAGGAGGAGACTGGAGGAGATACGGAAAGAACCTTGCAAGCACGGGATTTACGAAAGCAGCTTGTCTTATACCTCGCAACCCTCACGGTTCAGGCACAGCCCTTTTCGGCACCCCAATCAGGACGTTCCAGGGTTTGAGAAGACTCAGTAGCAGGGCCGAACCAAGGAAGGTACTTCAACAACCTCACACGTGGGCGGCAACTCCCTACAGTACCCTCGTGAGCCTGCTAATCTTGACTCCTTTCGCCACATTCACCGCCTCAGCTTTGGTAAAGGTAGAGTTCGAAATCAGCGTAGGCTCCCCGAAAAGTTCCTGCATTAGCATAGAGTCCATGTCTAGACCTTATGCCACCAGCATGAAGTGTCGACAATGACGAGAAGGACCATAGGACGCAACATGTCAAGCACTGCTCGACAACTGATTTACGGCTCCAAAAAGAAAGAGTTGAAGATGCGTCGGCATCTCAAGCAAGGTGCACGTGTTACGGCCGAGACATTGAGATACGGGAGGCTCACATAAGCGAGGAGCACAATGAGGTACGCAATTGTTGTCATAGTGACAGCACAGTGGCACCCGGTATCATAGCAACACAGGGGTACAAATGAAGGAACACACCCTGCCTCGGATGGGATCAGAGCGGTGAATGGAGTATATATATGTGTTTGTCATTTAGTCTCACACTATGAAAACTAAGCATTACATAGAACATACGGCTGTGGCAAAGGGAGTCTGATCGTGACCCCGATAACGCCGTATATTAATTGTTATCTTCAATTGATTAAGAGTCTGAAGAAGCTATCACCGAGCTAACCGAAAACTCGCCGACAACCATGGTAGAAGACACCGAAACGAGGACTAAAGGAAGCAGAAAAGGCAAGAACACCCAGGTTCGAGTCGACAATAATGCCACGAGCGAGAACGAGCCGGAGGCCATCAACGATGAAGCCGACGGAGACACCGATTCGGACTCCGACTTCGATGATGGCGACAAGCGATATAACTTTCGCACCCTAGCAAAGCTCCTTGAACCCGTGCCAAAGCTCACGTCACGAAACTACCATAGCTGGAGCGCTCACGTGAAATCTTTCCTCCGATCCGTGCCTCATGCGATGAAACATCTTGAGGGAACGTACGACAAGAAACACCCGAAATGGAGCCGCTCCCTTGACGATGCTTTAATTAACGCCCTGCGTGGAACAATCGATACTACCGGAGAACACAATATAAACTACCTCGTTCTAGATGTAATCAAGGAGTACCTTACTTTCAACCAAGTATGGAGAAAGATCGAAAACGGTCTCACGAATGAAGCCACCAAGACGTCCCACAGACTTGCGCTTATCTCGCAACTCAACGATGCAAAGATGTTTCACTCGGATGCCAGAAAGCTAATTCAAGAGATCCGTTCCATACAAACTGAAAGCAGTCTCCTCGGAAAACCATTCGCCGATGATACATTGTTCTCGGCCCTGCAGAAATGCACGATCCGGCACCCGGTGTACAAGGAGACGGTTGCCACCGTCCATCAAATCGACTTCAACGCCCTTGCCACCGCATTAAGCATCCGGCAGACTGCTGTCGAGAGTGTCCCCGCGCAAAGGATCGACCCCCGACAAGCCAGCGCTAGAACCGCCGGCAACGACGATCAAAATGAACGGGCCGGAGAGACCGAAGCCGAAGCCGACAACAGCCACGCGAGCCCGAGGAACGCAAGCAAACCACGCCGAATCCGATGCTGGATCTGCAAGCGACCGGGACATGGTATCAGCCAATGCGACGCCTTGGTTACCATTCCCAAGGACTCTCCCCTCGCTGAACCCAAATAGGAAGCGTGGTGCTCCCTCACCCTCCCAATGAAATGGCAGGACCCCTCGAACCCAAAAGAAACAGCTCATTGGATCTTGGACTCGGGGGCGAGTTATCATATGGTGAAAGACTACAGCATGCTCATTCACCCGAGAACTTGCCGAAAGCGGATAATTACCGCCGGAAGCGAGGTCTTGGAAGCGGCAGCTATAGGAGATGCGAGCATATCAACAGATTACGGGGAAATCTCTCTGCAAAATGTATTGTATGTAAAGCACCTTAATGTTAACCTTCTGTCAACAAATTCATTAACGGATGAGGGAGCACGAGTGATACTGGACACAACCGGCGGCCAAATTTTCTTAACAAACGGCATGACACTTAAGATTGCAAAGAATCGCGAGCGAGGACTTCTGGAGTTCCGAGGCGACACATGGCAAGAAAGCGCGATGGCCACATCAGCACCATTGTTTGAAGGTGTTGATGAGGAGTTCGAGCATATTAAGAATGAGCCGAAAGTTTCAAAGCAACAACTATGGCATGAGCGTCTCGGGCACCCAGGAAGAGACAAAGCGAAGGCGATCACAAACAAATTAAAGGATAAGCATAACATGAAATTGGATCCAAACACCGCCCTGACATGTGAGCAGTGCGTACGATCCAAGAGCACAAGCGCTCGGATGGGGAAAGGTAGCGGCGAGAGAGCCGTAGGGCCCCTGGATCTTATCCACGTCGATCTAATAATAGACTTGTCCCACGTGACGGAGTACACATGCACGTTGGTGCTGGTCGACGATCATAGCAAGTATGTGTATGCACAGCCATTGACACGAAAGAGTCATGCCTTTATGCAACTTAAAAGAATTGTTTCGTTCCTGGAGACACAGACGGATCGGAAGCTAAAGGCGATCCGATCCGATCAAGGAACAGAATGGAAAAGCAATGATGCATTAGAATGGTCGCTAGAAAAGGGCATAGAGTGGCAAACCACCGTAGGGTACAACAGCAAACAAAATGGACGGGTAGAGAGAATGAACAGGACCCTTGGAGAGAAGATGAGAACGTTGCTAATGCAGAGGAGACTACCGAAGAAGTTCTGGCCATACGCGATCAGAGCTGCAGCGTTCAAAATAAACCTCACTCCGAGCGTTGATAATGAATTCCCTTACCAAGCGATGTTTGGTAAGTCGCCGGAACGAGCTTTAAATCTCCTACGAGTGTTTGGTTGTCTGGCATGGGTAAACATACCCAAAGTTAAACGGGACAACAAGAAACTGGACCAGCGAGCCGTCGCATCCATTTTCTTAGGGTACAGTCTAGAGAGGAAGGGCTGGCTTTTCTACAGCCCGGACTACAATCCGAACATCTTCTGGAGCAATTCAGCAAAATTCATGGAATCAAAGTGCTGGTCAGACAGAACAGAGTGGCGACCGGTTGATACAAAGGCACCCCCAATGACGATGACAGAAGAAAATCTCGAAGATCTAGGATATAACAAAGAAAACATATTCGACGAAACAGATGAAGAGCCACTACGAGAATACATGGATATGGAGTCAGACTCGGAAGAAAGATTACGCGAAGGAATAGCAGAGGTGATGGAACAAGGACCAATCGCCGAAACTCAAATTGACAGCGAATTCTATGGACTCGTAGCGACGCGACCGGAACGGAGAAAGAACCTGGACCCAACCATACATGAAGCAATGAATGGAGAGGACAGAAAGCACTGGGAGGAGGCCATGCGAAAGGAGCTGGATGGATTAGAGGCGATGGGCACATGGGAGATAGTCGACCTTCCAAAGGGTGCAAACACCGTCGACACACGTTGGGTACTCAAGATCAAAACCGATGCAAACCTCGTGCCGACAAAGTTCAAAGCCCGGCTCATGGCACGAGGTTTCACTCAACGCGAGGGCATCGACTATACAGAGGTCTTCGCACCAGTAGCACCTATCCAATCCATTCGAGGGGTGTTCGCGGTCGCAGCAGTACGAGATTGGGAAATGGATTCTATTGACGTAAAGCAAGCGTACCTGAACTCCACTATACACCATGATGTATACCTCAAGCCCCCAGTAGGAATCGAAATACCACCCGGAAAGGTGTTGAAGGTAGTGAAAGGACTGTACAGTTTGAAACAGTCGGGCCGAGAATGGAACATTGAGTTAGACTCACACCTCCGGACGATCGGATTTCATTGCATGCCGAGCGCTCCATGCCTATACTCAAGAGGGACAGGCGACAAGATCACGATCATCACAGCATACGTGGATGACATGCTGATAACATCACCCAGTCGTGAGGAAGTAGACCGCGCAAAGCGGGAGATCATGGACAAATGGGAGACGCAAGACAATGGAAGGATCAAAGAATTTCTGGGTATCAAGATTATACGTGATAGAAGACGGAGGAGGATATCCCTGAGTCTAACGGCATACATCAAGGAAATGGTGAACAAATGGTTAGGAGGAGCAAACGAGAAATCCTGGATACCCATGCTGAGTGTAGCGAACACCGCCGGAGGCGAGCGATGTGAACCTAAGCGAGCAAAGAGGTATCAAGAATTGGTCGGCCAACTATTATGGGTCTCCAACACAGCCCGACCAGATATTGCCTTTGCCGTCGGCGTATTGGCGCGATATATGTCGATCCCGATCGACAGTGCATGGAAGGCAGCTGTCCACGTGGTAAAGTACCTGAACCAAACGAACGAATATCAGTTGCACCTAGGAGGAGAGACAAACGAGCACTCGGGTACACCGGTAACGACGTATACCGACGCAAACTGGGCATCCGACCCCACAAATGGACGAAGAAGTACCTCAGGGTCGATAACATATGTGTATGGATGTCCGGTGAGTTGGAAATCACACGTTCAGAAGTGTGTGGCACTGTCGGCAGTCGAAGCAGAGTTTGTCGCCGCTTCCGAAGCGGTACGAGAAACCTTATTCTTCTCATATTTGCTCCGGGATTTGGAGGCCACGGGCGTTTGGCCCGTACTATACACAGACAGCCAGGGGTGCATACAGGTGAGTAAAGACCCAGCCAAACATTGGAAGTTAAAGCATATCGACACACGGTATCATTTCGTACGCGATCACGTACAAGAGGGCGATGTGGAGATCAAATATGTCGGAACGGCAAACAACGTTGCAGATGTCTTGACAAAACCCTTACAGGGCCTTAACACCTCACGATTGGCTAGGATGATAGGACTGGAGATCCCGCCGAAGGGGGGAGTTGAAGATGCGTCAGCATCTCAAGCAAGGTGCACGTGTTACGGCCGAGACATTGAGATACGGGAGGCTCACATAAGCGAGGAGCACAATGAGGTACGCAATTGTTGTCATAGTGACAGCACAGTGGCACCCGGTATCATAGCAACACAGGGGTACAAATGAAGGAACACACCCTGCCTCGGATGGGATCAGAGCGGTGAATGGAGTATATATATGTGTTTGTCATTTAGTCTCACACTATGAAAACTAAGCATTACATAGAACATACGGCTGTGGCAAAGGGAGTCTGATCGTGACCCCGATAACGCCGTATATTAATTGTTATCTTCAATTGAAAGTCGAAATTGCGACCCTGAAAATCAAGCCCCGATAATGGCGAGCCCGATTTTCAACTTTGGAATGAAACCGCGGGCGGAAGAAAGTTGTGTCAACGGAATTGACGGAAAGCGTTGCGGCGAGGGAGTGGAGATTTTTTTTTGTTCCCCACAGTTGGCAGAGTTGGAAGAACGTTCGGACTTGAGCGAGGTGACGGACAGCAGCAGCAACGCCATTAGCTCGGGCTGTGTCAAGTACGGGTCAGGTCGGGTCCAACACTTGATCTTACCTTCCTTCTTCAAACACAATCATAGTTTCTCAAGCAAGCGGTACACAGCTTGACAGCTTACTACTATCACCACGATACAAGACTTGCCAAAATTTAGGCGGTACATAGGAGACCTTTCCTTCGCTCTCATCATCACAACACCTTCCTCAAGGCTCGAACTTCAAAATGGCATTCCGTAGCACCCATGCCGTGCGACGAGGCCTTCAAAGCTTCCTCCAAAAGCGAGCCGACGATGTAGTCTTCACCACCGCTCTCCGCACACCCATCGCCCGGATGAAGAAAGGCTTCAAAGATGCGTACCCGGAAGAACTCCTCGCTCACGTCCTTCAACGTACTCGCGAACGACTCGAATCGCGCGGCGTAGACAAGGACATCATCGAAGACATCTGCACCGGCACGGTCCTCATGGAGCTCGGCGGCGCAAAATCGGGTCGCATGGCAGCTTTGCACGCCGGCATGCCTATCACTTCTGCCTACAAGACTGTTAACCGTCAATGTGCTAGTTCTCTACAGAGCATCACTGATATCGCCAACGCTATTCGAGCTGGCGAGATTCAATGCGGTATCGCAGCAGGTGTCGAATCGATGACTCGCAATTACGGATCTCGTGCTATCCCTGTTGATCTCAGTCCTATCCTCAAGGAGTCCGATTCGGTTGATGCGAGAGATTGCATCTTACCAATGGGTGAGACGTCGGAGAGGGTTGCCGATAAGTGGAACATCAGTCGTGAACGTCAAGATCAATTCGCTGCTGATTCGCACCGTAAAGCGGAAGCTGCACAGCAAGATGGTCGACTAGGCTCAGAAATCGAACCTATCGAAGTACGATGGATCGATCCCGAAACAGGCAAAGAGGGCAAGAAGCTCATTAGTAAAGATGAGGGGATTCGACCAGGTACGACCGCTGAATCTCTTGGTAAACTGAAACCGGTCTTCCGATCGGACGGTAGGAGCACAGCCGGAAACTCTTCCCAAGTGAGTGACGGAGCTGTTGCTCTCACTATGGCAAGACGAGATGTGGCTGAAGCGGCCGGTATGGAGATTCTGGGTCGATGGGTTGGTACAGCAACTAAGGGTGTTAAGCCAGATGTGATGGGCATCGGACCTGCAGAGGCTGTGCCCAAGCTTTTGCAGCGTTTCCAGCTCAAGACGGATGATGTGGATCTGTGGGAGTTGAACGAGGCATTTGCTTCTCAGTCGTTGATGGTGATGGATACGCTCAAGTTGGATGCAGCAAAAGTGAACCCTAAGGGTGGAGCTATTGCGCTGGGTCACCCACTGGGTGCATCGGGTGGAAGGTTGGTGACAAGTTTGTTGGCTGAATTGAGGAGAACGGGTCAGCAGGTGGGAGTCGCTACGCTTTGCTGTGGTACTGGATATGGTAAGGCTTCGTTGATCATTGCTGAGTAGGTGCGAGGCATTGTAGTGCGGTATGTCCGGTATACTCAAGCGATAGCGGTTCCCGATCCTAGGCTTGATCGGATGGAGATTGTGTAAGGATCGGCGATCAGTAAGATAGTCCGGCTCCTGGCGTCGATGTGTTTGCCGTATGCGGAGAGCGTGGATGTCAACAACTCAACATGCTTGCCGTAGCACCCTTTACTACATTTTACTTGTCGTGTACCATAGGCATCCTACATCGTACCTGTTTCAATCGTGTCTGTTCCTTATCACATGGGATGTCGCTTGTGCAGAACTCCGAGGATCCGTAGTCTGGGTGTGATGTAGACCTTCAAAGTCATCTATGGATGGCTGCGATGGAAATCTCATGCCGAGAAGAAGAGCAAGGAGGACGGCTGCTGAAAGATACTCTTATCCGGAACCAGCAATCCGCTGGAGGCGGTTGACGATAGGAAGGATTGATGCCGAAACAGATGGGCAGGGTGAAGTGACAGTCGGTCTGCAAGGTCACAAAGCAGCAAACTCGGACAAATCGGTACACGGGTAGGGATGGTTAACACAGCGGAAACGAAGAAGGAACGGAAGGGAAGGAGAAGGGAAGGACCGAGCGGGGAAGATTCGGAGAAGCCCGAGAAGAGAGGGGGTGTTGTGCGGGGCCAAGCAATCATCTTGGTTACAGATAGCGTGAAGCGCGATCACGGGACGTCAACAACGACACCCAGATCTTGTTATCAACTGGCAATTAAGTGCGGAGTGCGAGAGGAAGAGTGACAGAGGAAGAGTGCGAGAGGAAGTGCGGGGCGCCATGTGGGATTGCGATTGGAAGGGGTAATGGTGTTTCAACAGATGCAAAGGATGGTGGTGGTAGCCGAGTTGAGATGTCTTCCGAGCAGCCGTAGATGGTGTTTGTTTGGCGGGCAAACTCTGTTAGGTTGCACGAAGGATGCTCGGAAGAGATGAAGGCCATGAGAGGTGCTCGGACATCGCCGTGAGTTGATGCAAGTCGTTCCTCCCCCGCTCTGCAATGCTATCTCTTACCCCAGGTGCCATTCTGATTGACTATCTATGTACTGCGCAAATGCTACTGTAGTAGGGTCTGCCATGGTGCGTGCAGGTTCACTGTCATGAGATGGAGAAGCAAGGTGCGTAGGCGTTGTGATACGCATTGGTGGTGGTATCCACTGCCGATTACCCCTCTTTGCAAGAATTTCCCTTCCGTTCGAAAAGAACGTTGCTTCAAAAAGCTCGGAAAGACCCCTTCTCAAGCTGAACATGGTCTCCTGAGGATGATGAGGACGACCAAAGCATTGTTTGGAACTGGCACCTGCAGAACCCATACGCACACGACACAGTAGGAAGAACCTGTTCCGGTCTTGCTATCTCTCCGGATGACAGTCAGATGAGCAAACCAGGTGAGGGAAAGCGCGGCAAAAGAGGCACCAATCTGCATGCATAAAACTCAGACGAAATTTTCCTCCTTTCACACTCTCCTTGCTCAAAGATAAAGCTGGTCGACAAGCTTCATCCTCGCTGCCATGTAACAGCCCAATGAGGTTAAGCCTGGAACGAAAGATCGAGCATACTAAGTATCGGGTCGTTGCATTGAGTACCTTGAGAGGAAAACCATATTGTCCCGATTTCCGGAGAGAAAAGAAAAAGAAAAAAAAGGAAAAAAAAAAAAAGAGAAAAAATAAATAAATCGTGTCACGAGACCGAGTTCGAAAAGGCCATCCAACCTTTCTCCTGCTCTTTCACTGCAAATCCGCCGTTAGAACCGACGCCTACTCAACGCAAAGGAAGAGAGAGAGAGAAAAGGAAATTCACCTTCTTGCACGATTTTGAGTAAGGCTCTTTCGCTCCCAGACTTCTGTTTGGCCCGCCTGCAAGATCTTGGCTCCCGCCCTTCGGTCAGTTGAAGCGTTTTTGTTGATGATGATAGTTCTAAGTACAAATGCAAGTCAAGTATCTTCAAGTTTTCCCCACTCATGCATGCTTGGAACACATGCATGCATGCACTGCTGAGCCCCTTTTGCACAAGCCTTTTTCTTGGCTGTAAACACTTTCTCCACAGTCTCTATGCTTTGTGCAGCTTTTATCTACTTCAACTCCCCCCCTCAACAGCATATGTACCCTGTTCATTATGCTGTTGTTTCAAGGTGTGACCTCTGTTCTTCAATACTGTTGCATAGCTTGGGGACCCCATTCTGTATGCTGCTGCCAGTATTTACAGGTGTAGCCCAGATCTTGCTTGCTGCATTGCTTGTCTCCCAATGGGCTTTGTGAGTACATCTGCCAAGTTTCTTGTGGTGTCCACATACTTGATCTGCACCCTTCCCTCTTGGACATTGTTATGGACAAAGTGATACTTGGTGTCAATGTGCTTAAGCTTCCAATGCTGTGCTGGATCTTTACTAACCTGTATGCAACCAGTGTTGTCTGAGTAGACCATTGGGGTGCCTGTGGCAATGCCAATTGAGCATAGCAGCTGCTTGAGGAAGAGCACCTCACGTGTTGCTTCTGTGGCTGCAATGAACTCCGCCTCAATGGCAGACAATGATACACATTTTTGCATTGCTGACTTCCAGGCTACTGGGTTCCCATACACTAATGCCACTGACCCTGATGTACTCCTTCTCTGTATGGTGGCATTGCTCGCCCAGTTTGCATCACTGTGCGTGACCAGTGGCTCTTGCAACTCATTTGCCCTATAAACCAATCCAACCTCCTTTGTGCTTTCGAGGTAGCATAAGGCCCATTGTGCTGCCTGATAATGCTCCTGTGATGGTTTGTGCATGTGTCTAGCGAGAATGCCCATGGTGAGGCTAAGGTCAGGCCAGGTGCTGTTGGCAACCCAGAGCAGCTTGCCAACAATCACCGGATACTCCTTCTGTTGCTTTGCACTTGTGACAAGGGTTCCCTCCAGTATGCTCTGCATTGGGACCATGGTCAGCTTTGTATGTTTGTCCAGGTGCTTTGCCAGCACTTGGTTGATGTACCCTGACTGACCAATTGTCATGGTGTGCATTGCACAGTCTCGACTGATTTTGATGCCAAGGAAGTGAGAGACCTCACCACTATCTTCCATCTTCCATCTCTGGCCAATCTGCTTCTTAACCTTTAGGACTGTTTCCAGTCGTGGTGCTATGACCAATGTATCATTGACATAGATGACCACAATGGCCATATCTTCACCCTGTCCCTTGGTGTAGATGCAGGGAGCACACTCTACCTGGAAGAATCCCATGTGTCACAAAGACCTGTTGAACTCCTGGTTCCATTCTTGCCTGGACTGCTTTAGGCCATATAAACCCTTGACTACCTTGTACACCTGGCCGGGAGCTACTCCTGATCCTTCCAGTGGCTTCATGTAGATTGCTTCCTTTAACATGGAGTTCAAGTAAGCCATAGTGATGTCCAGAGCATGCACCTCCCAGTTGTTCTGCACTGCTAGTGCTAAGATGGCTCTGATCACTCCAAGGGGTGCTACTGGAGAGAAGGTTTCTTGGTAGTCAATCCCCTCTCTCTGTGTGAAGCCCCTTGCAACCAGTTGCACCTTGTGCTTGACAGGCATGCCATCAGCATCAAGCTTCAGCCAAAGTACAACCTTAGAGTCCACAAGTGGTACTCCTGGCAGTTGGTGCACCACCTCCCAAGTCCCCATTGCCTCAAGTCCTTCCAGCTCCTTTCATATTGCCTCCTTCCAGAGCTGGGTGTCCTCACTGTTCATTGCCTCTCCAAGGGTTGGGTCCAGGTTCAGTACTGCTGTGTTGGTGGTGCCTACTGTGCTGTCTATAGCTGGTAGGAGATCCTCCACCATGGCCTCTGATCTGGTTTCCTCCTCCACTGTGGTTGGCATGACACCCTCCTCCTCAACTTCTGCAGTTGCCATGGGCTTGAATGCCTCCTGTTGGTGATCACTCCATCCTTTGTCCTCATGGAACATTGCTGAGTTGCTCCATTGGATTGACATGGGCTGGTCTGGGTTGCAAAACTTCCATGCTTTGTGCTTGTCATCATACCCAATCATGATGGCTGGCTTTGCTCTAGCCCTGTACTTGCCTTGCTGGTCCTTCTGTTGAACATGGACCCATGCTAAGCATCTGAAGACTCGCAGCTGTTGGGCCAGCTTGTGCATGGTGGTTCCATAAAAGGCCTCATGAGGAATGGTCTTGGTGGCTGATGGGGTGAGGTTCATCATGTGTGCCACTGCTGTGATTGCATATGGCCATAACTCTCTGGGGCAAGCTTGACCAATGAGCATCGAGCACATCTTTTCTTGGACTGATCTGATCACTCTCTCTGCCCATCCATTTTGGATACTGATCCCCGGGATGCTCTTTTGCCACTTGAAACCCTCCTGAGTTTGCCAGTCTTCAGCTCCCAAACTGCACCACTCTCCTCCATTGTCACTGTGGAGTGTTTTGAGTTTCCTGTCCATTGTTTGTTCCATCCTGGTGATCCACCTTCTCAGCACCATGAGTGTGGCACCCTTAGTGCAGAGTGGTTCCACATAGATCAGGGAGGAGAAGTCATCCACAGCAACTAGTGCACAGTGGTAGTTGGCATGGCCCTTGAAATCTGTTATCAAATCTATGTGTACTAGCTCTAGTGGTGCCCCTGCTCTTTTCGACTCTGATTGGCTCATCCATGCTCAGGTCTGTTTCCCTTGACTTCATGCATTGCAATGCTTCAACTCATGCTCCATCCTCTCATCAGTACCAAGGTAGTGTGCCTGGATCTGCCTTGTCTTATCTTGTCCCAGGTGTCCAAACCTCTCATGCCAGAGGTAGCTGTCCTGATCTCCTGTGTTCCTATTGTCCTCTGGGACATTGTTTTGTCTTCCTGTGTTCTTATTGTCCTCTGGGACATCATTGTGAGTCTCCTCCAGCTCCAAGACCAGTGCTTGTCCTCACACTTCGAAGCAGCCTTGTCTCCTGTTCCTCCTGAATTGCACTTGGGTACCATCATTCTGCTTTATGGTAGTCCCAAACTCATCAAAGGTTACTCATGCACCATTCTAGATCAAGCCTTGTATGGACAATAAATTAGCATTGAGTTTTGGCACATAGAGCACATCCAATAGCTGGATGGTAGCCTCACCAACCCAAAGGGAGGCATCTCCTATGGCCTTCACCTGAAGCCTTTCATCCCCTGCCATACTGATCTGGCTGACCTTGCTCATCGAGGTGAGCAGCATTCTCTCATCATTTACCATATGATGAGTTGCACCTGAATCGATGATCCAGGTGTCACATGCCAATTGCTTGCCCCCATCAATCACTAGGAAGGTGCACCCAAGTTCCTAGTGGCTTGCTTCTTGTGTCATATTGTTGTTCATGCAATTGTGGGTGATATGGTTTGGTCCTCCACACGTGTAGCATTTCGGAGGGGCTGAGGGGTTGCAGGGATCGCATCTGCCCCTTGGTCCCTGCTCTGCCTGGTTGTTGTCCCCCTGCTCTGCACTCACAGCAACCCTGGCTGCCCCTCTAATGTGGCCAGAGATCTTGCCATCCTGCTGCTTCTTTGCTAGTGTGTGGTAGGCTTCATCATACTCACAATCTGGCTTAGCTGTCTTGAGTGCATCGATGGTGTTGGCATAGAACCAATCTTGGGCTGTGCAGTGATAGAGAGTTGACTTCTTGAGGTCCTTGTCAAAGCGCTTTCTGAGATGTGCTGCATCATTCCAGATTGAATCAAGTTCCTTGCCTAGCCTGACAATGTCTCGATTGTGCAAGCACACCATGTGAATATGATCCTGCAGTCCTGCTCGCTTTACAGCATCGTTCAGTGTCAGTGCTTTCTTGAGCTTGGCATACAGCATGCTGCCAAGTTGGACCTCCTCATCTGCACCCCTAACAGTGTAGGTGTCGATGCAACTGTCTGGGCTGTTGTCACAACAAGCATGGATGAGGCCCACGAGGGCCTTGTCCAGATCTTCATTGTACTCCTCGCTTCCAGGTGCAATAATGCCATATAGTATCTCCTTTGCATTGTGTACCCTCTGAAGACAGTTGATGAATGTTGGTTCCCAAGTATGCCAGTTGCTATTGCTGAGCTTCTTGATGTGTGTGATGGAACTCAATACATCCTTGGGGATCTTCTCCATCTCTCCATGTGGGGTCTGGCCACTGATGCTAACAAGGCCCATAGCCCGTATGATTGCCTCCTTGGCCATCAGTGCTGGGTTCACTAGCTGGAGGATCCTGACTACCTGCATGAGCCATCCTTCCTCTCGACCGTTACCTGTGGCTGCAGCCACTTGTTCATCATCTCTTCCTGTCTGTCTGGCTCTTGTCAATGGTGGCATTGCACTGAGCATCAGACTCTTAATCAGTTGAAGTGTTTTTGTTGATGATGATAGTTCTAAGTACAAATGCAAGTCAAGTATCTTCAAGTTTTCCCCACTCGTGCATGCTTGGAATGCATGCATGTGTGTGCTGCTGAGCCCCTTTTGCGCAAGCCTTTTTCTTGGCCGTAAACACTTTCTCCGCAGTCTCTACGCTTTGTGCAGCTTTTATCTACTTCAACTCGGTCCCTAACTCAATTGCATGTGTGCCTGTCCATTCTGAACAGTGCGACGGCGATTGGAAATGGAAATTCGGAAATGGAAATTTGGAAATGGAAATTTGGAAATCCTTGACAGTGTCTTCTCGCTTGAACTTGCTCATTCATTCATGTGGTCCAACGCCGTACAAGCTCATGCTCTCACAATTACCGCTTTATGTATGAATCGAAAGTCGGTCCGACTGGCAAAGCACAGTAACCTCCTCTCTCGTGCCAGTTTGAGGCGGGAAGAATGTGTATAAAAATGGGACAAAGTGTCCAGGCTTGTTGGTTCGTGGATTGACAATGCTTCGGAAGACGTTGCTCCTTTTTGCCTTTCAGCAGCTGCGATAAGTTCTTGTTCCTTTCTCTGCCTTCAGTGTCATGCCATGCCCGCTCTAAGTGTGAGAGAGAACGCATTCTCACCGGTTCGGAGTCTGGCTTCCGCAACCAAGCGAGTCTTCTCCTTCGCCACTTTGCCTCATCCCCCTTCTTCAACTCCTGTTGCCTATCGCCGGTGCGAGCCTTTTGCTCTTGCTCTCATTGGCTCCTTTCGCTCCTTTCGCTCCTTTCCCCTGTGCTTGCAAGGCACCCGGTTTCCCTTGATTCTTCTTTGCTCGCTGCTTGTCGCGATAAGAGAGTTCTGGATAGCATGTACACAGACGTCCTCCCTGCTCGGCATTAGTCTACCTTTGCCACATGCCAGCACGGCCAAGCTCTCCTGCTAGATTCCTGAAAGGTCTCGCTCGTCCCTGACACCAGTCGCCACCACACACTCTGCTTTGTGTGGCAAGAGAGGCGAAAGGCAGCGAGGAGGAAGGATGACTGACGAGCAGCTCAACTCCTGCGTTGGTCGCCGTTTTTTTTTAAATTTTATTCCTGTTCGCAGATTGTCTGGAGCGCTTTTTTTTTTTTTTTTTTTTTTTTTTTTGCTGCCAAAAAGTTTGTGCTGAACCGGTTGCCTTGTGCTACCTCGTATGCCTCTTCCTAGGACTGTTATCTATCTTTGACCTCTGCGTCCCCCTTTCTCATTCCCTCCCGGCTCCTATATCATACAACAACCTTCTTTCATCGACCCCTTCACTATCCCCTGTCTACCCCACCCAAACCCCCCTCCCGGCCCCTCCTCTCACCCTTGGTGCTTCCGCTTCCTTGCGGAACCAACCTTCCATCTACAGCCAACTCGTTCTCCCAAACACAGTGGCTCATTTCACCCTCCTCTTCACCACAAAAACTTGTCCTCGCCACCACCATACTAGATTACTCTAGGCACCATGTCTGCTCCTGCCCCCACCTCCCAGACTCCTCAGCTCACCAAGGACGCTTCCGTTGCTGAGCAGCACGCTGCCAACAGCAACGATGGCTCTCGCTCTCACAACGACCTCGCCGACGACAAGCTCGCCTACCAGGCTTCCGACCGCGATCTCGAAAGCCACAATGGTCGTCCCCCCGTCGAGGCCATCGAGCCTCACCCTCAGGGTGAGCCTGGTCGTGTCAGCAAGGTCTGGCGCTCCATTCGCACCCACAAGGCTACCCGCGTTGTCCTTGACATGGCTCTCATCTCCTTGATCCTCGGCTGGTGGTTGCCTGGTATCATTCGTGAAGAGACTCGCCACCGATGGGTCATTACCACTTTCTGGTCTTGGTTCTTCATTCTTCTCATTCTCTTCCACAACGACCGATACATCTCCAAGAAGCCTTTCGCCAACGCCATCGAGACTTTCTGGACCAACTGCGTTTCCAAGCCTTGGAGCATGGTCCCCCACTACGGTCAGATTGGTCTCGGATGGCTCGCTCTCCTCGCTCTCTACTTTGGTAGTGCTTTCGGTATCAAGGAAGTTCCCGAGTCGCGATACGCCGACCGTGCTCGTTCGCTTTTCGGTCTTTTCCTCATCAACTGTTTCTTCTACCTCATCTCGACCCGTCGTGCCGCTATCAAGCTCCAGCCAATCTTCACTGGTCTCGGTCTCCAGATGATCATTGGTCTTTTGGTTTTCAAGACTGGCGCTTTCTTCAGCGTCGCTAAGTGGCTCGCCTTCGCCGCTGCAGACTTGCTCGCTCAGGGTCAGCTCGGTGGTGCCGCCTTCTTCTGGGGTGACCTTGCTGGTCAGCACTACTTCTTCATCGACACTTTGTCCTCGATTATCTTCTTCGTTGCGCTTGTCGTCTTGCTTTCGTACCTCGGCGTTATGTCGTGGGCTATTCGCAAGTTTGCTTGGTTCTTCTTCAAGTTGATGGGCATTTCCGGTGCCGAGGCTGTTGTGGCTGCTGCCTCGCCTTTCATCGGTCAGGGTGAGAACGCTGTGCTCGTTCAGAGCTTCTTGGACTTGATGACCAACGCCGAGATCTTCCAGGTCTTGACCTCTGGTTTCGCTACCATTGCTGGTTCCGTCTTCCTTGCTTACGTCCAGATGGGTGTTTCTCCCACTCACTTGATTACTGCCGCAGTCATGTCCATCCCCGCCTCGATCGCTGCTGCCAAGATGGTCGTCCCCGAAACCGAAATTCCCGTTACCGCCGGATCCGTCAACATCCAACTCAACGAAAAAGCCGATGCAGTCGACCCACTCCACGCCTTCTCCAACGGTGCTTGGCTCGGTGTTCGCGTTGCCGCTCTCATCTTCTGCAACGTACTCTGCATTGTTTCGCTCCTATACACTGTCAACGGTCTTCTCACCTACATCGGTAACTTCTGGACCATCAACAACCTCACCCTCACCTTGATCCTCGGCTATGTCCTTTACCCCTTCTGCTGGTGCATGGGTGTTCCCAAAGCCGAACTTCTTCGTGTCGCTCAGCTCCTCGCTACTAAGATCGTCGCAAACGAGTTCGTCGCTTACGCTGACCTCGCAAAGATCAAGACCAGCGCCAACCCTCTTTCGGACCGATCGGTGCTGATTTCCAACTTCATGCTTGCTGGATTCGGTAACATTGGCTCGCTCGGTATCAACATCGGTGTGCTTTCCGGTTTGGCTCCTAGCCGTGGTGGTGCAATTGCCCGATTGGCTCCTTTGTCGTTGGCCACCGGTATCCTTGTTACCTGCTCGAGCGCTTGCATTGCTGGTGTCCTCGGTACCAAGTAAAACGTCCAGTTGAAAACTTCACTGTATCGTCCCAACATTTCCATCATACCCTTCTATAGGGGACGATCTCTTTCTCTTTCTTTAGGCGTCCAGCTTTGCACGCTGTCTTGTACTTCTACTGTTTCTACTCCTTTGTATTTGGATGCATTCACAAAATGGTAATCGGCTTTCTCTCTGCATCTAATAGCTTGTAATCGTGAACTCGGAGTATCTAATGTTGAGATATGTCATGACATGAAGAGTTGCATGACAGTCCATGGGTAGATGCGACTCCTCCTCCCAGCGGAGAGATGTGACTCGGTATCAGCGGCTCTTTCTACCCGACCCTAGTCCCGTCGCTTGCTTGGCCAGATCCTGCTTCGCATCTTCCCTCAGCAACAGCCCGATGAAGATACCGACGGTGCTCAACCCCACTACAAGTACGATTGAAGGTATTGTGATGGTCCACCGACGGTCAGGTACCCAAGTGTGTATTGGTGAGTCGTCTGGCAGGAAAGGCTGTCAATTGCACACAGTAGGTCAACAAAAAACGGCGTCAGCTGATGCTTGCGCAAAGTGCAGCGAGGAAGCGGAACTTACCAGGACGATCGCCCACAGCGTATATACTCCGAACAGAGATAGAGCTGTGAAGAGAATGAGGCTTCCAACGATTCGATTGGAGGTGCCCTTCGCACCATTGTATCGGAGAAGAGATATAGTGTCAGCACGATGTAAAGGGCGCTGAGCGAATGGGTGAGAGCGAGACGTACCTGGACTTGTGGTTGGTTTACGGAACGCGCCATCTTATGCTGAAAGTGCTAGCGTCACGACGCCATCTTCTCGATGGACGCAAGAGGCAAGCAGAGAAACAGAGCGGTATGAAGAGAAGGTGAGGAAAGAAGATCTGGACCCTGATCTGCGCCTTTCACTGCTCCACTTTTCACGCCTTCGGAATTCGGAGTCCAAGGTAAGGCTGCACGTTCGGGCCAACGCTTCTAGACGTCTTCTTCCTGTTCTTGTTAACTGCATTCACCATCTTCCACTGCGAAGCTTGAAGGATCCTAGCAGCAGACTCTCTGGAACCGCAGCAGGTTCTCGGATAGGCTCTTCGCGACCCAGGATGCCACCTCTCCCACAAAACGGTCACTCATACCCACCTACCTCCTCATCTTCAGGCTACCAACCTCTCTCTCGCACTTCTGAAGACGATCTTGAATCCCATTCTCCCTCCTCCTCCTCCTCCACCTTACAAGGTCGCATGGCACAACGCCGCTTCGTCGCATCACCCTCATCATCCCTCGCGAACGACCCCACAGACCTTCTCAAGTCATTCCTTTCCGATACACGCTCCAACCCTCACCATTCTCAGAAGCTTTCGCTGCGAATTCATGTCTCCAATGGCAAAGTGATAGAGGTCCCGCTGGCAGAACTGACAGAGCAAGACTCGTTACCGTATGCCTTGGCTAATGACATACCTTGTTTGCGGGGCCTCCCCACCATAGGGCCGTTGAGTTTTGGGGACAGGGTGAAGGGATTCTTTCGACTGCTCAACTCCACCAGCGATCTGGGGGATGCGGGGGAACAGAAGGCGTTGCAAGTGTATAACAAGTCTCAGAAACGGACGCTTTATGCGACTCGGGAAGAGATCGTTCGATACAATGAGCGATTGCGATCTGGTAAGTTGCCCCCGTGGACACCGCTTAATTCTACCGCTTCCGCCCCTCTACACACACAGCAACAGGAGACGGAAGAAGAGGAGGGGGACGAAGAAGAAGCAGATGTAAAAGGAGGCGATTTTGATCTCGGCTCTGTTTTCGCCCGTAAACGTAAACGTACAACTACACGCCTCGTCTCAATTCCTTTGCAGGAAGCGTTTGAGAGGTTCAGTGACGATCGTCATTTCTCCAAGATTCTCATTTGTAAGCGTTGTGTTTGGGGCTGGGACATGTCTCGACTTCAAAGATCCCTCCAATCCCTATATTTGGAAGCGGATGCTGGGAAAGGGAAGGGTAGAGCCCACAATTCGGAAGGAGTAGAAGTGACGATAGAGGTAGCAGGGATGAATGATGGACCGATGTACAACGTTGTTTGGGTCCCAATACCGTTTCTGACACGGCGATGTGGGGCGTTGTTCAACCCGCATGGTTCATTGTTGGCTATCTCGCTACTGACAGGACTGTTCGTTGGAAGTGTGCTGCTAGGGCTGGTTGCGAACACGCTGGTGTTGATAGCAGGGGCGTTGGGGCTGGTGGGGTGGGGCGGGATGATGTACTTGATCAGAACGCAGAATAGGTGTGTGTATGATACTGTGGGGACGGCGTATTCGCTGGCACCTAGGTGGGTGCGCATACCTGATGCAGACCCAAGTTGGAGCCATGAGCAGGTAGTGAACTCGCTCAAATCTCACGACGGCGGTAATACTCCAACGATAGAGAAACGCGGCGAGGAAGGGAACTGGTTCATGCAACGCGGAATGGATCAAGACAAATGGCTTCAATCGCATCGAGAACAGATACTGCACTTACTTTCGCAATAGACACGCACTCTCTACCCATTTCTCTGTGTAATCGCGAATATATTGCATGGATTGAAGAGAAGGAGGTTGGTGCTAGTCCGCGTCATCGCCCAACCTCCCACCCCTCGACAGATGGTTCCAAGTATCTTTCCTCCTCTCATCATATTCACCCCTCTCCACCCTCACCCCATCCTCTCCCTCGTCAGCATTAGCCAGAGTTGGATCAACCCAATCAACATAAGGACTAATTACACTATCTTCCGGATGCGCCTTCATCCTCGATTTCGGTGCCAAACTCGTCATTTCATTCAATATTCTGGCTAGACTTGGGTTCACCTGCGTCGACCTATCTTTTCCTACTGACGTTGACGGAGGGTATTGGCCTGGCTTTGCAGCGTTGTCAGTCGGGCGTGGTGCTGGGTAACCGAACCTCCTTGGCGGCCAGAGAATGGCTTCTATACGAGAGGTGATGAGTCCCATTGGCACTGGTCCGAATTCTCTTGAGTCTCTACTCTTGTTCCTCAACGGGGCCGAAGAAAATGAGGCAGGATGATTAGCGATGCGTTCCAGAGAGCCAGGAACGATATCAACCGCTGCATCTCCCTCCACCCATACGTGACCGGGTGGGATCTCGATTCTTGCCCATTTCCCACCATTCCCGCCCGTGCTCGGAACCCAAACTCGTACTGTATCTTCCGGCAACGCGATAATGCGCTTCATGAGTAAAGCTTTGGGATCGAGGGGGGAAATGAGAATGACGATGTCGCCGGGTCGAAGTTCGTTATGATTGTACATGAGGGTTCGGTTGAGAAGAACGACGTCTGAGGGAGAGTTGGAGGCTGAGGCGGTGGTGTATGATCCATTGAGGGTGGGTGACATTGAGCCGCCGGTGACATTGCCAACGGAGTAGAAATAGGTGGTGATGAACGCGGCAACGGGCATCCAGCCTAGGATGAAGAGTGCGCGTGAGAGACAGCTGCGTTGACGCGGACGTGAGGAGGTGGGACGGAATAATGGGTCTGCTTTGAAGCTTGCATACTTCAACGGAGTAGGAGCTGAGGTTGAGCGGGTTGGTGAGGACGATGAGGTGTTGCTGCTTGAAGGATCAGATGACGAGGAAGCCGAAGAAAACGTCGAGGTTGAAGTCGAGTCGATCGAGTAAAGTCTTCCTGCTCTGCTCGGTGTCCAATGCCTTGTCACGGGCGTAATAGACGGACCTGAAAGACGTGCTGATATCGCGGGTCGGATCATCTTGTCATCCTGAGCCTAGTCGATGCAAGGTGACTTCAAAGTAGATGAGAGAAGCGATGCAGAGATGCAAGAAGAAAGTACGAAGATGAATACGAAACCGAAGCATCAAAACGCCGATCCTCCCGCGAGTCAGGGTTGCGGAGGGCCGAATTCCGAGTTTCTCACCATGCCCACGTTCAGAGCTTCACCACACAGTGTTCACATCACATTCGGATACTCATCGTCTTCAAAGGGTATGCGGATTCGCATTCTTGCTCTCCTGTGCATCTACAAATACATGACGAAAGCCGAGCTGGAGTGAAGTACGCCATATGAGAGCTCATCTAGCTGATCTCTTTCAGCTTAGCCTGCGTGAACTTAGTAAACTTCTGATGCTCCTTCCAAACATCATCCATCGTCACTTTCTCCTCACCTCTCAAGACTCTCTGCCTATTCATGTTCTCCAACAAATCCGCATCCGCTAGCTGGGGATACCTAATGAAAAATGGCCATGTCAAAATCCAAGACCTTTCCGAATTCACATCGGCTCCTTCCGGCGACATGAAGCGGGACAGATCAATCAACAGGTTGTGCAGATCGATGTTGTTCATCTGAATCATCTTATCGCGAATCGACGCCCAGGGTATGATGTCAATCCCAATATCGTGTGGTGTCGAGAGCTGTAATGGTGTAGGTTTGAGGATTGGGGGGAGGACGTAGTTCGGATTAATGTGGTGGTTGGTGCTGTGATAGCGAAGGAGTAGAATCGCTTCGATCTTTTTCTCCATGTCAAAGTTGTCCTTTGCTTCTTTGGATTGTGCGCGCTTTCTGAGGTCTCCTTCATCCCAGTTGTTGGGTAGTTGGATGTTGGCTAGCTTGATGTGAGGGTCGGTTGTCTCTCGCTCTTCTAAGAACTTCATATCGCTGTCATCGATCTGATAGTCGACCGGGGTGTTGTAGAAGGCATCTGCACCTCGTTTGGCCCATATACGGTTGACTTGAGAGATGACACGTGCAAAGCGTCTTCGATGGAGTTGCAAGAGCTCAGGGGAAGCTCGGACGGTGCAAGGGATGAGAGCAATATCGAGGCCGCTGGTTTTCGCAGTGGGCAATACTTGGCTGTTGAAAGTCGAAGGCATCGCTGCGGAGTATGAGGATGAATTGTCTGGCAGGCCGAAACTTGGAGGTGTTGCACCGAAACCGAGATAGCTCATGTCTGGTGTTTGACCTGTTGCACCGCCGTTGTTGTTGTTATTGGGAACAAGACCGCTGAATGACGCGGAACCTTGCTGCGAAAAGAGGTTCTGGTTCATCCCGCCACCAGGAAACATGGAAGTGAAGCTGGCAAAGTCAGCGTTGCCGCCTCCGAGGAGCGTTTGAGCAAACATGGAGTCGACATCGTTGCGACCCTGGCGGATGAGAGATTCAGACGGTTGCCAGAACTGTGTTGGCAGTGGATATTGCATTTGCTGCATTTGCTGCTGCTGCTGTTGCTGCTGCTGTTGCTGCTGTTGTTGCTGCTGCCAGGTTTGGTTGGGATCATTCGCGGGCATCCTCTGAGGCGAAGAGACAAAGTTGAAGCTATCGCTGCCGCTGGCAGCTTCCTGACGAGCGGCTGGACTGCTTTGCGTGGAAGATGCTGTCGCAGTATTGGCCGCACCAGCTCCATTTGACTTTTGCGTGTCGTCGGTCTTGCGTGTGCGCTTAGCGTCTTTACCATTGAGTTCGTCGATAGTCCTCTTCTTCTTTCCTCCAGTCGATACTTCTGTCTCAGCGTCAGCGCTGGCGTTCTTTGTGTTGCTGCTACTGCTGCCGTTGTTCATGTCGCGGAAGTAGTTGGTGAGCTTGCTCTCTGGAAGACCCTCGATAGGAATGTTGCTCTCCTTGCGAATCTCTTTGAGCGCTTCACATTCGCCTGCATCTGGCCAGTTGGCCCATGCTTCGGACATGACTTTTTCGCTAGAAGAGCTCATGGTAGCCTCGAGCATTTCCCTGGTCATGCCTGCTTCTACAAGACAACCTCCAATGCTGCGCTTGCCGATGAAGTGAGCGAGACTGGTGACGATGGCACGAAGAGCGTTGTTTTCAGCGAGCAAGTGACGCAAAGCGAATCGAAGACGATTGACTTGGGTATCGTGGTCGGAAGAGAGAAGCTCGACTCTGGCCTCGAGTGCGCGGATGTATTGCTGTTTGCGTTGACGAAATTCTCGCTGAGCGGCTCTGTTCTGCTCCTTCCTGTGTTGAGCAGCTTTTGTGTCTTTGCTTTTGTTAGCAGCAGCGCTTTTCTTGCCTTTTGGCCCTTTGCCTTTCTTGCCGGTGGCATTGGCAGGTGAAGCGCCATCTCCGTCTTCGTCATCGTCAAAGTCCTCCTCGTCATCGGTGTTGAAACTGGCCGAAGTCACGTTTTGAGAAAGACCAGAAGGGGGCATGGTGAAATCGAGGCGTGGCTGAGGACCAAGCGACATGGCGGTCTGGAAGCCGCTAGCAATAGCGCTGGGAGATGCATCTGTCCACCTGTCCATGGGCGAAGCTGTGGGTCCGCGATGAGCCGGAGGCATGGCTGCTGTTTACCAGAGTCGAAATGTGGAAGGGGAGACTGGATAACAATGCCTCTTCATTCACTGATGTGCGGTGAATCGAGCTCGAGCTACTCGCTATGGAAGCGAGTCTAGGTATGCTGAGTCATCGGATGTGGGTGATGATGGAATGGTGGTCAGGACGACGGAGAAGAAATGCGAACAGAAATCTGCCCGTTCCAAGCTCAGATTGAACCCTTAGCAGATTTCCGATTCCGATGCCACCAGTCAGCGAGCGAGTCTCATTCCCGGACCTAGACGGATGGTGGGCCCTGAACAGACAGATTTGGGGCCGTTGGCAGCGACTCAGACCTTGCGAAACACAAAACGAGCAAAAAGGAAATCTTTTCGGTTTTTGTCTGAGAATTTTGGTTACACATAATGACCGGTAGAACTGAACCAGAAAATGTTGTGCTTTTTGTGTTCGGCTATCGGGTGCAAGTAGAGCCGAATGCTTGAACCCACACTGGTTTCTACCTAGAGTGAGATGTAAGCAGCCCCTACACTCGGAAAAGAGACGCTTGGATGTCCTGAAGTGCAAAGCGCACATATCATTCGCTAGCTCCTACAGTAGAGTGCGCAACTCACTCATGACGAATGCAATACAGCGAGCTCAATCAACGGTTCAGATGCGCTGAGACGAGAGTTAAGATTTCACCAACCGTAGGCACCGGCTAAGGCTTTGCATAGGCGATGGCGTGGCCAACGAAGAAAGAAAGAATGTTACACCGACAAAAAGTATTGGCTCCGTTGAGCGAAATTCACCGATTTCGTGCGTCACTTCTGTGAGTAGCCGAGTGTTTGCTTTTTGGCTGCTGCGTGTTGACTGCACAGGCCAGTCACTTTCGACTTAGAGTAGTTGCCGGTGCGCCTTTCGCCATCGAAGACTGACACTCTTCTCCGCCTTCTGTTAGTGTGTTGCCTGCTGCACCCTTTGCTTGGACTCCAACTCACCGGCCACGTTTTCGCTGCTCTCCTCCCTTTGCCTAGCTTTCGTCATCACAGCCGTTTCCCATCCCGCCACCAACAGACCTCATCAACCACGCCTCCACCCCGCTACGAAGTGGAGCCTACAACACGATGAGTATGCTCAAGGAGCTCACCGACCAGGCTCAGGGCTTCATGGGAAGCCGCAAGCCCTTCACTGCTGTCACCGACTGGATCGATCGACTCTGCACCCAACGATACGCTGAAGAAGAATACGATGGAATCCCCGAACTCGTCGAAGCTATCAACTTGCAATCTACCGGTCCCGCCGAAGCGAGCCGTGCACTCCGCAAGAAGCTCAAGTACTCGAATGTGCACGGACAAAAACGTGCACTCGTTATCCTCAAAGCCCTCGTCGAGAACTGTGGTCAGCGTTTCCAGACTACTTTCGCCAACGATCAGCTCGTGGACCGTATCAAGATCATGTCCCAGGATCAGCTCGTCGATGTCTCGGTTCGTAAGCTCTTGATGAGAGTGCTGCTCTCGTGGCATCAGCAGTTCAAGGATGATCCATCCATGAAGATGGTCGCTGGTCTCTACCAGGCTTGTGGAGGTGGTAAAAAATCTGAAGCGCAACGGAAGAGCCAGGCTGCTGAAGCCTATCGTAAGCTGCAGGAGAAGCAACGTATCGAGGCACAGATTCGAAGTGACCGTAAAGCTGCCGAACAACTCCAAAAGGAAGAGGAGAAGAAGAGCAAGCTGCGCAGACAGAAAGGTGGAAAGCGACCGACATTCAACTTCGAACAGGAGAAGCCCGCAATCTTGCAATCGCTTGCCATCTCGCAACAAGTAGCCACAGCTCTAGTCAACGCTCTGCAACACGTCAACCGTGAAAAGGAGAGTGTCACTCAGAACGCACGTGTCCAGGACTACCTCGTCAAGACCAAGGTGGAGCGAAAGAAGATCATCCGATACGTTCAGCTGGTCAAGGATGAAGAGTTTCTTGGATCGCTCATCAACGCCAACGACCAGATCATCTTGGCGCTCGAGCTCTACGACCATCTCTCGAAACCTGTCGAACTCGACTCGGACGATGAAGAGCCGCTTGCTGCCATTTCAGGCTCAGGACAGACTGCCGAGCAGAAGACTGCCGCAAGGATTGCAGCAGACGATGCCGAGATCGAGTTGGTGCGCAAGAGGATTGCCAAGGCACGTCTCGATGCTCCCGACAGCGAGCTGGAAAAGCTACAGACACGACAGAGGGTGCGTATTGAACGTCACAACTCGCGTGTTGGAAGCATGCGCAGCTTTGACATGAGTCCAGAGGCCACTGGTGCTGGGCCTAGCGGCGGTGCTCAGCGCGGTGGTGGCGGTGGTGCGATGAACGACCTGATTGATCTCGATTTCCAAGAAGACCAAGCTGGAGGCTATCTGCATCCACAATCGCAAGGACAGCAGAGTGGACACGGCCGACGTGGAATGATGGCCAGCGAAGCAGCAGGAAGCAGTACTCAGCACGGCGCTCTGTCCGACTACAGCGACTACGAGTCGGAAGACTCAGCGGATGCACATCATTCGGGTCAACAGGCGCCTGGACGGGCTCGCCAACTTGCAGCTACATCTTCACGACCCGAAGGCGCTTCGTGGTCCAACCTGAACGATTCGGATGAGGAGGAATGGTTGCGCACTACGCAAAACCACCGACCCAGCATTGGTCCCGGCTTCAGCTGGAACGAGGATGAAGATGCTGATGATGATCCGTTTGCTGATCCTTTTGCGGATGCCAACAATGCCGCGGCTTCAGGAAGCGGTTGGGGTATCGAGCGACCGCAGAACCAGCCTCGTAAGGAGTGGGGGGTGGTGTAAGCTGCATCATACCCGCATCCACCGCACATCTTGTGAGGCAGTCTATTTAGCCTTTGTTCCAGCATCACTGCAATATCGACCATTCATGCATCCAGTCCAATCGTGTTTGTAAAGAAGTGAAGTGATGATGTGCACTGTATAGCAATGAGTGAATGTGTGCTGTATGCTGTTGATCAACGATGCACCGCTCCAAAACGCACATTTCAGGGGCAAACAACACAGACGCGCTGCACAGCCGCAGTGTCGAGCTCGCTTCCTCTGCCGATGTGAGTGTTGAAAGAGGCACTTTTTGGATTTCTAGTCTTAACTTGGCAGGTGAGTCCAACACCACAAACACCAGCTTTGCTTTTTGCCTCTCCGACACTTCTCATCAAAAATCGCACCTTGCTCTCGAACCACATCAAGGCATCCACTCAGATGCTCTAGCAGGTCACTGTGCGAGGCTCTTTACATCATCAACCGACCCCATACACTCGAAGCAACCGGATACCCAACTCGACAATGACTCGTAACGAACGAAACTCAGAAGCAGGTCCCTCGAACACCGCTTCGCCATTCAGCTGGACAATGTCGCTCTTCGGAGGTCGCTCGTCCAAAACTCCCTCTGCCTCCAACCGCAACAACGCTACCAGCAGCAGTGGGCTAGGATCGGGTCGACCCACCTCCACCACCTACTGCAATCGAGAGGAACGAGAATCACTCATCCCCCAATCTGGTGGGGATGACTTCGACGACTCCGACGCGATCTCACTCCTCAGCAACATTGCCGATCGAAACTCTCGCCGAGGTGGAAGTAGTGCCGCTGCACGACGTCGTGCTCGGGCACGATCTCGTGCGCAAGGTCGAACCTGCGGAACGCTCTTTTTCGACTTGGAGGATTGGGGGCGAGCCATGTCGTGCGGCTTACTCGGTAGAAATGGGAAGAATGTCGATGCAGGAGGAGCAGGCAGACAAAGAGCAGCATCCATCGGAAGTGTGTTGAGTAGAGGGGCGAGGAGGAACAATCAGCCCACAAACTCATCGGCGATACATGCGACATCGAGACATTCGAGATCGGTTAGCGATGCGAGCACGGATAGTGCCGGAAGTTTACTTGGGTCAGGGTTCGATATTGATGCGGATGCGGGGATGTTGGATGATCAAGCCATAGCTCGGTTCGGTCAGCCGAGCTCGTATGCAGAAGCAGAGGCAGAAGCAGCTGCAGCGAAAGCCAAAACAGAAGCAGAAGTAAAAGCAAGGGAGGAAGAAGAAGCAAAAGCCCGAGCAGAGCGACAGAAAGCCATAGACGCGGAAGCACGACGTCTGCAACAAGAAGCAGAAGCCGAATCTCAACATCAAAAGGACGAGGAAGCTCGATTAGCGGCTGAAGAAGAAGCTGCGATCGCCAAAGCACGTCGCAAAGCAGAACGCAAAACTGCAAAAGCGGGGTTGTTCAAGTTACAACAAGAAACACAGACTGCACAGCGGTGGAGGACGGAAGCCGAGGCTGAGGCTGCGGCTGGTGGATTTGGGCTTGCGGATGTTGAGGGTGAGGAACAGTATGCCGAGGAGTTCGAACAGGCTGAGTTCAGGTACGAAGAGGGGCAGCACGGTGCGAAATACGATCAGTACGGAGATGCAGAAGAAGGTGCGGAGGGTGAAGGATACTATGCAACAGTGGAAGAGCATGGTCCTTGTAGTGTGGTGCATCATCATCATTACTACCATGCTCCTTCCCGGCCTGCGGAGGAGCAGTATGGCTTTCTCTCCCCTAATCCTCTTATCGAAACCTCCACCCAAGCAGCACCCGAAGAGGACACTCACGCCGACAAAACGGTGTCGGAAGACGAAGCGGATATCGCCGGTCTCTCCTTCGGCCGCAAAAAACTCAAGTCGCGCAACAAAGACGGCAGTGCAGGAAGTCGCAGTGGAGGCGGTCTCACCGCTCGCACCTTCCCCCACACCACCACCGGCGGATCGTCATCTGGCGGTAGTGCATCCGGCCACCGCGTTCCTACATCCGCTTCCTCCTCCTCTGCTGGTCGTCCTAACTACCGCGATAAACCGAGACGTCACGAACGAACCTCTTCCAAATCATCCAATTCTTCCTCTGGTATTTTCTCGTATCAATCTTCAAACACGTTGTACCACCACGCGCCGCCATCTACTGTAGCTACTTCGGTTATCTCCCCGCTTGGATTGCCGAACTTGTACGAGTCGGAGCCGATCTATTCCAAAACATCGAAGGATGGAGACGAGAGGGAGGAAAGAGGAGAGGCAGTGGAGGGGTTGGCAGATCCAAACGCAAGTGAGTTCGGCGTGATGACTGCTGCAGGTAATGCTGTGACGAATAAAGCTGGTGCGAAGAGGGTTAAGAAGTCGTATCGTGATAAGAGGACGAAGAGTCAAGTGATGGGAGATGGAGACGAGCAGGGAGGAGGGGACAAGTTTGAGGGCTTTCCTGGATTCTAAACCCCTATTCAACGCTTTTGCGTCTTCGGACGAATAATAGCCAAACCGTAATCACAAACATTTCACACATCCTCTCGATCACCTTCACATGTCACATTTGCACACAGCCACCGACAACGACGTGAAAACAGAATGAATTGCAACTTCCACCATCGATTAGACCCATCAGGGCAGTTTTAGTTGTACTCATCATACAGAATTGTCTTCCCGATACTAGCTAACCTCTTCCTCCTAACCTCACCACCACTTTCACTCCTCTCCATCTCTTTACTAGCTGCCAACTTTGCATCGTCACCAAAGAACGAGTAGCCCGATTGCCCAATCTGATGTCCCTGTCCGACCACATCGTCATAGTCCTGACTGTAACCATTGCTCTTGCTACCGATCGGCAGACCAGTCCTAACGTCGCACTCTACACCTGCATGGTCGATGTAGGTACTCTTCGCGCGTACATTTGCCGCTTTGTACGTCTCGATGATCATGCTTTGTGTGTCCAACAAATACGCTTCGAGCGTATCCAGGAACCGCTTAGTCTGGAGATGTTTGGAAGAAGCACAGACGGTAATGCCGTCGTCTTTGATGATGTAGCCGATACCGAAGCCGTCTGGGACGACAGGGCCGAAACCGAACATGCGGAGAGCGGGGTTACCGCAGTTAGAAGTAGAAACGATGGTGTTGTTCAGCTTTGCATAGCCTGCGTCGGTGAAGATAGCAGGAGGGTCGGTCTTGGCAGAGCCGGGCGAGGATTCAGCTTGAAGCTTCTTCCACAGGTTGTACAGCGCGTAGAGGTGTCGATCGTGACCTTTACCACTAGCACAAGCCTTACTGAGCTTCGAGTGTCCATCACATGCCTCGCGCAACGCATCGAGTTTTGCCTCCACCTTTGCGTCTGAAGAGATATACGTCTCCACAAACTTGGCCGAGTGGGGCTGCACGGTTCGAATAGCCTCCGTACGACCATGCAAGAAGGCTTTCGTCATTGCAGGCTCGTACGTCGTCTCGCACCTTCCATACAGCGTGTAATACGCAGCCTGGAAAGCCATTTGTACGTATGCATCAGGACTGAACCGATGCCTGGTAATAAAGTTCTTACCATACGTATCGAACTCCAACACCTGACACTCGTTCTGACAGATCAAATCCGACAACCTCGTTTCTCCGTATTTGATCCCATCTGCCAACTTGCTAGTCAAGTTCCATTCGAGCTTCTTGGGCGCGGTAGCCTGGTCGACATCCTGTGCCTTACACGCGTCGATTTCGCTGGTGGTTCCGTTCGCTTTCTTGCCTGCACCTTTCGCAAAAGGGCTCGTCTTAGCCTTGAATAGAGACTTGGTCGCCGAGTTGATCGATTTAGCAAATCGCATGATCAATTCGGTATACACGTCCGCAGCGTATCGCAATACAGTATGACCATCCACGCCAGTATGTTCAAAGTTGATACCCGCAGCACCGTTGGCACAGACAATGATCTGGAGCTTGTCGTACCATCGGTTGGTGCAAGTACCGGACTGAACACCGCGTTGAAGCTTGTAGGTACCGCAGAGCATGTTGTTGCTCAACTCGGCGGCGTCGGCTGGTTCGGAATCGTCCATGCAAACGACAAAGAGGGCGGTATCGACGACTTCCAAGCATTTGCGGTTGTGGCTGTCTTCGCGGAGATGCTCTCGGTACATGGACCAGATGGGACGCTTTTCGGTGGTAAGGATGCCGACAGAGCCTTTGGCGACGTCTTCGACTTTGACCTTGTCTGCATCGCGCATAATAGCTTGCAGGTTGCCAAGCATAGCACGTTCGGTGAGCAATGGACGGTGTTCTTCATCGAGGGCCTCAAACCAGTAGATTTGTCCCCTACGCATGACAACAATATGTCTCGACTCCGGCTCGACTTGCATCCTGCACCCATTCGCTGTTGGAATACGGGAAGTAGCGAATAGTCTAGTGTACTGGAACATATCCAGCGGTGTACCTCTAACACTATCCGGCTCCAACACACCCGTTCGCAGATCATGGATGAATGCCAGACTCGCCAGGATCAAGTTGGCAGTCCTCATCAACTGGTTACCTCTCGTCGGAGTCGGATCATCCTCTAATATAAAGAACGGGTTGAGGTTCAAGACGACCGAATCCGACGCCTGAAGATAAGATTCATCCCAGAACTCCTCAATGTAGCTTGCTCGTGTACTAGCATATTCCTGCAGCTGCTTTTGGATGATCGGACCGTCATTCTTGAGGAACTCTTCAACGACATGCTTGGTGGTAGCATGCTGATCGGGAGACTGAAGGGGCTGGAGGGAGGAGAGGTATCGTTCGCATGTTTCTTCGAGGGTGGGGATGGGAAGATGAGGAAGTTGGGATTGACCTTGGAAGGTTCTACCGCCTCCGAGACCCTCTTTGTCGCTAGCGTTGGCGAGGGCGGCGGATTTGTTTTCGACCGCTTGGGCGTTGTAGACGCCTTTGCCTTGGGAGGACATGAGACCTGGGGCCATGTTGACGAGATGACGGGCTGCAAGGGCTGGTCTCTGGGGAATGGTATTTTGGGCTAGAGGGGACAGAAAGGTGGTTCGTCAAGGGATGAGTTGGCGATATATATGTTTGTAAGGGAATCGTGGATGAGGTAGAAGAGTAAGCTGCGCTCTGCGACGTGTGCGGGGAAGACAAGGAAACAGCCTCTAGCGGATGTGGAGAGAGTCGGAGATGACTGGCCGAAAAAGGTTACACACGGGCCAAGAGATATTCGTACCAGGCCATAGGGGTACGCAACATTGCAGATCCGATTTCGCCGGCGTCTTCTCCCTGTCATCACACCTCTCTTTGCTCTTACTTCGAGTTCATCATAGAAAACACATCCTGGAGGGAACTGTGCGTCGAACGGGTGCCAGTCGTCTTAGTTGCGGTACCGTCACGCATAGAGAAAAACAGATCTAGGTGAGAGCCAAGAGCATAGAAAGTGGAGGCTTTTCTTTCTTCGGGGAGGCTCACATCACAGCCCGTATCATGGTTCTACCGAGAGAAGCTTTTTTTTTTCTTTTTTTTCTTTTTTTCTTTTTTTCTTTCTTTTTTTTTCTTTTCTCCTTTCCAAGACGGCGGCATTTTCCGTTAATCGCGGGGAAAGCAGTTGGAGCCGATCTGTCCGACCAGCGACAGATGTTACCTCTCATGAGGCTATGTCAGCAGCAGCGATGCCGACTGTGTACCGGAGAAGCCGGAGATGCAAACAACGAGATCCATGAAGGGAGATTGTTCGGTACTGCACCGCTCAATGCTGCATCAAAGAAGAATATCTTGCCAATGCGGGGAAAAGGAAGAGTGCCACGAAAGGCCCTCGTTGCAGATTTACGTCCGAGATCAGATCGCAATCGGGTCGATGCAATTTCTGTGAATCTCGATCCATCAGGAACCTGGGCAACGTTGTAGCAGAGAATCAGCTCACATTCTGTGCACGCTTTTTGCACACAAACCTCACGCGAAATTAACCCTTTCCCAAGCAAACGCCGGCATTGGATCGACCTTGCAGCATATCACTCTCGAGCAACACCTCCATCAGATCTTTGTTCCTCTCCACCACCATCATCCAAGCTAGTAAAGAGATTAACCATGGCCGAAATCAATCCCTCCGCACCAGCTTCGGAGCAGACGGCATTCGACATCGATCTCCCCTTCACATCGTACTATGAAGCTCATCCACTCCACTTCACCTCTCGCCCGGACAAAGTGATTGATGGATTCTGGTACATCATCGGCTCTTCCCTCCCACTTTGGAAGTCCAAAAAGAACGTCGTTATTCGATACATCCCCCATCCGAACCTTGCCGGAGATGAGGTCAAATTCACCGACGAAATTCGTTCCGATGCACGCTCACAACCCGCCAACTCCCACGACATCCTCCCACCCACCGACCTCCACTCCAAGTGGAAAGGTGAGGAAGGATTCACGAACAAACTCTTCGGTATTAAAGGTACAAATGTTCTGCAGAAGGATGCTAAGAACGGGTAAGCCACCTTCCCTTCCCCTATCTATTCCCTCTTTCTTTACCAATCTAACCTTTATATGTATATATATATATATATCTATGTTATGTGCATGCAGAGCTTCGTATCAATGGACAGGCAACGGGCTGCTTAAGTTCTTCCATTCCAAATGGCAAGTTATTGGCTATGGTCCTTACGATCTCACGGATACCTTGCGAACAAAGTTCGATTGGGTCGTGACGTATTTCGAAAAGACTCCTGCTACTCCGGCTGGTATTGATCTTTATGTTAGAGATCCAAGGTCGATGCCGGAAGAAACATCCAAAACGGTGCTCGCCAAGATGAAGCAACTGAAGACGAAATATGCGGATGATGCAGATGAGAGAAGACAAAGGTTGGCCCAGGAATTGTCCAAGCTCGCAGAGGGATATTTCGAGATTCCTCATGATTCGTAGCCGTCCTCCCAGCCATTCTTCTCCCGATCTGATGATTGCAATGCTTCTTGTCGCTTTGTTCAGTGCAAGCTCATATACCCTATAACGAATCTCTTGCCCCCTTCCACGAAGATTGCCGGTGTGTGAAGGCTTGTGTGCTCGATTTTGTGTTATGTGTCGCGTACAAATACAGTTCTTGAGTTCCCCCACATCAAGCTTAGGACCAATCCAGATCATCGTCATTGAACTTACTCCACTGCTTCCCACCTCTTGGGCCAGCATCTAAGGCACTTGCATCCAACAATGGCTTCCCATCCGCCCCCATTGGTCCTGCTACATCAATAGGCAGACCATCCGGACCCAACTTCCCCTCCGCTCTGTCTTTAATCGCTTGTAACCAGCCTCCTTCGTCGATTCGTTCTGTTTCTTGTGCTGCGATCCGGCGGAAGTAGAAGTCTTTGCGTGGATCGTATTTGATTCGTTCATCGCGAAGCATGCGGTTGTCGACTCGAGCGTCTTCGCCTTCCACTTGGAGGACTGCTTGGGGCGTCTTTGCGTCAACAACCTGCACATTTGAGAAAGAGAGACAGAGAGACAGAGAGACAGAGAGACAGATGTCAGTGGAAACTGAAGGTGATGGAGAGGAAGAGAAGGAGGGGAAGAGGGGGAAGCTTACATAGTGATTGTCGCAATGAGGGCAGTATTCATCGGAGTCTTCGTATTGGGTTAGATCTTTACGGAAGGCTTTACGACATTTCTTACAGATGAAAGCCATTTCGATTGTTTTGCGCAACATATGGTCTTGTGTTTCTGCGTGGCATTCCGGGCACTGCAGTTATCATACGATTAAGTTGATTTGCCGTCAGCTATCTTACTCTTCAAGTGGGCTTTCGCTGCGGTGGAAGGCGGGAGAGACTCACGTCGAAGAACTTCTGACAGCACGGGGCACGGATCGAAACCTGTGCGTTCAGGATGTGTTTGCTGCAAGCGCCACAATTGGAAAAGAAGTCAGTGTGAGTAGCTCGGGAAGAGAAGAAGGCCGGAAAGGGTGTGGGACGTACCACATGGCGAAGGTGTGCGGGAGGGTGAGCCAGAACGGTGGAGAGAAGGATGAAGATGATAGAGTGGAAGATGGAAGCGAGCGGAAGTCGGATCTTCTCGAAAAGCCAAACGCGCGTACGAAACCAACACCCAACCAACACACGACCTGTGTGCCACTTAACGCGCTTGTCCACTTTCGGACGAGACACGCTTGCAATCGTATCACCATACGTCCCTTGCCACATAACCCCGGAAGACCACACGATGTAGTACGTTTATTGCACACTGCCGCCATGCAAAAGTGTTCAAGTAAATGATGTCTAGATTGATAAACGAAACAATGAAGTACATGCTAGAAATGCGAAATGTGAGCGACAGCCCTGGCAGGGAACGGTGATTGGAAAGTGAGTCACTATGCCTCAGCCTCTTCCTCATCCTCCTCAATAGCACCGACCTCAAACTCCCCAATAATATCCCATCTAGATCCGCCTGCATTCGCCGCAAGATACTTGACAAACCTCATCACCCCTTCATCTCTCAGAACCACACTCAACGTGTTGAAGCTGGGTGTCAAGTTCAACAACACGCCGTCAAAGTCCTCATCCTCTTCTAACCCATCGTCTTCGACCATCTCCACGATCTCTTCCTCTTCCTCCTCGCCTTTTGCGGCCTCACCATCCTTCATTTCGGCATCACCATCTTCCGCCTTCTTCTTACCCGAATTCGCGCTCTGGTAAACAGCAGGATCTTCTTCACCTTCGTGTGGAGCCATGTAGCATTCCCATCCACCAATGTCGCCGCTTTCCCACTTAGCTGCGAGATCCTTCGCTTGAGATGTTGAAAGGAGTCCCTTTGAGGCGGCAGAAAAAGAAGGGGCGGAGGTCTTGGGCTTCTTCGCTTTGCCAGCGAGTCCTCGTGGGCCGCCTTTGCGCTCTTCCTCGAGAGAAGGCTTGACGACGTCAGGGGTGAGATTGAGAGTGACATCGAGTACGGCTTCTGGATCGCTTCGGGCCAATGTGTAGTCGAGACCAGGGCGGAAACGTCTTGCTTCCACTGGACGTGCTCCTAGTGGTACAAGTTGGGAGATGTTGGCTAAGAAGTGTCGAAATGCGTTCGACGGGAACAACACGGTGCTTAGAAGCTTGAGCAATTCGCTTGCATCTGTGGGCAATGGGTTAGGGATGGTTGCTTGCGAAGTAGCAACCTCTTTTGCTTTCGACGGCGCTGCTTGTTCGGAAAGTACAGCGTATCGCTGCTTGTGAGGAGGCCCAGCAATGCTGAACTTCTTGGCCTCTGCATCGGCACCTTCAGCGCGGTCCGTAGCCACACCATGAGCCTGGATCCGAGTAGACTCTTCTCCCTTGCCTGACGCCCACCACTGGAACCCATCTCTTGCGTCCGCATTCCGCAGCGCCTTCTCGATCGGTCCTGCGATCTCCTTACGCAAGACATCGGCTAACAAGACATGCGAATCGTCGCCAAACTGCTCATAAAGCTGCTCTTGGGTCTTGTCAACCAGGTAAGCTGGGTTGAGGAATTGGATGAGGAACTTCTTCTCCTCCTGACTGAGTGGTGAGCCGGGTAGTGGCGGGGAGTATTCTTCTGGGTAGGCTTCGAATAATTTGGCGTTTTCTTTGGCGGAAAGACTTTCGAGAGAGCTCATCTCCTTTTCGACTTCGGCTTCTTTCTTCTCGTCTTCTGTTGTGAATCCCTCCTCTCCCTCCTGTGGACGGTGGAACCAGCCCGAAATGCTGAGACGCGACTGAGAAGGATGGACGACTTCCTCGACCGAGTGGAATGAGTGGCCAGGCTGGACGGTGAAGAATGTGAACTGGTTCCACTTGGGTGGGATGACCTTGCTGGGTACGTCATCTGGCGTTCCTTTGGTTTTGACGGGGTACAGTTCCAACGCACCACCCCATTCAGCCTGCCATGGCTGTTCAGGATCCGGCAAGTAGAGAATGTACGAGACCCTACGAGTCGAGATGACATCGTCGTGGTTGAGCAAGTGGCATCCTTGGCGGTAGTCGTTGATGCTCATATCCTTCTTCTCTGCGCTCAATGGTCCACAGCCTGTTACGCCCTGCAGCCACGACCTGAACTCGTGTGAATAGATAGCATTGCGAACGCGGAGGAGGTTATGAAGACGACCGGCTTCTTCAGCAGGAAGACCATCAAGGTTAGCAAGATCACCTGTCTGATTGACTTTGTAAATGTCGGTTTCCTTTTCGGCGAAACGAAGCTCGTCGATGATCTCTTGACGGGCGGCTTTGAGGAGAGAGTCGTCGATGAGGGAGGGGATGACGGCGTGTTTGTAGGGCGCAGAGGCTTCGTATTCGGCGTTAAACTGGGAGACGGTGGTAGAGTCGAAGAGATTAGGGGCGAAGGCCGAGACAACATCGCCATGGGAGGCTGTCATATTGTCTAGCTGTCCAGTGATGGACCTGATGACGGCTAGTGAGGTGGCTAGTGAGGTGGCTAGTGAGGTGGCTATGTGATGTTGCGGAGGAGAAGGAGCTGGGAAGATGTAATTGCAAGCATGAACAGCGCAACTTTTTCTTCTCAAAGATGGAGTTAATTTTGAGAAATGGCGCACCGACCGACCTTAAAATTTTACGAAGCTTTCGTCTTCTCGCACGAAACAGCATCTTCTTCGCTCGTTTCTCCGCAAAGAGAAAGAAGCCGCCGTTTGGCGCCTGCTGGGAAGGCAATTCGGAAGCGAAAGCTTTGGCGCTTGTGTGTGTGCTTTTGGCGGCTATCGGATGTGAGTGCTCGCTATCGTAGACTCAATTTTTGGTGGTGTCTTACCCCACAATCTATGGCTGGTCATCCCTCTACGAAGCTAGAGGAATAGCAACCCCTGCCGTGACTACGCCCTGCTCAGCCATTGGTTGCTAGCCGATTCCACCCCTTTACCCCACAAACACGCCCTCCATGAGCTTGCCCGTCCAAGCATAGTCTACTTGCGTGGTTTCACAAGACCTTGAAAGTGAGAAAGGAGGGATCCTGGAACAAGCGAGGTAGATCGAAGCGTGTCATGCTCGTTTGTTCTTTCTGCGGGGGACACATGACCACTGAGAGAGTTGATTGTGCCTTCACCCCAGATTGCCGCGAGTGATGCTATTCTGAAACTAGCTCAATCTTCCACTTTCAGAGCGTGTGAAAAGGGTTGGTTCGTGCAGGATTCCCCCCTTCTCGAGCTTCACGACATGACCTTTCCAGCATCGACCAACGTTGCTCTCCCTTGCTACCATCAGACATAAATAGCGCTCGCCTGATTCAGCACCAGTGTTGCCCCCATCGAGGCTCATTGACCAACATTCCCGACCCCTGGGACCTCTACCACCATCCATCGATCCAAGCAAAACCTCCACGATGGGCAAAGACGAGCAGAATGACGACGTCAACCTCTTCCAGCTGATGCTGGATCAAGCCGACGGTATCGACTTCTCCGACCCCGCTGCACCGGACCTCCCTGATCCGACGGAGCTCATGCTTCCAGGCTTGGAAGTCTCGAAACTATTCTGCGTCGTATACTGGGCCCTCCTACACTCGCAAGACGAAGAAGGCATCACAGCGGGTCTGGACATGATGAATCTCGAGCAAGCCAAAAAAGCCGTCAACGGGACCTTCCGATTCAACGTCCGACCAAACGAAGGCTCTGGTATCCAAGACCAAGTGGTTACCTTCTACGTAGACATGCGTCGCGACGGCAAGATCATCCGTGGTTCTGGTCCAGCGAAACCCAAACCGGATTGCGTAATGACCATCAGCGATAGAGATATGGTCAGACTCGCACTCGGTCAGCTGAGTCCACAGGTGGCTTTTATGAAGGGGAGGATCAAGGTGAAAGGAAACATTATGTTGGGATTGAGGATGCAAACTGTACTGATGAACGAGGTGAAGAAGATGTCGCGCGTTGCCAAGCTCTGATCCCTGAGTGCTTTTGTCTCGGAATCTGGTTCGGTTCCATTGCTGTGTCTCTCTGTAGCTATCGCTAATATATTCACGCACACAAAACAACACCAAGAGGAAGTTGGAGACTGAAAGAGTGTGTATTGTCTTTGCAAGAGAAACAGCATTCACAAAAGGAGAGACCGAAAGATATGAACAATGGAAAGAAGAAAGCGAAAGACAAAGGGTTGGACAAGCAGACAAGAGCAACCGTATGCAGTGTGTGACTTTGGATGCAGAGTTGGCTCGTAAAACGCTACCGGAGCGAGTTCGAGCCTAGCTTCTGATCGAAAGAGCTTCTAGAGAGAGCATGTGCGAGTAGGGGAGGCATGTTCAGAGGAAAGCGGCACCAACAGCAGCCATGCCAACCAGCGCACTCGCGTAACCAGCGAGCTTGCCCGACGTCGATGCGGCACCCGAAGAGGACTTGACGCTGGTGCTCTGCGATGATGGAGTATTGGGCGATCGCGAAGAAGTGGCCGAAGCAGCAGTAGCCATATCTGTGGACGAGGAGGAACCGACGAAGGAAGGCGAAGAGGAAGAGGCGGTAGTAGAAGCAGGAGTGAGCTGATCCGTGCCCGAAGTGCCCTGCAACTGAGACATGATGGTGGAGTTGAAGTTTCCGGTCATGCCTTTCAAGTTGAAACGAGCGGAGAAAGCCATGGGAGGGGAGCCACCAGCGGCGCTAGTGTTGGTGCCTTCGAAACGAAGGAAGTAGTATCCACCGCTGGGGCCGACGCTAGCATCAATTTTGTAAGATCCTTCATCTTGGTTGTACGAGACGTTGCTAGCGAGAGTCTGGAGCTTGTATTGAACGTTGCGGGAACCGGTGGCGAGGTAAATGTTGACACGACCCCAGTCACGACGAGTAGGAGCCTTGTCGTCGTCGTTCCATTCGACTTGGAGACGACGTCCGGCGCGGGCGTTGGTAGAGCTGCAGGGGAAAATGAGCATTCAACATGAGGTCAGCAATCGTTTGTAAGATGGACGGTCTCATTCAGCAGCTGAATACCTACGCTACAGGCTTGGTGACGACAATGGTAGAAACGGCGGTATCGGCGGCGGCGAGCGCAAGCACGACAATGGTGGTAATCTTGGCAGCGACCATTTTGACGATAGGAAAAGGACCGAAAGAGTGTGTGGTTGGTGTATCAAGAGCAAAGACGAGAGAGTGAGTGCGATTCCGAGGCCTGCGTTCAACGTAGGGATGGAGGTGTAGCAAAAGAACCAAGGTTGCGGAGTGGAGATGGTAGAGAGAGAGAGGAGCAAGCAGAGATGTGTGTGAGTGGTGAAGAAGAAAGGTAGAACCGAGGAGCAGATAGCAGTCACGAGTGCGAGCCGAACACGAACACGTCAAAAAAGTGTCGTGGTTTCAGTGTGTTTCTGCAAATATGCATATGAATCATACGCCGAGCCTGAAATCACCAAAAAGACATTTCGAGCCCATGAAAGGCCAAGAAGTCGTGCTTTGCTTTGCTGCTTCACCGCTAGACTTTGCAAGTGCAAGGCTGCAATGTCGCTCGGAAGTCTGTGACGGAATGGGAGCTGACACGAGGCGCAATCGTGACCCTCCTCCCTGCAAGCTAAGAAAAGACAAAAGCACAACACAGGGGCCTTTTGCGAATCTCGGTGCATCGTCTTTCTGACGAACCAAGACACAAAGATGCATGCTGTGCAGTTTGCTTGCAGCCGACTTGGCAGTCTTGCAAAGCCTCGTTCAGAGTGGCACCTTCCACGCAAGCCTTTGCACACACATCCACTTCGCTCGGAAGTGAGATGCTGGCAATACGTCAGGCGGTCAGTCGAGCAAGATGAGATTGTTTCTTGTAGCTGAGCTGTGGCCGTCTTTTAGATTTTTCAAGGGTCCTCATCTTTGTGTTCGTGTGGGCAAATCCTATGAGATGCTCATATTGAAAAAGATCAAGAAAGAATATGCTAATTGAATTTATGTGGTTTCAATCTCAGATCGCCAGCAAGGCAGCAGGTTTGTGACTCTGCGCGTGCTTGAGAAGAAAGTTCCTTTTGTCGCTGTCATCCACCTCGCTTCTGCAATCACTCCCAAGGAGATCTGGTAATACTTCTGGTAATACTTCCTTCTGATTGAGAACAAGGTTGATATCACAGGGGATCTAACAGTAGTGATTCTAAATCTTGGAAGCCCTCGCCTGTTGGTCCCTAACTTCATCCCACAACCCACCGGCGATCTGTGGCGACTCAATCCCCTCCGACTCGTGACCCTTCCATTTGCCTCCCTTGGCGAATGCGTTCCTCAAATGGCTGACAAAGATAGTCGGCTCCTCATGGGCGGCAAAGTGTCCACCCACTGAACTCTTTGCGATCCACCTCGTCTTTCCGCTCGTCGTTGTTGCATCCACGACGAACTTGGGAGTGTTGACCAACTCATCTGGAAAGTCAGAGTATCCGAGAGGTACTGGAAGCTTGTACTCCGGTGCGCCGTGAATTTCGGGCAAAAAAGTGTTGTTGGTGTAAGGAATGAACGAAGTTCCGATCGAAGAGGTGAACCAGAACAACGTGGCAATTTCCAAACATGCGTCCATGTTCAAGCGAGGGTGGTTGGGACGTCGCTCAGCCAAGGTGTCGTAGATGTTTCCCAACCAGCCGAGAAGTCCGACAGGTGAGTCGACAAGACCGTACAGCAGCTGAACGGGTCGAGTGCGTTGCACGTCGTAGTAAGCTCGGTTCTGCTCGAAATACATTCCCTTTGCAGCCATCACGAGGTATTCTTGACCGTAGACCAGCTTTGCGATTCCCAAAGTGACCTTGACGGGGAGGTTGTGGAGCATGAACTTGCTCAAACCCTTTGCAGCAACTGGGCAGAAGTTGAGGTGGACGGCACGGCAACCAGTTCCGTCCTTGTGAGAATGGAAGGCACCGAGAGCACGAGCGTGAGGACTACCCCAATCACCACCTTGCGATGCGTACTGGTCGTAGCCCAATCTACGCATGAGAGCGTCAAGGATGCGAGAATAGCCTCGGACATTACCGACCTGCTTGTTGGGCGGCGGGGTCGAGTGAAGGAAACCAGGCAGGGATGGAACTACGACGTGGAATGCTGGGGTGTCTTTGTCAGCTGGGTTCGCGAGATCGTCAATGACATGGGAGAACTCGAACCAGCTTCCGGGCCAGCCGTGGATGAGCATGATAGGGATCGCATCAGGGCGGTCGGATCGTTTGTGGACAAAGTGGAGCTGGGTGCACCAGTCAACGGAGGTGGTGAAATGGGGGAAACTGTTCAGACGCTTTTGGAAGCCAGAAAAGTCCCAGTCAGCCCATTTGTCGACAAGAGCCTTGACGAGAGGAAGGTCGGGCTTGTAGGAGAGCTTCTTGGGTCCACGTTCATCGTCGGGAAGGTAAGGAGCGTTGGGGAAACGGGTGTTGCGAAGACGGTTGCGAAGGTCCTTCACCTCGTCGTCACTGTAGACGACAGTGAAGGGCTTAGGCGGTGTGATGGATGGGATCTCGGAGGTTGACATCTTGGAGTGCTCTCAGAGAGGGAGGGTGGTGGTCAAAGGAGAAGGAACAGAAGATGTGCGACCAGCTTTCTTCTTCTTGCATGAGAAGAGTTGTGTTGAAGCGGATTGCAAGACAGGAAGCGCTTCACAACCGGATGCTTGGGGCCCTGCTGGCTATAGCATGTAACCGGTCCTCGCAGCTGTGAAATTACTCTGAAGCTAAGCAGCTAGGGTTGGCTTGTTTGATCCTGTCAACCGATGCAGCAGCCGCACTCTGCAACCAACACGAAGCTCATTCTTCTGTCTGACCCGTCGAATTCTCGCCCTTTTTTTTTTCACGTAGTAGAAGCCAACCAAGGAACCGGACTTGTTTGCTCGGGCGCTTTAAACTGTGGGACCTTGCACAGAAAAGTGTCATTGGTGGTGACAAAAGGTTCCCATCATGCATTATCTTTTGCTACAGTCCTCGCTGATGTTTCCGATGACCTTCCGAGCTTGTTGTTCAACCGGAAAGTGCTCTTCTGTCATCGGTCCGGAAGCAATCTGCTTGCCGATGCCGGTTAGCTGCGCTCAACATGTGCAGAGTGCGGACGTAACATCCCTGATTGTCGCGCACGGCTGCCACGTGCGCTTCGCTCAAAATGCAAAGCCGTTTCATCTGCGGCATTAGGTTCCCGGAGAGTGTGGCTCTTGATCGGCCTGAGGGGGACAAGGCAGCTGATTCGAAGGTAACGCAGAGTAAAAGCGTTATAGCCGAAAGTCTTCTGGACCCTGTTCGTCGGCAACTAAAATTCTTCCTACTATTGAAGGTGACTCGTTCTTGCCTTAATCCACCGACGCTCAACCTTTCATTCGGGGTTCATTAGCTTCATCCGCCTGCTCATCCTCCCTTGAGATCACGGATCGATTGCAACGCCGCACTCGCTAAGAAGTTCTTGTTACACACCCAATCATTCAAGGATCTTCAGCCTCTCGTTCCAACAAGGTACAAGTACGGCCATCGATACTAAACCTCAATCAAGAGCACTGTCAAGACAATCGCCCATCATGTCGAACAAGACTACAACCTATCCCTTCCACCAGGTGGACACCTTCACCGACACCCCGTACTACGGTAATCCTGTCGCAGTAGTCAACTGCCTCGACTCATCTCTTTCTATCCCCAGCCAGGAGCAGATGCAACGCTTCGCAACATGGACCAATCTCTCCGAGACAACATTCCTCCTACCTCCTTCTGATCCCAAAGCAGACTATCGATTGAAGATCTTCACTCCAGTCCAAGAGCTTCCTTTTGCAGGCCACCCAACTCTCGGCAGCTGTCACTCTTTCCTGCGTCACTTGGGCACTGCAAAGTCCTCTGCTTTGCTTGCTGAACGAGATGGGAAGCTGACGCAGGAGTGCGGCATCGGTTTGGTTTCGCTACAAGTCTCGCCCGACGCCAACACCGTTCGGTTTGAAGCACCCGACTTCATTCGCCACGAGAAAGTAGACTCAACAACGATGTCTCGTATCATCAAGGCCCTCTGTCTTGACCCCAACGATATTGTCGACGCATATCACATTGACAATGGTCCACGATGGATTGGCATCAAGCTCAAGTCAGCCGCTGACGTACTCAAGATTAACACAAACGCACCTTCCTGTGACATTGGCAGCATTCGAGATCTCTTCCTCGGCTTCATCGGGCCATATGAAGGTGTGAAGACTGCAGAAGGGGAAAGTATGGCCAATGAGGTCAGAGCATTTGTGTTTGAGGATATCGGAGAGGACCCTGTGACTGGCTCGCTAAATGCTGGATTTGCAAAGTGGCTCGAGTCGACGGGTGAGAGTCCTGCCGATGCATATACAAACTCGCAAGGCACAGCTATGGGGAGAAAGGGTAGGATCAGTGTTAAAATCGATCGAAGCAAGAATGAAGAGAAGCCTAAGATCTGGATCGGCGGCTCGTGCGTCGTTTGCGTCGATGGCGTTGTGCACCTCTAATCACACGCACTCGATTCATCCACAAAGGGTCAGAGAGACAGTTTGGTCAATATGATTCTATCATTTCAGACGCAACAGCAAGACAGGAGGATCAAGCTACAGAATATGTGAGCTTAGACGAAAGCAGTGCCGTTCCACTTCATCTTGCTGTAGTCCACAGCCTGAGCCTGCAAGAAGCCCGAGTTTGGCGTGATGCCATAGTTGATAGGACGAGTCAACTTGTTAGCGCCCCTCTTGACGTTGAACTGAGCTACCAAAAGCTCTTCAGAGTTGGGGTTGGTGTTGTTGACGTAGCCGTAGAACTTGGTGTTGCAGTCGGTCTTGCTGAACTCGATCTCAAAGTAACCGCGGTGAGCACCCTCAGCCCACTGCAAGTTCCTGTTGATCGTCACTAGCTTTTTGGCGTTAGCAGTGTATCGCTCAGCGGTGAGGTTGGCACCGTAAGACGAAGGAGACGAGACAGCCGTACCGGCGAACTCGACACCAATGGAGCCGTCACCTGTAGCAGGGTTGTAAGCGGTGTTGTTGAGGCGGTCTTCGGGAACAGTGTCGTAAACCCAGTTGGCGTGGGAGTCACCAGCAAGTGTGATGGTGTTCTGGACGTTGTTCTTGATGATGGTGTCGAAGAATCGACGACGGTTGGCACGGTATCCCTGCCAAGAGTCATAGTTGTACATGAACGAGGGCTGGCCGTAATTCTGAGAGTTCTGGATGATCTGTTGAGTGATGACCTTCCAGACGGCACCGCGCTGTTCGGAGTGGATCATACCGTTGTAGAGCCACTGCTCCTGCTTGCCACCCATTAGGGAACGGTCGGTGTCGTTGCTGATAGCAGCAATGGCGTCGGTGTTGTAGTAGACGTCGGTGATGTCACGGTCAAAGTTACGGGTGTCGAGAAGGAAAAGATCGGCGAGCTTGCCGTAACGGAACGAACGCCAGATACGAAGAGAGTCGGTGGTGTCAACCTGACGAATGGGCATCCACTCGTAGTAAGCCTTGACGGCAGCGAGCTTTCGCTCGGTGAAGCGAACACCACGGACGGCACCAGATTGGGTGTTGTTGCCATCGGCGGTACCATGATTGTACGAGTTGTCAGCTACCTCGTGGTCGTCCCAGATGCCGAAAAAGGCCATCTCGCCGTGTAGAGCCTGGAGATCTTTGTCCTTGCGGTAGGAGCCGTATCGGAGACGGTAGTCCTCGAGGGTCACGATCTCGTGGTCGGGAGCAGGGACACGGTTGAGAGCAGTACCGTTACCGTAAGTCTCTTCGCCGGGCACCTGCTTGCCGTCACCACGAGCCTCATAGATGTAGTCACCGACGTGAACGAAGTACTCGGCATTCTTGCGTGCTGCAGCCGCACGGTAAGCGTTGAAGTATCCGAAAGGAAGGTTAGAGCAAGAGAAGACAGCAAGCTTGAGCGAGTCGACCTGGTCATCATTGTACTCAGGGATCGACTTGAAGCTGCCGACGGGCGAAACAACGGAAGGATCGTGGCAAGAGAAGAAGCGGTAGTAGTACTGAGTCTTAGGCGAAAGGTTGGCGGTCTCGACCTTGAACGAATAGTCTACCTCGCTGGTGGTCCAAGCGTAGCTGTCGTCGACAAGGTTCTCTTTGGACCAGTCACTCTTGCTCTTGGAAGTCTGGTAGCGCAAGCATACAGGGAGATTGGTGTTGGAGTCCTCAGGGACCGGGTGTGTCCAGAGAATGGCAGATTCAGGGTAAGGATCACCCGAGGCGACACCATACGGGAAGGAGACTTTGCCCTTGTAGGCATCACGACCGTCCGAACCGTACTTGCCGTCGTACTTTTCGACGAGGAAGTCGGCCTCGGTCTTGTACTTGCCGGCGGCCTTCTTGCTGCCACCGTTGTTGCGCTTGGCCTTGCCCTCGACCTTGGAGGTGACGTAGGCGTCGTAAGCCCGCTTCTTGATCTGGGTTCCGATGTGCTCGATGTTGTGGCTGAGACGTTCACCGTTGCTTAGCGAGAGCGAGGGAGAGCGGTACGCAAGGTTGCGTTCCAAGGGGGCCAAAGCCGAGACGGAGGCAGCGAGCACAGCAGCAAGTGCCGCGAAGGGGGCGACGGTAGTCTTCATTGTTGTTGAGACTCTGTGGTGTTTGCACGAAGGAAGGTAGAGTCTGCAGAAGATGTCTTGAACAACTTTATATACATCGCTCAACCCAAGATGAAGGTGGACGCCGAAGGCGGGCCGAACAGAGCCTCTCACGTCCTGTCATAGTGCCTATGGTGCAGAAGTTACAACAGCTAAGGGCCGCGATGGCCATCTTCTCACCAAACAAAACAGCGAAGTCTAAGCGAGAAGGTGTCTCGCAACGATCTAGGAGGAACATTTGCTTCACCGTGGAGGAAGGAAAGGAAAGAAAGAACCCACGTTTTGGGCTTGCTTGCTACCGACCAAGCGTTTCCTGAAGACCACACAGTCGCTTAGCGAGCTCAGACCTTCCTTCCTGAAGGAACCATTTTGAAATCGAAAGCCGCCGGCTACTGTATCTATTCTCACGCTTCGCAAGGTTTCGCCTCCCATCCCCCCCACCTTTGCGATTACGTTCAACTTCGATCTGAAAGATCGTTCACGCTTCGTAAGTGGAAATTCGGATGGCCGCATGTGAGTATGCTCGTCGACAACAACGTTGCAGAAACGTGGGCCTACCAAATTGTGAGGTTCGCACGCAGAGAAGGTGAAGTGGAGATCGATCTTGAACCTCAGAGAAGCGTCTGTGCATCTATCCAAGAGCAGAAGCAGACCAAGCGTTACTTTGCAATCGAAGGCGATCTAAGGAGTTGGTCGACCAATAGGCGTGCTCTCATTTGATCCGTCGAGCGAATCTGTGGATGAAAGCCTGCGGTTTTGCGTCTGCATCATGCTTCTCAACCGGAGGCCGTCGGTTTCACCGTTCAGCCTCCATCTTTTACTTTGATGCACAACAGCAAAGCAAAAATACTAATAAGCGAGCTCAGAACGTGGACACCTTTTCTGAGAAGGCTACCAACCCCACCCGAGTTTCGATTGTCCAGCCTCCAACCTGGATCTCAGCTTCACCAATGCAGTGCGATCCGTTCTCGTTTTGCACAGAAGGTGCTCCGGTTGTCTCTAGGAACGTGTGCTTCTTCTAGAGGATCGGAAAGCTTACATCCCAAGCAAAGGACAGGGGAGACCAACTTTGATCTGCGGATCTTCAGTGAGACCCTTTGCTTCTCAGCAGAGAGGAACGAAAGTAATGTTTTCGATGCCTCTTTGATGCCTGACTGGCTACCAAGCACATGTCATCTCATTCTCTCACAGACAAACATGATCTGATCTACCTTTACTGATCTATCGTCATTTGTCGTTACATGATTGGAAAGCATTTAATGTGGACATAAGGTCCGCGAAAACCGGACCCCTTTACTTAGACAACCCAAGACGGGCGACCAAGTCGGACCTGTTCACACCGGGCAGCTTGACCTTGAAGACGAACAGTTGTGTGGGCACATCCTGAGGGTATGCGGCCGAGTAGTCTCCAATAGCCCTCATGTAACCAGTCTTGGTCTGGAAGTCATTGTCGCTGACCGAAACGATGAAGAACTCGTCCTTGTCAAAGTCCTTGTCATCATCCGACTTGGGAAGAGTGGGCAAGAGGATTAAGTTCTCGATCTTGGCAGCCAAGAGGGTGGGGTCCACGGGCTTGCCAGAGCTGTGCATGCCGAACTTGGGCAGATCGCTGGTGTAGTCGATGAGAGTGCTGTAAGCGGCAAGGTCGATGTCGCTAGCGAGGACTCTACCGGGAGCGATGGCACCGGTAGCGTCGTCGTACTTGGTGCCAGCGAGGTTGGTGGCAGTGGAAAGGTCAAGGATGTCGATGTGCTTGTAGCTGACATCGGTGTCCGAGTTTCCAAATCCGTTGCCGTCGCGGACGAGAAGGCCGACGGTCTTGTGGCCAAGGTAGATCAAGTCGCTGACGTTGCGGCCCTTGCCTTTCTTGGAGGTGGGCACCTTGAAGGCGTACTCGCCCACAAGCTTGACCTTGCGGCCAGGGTTGTCTCCAGGTCGGTATGATGTGACACCAACAAGAGAGGAAATGTCCCACTCGAAGATGCGGACGTAAGGGGTGCCGTCACCGCCGTCTTGAGTGGTAGCGGCTTGGAGAACAGCGAAAAGGGTGTGGCCGTCCCAAGAGACAGTCATACCCTCGAAGCCTGCATTGGGGCTTCGCCCAGAATCGGGATTAGCCTTAGAGGTGAAGTTGTACTGGCCACCGATACGGGGAAGGACAGCCTCGGGAGGGGTAATGTAGGCAATGATGGATCCGTCCGAGGCAATCTTGTAGATACCAGGAGTGTACTCTTCCGAGACCCAGAAGGTGCCGTCAGGGTTAGCGGAGAAGCCTTCAGTGTCGAGTGAAAGCATGCCCTTGGCCTCTGCAAGAGGACTATCCTTTTGCACATTGCCACTCAGACCACCGGTCCTGACAGCTGTGGGATCAAGGCCCGTGGTGTTCCTAATGTTGACGTTGCCTTTGTTGCTGGCAGCCTCGTGATAGTAGAGGGTGTCGCAGTAGGTGATGTTGAACAGCTTGCTAGCCTGGCTGAAGGCTAAGTTGGCAGTACCAGTGTACTCTTCGAATTGGAAGTCGAAAGTATGGTGACGCGCAACGTAGTCGATGGTAGTCTCCACATTGTAGCCACGGTCAGGCTGGAGGTAGAACTGACCAGAGTAGGTGTTGCCGTTGCGGCTGTACTTGCCGGGAACAAGACCGCCTGCAGAGCCAACACCGCCAATGGTTTCGTCGTTACTGTCATGGTTGCTGGCCGAGTACTGACCGATAGCGACAAGACCCTCTGACTTGAAGTCAGAGGGGTTGATGCCCTCGGCGCGGCTTTGGATCACAGCGGCAGAGATGCCGTTGCTAAGCGCAAAGAGGACTGGCAGAGCCAGTGTGAGCTCGGAAATCATCTTGAGGACTTGTCAGGGGTGCAGATGCGCGGCGACCAGAATGATAAGGAAGGTTGTGGGGAAAGACTTTATACCAAATTAAACGACGCCAGCCCCATACGACTTTGCTGTCAACTGGATGTGCATTTGATGCTCCACCTTTCCCAGCTTTACCTGCGAGAAATTAGTAGGACTTATGTCACTTACGACGATGACCGCGGCCAATATGACGATTGAGAGCAGGAAGACATGGAAGATCCTCGCACTTGGAAAGATCACGCTTCCAATCACCGAGCGAAGGGTCTGCCACACCAGCCGATCTCCGGCCAACATCTGACTCTTACTCTGCAGCAGACGCCACTTCCTTCACCCCTTCCTCTCCCACCCTTTCCTCAATCTTGTGCAGAGTTTGGACGGGCCGATTGACCGCCTCGACATGCTGCGGGAGGGCTTTACTGCATTCACAAAAGCCACGACAGAAGACACTCGATTCGTTGAGGCAATCTAACGTTCCTAGAGATGATGCCAAGGTATATATATATATATTCATGTAGCTTCGCTTGATAAGGATTTTAGTTAGCATACACCTGTACGAAAGGAGTTTGATCGTAGCCCCGACGAAGTGGTGTTCTCTTTCAACTTGAACTGATACAGCCAAGTTTGTGCACTCAGTGCTTCTCGATGTCCTGCTCCAGAACGAATCGGTATCGGATATCGTTCTCCTCGACCCTCTTGACGGCCTTGGAGCAGTCCTTCATAGGAAGAACCTCGACCCAAGGCTCGATGCCCTTCTCGGCAGCCAAGTCAAGCATCTGCAGAGCCTCCTTCTTGCTACCGATGTGCGAGGAGCCCATCAGGCAACCGTTACCGGCAAAGTTCTGGATTCGGACCTTGAAGACGTCCTCGGGCATACCAACGCAGATGAGTCGGCCGTGGACCTTTAGGGTGCTAAGGATGGAGGCAAGGTCGACAGCGTTGGAGGAAGCGGTGTTGATGATAAGGTCGAAAGGCTTGGACTTGTAGTCATCGGCCCAGTTGGGGTTCTCGGAAGTCGAAACGAACTCGTTGGCACCCATCTTGAGGGCGTCCTCCCTCTTACGGGGGGAATGGGAGATGGCAACGACCTCGGCACCAAGGGCGTGGGCGAACATGACACCAAAGTGGCCAAGACCGCCGATACCGACGATACCGACACGCTTGCCAGGGCCAGCACCGTTGCGGATAAGAGGAGAGAAGACAGTGAGACCACCGCAAAGCATAGGAGCGGCGTGCTCGGACTTGATCTTTTCGGGGATGGGGAAGACGAACTGCTGTTGAGTTCGAATGTTGGTGCTATATCCGCCCATAGTTGGAATCCCGTCGTGATGATGCGAGCTATTGTAAGTGTCTACGAGACCGACCTTGCCGTTTCCTTGACAATACTGCTCCTGTTCGTCCTTGCAAGGTACACATTCGCCGCAAGAGTCTGAGATGATGGTTTAAAGGTGGAAAAGCAAAGAGATGGTCAGTATCTTTGGACGCGCGGAGTTGGACAGGTACTCCGATGGGGCTTTGTTCGCTTCATGCACATCGAAAATGGAACGATGAAGCACCGAGCGTCGATGCATGTGGGCTTTGTCTCATCGTACTCACCAACCTGAGCGCCGACACCGACACGGTCGCCGACCTTGATGCCTTTAACGTTCTTGCCAACCTTGGTAGCAGTGCCGATGATCTCGTGACCGGGAATGCAGAAGTCATGGTTCAAAGGACCCCAACCACCAGAGATGGTGTGTACGTCAGAGCCGCAAACGCCACAGTGGGTGATGGCAATGTCGACATCGTCGTCGGTCTCCTTCTTGAGTTCGAAGTCATAGATCTTGAAGTCGGTCCAGTTCTTGGGGTCAGCAATTCCGTATCCACGAGGCATGGTGAACTAGTGTTTACGTTGGGAGGGGTAGATAAATAAGCTGGTGATGGTGGTGGTGGCGGTGGTGAAGAAGACGAGCAAGCGATATGTGTATATATGGCGACAGAAGCGTCCGTTGTTGCGCAGAGCAACTCTCATTGGAACGGCCATGGAAACTGCAAGTTCTGATGAGCTCAGTCGCTCTTCCTTGCTTTGCTTGCTGGGCCGTTAGAAATGACTCGGTGTACGCCCACTTTTTTCTTTCGTTTTGCCCTTTCTTCCAGTTGGCGCCCGTGCTCGCGGTGAGGATAATGTCGTGAGATAGCCAAAAAAACAAAAAACAAAAAACAAAAAAACAAAAAACAAAAAACCAAAAAAACAAAAAACACTGTTCCAGTGGCTGTTCTCCACTCATTCACACACACGACATCATCCTTGAAAATAGAAAATCAGAAATTTTCCGTCTTCGCTTGCTGATCATTCGGCTCTGTTCGGCGACTTTCAAGTCGATCATTGATGCTGTGAGGGAGGAGCATATGAATGCTGACAGCAGTGGTCATTGAGGGACCAGCAAGTTGAGAGCAAAGAGAGGTGGGTCAGTCTCAAACAGGAAGACAAAGTTGGCGAATGGGTCTCCCCCGTTCCGACATGAACAAAGGACACTCAGGTACGTGAGCCCAGTCATCGTCCTGTTGCCACCTAGTGCTGAACCAGGATTAACGAAAGATCTATCCGGACGCCACCCGGTCCTGCGCGAGGTCCCATGGGGTTAACAACGACACCTGCTAGCAAGATCTTTGAAGGTGGATGAGATTGCCGATAGTACACAACGCGAGCTGACCTGATGATTGCCGTTTCTTTCGCCGAATTTTGAGTCTGTGTGACTTCCGTCATCCGAATCTAGGTTTTTTCTTTATCCCAGCTTGACTTGCAACGGCCACACAAGTGAGGATCAGTCGGACGATACAGAAACAATGTTAGATTGTCGGTCAGCAAGGTGGCTCGCTGGCTCAAAGGCTCCCAGCCCGCCGTAAAGGGCCGGTCGAGCGCAGAGAAGAGCGGGTCATACAGGCGGAACGCAAGGGAGGGGATCGGGCGGGAAAAGGAAGATTGGCAAGGTCGATCTTGAAGCGCCTCTGGATGGTAGGTAGGAGTAAGGAGCAAAGCAAGGCCAATTGAGTGGGTTGCGACACATGTAGTCCAGCTCAGATGCGCACGCCTCGTCACATGCAACACGGGGTTTCCACATCATCCAACCCCACAGGCATCGTGACACAACGCTCACCACCATCGCAGGAGCTCTCACCATGTCAATACCTACTTCATCCTCTAGCAGCGCGTTGCTGCCAAAGCTGGTCGCAGTCTCCATCGCCTCCCTCACAGTCGGCTACTTCGTCGGCATGGGCCGCTCGCTCCTTTATTACAACGCCAACTCACGCCGCATCCTCTCCAATGACTCCGACGACGAATCAGACCTTGACCCTGACGAAGAGCTCGCTGCAACTTCTGACAACTACAAGACCTCCGGCTCCGGCTTGGAAGCAGAAGAATGCAAGATGATCCTCGCAGTACGAATGGACATCAAGATGGAGAAGGGCAAGATTGCGGCACAATGTGGACATGCTACGCTGGCCGTGTATAAGACAGCAAAGAAGTTGACACCTAAGTTCATTAAGCAGTGGGAGAGGAGGGGGCAAGCTAAAGTAGCGGTCAAGTGTCCTGATGAGAAGAAGATGTTGGAGCTGGAAAAGAAGGCGAACGAGTTGGGCATTGCTGCGAGGAGTATCATCGATGCAGGACGCACACAGATTGCACCCAATACAAGGACGGTGCTCGGCCTTGGACCTGCTCCTGTCTCATTGATGAACCAACTCACTGGCAACCTCAAGCTTCTCTAGAACGCATACGCATTTGTACAATCACTACTGGCATAGACGTATACAACGTCACCACGTCAATTCAGCAGCACCTAATCAAGTTCTGGTCACGTTACAGTCCAAAAAGTGTGTGACAGGGAACCCTTCTCAGTCGAGGTATGAGCAGCAGCAAGTATTGCATGCTCAGTTGGTGACCTCTGAGATCATCGACTTCCACTTCCGCTGGATCAGGATCGAATCTCGGAAGATCTGTGACGCGAAAAACATAGAGAAGGCAAAGCAGGTCGTGTCAGTGATCTTGCTGTCATGTCAACCTTTTTTGGCTGTTTGGCCATCGCAGCTACCTACCTTGTACTTGACGTCCAACAACTTTGTCAGCTTCTCATCTTTCTGCTGGAACACCGGGGTCCCCGGCTTGGTCATTCTTACCATCAAATCCCAAAGATGATCCTTGTACTTGAACGAGCTCTCCTCTGCCTTCTTCTGATCCTTGATCTCCGTCGCTTCCTTCGGTGCCCAGTCACCACTAGCTCCACTACCCTGTGGGTCCTTGACATCAGCCGCAAACCTACCCAAGATCGCTGACCCAGCAACGACACTAGCTGACGAACTGAACGGCAATTGAACAGGCATCTTACACACATCCGCGATCAACTGCATGAAAACGGGGTTCTTGGCGTGCCCACCGCTCATGTAGATCGAGTCGATCTTGTGGCCCTTCGCGTTCATCTCCTCCACAATGTGTCGAGTCTGCAGAGCGATGGCTTCGAGCGTAGCGTAGTACTTGAGTGCGAGATCGTTGAGACTGCGATCGAGTTTCAGACCAGTGACCATACCTCGCATGGTCGAGTCGGCGAGTGGGGAACGATTGCCGTGGAAGTCGGGGTAGATGAAGAGATCCGTGGTGAGGTACGACGCGTGAGGGGCAGAAGCATCGGCTGCGAGAGAGTCAATCTTGTTGTGTAGTACGTTGAAGGGGGATTGGTTGGTTTCCGAGGCAAGCGTGCGGAGATGGGGAGAAGCAGGGTGGGTGTCGATGATGAAATCGATGAGTTGGCCTGTGGAGGATTGGCCACCCTCGTTCATCCAAAGACCAGGGAACACAGCATGCTTGTAAGGGCCCCAAACACCGTCGACGAGTATGCCATCAGGTGATTGGACGCAGTAGCATGTGCTAGTGCCTGCAATGGCCGCGAGACGGTTCTGCGAGCTGATGAGGGATGGGTGGTTATTCTCCTCGCTGACAGGGTTGGTGGGGGCAGCAACGGTGCCAACCCAGCCTGCGTAGGCGTCAATCAGGGCTGAGCCCACTGCCGTGCCTGGAAGCAAGCCGAGCTCCGCGGCGACTTCTGCTGTGAGTCCGTCACCGACGGGCTGACCAGCAGTAAGCACGATACCGTTGCGACCTGGCACACCTCCGAGCTGCTTGAAGTCGTCCTTCACCAACTCGCCCAATCCGATTTGGTCGAAAAACTCAGGCTGCCATCCCAACTCGGACCCATCTACACCAGGAGGAATGTACGAACACTTGCAGACCAACGAGCAGTTGCTTCTTGCCAAGGAGTTTGTCGCCTTGTATGTTAGGTAGTCGGGTAGATCAAAGAACATACATTGCTTGAACAGCTCTCCTGGCATGTGTTTCTTCAACCACAAGATCTTTGGAATCTCCATCTCGAGCGACATGGTCTTGCCGACGTAGTTGAGCACCTTGGAGCCGGTAGCGTTGATGAGCGCTGCTTCGTCCTCTGCACGATGGTCGGCCCATAGGATCACATTTCGTTCACCCGGACCCCATTCGCTCTTGCTTGCCCCAGAGGCTTGAGGCGTAACTGCGATAGGGTTGCCATCGAAGTCGGTGACCGCAAGAGAGCATGTGGCGTCGAAGCCTAGACCTTTGATGTGGGATGGGTCTACTGTGGATGCCGCTACGACTTGGGTGATTGCAAGCTTGATCTGTGACCAGATATCGGTGGTTGACTGTTCGAAGATGCGCGAGTCGGATTCGAGTCGGTATGTCTGTGTGGCATGGGTGGACTCGGCGAAGATGTTACCATCATCGTCGACGAGAGCTGCTCTAGCTGAGCCTGTGCCCCTGTGATCATCAACAAAGAAGAGGAAGACAACTCGGTCAGCATCATGATGCACAGCTGTTGAAAAGCGGGCGATGAAGTTACTTACACATCGACACCAATATAGTAGTACTTTGAACCGTCTGCTGTCATCTCTGCAGGCGATAGTGATGGGTGTTGATGGTCTGATGAGAAGCTCCACTGTATTCAAATTCTCAGATCCTTCTCGAGGATCTGCAAGTGTGTTGTTTCAAACGTGTTTCCGGTGGAAGCAGCCACATAGGCGAGTACATACAGAGTATCTCGTCGAAACTTCTTCTGCACAGACCGGCTCTTGAAGGATTGCCACCTTACAGCGCTTTCACTCTTCCGCCATCATTTGTGGGATGGTGGGCAGCGCTTGTGTGTGGAAGAAGAAACCCGAAAACGCTTTCTGCAGCCGGTGACGAAATTCGCCGAGACCTTCGCAGTGACCGGAACTTCTATGATGTTACACCGCCCTCTTCAACATGTTGTACAGAAACGCGGATGCGAAACGCGAGGTCAGCGGCTCGCGGCTACTTGGTCGGAACTCAGAGATAGCTGCACTCCTGATGCTAAACGAGGTAGATTGAGCTTAACGAGCATATCTCGCCGGCCACGGCTGAGCGAACATGGCCTTTTCGAGGTCGCATGATCGGCTTGCTTCTCTGGAGTTGGAGGGAAACATACCGTTCTTGACAAAGCCGAGCTTATGGGCCAGCTGCATTTAATGCCTCACTGCCTCAACAAAGCTGGGGTCTGCGAATCTTCCTGACCCTTGACCCGCCTTATCATAAACACTGATACCATCAGAGGACATCGTGCCGAAAAGATGATCATCAGAAAGACGCTCTGCCTCCTTCTGGCTACTATTGGTGCTGCTTCTGCCGTGCACTCGCACTCACACTCTCCTGGCCTGGACGAGGACCATCACGGAGCTTGGCCGCACAGCTCTGCCGAGTTTTCGCCCATCCCTCTCGTCGAGTTTCCTTCTAACGACATTCCTGATCCCTGGACGACCAAGTATGCCGGCGTGGCCAAGCCTGTCTATGCTGGCATCAATACCTATGCTCACCTGCCCACGGCGAAGTGCTTGAACGACCCCGATCAGCTGTTCGATGTTGCCATTCTTGGCATCCCCTATGACCTAACGGTGACTTACCGGCCCGGAGCTAGATTTGGTCCAAATGCTATCAGGCAGGCCAGTCGAAGGCAGAGAGCAGGACGAACGTTCTCGCTGCACCATATGCAAGATCCATATGCCACTGGACTTCGCTTTCTGGACTGCGACGACATTCCCACCTCTGGCTATGATCCTGCTCTAGCCATCGACCAAATCGAGGCTGCGTACACGTCTTTGCTGCAGCGTTCTCCCGCTTCCGATCCTTCTTTGCTTTCCACCGCTCAACCGAGCGCAGCGGTCTCCCCCGAGGCATGGTCAGCATTTTCCACCGCGCCTTATGCAACCGACGCAAAGCCCCACCCCAAGATAGTCTCACTCGGCGGAGACCACACCATCGTGCTCCCCATCCTCCGATCCCTCCATCGCTTCTACGGCCCCATCGCGGTCATCCACTTTGACGCTCACCTCGACACATGGCCACCCGAAGTTTCTCCCCACGGCTCACCCACGCGTCAACACCAGATCCAGCACGGTACGTTCTTCTGGCAGGCCTCTCTTGAGGGCCTCATCGCTCGCAACCAGTCCATTCACGCCGGCATTCGCACTAGGCTGGGTAGCTATGACGATATTGAGCACGACTCTTCCATCGGATTTGACATTATCACTTCTGACGATATTGACGATCTGGGCATTCCGACCATTATCAGCAACATCAGGGAGAGGGTTGGGACAATGCCTGTATATCTCAGCATTGACATCGATACGCTCGATCCAGGGTTCGCTCCGGGCACAGGAACATTGGAGAGCGCAGGCTGGAGTCCAAGGGAGCTGAGGAGGATCTTGAGAGGATTGGAAGGCCTCAACTTCGTCGGTTTTGACCTGGTCGAGGTGAGCCCGGCTTACGATCAGGCTGAGATCACGGCTTATGCTGCCAGCGATCTCATCTTTGAATTTATGAATTTGCTGACCCGAGGTAATGATATGCAGGCGAAAGGAAAAGTCGCTGAGCCAAAGCGGAAGGGTAAGAAGAAGGCGAAGAGTAAGCTCGGTGCCCTACTGAGCCACGGTGACGAGCTGTGACCCTATCTACTGTAGATGCTTCTTGTGCGCTTAAAGATTCATCGTACTCAAAAGACAACACGAGTGTGACGTTAGTGCAATGACAGATCGTTTTAAGTGTTACTGTATTGAGCCTTCTTTGATTGTGGTGTGAGCGGTGTCGTACCATTTCATTGATGGAGGCTTCGCAGGGTGGAATTAATGCTGGACCCTGTATTTCTTCTCACTCAGCCTTCTCGTCCAACCACCAAGCCTCCTCTGGAACAACATGCCACGGTCTATATCAACGTAGAGTCTCATCGCGGCTGACGAGTCACACGGGATCAATTATGCCGTCCTCAGTAGCCAAACACACCATCCCACCTTTCTACGCATGCTACTTCCTCCGTTCACTCTCCTCTCCAGGTATCACCTACATCGGCTCCACCCCTGCTCCACCTCGGCGGAAGCGTCAGCACAATGGAGACCTCACCCAAGGAGCCTACAAGACTGCTCGAGCTCGGCCCTGGGAGATGGAATGCATCGTATACGGCTTCCCCTCGAAGATTGCGGCTCTTCAATTTGAGTGGGCTTGGGCCAAACCGAATCTTTCTCGACATCTCAAGTTCCTAGCTACCGAGCACACAGCTGATGGTGTAGCCACTGATACGGCTGCTTGGACAGGTATGCCTTTGTTCCCTTCAACAAGCATGACTCCGACTCAAACGAGGTGGGGTAGACCAAAGAGGCAGAGAGCTAGATCGCCATCGACCCCAAATGCAAGGTTGCTGACAATGCGGGCGCTGTTGCGGTCTGAGCCTTTCTGCGGGTGGGGCTTGAAGTTGGCTTTTTTTACGGAATGGAGCTGGTTGGCATATAAGAGGCTAGAAGCTCTCTCCGCCAGCAACGCGGAGTCGGGTTTGCGGCTAGACAGGTACAGCCGATCAGGCAAGCTGCTCCACCCGCTCTACCCTGTTGCAGTGTGCGACTTTACTGGTGTTGACGGCAAGCGTACACCCCTTGTTCACGTGTCCCAACAACACAGGCTCAATGAAGGAGTGGCAGATCAACCGGCCAAGAAGAAGCAGAGCTCAAGCAAGAAGAAGACGAACGAGGATGACGAGGCTGCTCGATGGCACGAAACGCTGCCCAGACCGGCTAATTTGAAAGGCTTAGATGCTTGTATACAGGACTTCGATTTGATACCTGTATCGGCCCCAGCCCCATTGAACAGTGACTTGACGAAGAAGGCCAAGCGTGTCACCAAGGCCAGTAAGGCTGCCGCAACAGTGGAACATCTGGACGAGGAGGAAGAAGGAGTAAGTAACGAATATGGAGATGCTGAGTTCGAAACCGCGGCTACAGCAACAACGGCAGCTGATGGAACAGCGCAGGCTAGGGCGTTACGACGAATGCGTTTCGACGACACGGATGCGGAAGAGTTGGAATGGCAGCAGTTCGAGCATGTTCTGTCCGTCCAATCCTGCTCGATCAACGACTTCATACAGACCTGCGTCGAGCGACACATCGCAGCTCAAGACGCTCGTACGGTCGAGTCGGCACCAATAGCACCAACAAATGCGTGTGCGATATGCAAGGAACCTATCGACCTAACTCGCCAGCTAGAATTCGTGCTCTGTCCCACCCCTTACGCAAGCACTCAACCGGTCATTTCGAGAGCGAGCAGTACTGACGCCGGAGTGCAGGTTGAAGCAAGCAAGTGTAGCTCAATTTTCCATCTCAGCTGTCTGGCAGACGGTTTCCTCCAGCAGCAAGAGCAAAGTCAAAACATAGGCGGGGTGGCAAGTAGCAGCACAAATACAGTGCTGCCCACTCATGGGTCCTGTCCCTCCCACGAATGCGGTGGTCCAGCCGAAGTAGCCACATGGGAGGACGTGGTCAGACGAATGTATCGCCGACACGAGCGTTTCGAGCGGCTCTTGCAGTTCCTCGTACGCTCTGGCAAGACCTTGGATGAGCATCTGAAACCGACAGAGGTCGAGGCTCCAGCCAAGGCGCAGAAGGCGAGGGGCAAGGCTAAAGCTAAGACAACAGAGGCGGACGTGGCAGATGATGATACCGCAGCAGCTACGACAGGGAAGAAAGCGAAGGCCAAGGCCAAGAGGAAGTCTGCCGGTAGTACAGAAATAGAAGCAGCAAATGCGCAGGAAGGGGTGCTGAACAAGGTCGAGGAAAGAAGTAAAGTGAGAAAGAAGACCACTTCACGTCAGGCAAAAGCTATTGTTGATCCGGGTCAGGTCATCGATCTCACATGATCAATGTTCAGGGCTCTCTGCAATTTGCTCAAGGTCACAGTCAGCTATGAATTTTGCCAAAGGTGTGACATGTAATGGGTATTCTGTTCATTGAAGCATTGTAATCACTTGTTCTTCGTCCTCTGTTGTCGGTCTCTCCACCACAACCTCCCAGCCTCGTAGCTGCCAAGATATACACCAGCCCCTAATGCTGTCCAAGCTCCCCTGAGCGCTCCGCCCTTCATCAATGCCTTCCATCCTTCCTTGACCGCAATGTCCTTCATTGTAGCCACCACTCCCTTGACACCTTCGGCTCCCGTGTCCAGCATAATCCTTGTCTTCGCGACATCAATTGGCGTTGTTACCACAGCAGCGAATGAACCTGCTAGCGCCGCTGATCCTCCTGCAACAAGACCTGCCTTTGTGAACTCTGTGGCGACATTTGTCTCATCTCTCGCTGCTTTGCGTCTGAAATCTTCGGAAGAACGCACGTCGTCAACACCGCCGTCTTCTTTGTGTGTTCCTGCTTTGAGACCTGCCCATTTGCCAAATCTTTCTCGGAGCGATTCGTAGATGGGGAATTGCAGTGCTGTGAAGGGAAGGTTGCGGCCTGCTAGTGCGAGGTAGGAGCGGCCGATCGTCGAGGCGAGGGGCGCTATTGCTGAGCGAGATGCGGTAGCTTTACCCTTGCTCACTTGCTGGAGCTTTTCCTGTGCGTCCAGGACGACGTTCCTGGCTGTCGAGGCGGCGCTTCCTGGTGGAGCTTGCTTTGTCACTATATCCGCCGCATGCTTGACCGTCTCGTTCGCGAGTTTCGCTTTTGACCCTCCTGGCTCTGCATTCCTAATGACCTCCTTAGCTGCACTTGCTGCCGTTGTTGCAGGACATGACGCTGAACCGTTGCTTCCACTTCCTGAAGGTTGGGATCGATTCTGTCGCTTGTTGACGACCTGCGCTCGCTGCTTGATGATCTCTGCAGGTGTTAGGATGATACATGATACAAGCTCTGCTGCAGAGCTAGCTAGCGTATGCGATAAAGCTGGCGGCGCATTTGCAAGCGGCGAACTGGAAGAAGCTAACAAGCTCTTGGTCTCTTCATATGTCGTAAAGAACAGTCCCGCTGCGGGGAGGGTCGCAATGATGACGCTTCCGACACCTTGATAAAGTCCTCCATAGAGGCCCCTGCCTGATGGGAACCGGGTGGTATAGTCTGGCGCTTGCAGTCGAGTCTTGAGCGTATCGAGGGGGTAGATCAGGAGGTCGACTGTAAACGCTGCGGCAGCGCCAGCAACTACCGTGTCCATGCTTGCTGCTTCGCTCCTCGATGGAACTCAGGATCGTATACGGTGAGGTGTTAAAGTGTGGAGCATGTCGTGACCTGATGTCAAGAAGGATGAGCTGTTACTAGACATGGTTTAGTTAGCTGACTGATTGCTTTCGGCTGCATCCTAACGTCAGAAGAATTGAGGTGGAGGTTGAGCACAAAAATATTTCGGGAAACGGAGGTAGTCAAGACTGCGAGACGCTGGTGGATATCGAGGGTCAACTTTCTCTTTCGTACTACTTGGCCTACCTAGAAACTCGACGTTCGAAGCTCGGTGATTCTGTCCAGTCGTCTGAGGGTCGAACGACGTCCACATCCTGAACATGAGGTACGAGAGAGCTAGACGAGAATTGGCAGACGAAGTCCAGCGGCAAATCAACAGAAACTGTCAATACCCATCGCGCTCGTCGACCCTCACCCTCCTGGAAGTCTGTAATGCAAAGCAGAATCTGCTCGGACAAGGCAAGGAGCCTTGCAGGCGCAGAAGAGAAAAGCACCAGACATGCTGATACGTGGGGAGGAGAGTGCTCATCTGAGACGGACGGAGCCTTTGGTCTCGGATTAATCTTTTCAATGCTGAGAAATGTACTGTAATATTGCAATTGTGAGGGCATTGTTCTTTTGGTTCACGGACATCTACTTCTCCAGATCGGCCTGGTCCAGCTGACCGCTCTTGGCCTGCTGCCTCTGCTCCAAGCTCCTATCCCACCTCAACCTCCTGCCGACAAACATGGCTACCCAGCTGAGCACCAGTAGCACTGGCACCTCAACTAGCGGCCCAATCGTCGCAGCAAGCGCTTGGTCGGACCCAACACCGAACACAGCAACGCAAACAGCGATGGCCAGCTCGAAATTGTTGCTCCCCGCAGTGAACGCCTGCACCACCGCCATTTGGTATCCCCATTCCGTTTTGCCATACCTAACACTAAACCACCAGATCAACACGAAGCTTCCGGTCCACATCAATGCAAAGTAGAGCACGAGGGGTACGAAAATGCGAAAGACGGGACCAAGGTTGTCCAAGATATGCTGGGCCTGTTCGGCGAAGATGATAATGATGGTGTAGAAGAGTGCAATGAGGGAGAGTGGGCCGAAGTAAGGCAAGAACTTGCGGTGAAAGAAGTCTCGTCCGAACAATCCAAGGACGAGGAAGCGAGTGAGAACACCGGCTGCGAGCGGAATACCGAGGTAAATCGCCACAGCGATAGCTACATCCGAGTAGCCGAGGCCGAACTGTTCATCTTTCGAAATGACGTTGATGAAAAACACTGCCATCGGAGCGTAGAGTAGGATCTGAAGTGCCGAATTGACAATGACGATGATGGCACAGGTGTTGCTGTCTCCACGAGCGATTTTGTTCCAAATCATGACCATCGCAATGCACCTTGCCAAGCCGACCATGATGACACCAACACGGTAATCAGCAAGGTCAGGCAGGGTTGCCCAACTAAGCGCAAGCATCAGGAAAGGGCCGATTACCCAGTTGAGCACCAATGACATGGCGAGCTGATACCAGAGCCGTTTTGTCGTGAACATCTGCGGCAAGCGTTCGTACTGGACCTTTGTGAGAATAGGCCACATCATGACAATGAGGCCGACGACAAGGGGTGCAGATACACCGCGGAAGTTGCCCTTATTAAGGTTCTTGGCTGCATTGGGAGCGAATTCGCCAATGATGACGCCGAGAATCATGGCGATGATGATGAAGAGCGAGAGGAGTCGGTCGAGCCAGCCGAGAGAGAGGAGGATGTTACGTGCTGCACCCGTCGAGTCTCGCGCGTCTTGAAGAGCGGAACGAAGCTCAGGTACACCACCTTTCGGATCGAGGATCAGACCATCTTCGTCGGGGACGCCGCCAGCAGCAGTGTCTGTGGTGCTGGCCATGCTTTCCGACCGCAGTGGTAATGACTGGGCCTGCTGATGGGACTCTGCTTGTGTGGCTTGTTGCGAGTGCATCGTTGAGCTCGACATGTTCGTATTTGTTGCCATGATGGCACGATTCGTCCGCTATGGATTGGTCATCAATACGAATAGGGTGAAGAATAGAGGTGTGGTATGGTAGGTTATGAAGGATTTGTTTGCAGGTGAGGATGATCCAGGTAACGGCACAGAAGCAAGGTGTCTTTATACGATTTGCGACCACAAAGCGTCAGTGCTGTGCGGGACCTGGCAAAAGAGAACTTTTGACCATTTGTACCAGAACAGTTACATGTGAGCGGAAGCACAATCTGAGGAAAGCCGAAGTTGCAATTGCTATCCAGGCTCAGAACGCCACCGAACGTCCAGCTTGGCCTTTTAGTCAAGGCCTAAAGAGGGTGTCAGGACTTGTATAAAGGCATGGGACGAGCTTTGAAAGAGCAAAACACGAATTTGAAATTCCCTCCAACTCCGAATACCGCTGTCGACGTTCCTCTTTCCCCGAATCGCGAACCGGGCGCCATCTCTTCAACCCGTGTGGATTGCGCTCTGCTCGTCTCAAAGCGCGAGTTAGAGTGATACTCATCTCTTGGCTGCGAGGCGCCTCATATGGACTGATGCCAAGAAAAGGAGGTCTTGGCGAGAAGGAATACGCACAAAGTCATCAAGAGTCCTGGCCCTTGCGGCTCAGATGCTGCTTCGGCTGAAGAACGGCAAAGAAGCGATACAAAACCGTCAGGCGTTTGAATTTGAAATTCGTTTATTGAGCTTAGTTTGGTGAGGACCTCCCCGTTATCGAGATCTCAGATGCCCACCATCAAAGCATTTAGGCAAGGCAAGTGGGCTACGATAAGCTCGTCACGTGTCCAACAGTGCTTGCTAATCAAGCCAAAAACACTCAAACAAAATCGGGAAAGATATTTCTGTGATGAAGCAAAGCAAGGACCATTTCCTAGATTTCAAAGAGACAGATGACGTCGATCTGAATATAATCCAAACGTCAAGCAAGAGGCTACATGGCAGAACGGTCGGCTGCGAGAGATTGCATATAGAAGGGGGAAATGTGTATTTCAGTCGTCCCTGGCCTGGACTCGAATCTTGTAAGGGTTCTTGATCGGCAATGTCAAGGAGTCATCATAAGTAGGAGCATCGTCCTTCAGAGCTTGCTGGTTGAACTTGACATCAAAGTTGCCGAGGATCTCAGCGACGACCGCACAGCCCTCGTACGTAGCCAGGGTCTGACCGAGACAGAGTCGCGGTCCAGCGTTGAAGGCGTGGAAGAGGTACTGCGAGTAGGTCTTGATACCCTTGGTGCCGTCTTCGCGCTGTTCGATGAATCGTTCGGGTTTGAACTGCTCACAGTCTTCGCCCCAGAGTTCGGGCATGCGTGCCATCGTGTGGTCTTGCCATGTGACGGTCTCGCCCTTTTTGATGATCAAGTCGGGCAGCTTCTGCGAAGAAGGAACGGCATTGGGAGCGGCATCGGCTTCAGAAGAGGCACCTTGGGCGTATGGTCGGATAACGTCGTCCTTGACAGCAGTCTTGATGTTCTTGGGTACGGAAGGGTGCAATCGGAGAGCCTCGAGGAAGCACGCTTGGACGTAAACAAGAGAGTTGAGATCATCATAAGCCATGGAACGGAAGTCAGCGCCGGCACCGAGCCTCTCGTGGATTTCTGCGCGGGCCTTCTGGACGGCTTCAGGGCTCTTGGAGAACTCGTAGAAGAGCCAACCAAGGGCTTGGGCGGTGGTGTCACGACCAGCGATGAGGAAGTTGAGCACGACAGGCAGGAGTTCTTCACGGCCCAAATTCTGCTCCATGAAGAGAGCGAGAAGGTCCTTGTCACCCTTGCCTGATGCAGCCTGAGCCTCGCCACGCTCACGAGCAGCGAGTCGAAGGTCGATAATCTCGTAGCAGAAACCGTGGAGCGCCTTGATCGTCTTTCGCATCTTCCTTCCCTGTGCCGAGAAGAGCTCGGTGAACCTGGCCAGAGGATCAACGAAACGTTCGTCCATTACACGCTGAGCATAGTCGAAGTTGGCGGCAAACTCAACCACCTTGTCCAAGTCAGCAACTTGCGAGGGCAAGCACTTGATGTCGGCACTAAATGCCATGAGCGAGAAGGAGCTGAGTGTAAATCTGAAGAACAGGTCAGGCAGATTGATTTCGACATTCTTCTGGCTAGCTTCCTGGAAAAGTTTGTTGAGGTTGCTGAGGTCGCGCTGGATGGTGGTCTGCACGTGAGTCCTGAAGTTGCCTACGCTGAAGATGTGCGAGGCCATCTTGCGCTGTTTCTTCCAAACTTCGCCATCGGCCACAAAGATACCGTGCAGAGACATGACGTCGCCCATAGCGCTCTGGAAAGCAGAGCCCTTGATGTAGCTCTCGAAGTTGGTCTTCTGACACCAGCGGATGTACTCGGGTCGGTTGATCGAGGTGACGCGACCGCCGAGGTAAGGGAAAGTAGCTGCCCAAGGTTGACCACCCGCGCCAATGGTGCGCTGCATGATAAGGAACTCATCGAGGAAGCGGCGCTTCTTAGTAGCAATGTCGAGAAGGAAGATGAGGTTGCCAATGATAGGAAGAGCGCCGGGAACTTCCTTGATGCCTTTGCGATGCGAGGCAAAGATGTATCGGTCAGGAGCGATGAGACAGAGAAGGGCGAAGATGAGTACAGAGCCGATGGCGATGTGGGTCGGTGTAAGGTACTCGAAGGAGCTGTGAACAGTCGGGAGGAGCATCGACATGGTGGAAAATGTTGCCAAATGATGGCGGAAGGCGGAAATGTCGCGAGGGTGTTCGGAGTTGGAGGGAAACAAACCGTTCTTGACGAAGCCAAGGAGCCGACAAGTTGTGGGGTAGAGGATATCGAAGGATGTGACCCTGGCAATATATGTAGTCTCGGCGCTGGTCAGGAACCAGTTCGTTAGGTCTACGATGTACAGGAAAGGGTGTGGTTGCCACTTTGACCTTGTTGCGGATTTCGACTACCGACACGATGCTCTCCATTACTGCATCTGAGAATGCTTTCCAGAACAAGTGATGCTTGAAAGCGCACTGTCCCTACGATCATTCATGCGAGGCACGAGCGTGCAGACGAGGCGGTTCAAGCTCGCTACGGGGTAAGATGAACAATATCACCAACGATGTGGACAGGGTCTGGGAGAGCATTGGCGAGAAGGTCTGTTTCGCAGCCGCTGGTCAGTTCTGTGCAATGTGATGCTTGGGTTTGGCAAGTACAATAAAGTATGAGCGTCATCGACGAGAATTCTCCGAATCTCCTTTTGCTGTTCTGCAGTGGTGCCTGTGTCTGAGTTCAGAGCGCACTCCCGCTGCTGCTGCATATGAGATTGAAGGACCGAAGTTTCAGCTACACCCAAGACTGGAGAGAAGCTAAGGGAATCGAGTCTCAGTGATTGGCATGTTACGAGGGTACCAACTGAAGAAAGGGTTTCGCTGCCGCTCCTCGGATCCTGTGCCCTGTCGGTTGCTCGTCGGCTCCTGCAAGAGCCGCCAGAACTTCATTATACTTCTTTCCACTCCTGCTCCATGATGTACGAACCGCAGCGCACTTGTCCAACTGCCCAAGGAGAGAATCTAGACTTTCGTCCCACTACGCTTTGACTTGCTTGCTCATCGCTAGAATAGCGCATAGCATCATCCTTGATCGTGTGTAACGCTTCGTCCAGCGAGGAGCCGGAGTGACGACAAAGAAGTCCGGAGGGTGGTTGGTGAAGAGGACGAGTCGTTGAGCTGTGGAGCCGCGTTTCTCGCCATTAGCCGAGGTCGAACGACAAAAAAAGGGTCGTGAAGCCATCTGCTGTTGCGATAAATTCGCCACTGTCGCTGTTGGATAAGCGGTGGGCTGAGCGAGCAAGTTAGCAAGTTGGTTGCGGCTGTTTCAACACTCTCGCACACCGCGGCTCCGCAACTCTTTACTGGGTAACAAGATACAAGCTGCAACCAGTCAGCGGTTCCACACACACTTTCCGGTCCGATCCTTTTGTTTGCTATGCGCCTAGTGCAGTCATTAACTTACTCACTTCCAGCCGCGGCTCTTCTGGTCCTCGACCTTTCGTTTGCAGGAGTTGGATACTGAATCGCCCCCGATTGGCACGATCCATCATCCGATCCCAAAGTGTTGAGTGCGGAGGATCGGGTACATGTATGTCTCCGGTTCCCGGCAACGTTGCCTCGTATCGGCTGTCAGCTTCTGCGAACTTTTCCCGATCGTTCGCCGAGGTATTGATCTAATCTCGAGTCGATCTGGCGGAGTCATCTCGATCGATGCAAGCTGGTCATGTCCCGCTTGCGACTGTATCCTGAAGTGTGTTCGACGCGATGGTAACAGCTTGAGACGGCGAGACTGATAAAATGTGAAGAAGTTTGGTCCCGATAACTGGCGATTGGGGAGAGTCTGAGTACAATGTCACTACTGTTTTAGGGCAGAAACATATTTACTCGATTGACTAAGTGAACGTGATGAGAACCTAGTGTTCTCAGCTTGATATATATACATCTATGAGGTACATGCTGAATGTGGGAGTATCCTACTTCTAATCTAGCTTGACAACGAGCGGGACTGTGTTGTACCCGATCTCTGCACGGATCTGTTCCGGCAGATCCCCGATTACGTTTATGTCAGCATATATCATCATATTGGATCGCTTCCTTCGGCAGAGACGTGTGACCACGCTTGGAACTTAGTCGGTCCGCACTGTGGCGAGCAATTAGGATGCTTCAGGACCAAAGTCGGAGGCCATCTTTAGAAGGCGCCTCACATCAAACAGGCGAGTCGTACCAGATAAATGTATGCATTGAAAACGGACGAAAGGTATACACATGTGAATGGGGAGAGGGCCGTAGAATGTGCGTGGAGATCATGTCTGTTGTGGCAGGGTCGGACATTTGAAGGGCTGTCGGATGCCTATAGCCGTATGCGGCTATATCTTCTATGGACACCAAGCTGACACCCGCAGAACGCAATGAACGCAATATAGATCAATGCAGCGATGTAGCATGTCGCGCCGACAGCGTTTCCGTCCTCGGGGTCCTCGGTGCTTCCCATGAGCGCTGGCCAGTTGTGTTGGAAGCCGTAGCCGAAGATGGCAAGAATGACAGCACCAAATATGGATACAATCGTACAGCAGCTGGCTGTTTGTTGCAAGGATTCAAAGTGCGGGTAGACGTGGCGTTTCAACGATGATGTTCCGACGAGTTTGTTTAGTGTTTGACATAGGGAAGGAAATGGATCGTCAACATCGACATCTGATCTGTGCGATTGCTCCACACGCCAGTGGTCTACTTACCAAGGCCGCTGCCGACTACGGGTCGCATCGCGGACATGTTAATGTTATGAAGGATGGGGAATGGTGAGGTGGTGTGGATATAGGAAGGGGAACTGATGACGACCAAGACCAACACTGTCCGACTTGCGAGATCTGTACGTGCGGCCCCTGCGTCTGCCAACCTAGCATTCTCAAATAGTAGCAGACCGCACGTGATGGTCAATTTTCTCAGTCAATTGAGCGACGAAGTTTTCAGAAATTGAACCCTGAGCATGGCGAGAAAGATGCAGTGAAATGCACAGTGAGTCGAGGTGCAGCAACTCCGCAGTGTCAATTTGGCTTGCTCAGCCACTCACCCCCTTCCAACTCATTGCTTCCACCATCATCTTGACCTCGTCTCAATCTATACAGTTCCGCTCAGCTCAAAGCGGATCCATGGACAGGCGAGATGGCTCCATCGCCAGTAGCTTCTCCGACGAAGCGGAGAAAGCTCGCTTCGACGAGTCCCACTAAGCAAGTAAGCCCCAACGGCTCAGCTCAAGCGTCTCTCCTATCCTTCTTCGGTAATGGATCTCCAACTGCATCGTCACCAGCAACCGCCAACCCGCCAAAACGCACACCATCCGATTCCCAGCTTGAAAATGCAGGCCTGACTTGCACTTTTAGTCAAGCTGAGACCAAGGCGCAACGGACTGCCGACTGTCCTATCTGCTGCAGAAAGGTCCCCTTTAACACAGTACAAGCACACGTCAACGCCTGCCTCGATGCCGCCGACTCAATTACTGCCGAGCCAGAGGTGCTGAGAGATTGTGTTAATGAGCAGCGGATCAAGCCTCACGACGAAGCCGTTCGGAGGCAGTCGTGTTCTCCAGCATCCACACCCTTCGCTCCCTCACTGACCAAGGACACTCCTGCCGAGACTACTGCACCACCACAGCTTACCAAGCTCACATCAATATCCGAGCTTGCTTCGACACTAGATGCCAGAGTTGCCCCGACGAACATCTCTGAGCAAAGCTCAAATGCCTCACCCGCACGGCAACCTGGAAGAACACCATCATCGTTCCTCTCTTCCGCCAAGCGTGCAGCCTCTTCCGCATTCACAGTCTTGATGAAGTCGCATTCTGAATCCAAGCAGTGGGCCACAGCAGATGCAGTTGAGGCTGCCAACTATCGCGGAAAGGCGAGATCGAGACCCGAAGCGCGCACTGCTCCCTTCTACAAAGCGCTCGAAGGCATGCCTCTCACCGTCGACGCTTTCCGCTTTGGCAAGATCGAAGGCTGCCGCGGCTACTTTCTCACCCACTTCCACAGTGACCACTACGGTGGCATGACTGCCAATTGGAATCATGGTCCAATCTACTGCAGTGTTACTACAGCGAATCTGTGTCGCACACATCTCGGCGTTGATCCGCAGTGGTTGAGACCGCTACCGATGGAAGTTGCTGTGCCTGTTCCTGACAGCGGCGGCGTCATGGTCACCTGCATCGAAGCAAATCACTGTCCAGGCTCGTGCCTGTTTCTTTTTGAGGGTCCGCAGACCTGTCAGCTCCTGTCACGTAACCATGCAACTCCATACATTGGCACAGGAAAGATCTTCCGCTATTTGCACTGTGGCGACTTCCGCGCCAGTCCTGTTCACACCAATCATCCGTCAATAGTGGGCAAGAAGCTCGATATCATCTATCTCGATACGACGTACTGCAACCCGCGCTACTGTTTCCCAGCTCAAGACCAGGTCATTGAGGCTTGCGCAGAACTGGTCAGGCAGATCGTACCAGAAGCGCAGCTGGAAGCCAATCGTGCTGCCAAGATGGAAGAGCTGGAAGCCGGCGAAGAAGGGCGAGAGGATTGGACTCAGGCGCCACCACGCAAAGGCAAGAACAGCGTTGATACTGATTCTGCATCTGCAACCGCATTCAAAGGGTGGTTCAACACCAAGGTTGAGAATACCGATGGTACAGTGTCCGCACTACAGGTGCCAGCATCCTCAACGGACGCAAGTGGCAGCAACGTGAAGGAGGAGGAATCTCCTGACACAGCTTCCATCAAACAGGAAGAGACGCAGGATGAAAACCTGGAATTGGACGAGGAGAACCTTTTCCTCGGCGAAGACGATCTCGAGGATCCGGCAGACGACCGCGACAGCACCTACGAAAGCCCTGTCAGCGGGTCTCCCACCCCACGCGTCAAGCTAGAGCCATCAGAGGACGCCTTGATTGACATTGGCGCCGAAGACAGGAAGCCAGACGTGAAGCCCAAGGTGACAGATGCGTCGCCACCTGTTGCCGCGTCTGCGCAAGTCGTCAAGAAGGAAGAGGAGGCCGACCAGAATGCGGGCATCAAACGGTCACCTTCGGACGACGTCAATGCATCGAATTGGCTCACCAAACATTCCGAATCCTCACGTGACGCCATCTCTGGTCTTCGTCGTCGTGACGGCGGTCGCCTCCTCGTCGTCATCGGCACCTATACCATCGGCAAGGAGCGCATCGTCAAAGCTGTTGCTCGTGCCATGAACTCCAAGATCTTCTGCATGGACTCTCGCAAGTACCGCGTCTACGCTCAACTCGAAGATCCCGAGCTCCACTCGCTTCTCACCCGTTCCCCTTCGGCCTCGGTACACGTCGCCAACCTGCACGCTATCAACGGCGAAGGTCTACGGGACGTTGTTGCTGCTCTCCGCACGCGAGGCTATGACTTCACTCACGCCGTCGCTTTCCGTCCAACAGGCTGGACATACAAGCCGTCAGCAGGAATGGACACCGTCTCTCCGAGTCTCGACAGACTGGTACAATGGAATCAATCCAGGTCTTTCGGGCCACACAACCTCTTTCCGACGCGAGACAGTACGCCGGACTACATGATCTACGGCGTGCCTTACTCAGAGCATTCGAGTTTCTTCGAGCTGACGGCATTTGCGCTGAGCACGAAGTACGACAGGATCATAGCAACGGTTAATGTGGGGAATCCGACAAGCAGAGCAAAGATGGCCAAATGGTTCGAGAAGTGGATGCTAGAAAAGAGGCGGAGAGAGAAGAACGGGTTGCGTGAGCTCGAAGCTCGGGCTGTTACATACTGGTGATCGCATTTCAGAATCGTTTATACACATATCGCATCGCATTCCAACACAGCATCTTTCACCCATCGATTCGGATCCAGTACTATACATGAGCAGAACGTTGATCAGCGCGCTCGGAAGCTAGATCTTCTCAAACTCGAACTTAACCAACAGCGTCGAATGAGTCTCTCGACCCTTCAAATCCAGCAACCTGATGAACTTCCATCCTTCAGCAGCGTAGACCAACCTCACTGCTGCAACCGCGAACAACGGGTTACGGGCGAACTTGTCATCGCTCTTGATCAAAATTCTAACGAAAGCCAACTCGTCATGTTCGAACTGCCATTCCAACGTTTCATGCCAGATTGGATCGGTGGGGATGGGTTGTTCACCTTTGTGGATAATGCCGAGTTTGTGCTGCTTGTAAGCCTTTGTCTTTTGTTTGGGCGGTTCTTGTTCAAGATCGGTCGGAAGGACGAGGGTGCAGGTAACGTAGGGGCGGATATCGTCCGCTTCTCGACCGGCGGGGAGGGGAAGGTCGGTGGCGCCAGCGATGTGGAGCTTGAGCTTTCGACGACCAAGGGAGGTGTTTCCATCTCCTCCGATGCGCAGTCCGGGAGGTTTGAGGACGTAGCCATCCGAGCCGGAGAATAGAGCCTCGTTGAGCTGGACACTGTGATCGAAGGTCTGCCAGTTGAGAGCACAGACTTGGGCACCAACACCCCAGAACGGGACAGGGTTGAGGTTCTTCGAGCTGATACGAGTGCCTTTGGGGTATACGCGCATGAGGTGTTCAGCGTTGTGCTTCTTGATAAGAGCTGCTTGCTTGGGAAGCAAGTTGAGTAGGCCAGTCTCGGAGATGTTGATCAGGTGATCGTGTGGTCCGTTGGTAAGGGTGGACGTGTACCAGGAGTCGTTCGTAGGCTTGACGGACTGGGCGTATACACCGAGAGCGCAGAGCTCAGGGATGATTGGTGTCTTTGCTTCGTTCCTCTTCTCTTTGGACATCTTGTCTTCATCATCACTGCTTTCAGGTGACTCGACTGGAGGTTTGCCAGCTGGGTGAAACTCGACCATGACAGCGATCTTTGCACCGAGATGATCGAGCGCAGTGTGCTCAGAAGCAGCCTCGCCTTTGTCAACAGGTCCACTGATGAGAAGGTCTCCCCACACCTCATGCATGATCTCGACCAGTCGCTTCTGTCCAGCATGTCCGCAGTGGTTTTCGAGCGACAGCAAGACGGGAGCTACCTTGAAGTTCTGGTCGCGTTTGGCCTCTTCCTCCTCCTCCTTCTGGATGGCTTGCTTCATCGTTTCGCAGACGGCACGGAAGGGGATGTGCGAAGCCAGCGTATATCCATGTGTTACCTTGGGCTCGTCGGGGTTGTCATCATTATCCCATGCGTCGATTTCGACACATCTCGCACCTGTGATCAACACATGCTCGTATGCAACCGCCGAGGAGTTACCATAAAGCTGATGAGCAAGAAGGTAGGTGTTGTGCGAAGAGCTGATAAAGTACTCGCTAAGAGGTCTGCTTCTGTCTCTCACATATTCAGGAACGTCAATGTGCGACTTTTCCACGAACTCCTTCAACGGCTGCGAGCTCTGTGCCTTAGGGTCATCGAGGTTGGCATCGGCGGGCGAAAGGAGGTTCTGGTCGACAAGGAGCTGACGAAGAGCACGACTAACACGGAGCTCGGACTTGGTGACCTTGGTTCGACGAGCAGCATGTCCACCACCACCGATCGAGTCGAACTCGACCTCTTCACCTAGGTTGTCACCTCCTCCTTCGGGGTCAGAGGAAGCTGTTCTGGAAAAGGGATTGAGTTTGGCGAACTTGGAGGTGAGGATGGAGGGGGCGGGCTGCCCGTCCTTAGTGTGAGGATCTTTGTTGTCCGACATGCGTGCAGAGCTTCGCGAGAGTGAATGCTTGGTGAAGGGAGGAAAGCAGTGCTGGCGAGCTCAAGCCTGTCTGAAGAGCAGGAGCTCGCCATGGCTATGTGCACGTGGTTGTGGAGGCATGGCGCCGTGAAACGCACCGACGCCGAAGCTGCATGCTTGCTTCCCGAACCCAAAATATTTCGTAATTCCCCGAAAGCTCATTGACGAGCGATTTTGGTGTGGTTGAGTGTCAGATCTACCAAACTGCCATGCACAATTCCTCCCGACAAGAATCGCAGCTATACGCGGCTCGGGTCTCGCAACACACAATCTGGAGTGTTATTGTTCTCTCGGCTGTGCACATACCTTCACCTTCGCAACCATCAACTTGCCTTCCTATCCACCTTGGCACTTGAGAGCATAATGTCGGACCAGAAGCAACCCCTCATCAACAATGGCGGCTATCGCGAGTCGCTCGACGAAGATCTCGATCCACGCTACGCAACCGAGTCATATCAACACCAAGCTGCTAGCAACAATGTCATGTTCGACGCAGCATCGACAGTCGAGTCCCAATCACAACCTCGTGGCGATCCAGCCTGGCAGCAGTCCCAACAGTCGTTCCTACAAGGCGGAGGAGGACCCAGCTACACAAACTCTTTTGGAACATCATCAACTTTGAGCCTTAGTGGTATTTGTGCGGCGGCGTGGGCGCTTCCACCGTTTAGCTCGGCAGTGGTGTTAATTTGGGAGACAGAGAATGACTTGGCGAGGTTCCATGCGTATCAGGCTGGAATCAGCGGTGTAGCACTCATTGTGTTACTGTGGATATTGAGGACAGTACTTGGATTGAAGACGATTGGGTTGTTGGTCGGGATGGGCACTTATGGGTGGTTCTGGGTCAATGCGTAAGTCGCCTGATACAATGGCCATCAGAATTCAAATGATCTCCTCACTGACACGATTTCCTCTCACTGAAAACAGATCAACGGCACACAAATCAGCACCATCTTTATCGAGAAACCCTTATCTACCACACATTGGCGACATAGCATCCAGATGGGTCGGCGAAGAATGATTCGCCATCCTCACACGCACCACATCAAACACAACGTTCATGGTCAGCAATGTCACCTTGCATTCGCAATCTACACGAACCAGGCTTTGTCTATAATCATCTTCTATAGCTGTCTATATGCGAAGTCTAATATCGCGGCAACCATTCCCGATAAGGCAAGTCGGGGAAAGCATCGTTCCATCGGTCCAAAAAGATATCCAATCCGCCGCCAATCGTACATTGATGCGTATAGAACGCCTGTTCGACCCATCTTCTCGCATCTTCCTTCTTCTCTTCTTCCTTCTGCAGCATGAGCTTTGCTAGGGCCAACATTGATGTGATACCTCCATCAAAGTGTAGCGATGGGAGCTCCTTCAGTATCCTACCCTCTGCGTTGCTGGAGGGAGTGCAGCCGATGGATTCTAGTGCTTTCAACTCTGATGCAACTGCTGCGTCCCAGTCGTACTCGCGTTGATGCAGCGCGAGGAGCTGGTAGATCTTCATCAGATCAGGTCTCAACAAGCCCCTCTCGGCATGATAGGTGGCTTGAACTTTTGCGATCATCTCTCGCAACGATTCTGCTAGATCCTTGTGATCTTCGTCATCCTCCTTTCCAGCTTGCTGTGTGATTGAAGACTTGAGCACGATTCGACTACGCTCTTGAAGCATAGTTAATGATCCTCCGATAATTTGACCTCTCTCCCGAACCTTGTCTTCTCCATCACGTTCATCGAGCAGGCAGATGCCGCAGCTGCACTTGAAACCATGCTTGGAAAGTTGAGATCGTCGGATAAGCCAAGGTTGCTCTCCTTTGACATACTGATGCATGATCTCCATACCCTTCTTGAGTGGGTGGAGAGCTCGAGTGGTGACAATGTCGCCGAAAAATACCGATGAGACGTTGGGTAGGCAAGCATGGTTGAGGATAGCTGGGAGAGGGTGGACCATGGTTGACCGTGTGAGTTCTGAGTCGGTTTGTGCATCTTCCGATGAGGAGGAGGAGGAGGACTTGCCGCCGGGGTTAGCGGCGGGTCCGAAAGCGTTGAATCGGAGAACACCGTCCACGTAGCTGGAGTCGATTGGAGGACGGGATACGCCTTCGAGCACTGTGCTGTGCCACTTGCGCGCTTGATCAGAGTTGATGCTGAGCTGCTTCTGGCAAGATGCGACAAGGGCTTCAATCTGGTCTGCTGGCCTTGCTGCGTCGATGTACGTGCGTTTGGGTGGAGCAGGGTATGACTGGTCGACCCATTTCGAGTACTCAACGTCTGGTCCTGCAGTCAGCCCCATAATCGGCAATGTGAGCTCGTTTGGCCTGTCGATCATCGCATGAATGCTCTTGGTCGCTGCTAGAACTTGTGTCGTTGTACTTGTCACACCTGTCTCCACTGTATATCGCAGGAGGTAGACTCCTCTACATCCACTTTCTGCCGCATAGCTCGACGCAGCAGCCTTGCAGCACAACAAGAGCTCTCCCTCTTCCACATCTCTTGTCAGTACCAACCCTCGACCAGCCCCTGGGACGTTTTCGATAGCTACGGGTCCAAACCAGTCCTGAACGTCAAAACGGGGAGTAGCGTAAGACTGCGAGTCGAAGTAGTAGCCCCAAACATTCTCGTGTGTTGGTCCGAGAGCGGAGGCGTTTTGGGCCGAGCGGACTGTGTTGAGGGTTTCGAGGATGCGATCTTGTACTGAGATGCGTTCGGAAGGAGGGTAGGCTGAGAGAGCGGCTTCAAAGGCTAGTCGGCTTGCTTCGAAATCGCATTTCTTGTAGAGAACCTGGCCTTCGAGTTCGAGGTCTTCCGCTACCGGGCTAGTGGAAGAGATGGAGAGTGGGAGGGAAAGGAGGCGAGCTGCACAGAGTTCACGATAGGCTGCTCCAGGGCGGTTCTCGCTTAGAAAAGACTGAATAAGAGAGCGTGTTCGCTGGCTTAGCTGCCTCCTTTCATCTTCGTTCAGTCCTTGCAGGGTCTTCGCTGACTGCTCCAGGCTCGAAGCCGCTACGAGACGAGAAAGTGGACCATCTTGCAACCATCGGCAGCCTTGCGTGTTGCATGCTGCAGGAGAATCGCGAAGCAAAGAGACGGCATCTACAAAAGGTTGTCTTTCATCTTGCTCTACATTGACCTTCCAAGATGTAGCGTCGAGTAGCTTTGCATCAGAGTCGTTCAGTCTGTCTAGAATGAGTACATCGGTCGGCGTATCGATACGGATCCCTGGAACGCTCTTGCCTCCTTGACATGGTCCACCCTTTGCAAAGTGGTTCAAGCTGACGTATGGTTCTCGTATTACAATGACAGTTCCGATAGGAAGATGTGCGTCGAGCTGCTCTCCGCTAAGGTGAAGGTTGCTGGTGAAGTGTGCGATTGTGATGGGAAGAGCATTGCCTGATGGGAGGACGCCGATGAAGGTGCAGCCGACATAGAGGTTCAAGCTTGAAGCGACCTTGCAGAGGATGTATCGGCATTCAAAGCGCTTCGGCGCTGCAAGCTGGTCTGCATCTATTCTTGTGAGCTGATCGAGAGCTTTGTCGGATGCATAGCTGCCAACACCGTCGAGTGTTTGTCGAGGCAGATAGGTTCGTTTGCGTTTGCGGCCAGATTCGGGATCGTGACTTGCAACGTAGACCTCTTCATGACGCTTCTTGATCTCTGCCGTTTGCCTTGCTAGCAATGCTTTCAATGGTACGGGTTTGAGCTTCTTAGGTGCGGCGAGAGCTTCCTTCTCCTTGCGAAGTGTATCACGCTCCTTATCGATCGACTTGTTGTAGTTCTCCAGCAAAGCCTGTACAGCTCCCTTGAACAGGTCAGCATCAACGAGTGGATCCATTACCAGCCCTTCGTCATCGTCACTTCCTGCTGTGGTGTCACCGTTGATGACCGGCTCGTTCTCGTCAGGTACGAGGTCATTTTTGGCGGGTGTGAGGGAGAGATGTCGAGCGAGGTTGTCCTGAATCTCGCTGTCCGGATCGAAAAGCTGAAGAAGCTGCTCCGGATCTGGCAATTCCAATCCGATATTGCGTAGCGCTTTGAGCAGGTCCTCCATAGTCGAAGCTATGTATGTCTGCAAGCTTCAGAAGAAGCTGTGGAGGAGGAGGATGTCGGAAATCTGGAAGAACCCAAAAAAAAAAAAAAAAAAAAAAAAAAAAAAAAAAAAAAAAAAAAAAAGTGGATGCTTTTCTCGGGAATCGGAGTTGTCATCATTTCGGCCGATAGTTCCGCTTTGGTGCTCCTGAATAGCTGGCTTGCGAATCGAAGCATGATACACTTATTCAGTACTCTGCACTCCTTTGCTCAACCTTCAGTCATGGCAGTAACGTCGAGGCATGCTTGCTCCTTCAAGTCAAAGTGGTGATTAGCCTAGGAACAGCCGAGGCCGAAGTATGCAAGTATTGTAGCATGTGCGCTCAAAGAAAAAGTCTGGGTTCGTCGCAAGGGTGGGCAGACATTTGTCGAGCGTCTATTTTGCGCGAGTGAGGAGCTCGCTTGAGCTTCTGGCGAGCTGAAGCGGTGGCTGCTGTTTCTTTTTTGGAGGTCACACAATGGCAGGCCGGCTCAAGAGAGCGAGCTTGTAGAGAATAAGTGTATAGGCAAGGCAAGTTTGAAACCCCGCGACTTTTTCCGGCAGAGGTAGGATCGCCAGTCCCCTCTCTTATCTCGTCAGAAGAGAACGTGACCGCCGAAAACAGTGCCTTGTTCATGCGGCCCACAATACTATTGATGCACACAAGCCACTCAAGAGCAAGCTGAAAAAGAGGCAGAGGATGTGAGCAGCAGCCTGTTTTGTGATGACAAGCCTATCGCGGTCAAGCCCGTTTGATAGAGAATACGTTCAACACGAGAGTCGAATATGAGCGGGTTTACACCAAGTCCTTCTTGTGTCTCAAGCTACTGGCCTCCTTGCTTCAAGACCTTGATCGTTTCGAACTTGTTGCAGAGGCGCTCCACCGGCTGCATAGGAGGATAGGAGAATTCAAAGAGGTTGGCCGATGTTGGGCTCTCGATGGAGGAGATCGCCATGTCGGTGGGCGCGGATTGATCGAGGGAACGTGGTCAAGCTCGAACGACATCCTTCGAACGAACCATGGAACACGGTCCCCACCTCTGCCAATGCGATTGGCCAACCCACACACAAAAATGAGGTTTACGTAGCATCGCATTGTATTGCAAAGCACTTTCGAGAGTGGAGAAAGCAATTATAATTTCAGCTCAAACCGCCGTCTGAAAAGACACGTCCGATTGTGCCGCCGCTGCCTAAGGATAAGAGGAGAAGGATGCCGAACAGTGCAGGTTCGGATTTGAGCGTTCCTCTTTGCTCGCTTACATCTAACCGAGTTGCCAGTCCACCCCTGCTCGTTTTGGCTGTGATCCTTGATAGGAACCGACCTCGTGATTGCTGTGTTGCTCCTCAAACAGAGTAAGTGGCAAGGCGTAACTCGGCTGTCCAGTCTGAGCCAGATGGTCCGCTTAGCCTGAGAAAAGGGACCCACCGTTGCTCGGATCAGGGTCCATCGTCTTTGTTTGCGCAAGGCCTCATTCCGCTAACTTAGCCCAGGAGCACTTGCAGCACATCCACTTAGGCCCACAGAATCGGACTCGGTTACACATCCCCCTTCTCGTATAAACAGAGCTGCTTGCCAACGCTTTGTCCCACTTTCTCCCCCTTTTCCGCAACGCCTAACTCTTCTTTTCACCTAACGACCTGCAGTCGCAACCCTCGCTGCTCTGACCAAGAGCAGAAGATATATAAGGATGGCCGACATTCACGACGCCCGCCCCGAAGAAGTTTCCCCTGTTGGCGAGAAACAACCCGAGTCCTCTTCCCTCGATGCTCCTTCCCAACCGCCAACCAAGAAAGGCCGACTTGGGGCAGTCAGCCTCATCTTTGCGTGCGGCGCCGCCCTTTTCTCAGATGGTTACGTGAACGCCTCTTCTGGTCCTGTCGTGACCGTCCTCTCTTACGCCTACCCCCACTATGCCGACTTTTCTGGATTCGAATCTCGTTTCTCCTCCCTCGTCTTCGCTGGTACCGTCTTCGGCATGCTCCTCTTTGGCTTCTTAGTTGATCGTATTGGACGACGTCATGGTATGTGGTTTGCTTCTATCTGGCTTACGCTCTGGTCCATCCTCATCGCCGGCGCCTGGGGAGCTGGCGGTTCTATCGCAGGTCTGTTCACCGCCCTCGCCGCCTATCGCTTCATCATCGGCATTGCCATCGGTGCAGAGTATCCAAGTGGTTCCGTCGCTGCATCAGAGAACACCGAGGGTGAAGGTATCAACAAGAACCGCCAACAGATGTACTTCATCATCGCCACCAACACCATGATCGACCTCGGCTTCGTCGCCGCCGCCCTGGTCGCCTACATCCTCCTCCTCATCTTCGGCATGAACCACCTCGCTTGGGTCTGGCGTCTCACTCTCGGTCTCGGCGCCATTCCACCTTTGCTCGTCTTCTTCTTCCGAATGGGCATGCAGGAACCCGAACACTACCAGAAGGGAGCCATCAAGAAGAATATTCCTTGGCTCCTCATCTTCAAACGGTACTGGGTACAACTTCTCGCCATCTGTCTTGCTTGGTTCGCCTACGACTATGTCTCGTACCCTAGCGGCATCTACTCTTCTATCATCATCAAACAGCTCAATCCTACAGAAGGACAGAGTGACGAGACCGTCCTCCGTCGCAGCCTTGCCTATTCCGCCGCCCTCAACTGCTTCTATCTCCCCGGGACCATCATCGGAGCCTTCGTCTCCGACCGCCTTGGACCCAAACACACCATGATCCTCGGCCTCCTCATCCAAGCAGTCCTTGCCTTCATCTTGGCAGGTGCCTTTGGACAGATACGAGAGTCGCTCGCAAAATGGCTCACCGTAACCGGGCTATTCATAGCGTTCGGCGAATTCGGACCTGGTAATAATTTAGGCCTTCTCGCTTCAAAAGCATGCGGACCGGCTGCTGTAAGAGGTACATTCTATGGTATTGCTGCTGCAGTGGGAAAAGTAGGAGCTTTCTCGGGATCTTATGCTTATCCGCAAATTCAGGCCGATCTGGGCACGCCGGACGATAACATCTACTATGCCGGTCCATTCTACATTGCTGGCGGCCTGGCCATCTTCTCGGCTGTTATCACGTTCTTCTTCATTCCGGCAATCGGTCAAGACAGTATGAAGCACGAGGACGAAGCGTTCAGGCAGTATCTGGCGGATAACGGATATGATGTCTCGCAAATGGGATTGCTGGATAAGGATCACCCGACTCAGTTTGAGGAGGGTGCTGCGAGAACCAGATCGAACGAAAAGGCATCGCTGGAGAACAAGAAGGAGCAGACACAGGCAACTGTCATTTCTGCACCCGTCAACTAGATCGGAGAGTAAGTTGCTGTATTAGCGTGTAGAGTAGTTACGCATGTACTTTACATGGCTCTAGAATGAAAACATACCCGTACTTTCTTTACTACGTCTGTGCCGATCTAGCATAAGACTCTTCATGAGGTTTCTTGTTAAATGCGGCCAAGTTCTCTTCCACTTCTTTACTGCGGATGTGCGTGATAAGAAAGTGGAAGAGGCCTTCGACCTACCTTGTCTCACGTCAAGCAGCGTCTCGACCCTCCCCCATCCTCCAATTCGTAGCCCCTTCACACGCCCGAACAACAAGCAGCAAGCCGGTAGCTCAACGACAAGTATCTATTGCAAGGAAAACATAGCCAGAACACGTCGTGCTACGATCGGGCGTTGAACGCAAGGACGCCGATACATGCGATTACCGGCATACTGACCATAACCATCAACATAAACCAGTCTTCATTAGGCTCCTTAAAACCAGTCTGGTGCGCACCAGTCTGGGTATACTCTTTAAACAATCTATACGTGCTCTTCTTCGTCGCATCACCTCCCTTGCCCAGCACTGTCTGCGCCATGTGGAATGTGTGCCACAGAGTTCCCCATCCTGCACCGACTATCTTTGTGGGCACCAAGGCCAAGCTTGATACTGCGGGAACTTTGTAGTCGGGTGTACCTGCTTCCGGCGATTCATCCTCAATCGATGTGTCGGTAAGACGCAGTGGAAGGTCAGGGAAGACAGCGGCTGGACGACCGAGACAAGCCATATCAGCGGCTCCATCATCTGGCTGAATGGCAGAGGCGATACCGTGGCGGGAGCGGAGACCGCCGGTGAGGATGATCTTGAGACGGCTGTCGGCGGGGAGGGAAGAGCGGCAGCGGCGGGCGAAGTTCTGGAAGAAGGCTTCTCGACGGCCCGTGCGAGCAGTGGTTTTAGCCGTAGGGTCTACGCCGGCGCCTTGGATGGTGTTGGCGCCGGTGCTGGTGGCTTTGGGATCGGACTTGGTGGTGGCGGAGGCGGTTCTCTTGGCAAGTTTGTCGAGCTTAGCCTGTTCCTTTTCGGAGTCAAAGCCTTCCATGACGAAGGCTGTTGGCGTGACGATCGAGGAGGATGTAGAAGGATAGAGGTATGTTAGCAGAAGTACGACGACGAGCGAAAACTACGGATATCATATACTTACACGGGTTCTCGTAGTTGCCTCCACTGATCTCGACAAAGTCAGCATTGCCGCCTTCTGCAAGCCACTTGACGTTGAGAAGCGCATCGTCTTCGGTCAGACCACCTTGGACGTAGTCGGAGCTGTTCAGCTGCTCACGTGCAAGAAAAGCAAAGATCAAGGGTGTCAGCTGCAACTCCATTTCCCCCCTCCAAATCAAACTGTTCGGTACTCGCCTTGACACCAATGATAAAATCATCCTTGACTTGTTTGCGTACCGCATCGACGATCTCGAGTAGAAGCCTTGCGCGGTTCTCTGCCGAGCCACCGTACTGGTCTGTGCGAAGATTGGTCCTGGGACTGAGGAAAGCAGCGATTTGGTATCCGTGGCTTCCGTGAATCTCGACACCATCGAATCCAGCTTCAGCGCATATAAGGGCTGCCTGAACGAATCGATCACGGAGCTGCTGTACCTGCTCTGTTGTCATCGCCGCAACAGGGCCCCAGAGCATGTGATCGAGGAATCTGCTGATAGGGCCAAGGCCGCCCATCGTACTCATGGGCACAGCAGACGGTGCAAGAGCAGGCTTGGTGATGCCACGGCCGGAGCCACGCATTGACTGACGACCTGCGTGCACGAGCTGCACTACGGCAAGCGGTCGCTTTTTCGGATCAACTTTGTCGGGCTGGTCTCGACCAGTGCAGGCGTCCGCGTACCTCTTCATGGCTGTCTTGAAGAATTGCAGTTGCTTCTCGCCGTTCGGAACAACGACATCGAATGGAGATCCAAGATGTGTGGGATCGATAGCTAGGTTGCCTGTGATGATGAGACCCCATCCTCCGCGAGCCCATGCTCGGTAAAGCTCAAAATGAGCATAGTTGGGCGGACCACCTCCTGCATTGGCCAGGGTCTCTTCTAGTGGAGCCTTTGCGAGACGGTTAGGTGCAACCTTTCCGCCCTTGAACTCGAGTGGGCATGCGATCAGCTCGGCCTCGGCGGCCTTTCCTTTGGTCGACATGGTTGCTATGATACTACACGATGTCTACGGAGTGTTTCGATGTTTTGATGATGGTGATGGGGGGTAAATGAGGTTGAAAGCTGTGCACGAAGCCAGGGCCATGCAAGCTGTCGGCTTTGCATCGGAGAGCCGTCAGCCGGCGAATTCTGCTCCGAACCTTCAATTCATACCATAACTAAGGCGGCTGGAGATCACAAGAGAGGTTTAAGATTGTGGGATGAGCGTGAGAGTGCTCACAGGCTTGTGAGGCTCCCGGACCTCCGTATGGGGGGCCGGATGAGCACAAGAGAGCGGGAAGACAAGAAAAAAGGGGGGGGGGGGGAAATACAGGGTGGGAAACACTTTAAGAGACGGCGAGATTCTGTTGGAGATTGCGATCCAGTCCGATCTCGGAGTAATGTAGATCAAATCTGTAAAGGATCGGGCGGAGCAGACCCAGTCGGCGATCAGGTAAAAAAGATCTGATCGGGAATCGGGTGAGGCAAATCTGATCGTAACTCCGACCACGGATTACATCACGTGCATTTAATCACGTGATTACCGGTCTTTGCGAGAAGATGCAAGATTGTGCGAAGAAAACTCCTATCTGCACTTGGCGGTGACCTCACACTCATAACTGTCAGAAGGGTCTACGGCATCAAGGCGCTTCTACTCCGCACTCTTAAAGATCGCACATCACAGTGATCTCATATCTACATGTCGTACTTGCTCAGTCGTGACCGTGGAGAAGGTGCATGGCGCAGCTGAAGCGAGTCGTCATTGCAGACCGCAGCTACATGATCAAGGCAAGCTTCTGCCCTTGTTGATAGCGTCAGCGACTTGAGAGGTCAATGGCCTGTTCTGAGCATAGCGCACATAAGAGTCGAGGTAGAGATCATCCGTGGAAGCGGTAGCTTTGAAAGCATCCAGCTCAAACACTGCTGCAGTCCAGCGGTTCCATCGCTGTAAAACGTCTTTCTCGAGCAACTGCTCGGGATCAAAGCCACGGAAGTGTCGCAACACATTGGTCGCGCGATACAGCCAAGGTGCCACGGTGCAGTCAACGATCGAAAGCGACTTGCCGTTCCAGAAGCCCTCAGAGCCTGAAGTCGACATGGAGCGAACGAACTCGCTGAGGTGCGAGGTGAACTCCTTTGCACCTTCGAGCTGCTTTTTGACTTCTTGCGCCTGAAGGTAGCGGTAGAAAGAGGGGATAAGATTGCGGTTGGCCTTGTCAACAGCGAGGCGGTAGCAAGCTCGCTCATAGGGGTCGGATAAGGGAGGCAGGAGTGACTTGCCGCCCTTGCCACCATCGTACTTCTCGTCGACGTATTCAAGGCTGGGAGAAGGAGGCCGATGTAGGTGTCAGTCTATTAGCTCGCACAATCATCGTGCTATTTGAAACTCACATGACAGTCGACTCGGTAAGCCCTTTGCCGTTTGATAGCTTCAGTGCTGGTACAAGACCTTTGGGGTTGAGCTCGAGCAGGTCTGCAGGCTTCTTGTACGGGTCAACCTCGCGGTACTGGTACGGCGCTGGGTGGATCAAGCTCAGGGTCAGCATTGCATCAATCAACAAGCCGTGTCTTCTCACTTACCTCCAAGATACTCAAGCGCGATCCAGACGCGATGTACAAAAGGGCAGAAGCAGGCTCCGAAGAGAGTCTGCTCTGAGGGAGACGAGTGTGCCTTGACTGTCTCGAGCGCTTGCCCCGTGCACTCGGTGTGATACGTAGCATCTTTGTGTCCTGGTGCAGGCTTCGACATGTTGCTTATTGTTGAGGTAGAGATTGCGTGTCGGTAATTGACAAAGAAGGCTGGGCTAACGATTGATGTAGGCCGGTATGATGTGAGCAAGATGGAGGTGGCCTTAGCGCGCATGATGATGTGGTCTGGAGGTTGCACGACGAAAAGTTGCCGCGGTTTCGCATTTGAACGAGGATCTGTATGCAGGGTCCAGGTGCGGAACAGATCTGTCCCACCAAAACTTCTTGATCAGCTTCCCTCTCAGCTTGCATCTCAATCTATCATGCTCATAGACATATATAAAGCCGCTCCAGAACAAGACTTGTAAGAAAGGACGAGGTAACGCTTGGTAGGCAAGTCAATATGCTTCGCAATTGTTTCAGGCTGGGTTCCTTGATAGCCTTGCTAGTTACCTCGACGCTTTCGACACAACAGATTTTGTCTTCAGAGCCACTTACCGAAGCAACAGAAGGTAATGCTCAGTTGAGCCTGAACTCGACATGGCAGGTTCTCGGACCGTTCCCTGCTGGTATGAGGGAGCTGCCTTTTGGTGGGTTTCCTCCATCAGTATCCTCAAGCTATGCAGATCTTCTAGATTCCAACCGTGCCGCGAACCGACACTTTTCCACATACGGGCCCACCAATGCTACCACTATCCTGAAGTCAGAATCAGCTCAAGTCCAGCTTCAAGATCCTAATCATGTCAAGCAGTCGCTCACAGTCGAGTACACGGACGTGGACTGGCCATGGGCCCGCAAGAGCGCCGGTTGGTCTTCACTCCAGTGGCAGATGATCGCATCGACGGACCTCGACATTGATCGAGACAGTACTGCTGTTGCTATCTCGATGGACAAGACTGCCGAGTTTGCAGTAATACCGAAGGCAGATTTCGGGGCGAACGCTACTCGACGGTCTGGTCTGAATACAGAAGCAATCGAATGGCATACGGGAGACTGGTACTCGTACATCGCAGCATTCTCCAAAGAAGACAAAGCTGCTCCGGACGTCCCAATCTCGCACCACCTCCTTCATCTTGACAAAGGGTCATACAAGCTACTAGCCCGATCCATGTACGAGATTCGCATCTTTGGTGACCCGAGAAACAACGGTGGTGCCGAAAGCCCCAAAATGACCATTGGCATCGACGTCGCTGCCTGCATTCCGCAGAATACAGTTCAGGAGGATCTTCTCGAAGTGCACACTGATCCACACCATAGCAACGTACCTCACGTGGTCGGAGGCTGGATCGCTGGTGTAGGACTGACATTTGCTGTTCGAAACCTGGCTTCGAAGCGCACATTCACACTTGAAAGCATTGAGGTGACAGAATTGACGCCGCAGACCGCGTCTCCTCGTCTTGTAGCAGAGCTAGGACACAAGCTTACAGTAGCGCCTGCGCAGACGGTCCTCGTTCCTGTCATCATTAATCAGAGCGCTGCACTAGACTCAGACACAGCTCTCCTGGGATTCACCCTTCGTCTCAGCTCCTCGTCGGAGTCTGCTTCGGAATGGATCAGCAAATCCGTCCGCATCCCGCTCATACACAAGCCAGCATTTTGGGAAGCAACAAGCAGCGCCGATGATCACAATGCGTATATATACAGCTACCTCGCTGCAGATAGTACCGTCCAGCTGGCGGCCGCCACACCTCCCAAGCTAGCTGGAAGATCAGCGACACGGACTGGACCCCTGCCACCTTTGATCCTGACGCTGCATGGAGCCGGTGTGGATCTTCGCGATCTCTTCTTCAGCAACAGTATTCGACGACAGGAGGATAGCTGGTCAATTCTGCCCACTGGTCGAACGCCTTGGGGTTATGATTGGCAGCTCGCCTCCTTTCAAGCTGCCGATGCCGCCGTCAATGCCTTTCACGAGCACTTGTACGGATTACCAGCTACTATGTCAGAAGAGGAGCGTCAACGATGGCAATTCGATCCAGAGAAGCTCTTCATCATGGGTCACTCGAACGGGGGTCAAGGTGCTTGGTATCGACTGTCTCGCTTCCCTGACCGAGTTATCGGAGGCATGGTCGGATCGGCATATACAAAGGTGTCAGACTATGTGTCGTTCGGCTGGAAAGTCGGAAGGCACTTTGTCGACCCTACATTGCAAGGCCTTCTGCATAGTGGAGTGACCATGTTCGAAAACGACTTGTATGCAAGCAACCTGGCAGGTTTAGATCTGTTGGTCAAGTATGGCTCTGCAGATGCAAATGTTCCGCCTTGGAACTCGAAGGATATGGCGATGGTGGTTGACGGCTGGAACCGTCGATCAGGACTTGTGGGTAAGGTCAAGATCGCAGAAGTACCTGGCAAACCGCATTGGTGGGATACGTTCTTCTCAGAAGATGACGTGCAGGAAGCCATCGAGTCGGCCTGCTTATCGAGAAAGAACCCCGACTACAAGATGCCAGATGTCCCGCGGAGCTTTACATTGACAGTGTTCAACCCGGCTGAAGCGGGTTCGAAAGGAGGATGGAAGATCAGCGAGGTTGATGTTCCTGGACGTCTTGCGAAGCTGAAAGTGCACTACGAGGAACAGAGCTCGGAAGACGCGGGACGAGCTTACAGCGCACACGTAAGTGTGGTGTCAAGGAACACAAAGAGGATCGAGCTCGACTTGAACCTGCTTCTTCGTACAAACGGCATCGCGGGCTTGCTTGCCAACGCTACCACCATCAAGGTCTCGCTCAACGGGCAATTCAACGAGGTAGACATCGGTAACACCAACAAAATTCATTTCCAGCAAGGCTACGATGGACAGTGGTGCGCTCTGTCCGACGGAGAACTTTCTGCGACTTCGACACGACCTCGTCCGATAGGTCCCTTGTTACGCATTGTGTCGTCTGAAGGACCTGTGCTGCTGATCGTGCCTACAGATGGGCCAAAAGTGGAAGTCGCAGCATGGAAACGAGTTGCTCAACGCTTTGCAAACGATCTGCTTCTATATGGAGCCATCAATTCGCAGATCATCGCCGATGCAGACTTTGTCTCAAAGGGCGTCGGCGAGGGTCTGCAGCGAAGCAACATCGTCACCCTTGGTGGGCCTCAGATCAACAGCCACACCCGGTCAGTCTTTGACAGCTGGCCTTCAAAGAGCCCGATTCACTTCCCTGCACCATCTTCATCAGCACAATTCGACATTCAAGGTCGATCCTTCTACAAGAACGGAACTGCTCTGCTCACGCTGGCGCCGCACCCAACCTATGCAAAGGGGCTTACATTGGTCGTCCACGGCATCGGTGCTCAGGGTATCTCGAGAGCTGCTCGACTGCTGCCGACCAGGACAGCGACTATGACTCCTGAGTATATCGTGACTGACCACACAGCGGAATGGATGGGTGAAGGCGGAGTTCAGGCTGCTGGGTGGTACGATAGCGAGTGGGGCTGGTCGGAGAGCATGTCTTATGTGCAGTAGCTGCTGCAAGTCTCGTCGTTGCGTGGTGCACTTCAGGCGAGAGTACACATATCCTGTTGGTGATGAGATTCACTCTGTGGAATCTAAGCTTCAGCATCACGGATTGCAGACATAGAGCATACATGCATAGCGATTGCCAAGGACAAATCACAGCTTCTTGAAAGCGATCGATGTGGTCGTAGAGCCTTTTGCACCGCCGAATGTGAATGAAGGAGTAGGCAGCACTTGTTCCACCTCAAAGCCGTTGCCCATGAATCTAACCTTCAATTCCGACTCGGTGAAGTTGCAAGAAGTGATCAAAAAGATCCCATCCTTCTTCACCAATTCTTTCACCGCGTTGGTATACCTATCGATCGGTAAAACTCCACTGATAGGCTGAGAAGAAAGCGCGATAGCATCCATTGTACCTTTATCGCATACCAGGTCCCACGCATTTTCTTCTGCTCCCAGATCTCTGGCAGGCATTTGGCACAGGTTTGCAACTGAATCATCGTTGAGTAAGTCAGCAGTATCGAATTTGACTTGTTCGCAATCGCCCCCACGCTTTGTTCCGATGGATTTGGCGAGGTTGATGCTCGCTTGTGAGTAATCCACACCAACGAGACGGTTGGGGGAGATGATGCCTTCGAGTTCAGCACTTGATTCGATCATTTCGAACAACAGATGACCGTTTCCTGTACCGAGATCTAGCACTGTCGGTGATTTGCCTTCTTCCGAAGAGAAAGTATCGGCGATGGTTTCGGTGTAGTACTCCTCCAAGAACCGGATCATGCGCATGACAGAATCTTCACCAAACCAGACTTCGCCTTCTTCACCGATCTCGTTGAAGTTGGTTACTTCTCTTTCGTATACTTCGTCCCAGTGCTGTTTGGTGCCCAACTTTGACTCGGGCAACGGCCCACCCTTTTCTGCATCCTTCACCTCTTTTGCTTCCGTTACAGCAGAGCAAGAGGAGACAGGAATATCAACACTCTGTCCGATCTCGATCGTCCTGAACTCATCCGGATCGATCCCATGCCGTTTCGCCTCTTCAACCAGCAACTTCGGCGGTTCGTTCACATCTTCAGGCGTAAGTCGGAAGCTTCCCCAATGAATACCATACGACCTTCTACTCTTAACATCCCTATGCACCAGCACCGAATCCTGAGGTGCAAGATGTACGGCCGACATAAAGCTCCTGGGCAAATAAGCGCCAATTGGTATCAAGGATACGTCAAAAGGCCCAAGTGCCTCACCGATCTCCTTGAACGCAGGACAACTAGGCAGCGTATCTTCATCCTCCTTCTTCATCCCTCCCGGAACAGACCTGTAGCCTGTATCACCAGCAAAATAAACACTCGCTCTCGAACTGGCCTCGCTCATAGCATGGAAAGTCCAACCAGCCCACAACGTGCGATCGCGATCCGACAATCCTCTCCCCGAGAAATGCTGTGCAGGAACACAAGTCACCTTAAGCACCGACTTGCCATTGAGGGATACGGTGCTGTGCTGCCACCAGTCGCATTCAGTGACTTCTTCATCGGTGAGCCCGAAGTTTGACTGGAACCACTGCTTGTTGCCGAGTGTGCAGAAAACGTGTGGTCGCTTGACTGAGGCTGTCGAAGGAGGATTGAGCAGCTTCTGAATGGTACTGTAGTCTGTATGATCGTAGTGGTTGTGCGAGAGGACTAGGAGGTCCGGCCATGCGTTTTTGCCTTCCTTCTCGGTAGCCTGGGCGATCTCTTCTACAGTGACTGGGGCATCGGTGTATCGTTCAGGACCGAACCATTGGACTGGTGACACGCGACGGGAGAGAACCGGATCGCAGAGGATGGTGGCTTTGCTGCCGTTGCCGATGGGAACCTGGAGATGGCAAATTGCGTGGCCGAGCCAGGTAAATGTGATGCTTTCGTCGGATGAGGATGTTGCTTCAGAGGCTGTCCAAGTGGGATTGTGGACGGGTGGGAGGATAGCGCTGCCTGCGGATGAAGCTACCTTGGGAGGGAGGGGGACTTCGTCCCAATCGAAGAGTCGGGCTCGAAGGAAGCCAAGGAAGCCATGAACCTGGGCGGAAGGCCAAGGAGACTTGAATTTGCGAGATGACACGTCGAGCGGTGTAAATTCGTTGGAGGCCTTTGGGACGTTGGACCAGTGTGGAGGAGGAGTGGTCTGGTAGAAAGAGGGAGCAATAGCACTCTTGGCCTCTGGCTGGGACACAGACCAGCTTGCACGGGAGGTGGATGACATTCTGCTGGCTATGAACGCTGGTCGGAAAATTGATGGTTGAGCGAATCGATGAATGCCACGTCGTAAGACTTGCGTCTGCATGGACACCTGATTGTGTGTGGAGAAATTCCAAGTGTGCAAAAGGTAAGACTCTGAGCCTCCAGTTGATGCTGCTCCGGAGGTTGCGAGGCTGATCAGGGATGATGCGATGATTGATCAGAAGTAATGCGATGATGGGGTGGTACGAGAAGAAGCAGATGTTGAAAATGCTGAACGCGCTCAGCTTTTGTATAATTTTATTTCCGCGGAGATGCCCATTGCAGATGATACGCGGATTGCGGACAACGCTTGGACCACCTTCACCTCACCAGGGTGGACCCTAACCCTCTCTTGCACATCACTACTGTACTCAAGCGACCGTAGTCGCCGACCATACTTCGAAGCAGCTTCCTGAGGGAAGCGCTTTCCAGCAACTCACTGCGAATATGGCAAGCCCTAGTGCACGGGCCGGACCTGCCGCCAACAACGACGACGACACGGTCTCAGTCAGTGCCATCACTGATATCGAGCTCGACAGCAAGGGTGCTGGCTCTCCGCCTCCTTCCAGTTTCGGACAAGTCTTGCATCCGGATATCGGTGGAGGCGGTGAGCATGTCGAAGCTGCGCATTCCGCTGGCGGTGTCGGCCCCATCAGCGCTGCAGGTTCCGGCGTTGCGACCCGCCAACCACCCGCATCTCCCACCCTCGAAGCAGCATTAGGCGAGACCTTGGTCATAAGCGGAGGCAGCGGGTACAATGATCTTGTCGGCGCCACACCAGGCGCCACCTATGTAATGCCCATCTCTGACAATGGTGGCTCCTCCTCAGAGATCATTCGCGTGCTTGGAGGACCTTCCATCGGAGACCTTCGATCGCGACTAAACCGTCTCATTCCGACCCCATCACAGCACGACCCCTTTGCGTCCTCCTCATCGTCCGAGCCACCACAATCAAACGAAGCCATCCACAACCTTCTCTCCTACCGTCTTCCCTCTTCCGGCAAATCGCGCGAGATCAAGCAAGAATGGATGGACATCCTCGAAGGCCGTCATCGTCTCTGGCGAGGCATAGAATCCGAACGCAAAGAAGTTATTCGAGGCTTCCTCGTCCATTTTGAAAGCGAAGTCCTACGTCGTGCACATCGACACTTCAACTTCCGCGGAGGATCAATCGGAAACTTTTTTCTAGCAGCAGCACAGAAGTTCTTTCGTTCGATACAAAGTGCTATCTTTCTCTTCTCGGCGACAACGCAGATCAGTACCTCTTCACCGGCGAGTAAAGTGTTGCCAGTGATCAACACGAATCATACGGCGACGATAGCGGCGGAGCTGGAAGATGGAGAGATTATCGTGGGGCAATGCGAGATATCGCATCCTGCGCCGAAGCCGCGGAGGAGTAGTGTTGCGCTAAAGATTTCGTTGGCGCCTGCGGCGATGGAGAGAGGTGGGTCGTTGGCGAGTCAGCCTCCGGGGACGCCGTCTTCTGCTGTATGGGATCAGCAGGTGGGGTCAGGAAGGGAGGGGATGCTTCCTGCAGAAGCACTACAAGGGCTGGGATTAGGCGATGGAGGACCATTGACGCCAGGATTTGGTCCACCAGCTCACTATCATGTCAATGAGCTGTTTGCGTCTGCTTCGTCAAACTATACGTCGATGAATGCCAGCGTTGATGCGCTCAAGACCGGCGCTTCAGACTCCGAATCTCACAGTGGCCCATCATCAAAATTGGGAGCAAGAAGCGCCGCAGGACCAAGCCCCCTCTTCGCACAGCTGGTAGACGACCGAGCAGCCGCATACTCCGCACAAGCGCGCAAAGGTCTCACGACGGTCGGCAACCAAAAAGATGGCTTGGATCCAGAAGACGACGACCAAGACTCCCAAGACGGAATCGATGCCGCCGACTCCCCTAGGGACAGCAATGCTGCCGAAAAAGATCCCAGCCCTGACTCTAACCTCCCATCTTTGATTGCTATGAGTCGAAAAGCATTCAGCCAACACTCGAATAGCAGCAGCACAAAAACCAGAAGCTCGTGGAAAGAGAAAACGGGCAACATAATCTTCTCCAAAGCCGAAGACGAAGATTATGAACCAGCTCTGCCTTCACCCATCCGTCGAATCTTCTACGTCAACGCTTATCGAAACGAGATTTACCCCGCACCCAACCCGTCATTCGTAACAGCACTGAGTCGGAGCAAAACGATCATCTACTCGTGCGGTTCGCTGTGGACTAGTATCGTCCCTTGCCTCTGTCTGAGAAGCATTGCGACGAGTATCGCCACTTCATCTACGCTGAGGTATAAGGTGTTGCTGCTGAACTCGGTGCAAGATCGCGAAACGAGGGGGATGGATGCGGTTGATTTTGTCCAGGCTATTCGTAGGTCATTAAATCATAGCGACCAGCCAACACCAGTTGGAGGGAAAGGGGAAGAGTGGAAACTGAACCAGCTCATCTCGCATGTCGTTTATTTTCCTGATGGTCAAGTTAAGGTGGATGTAGAAAAGCTAGAAGCGTTAGGAATCAGATGTATTGCAGCAAAGTCGCAGTCAAGGAGCAAAAGCGGAGCGCCAAAGTTTGACGAGGAGAGCGTTCGAACGGCTCTTCGTAGGATCACAACGCAAGCTTAGGGAAAGCGTTGCGACCTTTTCTCACCATGTACTTGTAGCCCAGTCCAACAAAATCGACCCAGATCAACGAGAACACGCAAAGGAATGCTGCAAATGCAATATCGTTATTTTACGATCGGATAGATGCTGAGGATGACGATCCAGCAGGCCTAATCGGGGATCGGACAGATTCAAGCTAATCGGGGATAGGATAGAGCTGATCAAATCGAGAATCGGACAGAGCCGATCGGAGAGAAAGATTGGATGCTATTGGGTCCCGCTCGTTGTCGTACTCTGTGATTGAGGGTGATACTCCCACATATGGGATGAACCAGCACTTTGTATATATGTCAGGCAGAGAGCTCGAGGCTTTCGCCATGTTCTCTTCTTAGTCAATCGAGTATATTTGTTTCTGTCTACAAACTAGCAGTGACATCGTACTCAGACTCTACCCGATCATTGATTATCGGGACTAAAACTTCATCAATAGAAGTGATTGTGCGACTCGGTCAGATATACAGTGATGCGCTTAAACCGGTAACAATTATTGCTGCTCGAGAGTAGCAAGATAATGAGTGTCGTCGCACTCGCGAATCCTCTTTGCCGCCTGTTCGGCAGTCAAATCCCTCTGAGGCTCGGCCATCATCTCGAACCCAACCAAGAACTTGCGTACCGAAGCAGAACGGAGCAAAGGAGGGTAAAAATGAACGTGGAACTGTGCAAATTCGTCCTCCTCCTGTGTCGAGATCTGTGTAGGCTGCTGGTGGATACCCATCGAGTAAGGGAAGGAGCATTTGAAGACGTTGTCCAGCTTGCAGGTGATCTCGGCGGTGATCCGGGCAAGGGACACGACTTCCATTTCAGTCATCTGCAGAACGTTGCGAATTTGACGTTTTGCTGGCAAGAGCAGCACCTCAAATGGCCATACCGCCCAGTAGGGTACAATGGCAGCAAAGTGCTCGTTCGCTGTGATAACACGAGGTTGACCAGGAGTGGTCAACTCGAGCTTGGCAAGGGTAAGAAGCATTGAGGGTCGGCCGTGGTCATCCTGAACGCCGAGGTTGATCTTTGGGTCCTGGTTTGCGGGGTCTTGCGACCAAGCACGGAGCGAGGCAAGCTCTTTGCTGGGTTCTTCTGGGATGTAATCGAGCGACCAAACTTGACCGTGCGGGTGAGGATTCGAGCAGCCCATAGCAGAGCCCTTGTTCTCGAAGATCTGGATGTACTTGACAAAGGGGTTCTCAGCAGGGATCTGCTTGTAGATCCTTTGCCAGCTTTGGATGATGGGGACGATGTGCTGATCCGGTGAGAAGGGCGGTGTACTGAGCTGTGCGAGTGTGAGGTTGTGCTGCGGATTGAAGCAGATGACGTAGCATCGGCCGCGAGCGGGTTGCGATTGGAGAAGGGGGTGCTGTTTCTTCTCCTCAGCTACTGCCTGTGGGATGAGGGCAGCATAGTCGTTCTCGAAGAAGAAGGTGGAGGTGTAGTCGTCGTTCTTTGCGCCAGTTGCTCGTGTGTTGCCGGGACAGAGGTAGCACTTTTCATCGTAGGCAGGCAGTGAAGTGCCCTGTGGCTTCTCTTCTTGGCCCTGCCACGGACGCTTGGTACGGTGAGGAGAGCAAAGGACCCAACTGCGTGTGAGAGGATTGTATCGGCGATGAGGGTGCTCGGTTGCGTCAAAGACGGGAAGCTCGTCTTCCGAGTCAGAGGCATGATTGGCGCTGTTGATCAGTCCGTTTGTGTGTCCGTTGACATGGCCGTTGACTTGACCATTGGCGAGTCCATTTACGGACCCGCTGCCGTTGCTTGTAATGCCGTTCATATTCAGTGAGAAGATGTCGTGTGAGTTTCCGGTTGAGCCCAGGTAGAGAGGTTCAGTTAACAGTAGTATCTTGTCCTAGTGCGTAATAAACTTGCTAGCCGTGCTCTTCGTCCTTTTGTGAAGCTAGCGAAAATTCGAGAGAAATGAGAGACAAGTAGCTAATCTGACACTAAAATGTGACAGATCAGGATGTTCGAGTGCTCGTTCCAGGATCCAGGAGGCGTGATTGTGGTTGCTGTGGTTGTGGCAGCGAAAGCGAGGAGGGATGTGATCGTGCGATGGATGGTGATGGTGATGGTGATGGTGATGGTCAAAGAGAAAAAGGGTTCGAGAGCAAAGAGACTATCGCTAGGTGTGACGTCGATAAGCAAATCTCGTTCGATTTGGGCTCGTGTTGGTCGGGGATTTGAGCTGGCGAGGAGCAAAAAGGTGTCGGCTGTCAGCGACCGTGCAAGGAACAGCAGCAGCAAGCGAGCAGATGACCGGACATCTCTCCGCTCTCCGACTGTGCTGTGCAATTGTGATTTCCGTGACCGGACGGACCTTGGGCGAAGTCCGATGGTGAAAACCGAGGCCCGAATTTGTTTTTCGCACACCGATGAATTCCGAACACCGGCAAATATCGAAGCTTCTGTTCGGTGTCATTCAGGAACGTTTGGCTCCTCCTTGTACCGAGTACAGTGCAGTTCTACTCTTGCAACCAACAGCAAACAGTGCGGTTCTACTCTTTCAACCAACAGCAAACAGTGAAAAGAGAAACTTCCGATGCTCCATAGTACTCACTCGACCTTGCTGCTAACTTTGACCATCGGGGTGGCTGGTGTGATGGGTAGGAGGTGAACAATGCGCAACATCATGTCGACTGTGAGCAACGTTGGGATCAAGCAGAATGGGACATAGTTTCTGTTGTCATGCACAGGCAGGGTAAGGTCTGAAGTGGTTTAGTCGATGCTCACGCGGGCCCGGCGGCAAGATGTGGACTCACTGAAGAAGGCCCCGGATCTGAGCCGGTGAGAGCCCGATTGCGTCGCTTCCTAAGAGAACACTGCAGATGCATTGCAGAGTAGATGATGCCGCTGAAGTGTGAACAAAACGAAGCGAAGCAACAGAAGCGTCAGATGATTGAACGTCAAAATCGGGTACGTCGAAGGAGTTACAACTTACCCAGAGTACCATAAGCTACCATCAGCGGGTATGTGCGCTTCTCATCTATCACCGCGAATCGTGCGTATCGAAGCCGCGTCAGTACCCAATGCTGAACTTGTCCATCTTCGACTGTGCCCTTCCAACTCACCATTCAACAACCCCCAAATGGCAACAACAAAGAATGGGATCTGAAACAATGTCTCGCTCGCCAACAGCACTCTGAACCAGACGTGATTCGCAGACCTCGCCTCTGCAGCTAGTAAGAATGGATCTTTCGACGTGGTCAGATAGTCCTGTAGCACCTTCCGAAGCGGTTCAGGGAACAAGCGTTGCGAGTACGGCGGATAGGTCAACTGTGCATCAATCGCGATCGAGGCGATCAAGTGAATCCCAAAGTACGCCAGGTACAGCACGTCCAACGGTCGCTCTGTCAGTGTCCTCGGCCTCGCCTGAACAACAATCTTTGCCTCTTGCTTCCCTGCCATAGCTGTGCTGAGTCTAGTGCTGGTGCAAAGTGTGCGTTGAGGATGGAGAGGAGTTGGAATATTGAACTAGAGAAGAGTTGGAAGAAGCAGAGCTTAAAAAACGCGTCTCGGCAACTTTTAGAGCTCGCATGACCGAAGCTCAATCGCGCCCCGATCCTCCTTCCCGTTCGTAATACGAGATGCGCGCCTCCTTCTCTCAGATGTGCTGATCAACTCTCTCACAATCGGTCGGAAGATACAAGCACCACAGGCTTAGCCTCAGCAGGCAGGCAAAGAAGAATGTCATTGACAGCTGTACAGAAGGATAGATGGAGCCTGATGAAAATGTTGCAACCTTAGAAGCTGGAAGGCGCCGGTCGGGCATTCGGAATACTGTTCGGCTCGATCTGCGTATCCAAAAACGCATTCAAATCAAACGGACTGGCTCCTGCACCTGCCGTCGAAGCCGGTGTCTTTGGCGCATACGAAGCAGGATGTGGACTTGTTGACAGTGGACCACTTCCGGCATTCACAAATGGCAGCCCTGCCAAGAAGTCGGTCATCGATCCACTAAAGTCCGACATACCATCCGCACCCGGTGTGCTCCAAGGTGCAATCGTACCCATCGGAACCGTAGGTCCAGCCGTGTTCCACTGCATCTCCCCAACACCCGACAGCAGCGCTGCATTAGCATCAGCATTTTGATACGCAGCTGCGGGCTCGAACACACTCGAGAACCTTTCCCTTTCTTCGTTGAGCTTGCTTTCGTTGGTTGCACCCAGACCTGGGATCATCTCGAACTCGGAATACAAGCTGAGCAGGACGTTGCGCATCCTCGTCGCTTCAGCTTGTGTGTCTGGGTGGCACTGGTACGTTCTGAAAGCATAGATCTTTTTGCCAGCTTTCGAGAGAAGATCGGCGGTGAGCTGGTGCAACCCAGCCTTGAAGGTCAACTTGGCCATCTCCAGAGTGTAGTAGGCGCCGCCTTTGGTCGAGCTACGGAACGCGATCGAGCTGAAATCGAGCAGGTTGACTGACGCAAACGAAGGCGGCTCCGAACTCGATCCTTGCTTTGGTACTGTGATGGAGGCCAACTGCGGACAGATCTCTGACATACGATCCACCGCAGTCAGCAGCAGAGAGTCGACTCGTTGACGAGCTCGCAAGTATACACTGCCATCCAGACGGGTGCCTGGTGCGGGTCGTTGCAACCCGTTTGCTTGCACCAAAGTGTGAATGCATCGGTACTGACTCCAGAGCAGCAAGTTGAGGAAGCCTTTGCGCACCAGCACCGAAATAATGTCTTCGCTAGAGTTGTCATGATGAATGAGCTGGCGTATGTTTGACGTGTTGGTTTCGGGAGCAGCTGTGTTCCAGTGCAAAGCTTCTGGTATTTGTCGTTCGAAGCGTTCCAACTGGTCCAGCACTTCGAGAATCGCAGATGGCGGAATGCCAAGACGCCGAGACCTGGCTGCGCAGAAGGTGAGGTTATTGCTTCGTAGCACTGACGCCATCACGGACAGCTGCCATGCCCACTGATTGCCGATCGGACCACCAAGATCTGCGTTCATGGCATCCGGATCAATGTCCTCCTGCAGTAGCTGATGTCGATCAAACATGTCGAAGCTGCGAATGATGTCATTGACCGCTGCGACAGCAAGGATTACAGGCATGCGTTCATCATTGACCTCGCAGACGGTATGTAGTTCCGGATTGCGATACTTTTGCCTCTGTGCTTTGACAACAGGATCGTCTTTCGATCGGTTGAGACCGTGATGGATCAGAAGGCGGATCATCTTGGTATGGCTCATGGGATGGACGAAGCCAGCATCCAGAGAGGACCTAGTTGCTTCGTCAACGCACTTCGTCCGCGCCGGCACATCCAAAGTGAGCAAAATGGCTTCCAGGACATCCAAGGCAACTGTGAGATCTTTGGTGCATGCTTGTGTGACCAGCTTCTCGACACGACGAAAGATGCGTGTCTGAAGGTCGAAGCGCTGCGAGTCTTCTGTCAGCTGCACAACGCCAACGCAGGCGACTGCAAGGATGAGGATGTCGGCCGGAGGAAAAGCGTCATAATTCGTAGAGGACGCTGCGACACCGTCCAGCTTGCTGAAGTAGCGACGATATCTTGGGTAGAAGTGACGAGGGTGCACCGCGGGATTGCACCAGTACGTTGTGCAGAAGTGTGCTGCCACCGCATCGTCCAGGATCTGGCGGGTCAGACCCCGAACATTGAGCATGTCTGGGCCGCTTGCAGAGTCAGGTACAGCGAATGGATCATGGCTCGAGCCAACATTTATGCCTGTTGCGAATACAGAATCTGCCTGAGAACGCCCATGCTTGCTGCCGTTGGAGTCCTGTGTGGCACCATTGCTGTTTGCGTCTGATGACTTTCTCTTCTTTGACGCAGAAGAGCCATCTGCGGCGCTCGTTGCAGATGCCACAGAATCTTCAGCTTTGTCTGTATTTGGGCGGGCGTCATCGGTGATAATGCAGTCGTATCCTCGTGCGCAGCAGAAGGTACAAAGCGAGATGCCCTCAGCATTGCACTGCTCCTTGTCACACTTGACCTTCTTGCGTCGACAAGGGTCGCAAGACGCTCGTGGTGTACCTCGCTTGCCCATGCTGGCGGTATGAGAGAGTCGAGCCTGACTTAATACGAGTTCGTGTTAAATGAAGAAAAGGGGCGGATGGATGACAGGTTGGCATTCGTAAGAGTTGGAGTCTTTGTATTTCACTTGATCGACGGCATGCTTCGTGAGGATCAGCTGTCCACCGTCGCGTGTCGCATACAGACACCGGCGTATACAGTGACAGCCCCACGTGGTGAAGCTCCGTATAGCTTGAGCACGTCAACGCCCGCCGGTCCCGTTTGCGAAACGTTGTGTGGGGCGCACGGAGATCTGCAGGCTTGCGGGAGGAGGAATATCTTATGGCAAGCTGTGTCAGTTGTCGGTGACTTAGTTGGCCGACCCAGATGCCACGTTGCCCGAGTTACAGAGCGTCTGCGACTCGCTTAGGTCGTTAGTCGACAGAAGAACAGCAGCTGCCAGATGCTGAGGTGGATGAGATGTGGTTGGAGGAAACAATGCAGGGTCGTGTCGACATTCACAGACTTCTTTCTGCGTGAAACTGTACACGAGCAAAGTCATTGTGGAGAGAATTTGCTCTAAAGTGCGATACGCTCAAGTGGGCGTGACGCGAAACGCGAAATTACGGAGCATTCGCTCAAGCCGCTGGGATTGCTATCTGATTCTTTGTGGCATCAAAACGGGCCTGAGCGGCAGACGTTGGCCATGTCTATCTTATACATCAGCCCTTAGAAAGAATGCGAAAGGATTGGCAGCAACGAAGTTGTCTGGCGGGTGTCTGCGGGGTAAAGCGGCCGGCGGAAGGGGAAGGGGTTGAGGTTGTGACCTCGCTAAATTCAAAATGCTTTGCCGGCCTCCACTCGGGCTCTTTGCGAGCAACTGCTGGCCGGTGCGCGTCTTCTTACAACACCATCCGACAACACTCAAGGCAGCCTTCAATCGACGCCAATCAACGATATGTCCAAAGGTCGCTCACTTCCACCAGCACTCAAGCAGCTGCTTCAGCAGCCGACATTCCCGGCTCGAGCATCTCGGGCCTCGGCTTCAGAGCAACTCCCACCCGGTCGATCCGCCAACCCTTCTCCTACACCCAAACTCACGAGTGTTGGCCAACACTTCCAAAGTCTACAAGTTGAGGCAAAGCAGAAGGGAATCAGCTGGTGCGAGTGGATCTCGATTGCAACTGCGACGCTCTTCACGCTAAACAATCCAGGAAGTTTGCAAGCCCTGCACCGGTTCGCGGCAGGCGACAAGTCTACTGACCTTGAGCACAGGCAGAATGTGGCTCTGCTGATGCGTGAGACAGGTCTCAAGTGTATCGGCTTCATTGGTATTCCCAAAGTGATCAATAACCTTGCTGCTCTTCGAAAGGCAGTTGAGGAAGATTCAGAGCTCGTCGGTTCTTTGTCGACACAGCCAAGAAGGTTAGTACGCCGTCCCAACATCCTGCATGCTTCGTGAAAGTCTTTGCTGACCCATTGCTTGGTTTCTATCCGCTCGTGCAGACAAATCAAGTCTGACCGTCTCGATGCAGTCCACAAAGCAGCCTACAGCCTGTGGGATGACATTTACACGCCTCACTCTGACAAGCTTCTCAAGATCTTGGGCACTTCTCACCCTGACTTGCCGGTCTTCATCGTCGAATCCGAGTACGGACCTCTGTTCTCCTCTCCAGCTTCCTTCGCTCTACCTTCTGACCCTGATTCAGCCAAAAAGGAGCCCGTGTGGGACGTGAACCGACTTCGCACTTCGCTAGTTGCTATCTCGGCGCTCAGAGCTCAGGGTGGTGTAGGTCCTCAGGTGACGAGCCACGTCTGGGGTCTGCTCAAGGCCAAGGACTCGATCAAGCCTGACGATGCTAGCAAGCAGGGTCTCGAGTGGCTCACCACGGAAGAAGGCGCTCTATGGGTAGTCCGCACTGTCGATGGCGTAAGTATATACAGTGAAACAAATGGATGATCTCATCAGTCTCGCTAAGCTGACACTCATCTCTTATTTTGACACACAACAGATCTGCGAGGCAATCGAAGGGGCCGAAGAGTTCGAAGGGCAGGGCAAGGAGAGCAAGCTTTGATTCAAGTTGTGTTTATGAAGAGTATATTTTGGAGTCGAATCGATACAACTAGCAGCCTACGACCTTGACTGGGAGAACCACCATGCTGTGATAACGCCGATGACAAAGACTTCAATGAGACCCCCGGCAAGGCTTCCACCACCAGCCAGCAACAGCAAGCTCCAGATGTAGCCAACGAGTCGATCGAGAACGAGCCCGCTAGTCGAAAGCACAAGTCGTTGCGTCGAGGAAAGCGGTTTGTAAGGGTTCAGCGACGTGAGCAACGCTGGAGATGAACCCTTGCTAGATGAGGAGGGAGCTGGAAGGCGAAGAAGCGTGGTGATGGGCTTGTGATCCGAGTGGGTATACTGCATGATGCTGCGATAGAACTCTACCTCGACGCCGTGACGGTCGTTGTCATCTTTGGCCGGTGCTGAAGCCCAAAGGATGCGGTCGGTCCAGCCTGGAATGCGCTTCTTGCTGAGTGTGTTGCCTTCCAATGCGGCAGAGGTGATGCCGGCATTCTTCTTCTTGGTCTGCTTACCAGGGCGTGAGACGGTGTACTTGTAAGTAGGCGGGATGTCTGCTTCGGCGATAGGCACTTCTGTGAGACCATGGAACGCTTTGGGCGGGTTGGCCAGCCTCTGGTAAGTGAGCTGATCGTGCTTGGCGAGCGAAGACCAATCACCTATTTCAAGCGCCTTGGCGAGCGTCTCCTTGGTCAGCTCTGCTGCATCCTTCTCGTTGCTTCCCTTGATGCTGTCCAGCTCGCTCTTGCCGAGCGACAAACGATGATTGAGATCACCGAATATGAACAGATGAGTTGTATCGTAAAGCGTGTAGCTCTTCTTGTCGAGCGCAGTCGTCTTCTTGGGTGTTTTGCCGGCCTGAGTTGATTTCTTGTGTTGCTGTTTGAGGGCAGCCATGTCGTTGGGATTCAGTGGCTTTTGAGAAGGATCTTGCAATATGGGAAGTTTCTGCACCGATGACGGCTCGAACACCATCCTCTGTACAATCTGCTGCCAATCTTGGTTCCGCCTCAGGACGTTGTGATCGTGCGCTGCAAGATGGGCGTTGACAAAGGTAAGAATCTCATCTGGTCCCTCCCCGTCGGCCGCTTCCACTACAATACGGGCTCCTACAGCACCTTTGTTGCCCATCACACCTGCAAGACCGGTTCCGACTTTGGCGGTTCGAACCTCTTTGACTCGATGTGCAGCACTCTTGGCACTGTTCGCGGTCGATTTTGAGATCGAAAACGGCGCTCGTTCTCGTGCATACACGAAAAGAGCGATGCTGACCAGGTCAACCTTGCACAGAAGAGGATAGCCTTCGGGACCACCTCCTTCCTCCAAGCTAGCATACAGCCCGGTGCCGGATACGACGGCTTGGTACGGACGAATAGTTCTGCGAATGTCAAGGTCGGTGTTGTACAGCGTGGTGTCACCAACCGCTGACATACCTGTGTGGAGCGGAATGAGTTCTTGGAATCCCACCGCATAGAAGTCAGGTGCCTCACGCGGCAGTGAAGGATGCGTAGAGAGCGTCTTGGTGTTTCTCGACTTATATGCGTCGGCATCGAGTACGTTCTTGTTGGTGAGAGGTTTGGAAGCTACGGGGCTGATTGGCTTCTGTTCAGCAGTTGGGATCAGCCAAGGCTTAAGATCGTGGCGAATGGTTTCGGCGCCTGCCAAGTTGGCATTGTAGGATGCAATTTGCACCCTCAGACCATTACTGCCCATGTTGCAAGATGTCTGCTGGAAACGCAGGGCCGGGATTGAGGGACTGGTTGGAAGGAGGAGACCCAGCTCGGCGTGCTTTAATGATTCTTAGATCCAGGTGGCGATAGGAGAGCAGAAGATGTGACTAAATTCCAGAACACGGGTTCAAAAGAAGTCGCAGAATGAGGAACAACTGAAGCGAAGGCCGTCAGTGGCGTCACCAATTCATTGTGCGGGGTAGGTAAAGTGTGAGTATGGCAGCTGAAAGCAGAAGCATGTAGAGTGGAGGCGCATAGTGAAGTGAAACCTAACACGACACAAGAAAAATGCCAAGCTCGCACGGACCGTTTCGACCAATCAATGATTGCGCCTATACGCGTTCTTTTTTCGTGTAGATTTTCCGCTTCCGGTCAACAGATCTGCTGCAAGAAGAAGACGTGGGGAAGGATCAACACATAAACGATCATGAGCAAGTGACGATACTCTCACTCACCACCTTCAACCTTTGACAGCCTTCATTGTTGCAGACTTACAGCACCGTGATGGCCCCTCAACAGCTCCTTAGCAACGTCGCGTGGGCACCCACCGGTGCTATCTTCGCAATCTGGATCATGTTCTTACTCGCATCACCATCTGCCGCTTTCGAGTTGCCATCCTTCCTCCGGTCCTCTCTCGACGTCAACCGACCTACCGGTGCAACCGCCTACCAAGCCAATCAGCCCTACGATGGGCTCGAGTACCCTCTCTTCGGACGCTTCGTCTTCCGTCCCGCTCTCTTCTGGCTCGAAGGAGGAGTGCTCGGTTTCTGCATGCTCTTTGTATTGATCCACTACGTCGGCAAGACACGCAACCTACAGGTGGCCAGCCGGATTGCTGCTGCAGCCCTTCCAACACTCGAACAAGAATTTGCTGTTGTCGCTGATGATGATGGAAGGGGTCACTTGCTCTGGAATGGAGGCAACTCGGCTCTCATGTTTGCCTCGGGCCGACGAGGATGCACGAGGTTGCATGTCACGTTCGATCTCATCGCTCGACACGACCCTATGGAGATCCTATACACTCTTGCCAAGGACATTGTGCTTGCTTCTACCGCCTCATCCTTCCGCGACACGGTCACTTTCACATTCACTCTGCCTCCCACCAGTGACAACGTCTCGGGTGTCTTTGCTCTGGTCAACAAGGGTGCGCTACAGCACACCCGAAGCGGTCGATTCGACTTGACTTTCGCCAAGGTCAATGACTCCGACAGTGCTGTCACCTCGCGAGGCCTGTCCAAACAGTGGGCCATTATGAGCGAAGCATCTGATCTCACCGACGGTTTCCTCGGCGAACCTGATCAGAAGGGTATCGCTCACCGCTCCAAGCTTGGCCTGACCGACGTTCTCGAAGGACAAGCTGGCAAATTCCTCGACAGTCTTATTCTTACCGACCAGCCTTTCACTCGCCCTACACGCCCCATCCCTGTCGATAAGCGCGAACGTCTTCTGATCCTCACTCTGCAGCTTCCCAAGTCGCGTTCCGACATGTCCAAGGCAGTCGAGCTCCTCCAGCTGGGATGCAACTTGGTGGATGCGCTGGACAAGGGCGTCATCAAGGCGCGCAGCGAGACTTTGGCCAAGTTGCGCAAGACCCGTGCACAGGTGGACAAGGAGATCGAAGAGGAAGCCACCAAGGAGCAGCGAGAGGCTGAACAGGAGGCTAGGGAAGAAGCAAAGCGCAAGGCTGAAAAGGAGAAGTTCGACAAATTGAGCCCTGCCGAGCAGGCCAAGCGCAAGGAGGTCGAGAGGAAGCGTGCAATGAAGAAGGCTGGAACCAAGGTTCGCTAGTCGCAACACTGATGCCTAGTTCCCTCGGTGTCTCGAGGTAGATGGAGATAGAAGCTATCGTCCTCGCAATGGATACATCACAGACCAGTCTCTGCAAGCTACGGTGTTTGCTATCGCCCGTTTCGTCACCGTGAGAAGTCTTCTGTGTTTGAGTATCGTGACATGATAGATTCCAGAAAATTGCTTGTCGAATGATTGAATCGAGCTGTCATGAGAGGCATCATTTCCCTCCACCTGCACCTTCTGCAGCAGCTTTCGCTGCTTTCGCCTATTTACAAGATGATCGAAAGGAGTAAACGCAAAGCTCAGCATGGGCATTGTACGTTTGGTCGCAGTCCATTTGTAACACTTACAGCCTGCTTGGCTCTGAGAGCTGCAGCGTCAGCTTCCTTCCTCGCAGCAATCGAGGTGTTGGACTCGCTACGCTTGCCCTTGTTCTGTTCAGCCAACTTTTTTTGGTTCTTGGCGCGAGCCAAATCTCTCTGGTTTCCGCCTGTGATGCGTTGGTAAAGAGGAGACTTTAGTGTCAGTGTCGGATCGCATCCAATGTATGTATTCAGCCAGCCTGCAATGTGTAGATAAGGGTCAGGGGTCCCCCACTTACGAGTCATGTTGACAGAGGCTTGATCAAGCACGCTGGCTGGATCTTTGAGATACGGGTGGATGATAGATCGCAGGAGGTGCACACAGCGAGCCCTCTCCGCTTTGTTGAGCGTTTCAGCCGCCAGTCGATGAGCTTGCGACTGTGTGATGGTGATTCAAGGGAAGGAAGATAACGACGAGAGCGTAAGAAGAAATACACACAAACACGCCTTGAACCCTGAATGTGTTTGCATTGGAGGTCCGAGATCCGTGTGTTTCATCAATGGAAACACTTTTACGCGGCAGCAGCTCGGTTCAATTTCAGCTCACGCTCGTGCCAAAGACCTCATCATCCCCTGATTGAGTATCACGTGTTCAGAATGGTTCACCATTACTCAACACGGACATGCCATCAGTCACAGAAACTTTGGCATTGCTGAACGTGAACACAGAGTTCTGAAATTCCAAGATTAGGGAAGTGAGGCAAACAAACAAAGAAGCAGTCAAACATAGCAACTGATCGCGACGAGAAGAGATTTTAAGAAGCAGCATTTGGTATCGTGAACAAGGATCTAAGCAGGTCTTAGATGTGGCTCTGAGGAAGCTGAATGCCGGTCTCCTTTACATGTGCAACGAGGTCAAGACCAAGCTTCTCCTTGACAAACTGGTTGCAGAAGTTGAAGAGCTCATCGCCAAGCTTGCCATCCTTGTCCTCAGCGATCTTGCTCTTCTTGCCGACTTTGGCCACAGGTTCAATGTAGGCACCGTTCAGGTTAAGACGGTCAACTTCGAGCGAAGCACAGGCGTAAAGCTGGGTCAAAGCGCCGTCCTCGGGAGCAGTGAAGAAGCGCGAAGCCGCAAAGATCATGGCCTTGAAGATGAGTCCATACGACTCGCTGGGACCGCGGAAGAGACCGGTGCGAACAACTCCTGGGTTGAGAGAAATGTTGGTGATACGAGCTTCCTTGGGCAGAAGCCTGGCGAGCTGGTTGGCAATGAGAATGTTACCGGTCTTGCTCTTTTCATATCGGTCAAATGTGCCCTTGATCTCGGGCTTGTACTGCTTGTTGACGGCTTCGAGATCTTTGAAGCTGGTGTCCGAGGGAGAGAAGAGGTGGCCAATGCTGGACACCTGTACGATACGCACGGATGGCGAGTCAGGCTTGGCATACTCGGGAAGCTTGGAGGTGTTGTAGAGTGTGGGGAGCAAGAGCATGGTGAAGAGGTAGTGACCAACGACGTTGGTACCGACCTGAAGCTCAAGACCATCCTTGGTGAAAGTGTAAGGGGTTGCCATGACACCGGCATTGTTGAGTAAGATGTCAAGACGCTGCTCGCGGGACACGAAGTCGTCAGCTGCCTTGCGGACAGCTGCAAGCTCAGTGAGATCGAGCTGCAAGAAGTGAATGTCGGCGTCGGGCACCTGCTGCTTGATTTTCTGGATTGCTTCCTGAGCCTTCGACTCGGTTCGTGCGGCCATGTACACTTTAGCGCCATTGCGAGCAAGCTCGAGACAAGAGGTCCTAGACACACAAACACATTCGAGTCGATTGTCAGTCACAGACCCAAGTTTGCAGAAAAAGTCCTTTTCTGCAAGAAACACTTACTCGCCGAGACCGCTGTTGCCGCCAGTTACGATGGCCACGCGGCCAGAAAGGTTGGGGATGTCGGACAATTTGAAGCCTGTCATGATGGAGGTGGTTCAATCCTAGAAGGATCGAGGAAATGATTTTAGAAAGCAGAGATGGCAACGCATTATATGGTGGTAGCGTCTCGGAGGCGAGATGAGGTTTCTTCCATGGAGAAACAGTGCGTTGAAAGTGAAGTTCGGCAGCTTTCGCATACATTTTCGCAGTTGAAAGGCAGGTCGGCTCTTCTAGCGTTTATATCTGTATGGGGTATCAAACTTTTCGCCTTTTTAAAACCGCCGGTTTTTCGAAGGCTCGTTTTTGGAGAAAATCAGTTAAAATTAGATACACCACTCAGGAAGCCACGGTCAGGCACTCCTTTTTAATCTGATGCTCTATGTGTAAAAGGCATGTGTTGTGTAAGGAGGTAATGACTAAGCTAAGAACATATATATGTATTCTCTGCACCTGACTGTGCTCACTTTGTCAAGTCATGCCCATGTGCCATGTATCTTCTTTCATAAGTGTTGTCATATCAACATGTCCCCTCCATACCATGGTGTCAATCCTCATGCATAGGCTGCATTAGCTCCCACTAGCCTCTCATCTTGCCTGTCCTCCTCATCACCCAATGCCTTCCCAATTCCCCAATCCTGTGAGCTCCCATTTACTATGTCATGCATTAGCAATGCCAGTGCCTCTTCAACTCCCCCCCTCAACAGCATATCCAACCCTATCATTCTTGATATCCTTGTCATGTTGAGTCCCTTGAGTGGCTTTGTGAGTATGTTGGCCACATTGTTGGCCATTCTGACAAACTCGATCAATATGTCACCATCTTGCACATGATCCCTAACAAAATAGTATCTGGTATTGATGTGTTTGAGTTTCCAGTGTTTGGCCAGATCCTTACTGACTTGTATACACCCCTAGCTATCAGTGCATAGTGTTGGCTTGACTCCAAATACTCCTAGATCCCTAAGTAGGTATGAGAAGAAGAGTGCTTCTCTTGCTGCTTCGGAGGCTGCAACCAGTTCCACTTCCACTGCCGATAGTGCCACACATTTTTGTACATGTGATTTCCAACTAACTGGGCATCCATACACATATGTGATTGCTCTGGATGTACTCCTACATCCATTTGTAGGGTCAGAAGCCCAATTTGAATCAGTATACATAACCACCAGTTGGTCTGCATGACTCCTGTGCATTCCTCCTAAATTCAAATGGTAATTGCTTGTCTGATTCAGGTACTTCAACAAATGCATTGCAGCACTCCAAGCATTGTTGATTGGTCCTGACATGTATTGTGCTAAGACTCCTACTGCAAATGAGATGTCTGGTCTCACTGTGTTGGATACCCACAAAAGTTGCCCCACTAGCTCTTGATATTGTTTGGCCTGATCTGGGTTGCATTTATTTCCTCTGGCAGTTCCTGCTACACTCTGCATTGGGATCCAGGTTCATTCACTTGTTCTTTCTAGCCACTTATTTACCATGCCTTTGATGTATGCAGTTAGGTCGAGTGTGATCTTGCCTTGTCTTCTCTCTTGGGTGATTTTGATTCCTAGAAATTCTCTTATGGGTCCATTGTCTTCTGTTCCCCACTTGTCCATGATCTTGGCTTTAGTGCAGTTGACCTCCCTTCTGCTAGGTGATGCAATCAGCATATCATCCACATATGCCATGATGCCCATGAGTTGGTTGCCCACTCCCCTTGAGTAAAGGCATGGGGTGCTCAGCATGCAGTGGAAGCTGATATTTCAGAGGTGGGTGTCCAGTTCGATGTTCCATTCCCAACCTGATTGCTTCAGACTGTAAAGCCCCTTTATGAGTTTCAATACCTTTCCTGGAGGTACCCTGGTTCCTACCAGTGGCTTTAGGTAGACATCATGATGCAGATTTGAATTGAGGTAAGCCTGTTTGACGTTGATGGAATCAACCTCCCAGTCCCATATGGCTGCAATGGCCAGCACTCCCCTTATCACCTGGATGGGTGCCACTGGTGCAAATATCTCTGTGTAGTCTAGGCCCTCTCTCTGGGTAAACCCCTGTGCTACCAATCTTGCCTTGTATTTTGTGGGGACCAGGTTTGCATCAGTCTTGATCTTGAGCACCCATCATGTGTTGACTGCATTCATACCTTGTGGTAGATCAGTCATTTCCCATGTTCCCATCGCTTTGAGTCCGTCCAATTCCGCTGTGGTCATTAACCATGTGGTAGCTCGCTCCCAAATCCAAGATCCAACATGTGGTTCCTTCTGACTTTGGGAGCTGCTGCCAACTCGGGGTGAAAGAGCACCAGACCTCCTAGTTGATCTTGGTGAGTGGAGAATTTTTGGGAATGACAATGGAAGCTTCGCATTTGCTGGCACCATGCCCATAGCACTTGCATACCCAGCAATGAATCATCTTTGGTTTGGTTGTGGTTTTCGTGCTGCCCATGTCTGACTCAGTATCATCAGCCTGCTCTTTGTTGCCCCCAACAATTCTAGCACATGCTTGGCATGGGTCCACTTTCTGACTGGGTACACTCTCCATTGCAGACTGGTGTGTAGTCAAAGCTGTTGCTAGAGCATTGAAGCTAACCTGATGAACTGTGGCGACTGTCTCCTTGTAGACCAGGTGTCAAATCGTGCACCTCTGGAGCATGGCATATAGTGCATCATTACTAAATGGGGCACCTAGGAGGCTAGTTTTGGTCTGCATAACCCTGATCTCTTGGATCAGCTTACGGGCATCAGTGTGAAACATCTTTGCCTCATTGAGCTCGGCAAGTAATGCTATCTGTCACGAGGTTCTAGCTGCTTCACTGGTAAGACTCCTTTCAATTTTCTTCCAAGCTTGATGGCAGGTCAGATGATTCTTACTGATGTCGAGTAGGAGGTAAAGGATGTTATACTCTCCTTCAGTGTCTAGGGTGCTTCGTAGGACACCCACTAGGGCATTATCAAAGGTTTTATTCCATTTTGGGTGGTCTTTGTTGTACGTGCCCTCTAGGTGTTGTGTGGCATGGGGAACTACTCATAGGTTGGCCTTGATGAGTGTGCTCCAACTATAATAGTTGCATGATGTGAGCTTGGGAACTGTCTCCAAGATTTTAGCCAAGGTGTGGTAATTGTATCAGTCGTCATTGTCATCCGATTCTGATCTTCCTTCATCCTCATTGTCAAAATACTTGGTCTCATTACCATCAGTGGCCTCTTCATCGATTTGTACTCATTGTGGCATTTTACCTTTTCTTGTCCTCCTGGCTGCTTCACCTGTGCTGGCTTGGCAGTCATTGTCTCCCACCATATCTGAATGTCGTGGGTTTGAGCCCCATGTTGGGAGCCAGTTAAAATTAGATACACCACTCAGGAGGCCATGGTCAGGCACTCCTTTTTAATCTGATGCTCTATGTGTAAAAGGCATGTGTTGTGTAAGGAGGTAACGACTAAGCTAAGAACATATATATGTATTCTCTGCACCTGACTGTGCTCACTTTGTCAAGTCATGCCCATGTGCCATGTATCTTCTTTCATAAGTGTTGTCATATCAACATGTCCCCTCCATACCATGGTGTCAATCCTTGTGCATAGGCTGTGTTAGCTCCCACTAGCCTCTCATCTTGCCTGTCCTCCTCATCGCCCAATGCCTTCCCGATTCCCTGATCCTGTGAGCTCCCATTTACTATGTCATGTGTTAGCGATGCCGGTGCCTCTTCGACTAAATCTGAATGCCCACAAGGAAACGCAAATTTCCAAAAACGCGAGGAACTCATACAGCCAATAAGAGATGTAACCGAACATGCAAGCATATGAAACATGACGGGGCATCTATCTTCTCCTTGGGTATTGGATGTTGAAGTTTGGGTCCCGATAACTGGCGATCGGGGAGAGTCTAAGTATGATGTCACTGCTGTTAAAAGACAGAAACATACAGCTCATGCATAAACTGTCCCACAAATTTACATGTCACCATACATCACTCTAATGCTCAATAGCCATAAGTTGTATTGCCACACTGTCTGATATCATCTGGAAGCCCTGCTTCTTCTCTCCAAGACTGTGTAAATGATATTGACATTGACTAAGAAAATTGTGCTATGAAGAAGAGCCAAGAATTTTTTTATTGTGGGACAGTTTATGGAGCATGCTCCCAAATAGTGACACCACTCCATTCCTGACCTTGTGGGCTTTTGACTACAATGAAACTTGCAATGTAACTTGGTGGGTGCCTTCATACACATCAAAAGTAGTGACATGGAAAGTTTCAGCTCAATCAGATGACTGTGAGCAATCCAGTGGAGCTTCCAGTCTGACACCATCATATCTATACCATCATGCTGAAAACCACCCCAGAGAAATGCCAATTGGCAATCTTTCACCTCCAAAATGGGGAATCTACCCATTCAGTTGCTGAGCAACTCAGTTTGAGCAAGTCTACTGTGAATCACATCAGCAAAAGTGCCTCTGCTGAAGTTCCAAAGTCAAAGGGGGGCCAGCTGAGAAAACTCCAGCCTCATCATGTTTGCTTCCTGGACCACTATTTCAAGCTCAATTCCACCTCCATGGTCAGGAAAGCATGTCATGCACTGCAGGAGACATTTCAAGTCAAAGCATGCCCAACCACAGTAAGAAAAGCACTTCATTACTGTCATTACAAAGCACAGAGGTTAGTGAAAAAACTGAAGCTACTCAAGAGACATTACAAAGCCTGTCACAAATTTGCTAATGAGCACAAGGACATGACTGTTGAGGATTGGAAGAATGTGGTATGGTCCAATGAGACAAAGATCAACTTCTTTGGACCAGAAGGTAAGCAGTTCTGTTGGATTAAGAACACCAGCTTCAACAGCAAGCTTGTCAGGCTGACAGTCAAGTTTGGCAGTGGCTCCATCATGATCTGGGGCTGTATGACATGGGAAGGGGTGGGAGGTATGTGCTTGGTGCTGGGTTCAATGAATTCAGACCAATACATTGATATCTTGAATGACAAGCTTGTGAAAACAATCTCAGATTTGCAGCTTCAGCATGCATACACCAACATCACATTTCAGCAAGACAATGACCTGAAACAC